CGGACAACAACAACTCGGACAACAACAACTCGGACAACAACAACTCGGACAACAACAACTCGGACAACAACAACTCGGACAACAACAACTCGGACGACAACAACTCGAGCAACAACAACTCGAACAATAACGACTTGAACAATAATGACTCGAACAACAACAACTCGAATAACAACGATTCAAATAACAACAACTTAAACAACGACAACTCGAACAACAACGACAACTCGAACAACAACGACAACTCGAACAACAACAATAATTCGAACGACAACAACAATCCAAACGACAATAACAACTCGAATGAGAACAACAGTGTGAACGATAATAATAACTCCGACCCGGGTGCGGGCTCGAATACCGACCCAACCGTCAAAACGAGCTCCAACTCGGATTTCAGTAACGCTGACGCAGACTCAGGCTCAGGAGAGAACGCAGACAATTCGGACTCGTCTTCAAATTCTGACATTTCTGGATCCGGCTCCGGTTCCGGCTCAGGCTCCGGATCCAGCGGTGAAGGATCGGCTCAGCCTATTTATGAGGATAACAACTACGTACTTGCATTACCCTTACCCGTCACGAGCGCCACGACAATTGCGGCGACTTTCGGCTCGGTCACAATGTCGGTGCTCTTCAAAAGCTTCTGGTGTGTCGTGTTCGCGTCAGCCAAGATGATGGAGCCTTTCTACCAGCTTGCCAAACAGAGCGCTAGAGCGACGGCTGAAGCGTCCGTTCTTCGCCCGTACCTCCAAGGTGGAATCGACTGGGCCGACATGAATCCGGCCAACAAGCACTGGGTCATGTTCGTGACCACGTTCATCAGCATTGTCTTGGGGTTACAGGCTTCTGTCGCATCGGAGGCCATGACCATCCAAGCCGGTTCGACTTGCAACACGCAGAATGGAACCCAGCTTTGCGATCCAGTCTGGGTCATCAACAGCGCAGTTGTCCGTGGCCTGCAAGCGTCACTAATAATTACCGCACTGGCAATGGTCACTCTGGCCTATTTGAATTGGAACCGTCCAAGTGGCGTGACCTCATATCCTTGCAGTATTGCCTGTATGGCCTCCGTCTTGAGCAATTCCAACGATGAGATGACGAGAACTCTGCGAGAAATCGACCCGGACGCCAAAGAGGAGGCCGTGAAAGAGGCATTCAAGGGGAAGCTGCTTACCTTTGAGCGTACCGAAACACTTTCAGGGGAGAACGTGGTTGGCATCACCATGGGATCCGGATCAAGTGAGGAGACGAACCATGACATGCCGGGTAGCGACATTCAACCGACGACGAGCAGTGATCGGGATCTCACGGATGTGGCCGAAATTGCTGAGCCTCCTTCGCTGATGTCCCGCGTGCCTTGGAAGCAGCTCCAAGTCGCGCTGATCGTCTTCCTCCATCTAGCCATGTTTGGAGTCATTCTATCATTCGTCCTTGCGGGCAACGATGTGTACCAGGTCAATCTTCTCGGTGCAGACGGTGAGAAGCACAATACGGCTGTCAAATGGAAGTTCCTGGACGGCACCAAGTTTGGTCCACGATTTTTCATGACCTCGATCACATCATTCCTTCTCATCCCTTTCTGGGAAAACGTCGAATTGTCGGTACGGATCATGGCGCCCTACCGCCGACTGAAGAAGAGCACGTCCGAGAGCCGCCACTTGTTCACGATGTACCTGCACGGAGTGCCGTTCACAGCGCTCTTCAAGGCTCTGTGGCATGGAAACTGGTACCATGCTTTCGTAACACTGATCACAGTGCTTTCATACTTCCTGCTCATCTTCATTGCTGGAGTGCCGTATAACTACGGGCAAATGGAGGACCTGTCGTTCATCAGCTCTGCGGCCAGCTTGGTGATCCTTTGCCTAATGTTGGTCGGTCTGGTGACACTCGCTTTCTGGCATCACAGCAATCCCAAGATGCCAAGGAGACCCGACACACTGGTCAACACATGGCTGCTTATGTGCTCGAGTCGGTTTATCGAGGGGTTCAAGGGCCGCACCTTGACGGAGATGCAGGATGAGATCGACCACGGGACAACCCGATATTGGTTTAAGAAGGCCGAAGGAGTGGATGGTATTGAGAGGTGGATGGTTGAGGCTGAAGGCGACCAGGCGCAGAGACGTCTGCTGCTGGGCGAGAAGGCACAGCGAGACAACTATTACTAGCAGGCGGCGGGTCTTTGAGGGAGTCTTACGTGGTCAATGTCTGTTTTCGTCCTTTCTTCCAATTAGCAAGCGAGCGGTATCGGCGGAAATGCACATAACCGCTCTTCAGTCCCTATGGACGAATTTCAAAATAGACGGTGCGGTAGAACCTGGCGTTTCCTGCCTCCGACCTATGTTTCTGCTATTATATCCGCAATGTGCTACTGAAGGAGGCTTGCCGCCGGAAGTCGGTGCCTTGTTTTTGACTATCATCTATACTTTCCCATTCTTACCGTGTAAGGCGTACGCATGTTGCCCTGTCCTCTTTGTCCAATCTCGAGCCCATGACGGAGTGTGGGTGATGGAGACGCTCAACCACAACCGCACAGGCTGCCGACCAATAAGTCTACTAGCGGAGGACGTCGTTTGATCGATATCCTGAGCCACCACAGACGCTTGCGATGCCATTTTCGTGTCCGGATCGAGGAACAGCACCAATTTGATCGGGGCTGAGGCGAGCAAGGAGACTTACCGCCGTGGACTTGGGTACCTACCGGATCGATAAGACCGGATTAGCGTAGCGGCACTCAACTTGACGCAGGCGCGCGAGTATATGGGAACCATCCCTTCCTACCTGATCTGTGTGGGCATGTTTCTAACGTCATTCGGAGGCTCGAGAGACTAACCCTCTGGGGATGAGAGGGCTGTCATCTGAGTGTGGAGGGTAGTCACTGTTTGAAAGGTGCTGAAGCTGAAGGGCAAGCCCCGTTTCAGTCTTTCCGAGGCACTTGCATATCTGATGGAGATTATGAAAGCAGCAGAAGAAGCTGGCAAGAGTGGACAGCGTAGCAAACCGTCGTGGTTTTGATCTGGGGAGTGACTGCAATTTTGCTGCAACCGACAAAAGACAGCCCATGACGCATTCATTCCCTGTGGCAGATCTTTCACATGCTGAAGTGATCGAGGTTGAAGGCGGACCCGAAAGTTCTGGGCCAGGTTGGGTCCGCTCAACAGGAGCGTTGCTGTTTGCTTTGTGACTCGGACGGCCTTGAGAAGAACACCGCGGGTTTGACGAAGCTACGAGACGAGGCGTCCGATATGATCAAGGTCTATTCTGAAGACAATCCCATACTTGTACTCACACTCAATATGAACAGGGACCACCTGTAGTGGGCATTTATAGTGCTATGGTACTCTGCTCGCATTGCCTTTCACTGCAAATTGCTGCCTGTGGCTCGTCACTTTCGCCTCGTTCACTTCTGGGTCACTTGCGTTCACCGCTCGACTGCGCATCCACAATTTCTGCCAATCGATGACACACAGCCGGCAATGTCTGACCAATAAAAAAAATCTGCTTTGATACAGCCTGCGCCCTGCCAAGACTTTACCGCCAAGCAATTCTCTGCAGCCGCTTTCTCACGACTATAAGTATCTCCTCTCCCCTCTCACTCCCTTCGAATCCTCCAGCTCTCTTTGCCTTGTACGTGGTATCCCCGACAGTCATTTTGAAGTCATGATGCTAATAATTCGAATAGTTGGCTTAGATCAAGTGTAGTATCTGTTCTTTTCAGTTTAATCTCTGAAATGTGACTACGGTCACAATACATTGATTAATCCTATTTTTGCACCTCGCTCGAGATTTCCTGTGCTTGCACAGAGGTCTCTTGCACCGTGTCCGAGGTCTTACACTGCCGCCTTGTGACGCGAACCACCTTTTCATCACTTCTTTGCCTTGCGCAAAGCTTTGGAGAAGAGCTGTTTGAACTTGATGAAGTGCTGGTTGTCTGGAACTGCGCCAGAATTCGGCGCTGATTTCTCGATGCTAGCGAATTTCGAAATGTGCGCTTCGCAGTTCCTGGGAAACGCTGCGACACGAGTGTTGTCCACGGCCTACGGGTGGCTTCAGATAAGATACAGAGGTACCCAGCCTAGACAAAATGCCGTAACAGTGAACAGGTGAACCGTCTCGCACTCGACTGTTGCATCTCCCCGTCGAGAGAGACATAAAGAGGGATCAGAAATTGAAGAGAGTACTCGTAGCCAGGAATCAATTTCCTGTTTCTTTCCCTGACGGTATTGTGGCCCGTTCTACCTAGGTACTGTAGACGCGGTTGCGGCTCACAAAAGCCTCTTCGTGGCTTGTGGCGATCCACGTATTGAGTCTACTTCACACCTGTCTACCTTATGTAGAGACATCTGAGCTCGTCCGGATACACACCATGGCCGACGACACCGCCATGACCAACGCCGCCGCGGCCGGCCCTTCTGCCAACGTCGACCCCGCGATCTTCAGCTCGCTGCAAGCCAAAATCGACGAGGAGACCGGCATCAAGGACGAGCTGCGCGCCCTCGTCGACACCCTGTCCAAGCAAGGCCGCGTCACGCAGTCCATCCTCTCGCGCGTCCACAACACGCCCACGGCCGAGCTCGAGACCGCAGTCCTAACACCGTGCGCGGACTCGCTCGCCGCGCAGGCCGCCACGGTCAAGATCCTCGCCGACGCGGCCTCGAAGTACCCGTTCTACAAGTGGAACAATATCTGGCAACGGGATATGCAGAACGTGGTCAGCAGTCTTCAGCTACATGATTGGCTCAAGGCCGGCAATCTGATCACTCTGGAGGAGGTCGGCCAACGGTTGAACGGTTAGTGGATTCCGAATTCGCCCTGCTTGGATCACATATGTCCGTGTCTATGTCTATGACCAACGCTGACCCTTTCGGTCTACAGTCCCCGTCAACGTCAAAGACGAAGACACCTTCCACATCACCATCGAAGATTACCTTTTGGCGCTGACGTACACGATCGAAGAACTGTCCCGGCTGGCTCCCAACGCGGTCACCCTGGGCGACTACGCGCGCCCGCTCCAGATCTCCAGGTTCATCAAGGACGTGCATGCCGGGTTCCAATTACTGAACCTGAAGAACGACATCCTCAGGCGCAGGAACGATGCGCTGAAGTATAATGTCAAGAAGGTCGAGGATGTGGTGTATGATTTGAGTTTGAGAGGGTTGATCCCCAAGAAAGAGTAGGAACAACAGTAGGCGAAAGCGTAAAGAGTGAAACGATCTGGTCGTCGATATCGGGATTGCTCCATCACATCTTTACATCTTCATATCATACCATGAGGTGCGAAGGAGCAACTGCTGCGGCGGATATTCCCCTCCGCCCTGTTTTGGGAAGGGCACTCTATGACTGTCGAGGGCGTGGTTGATCCCAGCGACGACCCGAGTGCGAAGTACTCTTATCCGAGAGAAGCCACTCTACTGGAAATACTCGTAAGCGTCTCAGCGGTTGTGCTACGGCCAGTCTTGAATGACCACTACAGATGTTGATGAGGTATCGATTGCTGCGAGGTATGGTGAACGAGTGAGAAAAACGGAACGACCAAAAATCATGTATGGCATGTTGAGCTTGGAGATCTCTTGACCTCACGAGGCAAGATGAAATTGTATGCCAATCCGACAATATTCTCCTATCGCGAAACTGCAGGCCTCGACTCAGGACCATGCTCCTAGTTCCTGCATGCGGATCTATTGTTCGTAGAACAGACTCTCGTTCACGAGGGTATGCCGTCTCTTGTTAGAAACGTCCTTTGTCATCTCGTATGCAATATATGTTCAGTCGCCTGGGAGCTTCTATGGTGCTGTGGGCTTCTTGAACTCCTCGCCATCGACTCTCACACTGCTATCAGCTGTGGCAGGTTCCCTCAGTCCTTCAGAAGAATGTGTGCCCAGCTTGACATTGACACCTCCGCTGCCGACGTTCACGGTACGGCCATCAGCAGATTGTAGATCTGCACTGGCGCCACCGACAGGTTGGTCGGGTAGAGGGAGATTTGCCTTTACGCGGTCGATAGTTTCTTGCTTGTTTTCTTGCTCAGAGAGGAGTTGCTTCGGAAGATGTCAGTATAGGTCTGGCAAGCAAAAACTAGGATGATCTGGTGTCGACAGGCAAAACTGACCTTCATAGCTGAGGTGTCGGAGTCCTTTGGGACTTCACCACCGTGGAATTTGGACTCCTTCGACTCCATTTTGCGCACGTCCTCACCGGTGACGTGGAATGTTTGCTCGGACATGGTGTTGGTGTTTGAGTAGAGAGCTCGGTTTCTGTGGTTGTATTATATAAGGAACTGCACAAGTTGTTGTGTTGGTTGGTCAAGGTGTATGTTTCTTTAGTGTTCAAGTAGAGCCTCGCTCTGAGAAGGTTCACCTGGTCATTATGTGCGGTGGACGCTTGGGTTGCAAGCAGGACGTGTCCGCCTCTACGTCATTACGGGTCTCGAACGGAACCAATGAGCATGTTGATCTTGTGCATTTTCGCTCGGATCTCGAAAATTCTCAGAGGCTCGAGGCTGATGAACCCTCCGATCGTGCTGACCTACGTCATTGAGTGTTTGCTGAAAGCAGCTTAGTCGGGGTGGATGACCAGATCCGGTCCAACCACGCTGCCTTGGTGCCTGACTTGGGAGATGTCGTGTGACAGCAAGGAAGAGATGTCCCCAGCTTCCAGGCACGAGGATGCTGTACTGGTACTCGTCCGAGGAGTGGTATAGGAAAAGGTAACTGTGGATCGTCCTTGAAATTGCAGGCTCGAGGAGGCTTCTGCTGGGAAATTTGTGCGGGCAAGCGCAACTCCTACACAGTACTGGAGCTTCGAGGCTGCGCCAAAATCGGTTTACTCTAGATACCCACTAGAATCCCGAGAACAAGGCGAGACATGCAGAGCCTCGGGATACGGTGTTGGTAAAGCATGCACCGTATGATGTACGTTGCTTTCCTCGACGTTTACTCAATCTCGATTTCGAGGTCATCGATGCAGAATTCCCAGTCGTCCATTTCCACGTTGTTGTAATGGAAATCCGCCTCCACTTCAAGCCTCGTGAGGCCTTTCCACCGCGTCTTGCTGAACTCTTCCAGTCGGACGTGGAGAGTATCGTGGAAGCCGGCGGGATAGTCGACGGTCCATTCTAACGGACTCGACAAATTTTCGAGGAGGAAGCCGCGGAGATTTATGGTAACGAAACCAACAGGGAAATCCAGTGGTTTAATCTTCAGTGAGTGTACCGTGAATGTACGTGACGGATCGTGTGCATGGATGGACGGGGTCTCCGCTGCGACCTTTGAGCCATAGAGCGCATTCGGCTTGGAGATGGCGCAGTTCAAGTCATCCCCCGAGATGGTGCCTTCCAGATCCTGGTGTGTCGGCTTAAAGGCATATAAATAGTTGAATGTGAAGCCATGATATCCAGCCGCTAGCTGTCCAAATCCGTGAGGTGTTTCGACATCGTCAAACTGTTCCGTGGTAAATCAGCATGCGTGCTCCACACCGAGTCGAGCCAGATCTCACCCACATCAACACATCACGGCCGTTCAAAATTGTTTGATCGGGGTGCGCCGAGACTACACTAAAGCAGAATGCCAGCATGAAGCAAACAAGCACCACTGAATGCAAGCGTAAAATGCTCTGTAGAACAGGACGCTTTGAGTCTGACAGACACATTGCCGCAACCACGATGGTCGCCTTGATCAGATCATTGAAGTAGAGATGGACAAAGGCTGTTACAATAAATGCAACACGGTAGAAAATCTGATTTAGCACCATGCTGCTCGGCGGGTATCGCCACTCGAAGTTCGAACCTGCTACGTGGTGTAATCACAAGACAACGGCATACATAGGACACCCATTCTCCTAAGTCCCCAGGGTTTGCGCAGTGTGTTTCCGGGGGTTTGAGTTGAGGGCAAGGATCCTTACTTTGAAGAGATTGCAAACAGTCTGAGAGTCAAGATCGACCCACAACGCGCAGTATCATTTTGGGTTTAGCCTCATGCGCGCCCCCGCGCATTGCCGTTTGATGCGTCAAAACTCCTCGAAATGAACGTCCACATGAGTCTGGCGAGACTTGCTGCAGACGCAACCTGGCATTGACTCGGCACTTGATGCGAAGACGCGCCTGGGACGTTCCTGCGAGCTCTGGCCACTACTGCTACTCCGGTTTTCATGCAAGCGCCCGCTCCGAAGGTAGTAGCGAACGAGGTGGTGAGTGATTCGGTCGAGATGACCTTTCACTCACAAGAGAAGTACGAGATCGAGGCATGAAAAGGTACTTTGTGGTTATTGCAGCGCTAACACAGGGGTAAACCTCTACGTGAGCACTGCTTTTCTTCTGTCATGGTCGTCTGCCGCTTCGACCTGCCCTTCAGCTCCATTTGATCCAGTGGACATCGAGCACGATATTTCCCCAGCCACCACTCCAAGCATCGGGCATGGAAAACGTGCCCGCAAGGAGTTTCGCGGACAACATCCTCAGGTTGGAAGAATTCCAAACAGATGCTGCAATCAAACAATAGGTCCGGCAACTCTCCTCGAACGGCGGCAGAGATGCGAGTGGGATCTTCGATATCTTCAACCCACTCTTTGCCCAGTGACACCTTATGCTCATCTTGCTTTTTGGGTGCGAGGACAGCAGGACAGGGTGGCCGGATTGGGCAGTCCAAAGATGGGAACTTCGGGAGGTCCATGCCATTCCTACCGTCACTGTCGGCGTACCGCCTTTTCGGTGCGATTTCATCAATCTCCTTCGCACTGAGGTTTGCGATCGGCTTTGATTTTGATTGGCGGTGGATTCTCGCTGCTTGTTCTGCAGAAGGCCTCGAGTAAGTTGAATCTTCACTGCCTCTTTGGCCAATGCGCTGGTGTCCCTCGATCGATGTGTTTGCCCGCGTCGCTCGTGCGCGGGCCCAACGTCTGAACCTAACGATACAAATTAGGTCCTGGAACCAGTGCGCTGACATGGAGAGACGAACAAGTTGTACAGGACCACCACCGCAATCACGACAGCGCCAACCATCATGTAAGGAATGACGTCGTGATAGTCTTCCTTGTCTGCATCTTCGTGGTCACGACCTGCAAGGTCTCTTGCCAGAAGGAACGTTTCACCTGCCGGTAAGTGCATCAAACTTGGCTAGACGAGAGAGTAATCACTGTACTGGCCCTCGGAAGCGAGCGGTGAGACGTGGGATATAAATGGCCGCCTATCCGACAGACTCCAGTGCTGAAGGCAAGGAGCCAGTGTGCGTATGATCACGAAAGAGATCATTGCCAAAGCCTTCTGGCAACAGCGCACTGTGGAGAGCGCCCAGAAACGCAGCGACAGGGCTTTCACTGTCCAGGATCATACCACAGTACAGGGACGTTGTTGCCTAAGGGAGTATGTCCACAGTACTCATTCCAAGTGGCCTGGCTTGATGCTTGCTTGGTATTCGCGATATGCAAAAGTCACCCCACTTCGGGAAGACCGTCAATGCTTGGCAACCTTCTCGGCGCCGCAGCTGCGTCAAGCTCGATAAGAGTGTTGCACATATGACACTACTGCGCTGCCTTGGTGAGGTCGTCTATTGAAGTGCTGCGGACGTTCAGTAGGGCACAACAAGGATATCATTGCAACTTTGGACACCTTGCATCTTTTGCATAGGGTATCTTTGACCCGAACCCATACCTAGCACATGTCATTCTCAGGTAATATTTCCTGGGGGTGGAAAATCGGCCCCGGAAGGACGGCAAACCACAGCGGAGGCCAGGAGCCAACCAGAATCACCCGCTTACACGGCGCGAGTTCAGCGCTTGGCTTTCTGTCTTCCGCCTTCCTTGGCCCTTGGCGGCAGACTTGGCCGTGGGCCACGCCGCCCGACAAAGTTCTTCAGTTGGTCTCCGAGGAGCCGATCCATCAGACACCTGTCAAGCTCGCTAGCCAATCTGGAACCAAGACTCGCGCACTCCCTCCCCCGTAACTTTGCGATGATGTCGAACTCTTCCACGCTTGCAACCTGCCCAGAACCCCGTAAGGCGTGTTGAACCCTTCGCTATCCAATGGCCGTCCCTCCTAAGCGGTTAAGACCCTTTTTCCGCCTCTTGGGTCCCGAGGAAGAGGCTTTCCGCCACTTGCAACATGGCAACAGGGCCAATGGGCTGGGAAGATTACGTCGTGAATGATGGCCCACCGTCAACACTGCTTTGATCCCAAGCGTGGTTTGGGACAGCATTATCTTTGGGAGCGGTCCTATATTTTCCCTTTCCAACACCACGTCAATTTCGAGAGGGGCCTTGGTCACAGGTTAGCAGGCAATCATGGAGAACCACGTCTCGGGTCAGAGCAACAAGCCGTTGACAAAGCCTGCACACGCTCTTGAAAGGGACGACCTCGTGCAGCAATTGAACACTGACTCTGAGAGGGGCTTGTCGTCCGAAGATGCGTGCCAGAGGCTCGAAGAGTTTGGCAAAAACGAACTGGAGGGCGGTGGAGGAGTACGACCGCTGAAGATCCTGCTTCGCCAGGTCGCCAATGCCATGATGTTGGTCCTCATCATGGCCATGGCGGTCTCGTTCGGTATCCGCTCCTGGATTGAAGGCGGCGTGGTCACGGCAGTGATCATCCTGAACATTGTCGTGGGGTTCTTCCAAGAGTTTCAGGCCGAGAAGACCACGGAGTCGCTGCGGTCACTCTCTTCTCCCACCGCAAGTGTCATTCGAGACGGCAGCAACTCCACCATTCCCGCTACAGAGCTCGCTGTGGGTGACCTCATCGAACTCAAAGTGGGCGACACTGTCCCTGCGGACGTCAGGTAAGCCAACATACTCAGCAGCCCTTTGCATGATTTCAAGTTGTTGACAATCTGCAGACTGCTCGAATCTATCAACTTTGAGACCGACGAAGCCCTCCTCACCGGCGAGTCGCTGCCCGTTGCCAAGGACGAGGAAGCCGTATTTGATGAAGATACGGGTCCAGGAGATCGACTGAATGTCGCATACGGGTCTTCTACAGTGACAAAGGGTCGCGCAAGAGCAATAGTGTTTTCCACAGGCATGCACACTGTAAGTCCGGCAGCTAAATGCGGTTCACCGCACTACTTTTAGATTACACCAACGCTTCCGGACATGGACATGGGCTGAAATAATTATAGGAAATCGGATCGATCGCAGCTGCGCTCCGGCAAAAGAGCTCCAAGGTGCGCGAGCCCAAGCGACGACCGGACGGTACTGTTAACCCGTTGCGCCACGCCGAGTCCTGGACCCTTACGTTCACCGATGCTGTTGGGCGCTTTTTGGGCGTCAACGTCGGGACGCCGCTTCAGAAGAAACTCTCCCGTCTCGCCATGTTGCTCTTCGGGATTGCCGTCGTCTGCGCCATCATCGTCCTCGCCGCCAACGAATTCTCTGACAGACCCGAGGTGATCATCTACGCTGTTGCCACGGGTCTCTCCATGATTCCTGCTTCCCTTATCGTGGTTCTTACCATTACTATGGCTGTGGCAACCAAGAGGATGGTATCCAGGAACGTCATTGTCCGGAACATCAAATCGCTAGAAGCGCTAGGTGCTGTTACGGACATCTGCTCAGACAAGACAGGAACCTTGACCCAAGGCAAAATGGTGGCCAAGAAATGCTGGATTCCTACCCGTGGCACATACAGCATTGGCTCCTCCAACGAACCATTCAATCCCACCCAGGGGCCTTTGTCGTACAATGACGCTGCGCCGTCGCAGCAAGGTGAGAAAGGTGTAGATGACGGCGAAGAAATGGAATACTCGAACGCCCTGGAAGAAAATCAGGAGTTGAAAGATTTCCTCCTGGTTGCCTCGCTGTGCAATCTTGCACGGGTCCACCCTAACAAGGAGGGCTCCTGGTCCGCCATTGGAGATCCGACCGAGATTGCTATCCAGGTCTTCGCTTGCCGCTTCGACTACAGCAGACAAAAATTCCTCGACGAGAAGAATCCCAAGCTCAAGCAGGTCAGTGAGTATCCATTCGACTCGGATGTCAAGAAGATGTCGACTATCTTCGAGGACCTGGAAACAAAGGAGCAAATGGTCTACACCAAAGGCGCCGTGGAACGGATACTTGACTCCTGCACCCGCACCAACTGGGATGGGCCAGAGACCATCGAGTTCACCGAGCAGATGAAGGAAAAGGTCCTGGAGAACATGGAGGCTCTGGCATCTCAAGGACTCCGTGTGCTTGCCCTTGCGAGCCGTCCGTACAGCCCCCAACATGGCCGCCGGGCAAGTCGAGAGGGACCCCCTCCTCGCGAGGAAGTGGAACGTGACTTGATATTCCGCGGCCTTATCGGTCTCTATGATCCTCCGCGACCGGAATCTGCCCCTGCGGTAAAGAGCTGTCACCGTGCTGGAGTCAAAGTGCACATGTTGACGGGCGATCACCCGGGAACAGCCCGCGCCATTGCCATCCAAGTGGGCATTCTACCACCCGATATGTCCCGCCTCTCGCATGACGCGGCCAAAACAATGGTCATGACCGCGAAAGAGTTTGACCGGCTGAGTGACGAGGAGCTCGATGCACTCCCCGCACTTCCACTCGTTGTCGCTCGATGTGCTCCTAACACGAAGGTCCGGATGATCGAAGCACTCCGGCGCCGCAACGCCTTTATGGCCATGGTGAGTTGTTCCCCCCTTGATATTTGGTGCAGTGATGCTGACTCCAGCAGACTGGTGATGGCGTGAATGACTCGCCATCGCTCAAGATCGCCGACGTCGGCATTGCCATGGGCCAGGGAGGATCGGACGTCGCCAAGGAAGCTTCCGACATCGTGCTGACCGACGACAACTTTGCCTCGATCCTCAACGCCATCGAAGAGGGGCGACGCATGTTCGACAACATCCAGAAGTTCATTCTTCACCTGCTGGCCGAGAACATTGCCCAAGCAGGCACTTTGCTTATTGGACTTGCGTTCAAAGATAGTACCGGCCTCTCGGTCTTCCCTCTGGCACCTGTGCAAATCATGTGGGTCATCATGATCACATCCGGTCTGCCCGACATGGGCCTTGGTCTCGAGATCGCGGCGCCCGATATCCTAGAACGACCACCAATCTCGCTCAAGGCCGGCGTCTTCACCTGGGAAGTCTGCTTCGACATGCTGGCCTACGGTATCTGGATGGCCGCTCTGTGTCTGTCGTCCTTCCTCCTGGTAGTGTATGGATTCGGCGACGGAGACCTCGGCGTCAACTGCAACGAGAGCTACTCCCAACGATGCGACACTGTCTTCCGAGCCCGAGCCACCACCTTCGTCAGTCTGACTTGGTTCGCCCTCTTCCTCGCCTGGGAGATGGTCAACATGCGGAAGAGCTTTTTCCGCATGCAACCGGACAGCAAGAAATACTTTACCCAATGGATGTACGACGTGTGGCGCAACAAGTTCCTGTTCTGGTCAATCATTGCGGGCTTCGTCACAATATTCCCCACGATATACATACCTGTAGGTGGACTCTTTTTTTGCTTGTGGTGTCAAGCATGGCTAACATTTTCGTCCAGGTGATCAATCATAGTGTCTTCAAGCACACGGGCATCTCTTGGGAATGGGGTATCGTCTTTGTCGAAGCCCTCCTCTTCTTCCTCGGCGTCGAGGGATGGAAGTGGGGCAAGCGAGTATACTTCCGCCACCGGGCAGCGAGGCTCGGATTCACCGCGGACGACTTGGAGAATATGGTCTTCGATGACTTTTATGGCCACGATGCTAGCAACGGCAGCACTAAAGTGGCTTCAAACAAGGCGTTGGAATGATGAGCCGTTGGAAGAGGAGCAGACCCAAGACGGACCCTGCTAAGGCTCGATGAGGCATCATGACGATATGACGTTAGATCCATGAGACGATGTTGTCTTGTTGCAGATAGTATTGCTGCTCATATGATTGAGGTCTGCTTGTGGTATGGCATTTGGGTCTTTAGACGGTACAGTAAAAACAAGTTTGGCCGAAAGATACTCAGTACGTAGGCGGGTTGCTAATGCGAGGGCCGGTTAACGATGGTGTATGCGAATCATCTGCTAGAGAAATTAGACCCCGGACCCTCTAGCCCTGTTGCTCGTTGACGTACGATGCGTACTGAAGCAGGAGGAATCTTTGAGAACAACCCGTGTCTTGGAAAAGCCGCACCGCGAGTGCTGAACAGCTAGACAGCGAACACATGGAATCGACGTCGTGGGGATCTGCTGGACGGCACTACCTCCCCTAGTACTGTAGCTGCACGGCACCTCTGACCTTACTCCAGACATTGTAGTCCAACGATAGAATGGCGCATTTCCGGTTTCCCAGCAGTGCCCGTGTGTGCGAAGGCGAGGGCGTGGGCGTGGGCGGCGTCATCCTCCCCCGAAGCGGGGTGTGAGCCGCGACGTGCATCTTTTTTTCCCCCCAGCAGCCTGCGCTGCGCTCTGGCTTTGCCCTGCTCTGCTTCGGTTGAGATTCTTCTCTTCTCTTCGCTTTCCTACGGAGGACTCCGTACAATGCCCCGAGATCCCCTCATCGGTCTCGTAGGAAAGCCGTCGAGTGGGAAAAGCACCACGCTAAACAGGTAGAACTGCCCACGTCCAACATGCCCAGTCGACAGCCTCGCTGACGACGCACAATCTACAGCTTGACGGATGCGAGTTCGAAAGTCGGTCAGTCAGTGCGCGCGCCAATCATGATGATGATGATGTGTTTCCGCAGCAAAGAGGCGGGAGGACCAGGCTGATGATGATACCTGCGCAGGCAATTTCCCGTAAGAAAGGACCACACCGTACCCTCCACGTGTCGACGCCAAGGACTAAAATATTGGGACACTCAGATTCACAACGATCGACCCTCAACGAGCGGTTGGATATTTGCAGGTCGACTGCGCGTGCAAGCGGAAAGGTCTCACGGACAAGTGCCGGCCAAACTACGGCTCGTGCGTCGACGGGAAGAGATCGGTGCCCATCGAACTGCTAGACGTGGCGGGGCTGGTGCCCGGCGCGCACGAGGGCAAAGGACTGGGCAACAAGTTCTTGGACGACCTGCGCCACGCGGATGCGCTGATCCATGTCGTCGATGTCAGCGGGACCACCGACGCCGAGGGCAAAGCCACGCGTGGCTATGATCCCAGCGTGGACGTGGAGTGGCTGCGTGGCGAGATTGTGCGCTGGATCCAGGGCAACCTGATGGACAAGTGGGGGAGTATCAAGAGACGGCACGTCGCCGTGAAGGCGTCACCCGTCGAGACCCTCCAGGCCCAGTTTTCGGGGTATGGGAGTAATAGCTCCGTGGTCGCGCGGACGCTGGACAAGCTGCAGCTCAAGCAGCCGCTGGAGGAATGGAGTGACGAGACGATTTTGAGGGTCGTCAACGCCTTTACGGACGAGAAGTTCCCGACCGTGCTCGCGCTCAACAAGATCGACCACCCGGACGCGGACCGGAATATTGCAAAGATCGCGAAGCAGCAGCCCGCGGAGAGCATCGTGCTGTGCAGCGCGATCTCCGAGGTCTTTCTACGCCGGCTGGCCAAGCAGGGGTACATCAAGTACAAGGAAGGGGCCGAGTACCTGGACACGCGGGAGGACTTGATCGAACAAGGGGATCCCGCTGGAGGAGGATTGAAGGAAATGGACGACAAGCTCGCGCAGCGCATCGAGAACCTCAAGGACATGGTGCTCTATCGGTTTGGTAGCACGGGCGTGGTACAGGTCCTCACCAGGGCGGCAGCCCTGCTGGGTCTTGTGCCTGTTTTTCCTGTCAAGAACATCCACACCTACGGCTCGGGCACGGCCGGCAGCACGGCTGCTGTCTTTAGAGACTGCGTGCTCGTCAAGAAGGGCAGTACCGTGGCGGACGTGGCGAGGAAAGTCATGGGCGATGCTCCTATTGCTTTTGTGGAGGGCGACGGAGGGAGGAGGGTCGCAGAAGATTCGGTCATCGAGGTCGGAAAGAACGACATCTTGTCGTTCCACGTCGGGCGGTAACGCTGGTGTACGTTCTTCGGACGAGTAACTACGATTGGACGGAAACATGAAACGTGAAGCATGTAGCATGATAGATAAATTCCGTAGTTAGCGATGGATCTAAGGGATCCCGTTACAGTACCATCAGTTTTGTCCACACCACATACATGCAATGAACGCCACGTTTGATGCTCATGTTCCCTTTTGTTATTTACAACGAGCCACAGGATGTCCCTCAGAAGTGATCCTTCGACCCTCTCTCCTCGTTCATGCCAATCACCACCGGCGACTCGGGAAACTCCTCCTTGGCCTTCTGCTGGTTCTTGCGCTCGTCCTTGCGCGAGATGGCGTCGCTGCCCTCTTTGCCCTGCTCGTGTTCCTTCATCCCTTCCTGGGCGGTATCGGCATGCACGTCGTACGGCGGTCTCTTGACGGCGTGGTCACGACCCTGGCGACCACCCCAGCCGGGGCCCGTATCTTGGGCGCGGGTGCTGGACTTGTCGTCTGTGGAGGAGGGTTCGGAGTGTTGGCCTCCCTCGGACGAGGAGAGCGGACGTGTGACTGAGAGGAGGCGGGGGTGTTGTCGGAGCGCAGTGGTCGGCAGGACACGGGGCCTCAGAAGGGAGCTTGGGAGGCGGGGCATGATGGACGCGTACAAGTTGTGAGATATCTTTTTGGTGTAATGTAATATGTGGTGCACTGTGGGTTATTGCTGAAGCGGTAGCAGTCAAAGTGAGAAGAGGTGAGGCCACGACACAGATGTGCAGTCGATGCAATGAGAAGTGAACCGAGACTTTGGGCCAAGTCGTCGTCACTTGATCTGCGAAATTCTTAGTCGTAGCACCCAGCGGACAGTAATTACCGTGATTCACACTGGTCAGTGTCTTCCAGGTTCGTTACGAGTGCTCGTCAAGCTGCGATCTAATGTCGAAATTATGACGACATTGCCGACAGTCAGTTCCATGACGCCCGAGAGCAGGGCGTGGCATCTCGGCACGTCTTACCGTAATTTACTCTCCGCTTCAAGCTTGGAGGTCTAGTTCAATCTGTTACCTAAGGCTCACGGCGCCCCTATTCCATTCTACCTCACAGAGCATGCGCTGCTTTCGATGCATGTCAAGGATCAATCGAAGTCGGCTTCGTGGAGGCTAGGGAGCTGGTCTGACACGAATTTGACAGTACCTACATGAGGAAATGCGCGGTTCCCATTGGTCATCGCTGGAAAATTGCGCTGTCGGACAACTCTGCTCGGCCACTCGCACGGCAGCTATCCCGGAGACACAGTGCCGCTTTATGAATGCTTTTCATGACGGAATTTGTCGATTGTTGTGTGCCTCAGCACCTTTCTGCCTCTCAACTCGTCTGCACCCTGTTTGCGACGCTCGTGCGTTACGTGTCGAACTCAATGAATATGGCGTCTACAATGAGAACGCATTATATCTGGTGGCTAATGATGGATAACTACCCTTTATCAGACTTCATAACGCTCACAGCAGCCCCGACAAATTTTGTGTGAGTTAGTTATCATATTACTACTCTACTATCTACTTCTATTCATCGTGGTTGACCTAGTGCTCATTCACTTGAGCGATCGTTGGGTGGCACTGCACCAATCCGTCTGCCTCGGTCCGAGTCAGCAATTGACTCCAAGTCCTCACACCCAGACATGCGAATCGAGAATCGAAAGGTCTTCCGCCAATCATGTCTCGCAAAATGCGGCTGTTGCAGCCTGGTAAACCTGAGCTCGACTGCCAGAGAGACAAGGGACAAACGAACTGGCCACGCCTGCCTCATCAGTGCGACACTACTGTCAATATCGCATCAGGGCCACCCATTTCTCAATCAGCTGTTCCTCTCGAAGACCGCCTATTTCCGTGTTTGATTGAGTATCTGGCAGACTCGCCGCAGGTGTCACACGAGTTATGCGGCATGACTACGGAGTAGTTGTGCCAGAGTAAGCGCGAAATCGGTATTTGGGTGGGGAGCCGAAGTGCGGGGACAAAGGCGGGGAATTCCTACGGTTGACCACGTGATGGCACGATGCCAATTCTCTTTCTCCGGTGGACGGCAAGTGCCAGAACCCCGTAAGTTACCTGACTGCTTGACCCCCTGGAGCCCCTCCAAGAGAAGCGTGTACCTCGGTCCGTAGTTGCTTACAACCGAGAGTGAGCTGTTCTATAATGTCCCATTCCATTGCACCCCGGTGAGGGCACTTTCAGCTATGTGGTACATGACAGATTGGAACAAACATGGCCTCCCAACTGCGGTACGATAACCAGGTCGCCATCGTCACGGGTGCGGGTAACGGGCTCGGCAAGCAATATGCCTTGTTCCTAGCCTCGCGCGGTGCCAAGGTCGTGGTCAACGACCTCGGCGGGTCTTTTAACGGCAAAGACGCCAGTGGCCGTGGCGACGCGAGGGTTGCGGATGTCGTCGTCAAGGCGATCCGAGACGCCGGCGGGGTCGCTGTGGCCAACTACGACCCCGTGCAGCAGGGCGACAGAATCGTCAAAACGGCCATTGACGCATTCGGCAGAGTCGACATTCTCATCAACAATGCAGGCATTCTCCGAGACATCACATTGCGAAACATGAAGCACGAGGACTGGGACATTATCATGGATGTGCACGTCCACGGTGCCTACAAGACAGCCCGTGCAGCATGGCCATATATGCGCAAGCAGAGATATGGCAGGATCATTAACACATCGTCGTCATCAGGGCTCTTTGGCAACTTTGGCCAAAGCAATTACGCCGCCGCCAAGATGGCCCTGGTCGGATTCAGCGAGACCCTGGCCAAGGAGGGTGCGAAGTACAACATCACCTGTAACGTGCTTGCGCCTGGTGCCGCCAGCAGGCTCACGCAGACGGTGTGGACCCAGGATATGATGGAAGTCATGAAGCCAGATTGGGTTGTCCCTCTTGTGGGGGTGCTGGTCAACGAGAAGTGTCGGGAAAGTGGAAGCATTTTCGAGGCTGCAGCGGGCCATTACAGCAAGATCCGATGGGAGCGCAGCAAAGGATTTCTCGCGAACCCGGAGTTCTTGACCGCCGAAGTGATTCTAGAGAACTGGAACAAGATCGTGGATTGGAATGGTGCCGAACACCCCAGTGAGCCGGCGAACACGTTGGGAATGCTCGAAAAGGCCAAGACCTTGCCCAGACTAACGTCCAATTCGAGCAAGAAGGTCAGCTTCAAGGACCAAGTCGTCCTGGTGACTGGCGCTGGCGCTGGGTTGGGAAAAGCGTACAGTCTGCTGTTCGCTAAGCTCGGCGCGAAGGTTGCAGTGAACGACGTGAAAGATGCCGACAAAGTTGCCGCCGAGATCAAATCAAACGGAGGCGAAGCTCTAGCTCTGCCACTTTCTGTGGAGGAAGGGGAGGCTATTGTGCGGAAAGTAGTGGAGGCTTATGGCCGTATTGATGTCGTCGTCAACAATGCTGGAATTTTGGGGGACAAGGCTTTCACCAACATGACGGATGAACAATGGTACGAAGTGATGAAAATCCACCTGCGCGGGACATATCTGATCACAAGGGCTGCCTTCCCTATCATGCTGAAGCAGAGATACGGGCGAATTGTCAACATCACAAGCACCACCGGCATATACGGCAACTTCGGTCAAGCCAACTACGCAGCCGCGGTAAGTCTCTCCTCGTACGTATCCGAATGCAGCCATTGACTCCCATCGTAGAAGTGCGGCATAGTCGGCTTCACGAAAACCGTCGCTCGAGAAGGAGCCAAGTATAATATAGTCGTCAATACGCTGGCTCCGACTGCCGGCACCGATATGACTCGCACAGTGTGGCCCGAGGAAAATGTCCGGCTGGTTAAGCCAGATTACGTGGCGCCACTCGTTGCGGCCCTGTGCAGCGAAAGGCCACCCGCCACGGGTCAGATATTCGAGTCCGGTTGCGGATGGATCGGCGCCACGCGCTGGCAGAGAGCTAGAGGAGTCGATTTCGAGCACGACAAGGGTGTGCCGAGCGTCGAAAAAGTGGCCGAGGTGAGTGATCCTGCAACCACTGGGGTATTGATGTTTCTCCTGGAACAAATTGCTCATGCATGCGGCAGGCCTTCCCAGAAATCTGCAACTTCGACAATGGACAGGCCGACAATCCAGACACGCCACAAGAGGGAAGCAAGTATACCATGGGCAACGTGCTGAAGAACCCGCAGATTGTAAGTTGTGATATGGCAAATCAGGGAATGTCAACACTCACCAGTCCCAGGCTGCAGGTTTATCCCAGGAGAACCGTGCGAATCGCAAATACATTGCCAAGTTTCAGGAAGCCATGTCGATGAAACCCACCCCATCCACCTATACTTATGACGATCGGGATGTCATTCTCTACAACATCTCCATGGGTGCCCACCGGACTGATCTAGATCTCGTCTACGAGAACGCTCCGAATTTCCAGGTCCTCCCGACGTTTGGCATAGTGCCCACTTACACTGCGACAACGCCGTGGAGCATCAAGGACATCGTACCCAACTACGACCAACGCATGCTTCTCCACGGTGAACAGTATTTGGAAATCAAGCAGTTCCCCATTCCCACGGCGGGCACACTGAGGACCGAAACGCATCTGATCGAAATCGTGGACAAAGGGAATGCTGCGCTGGTGCGGCGCGGCTCGACAACGGTCGACAGCACAGGCAGGCCCGTGTTCTACAATGAAAACGTCGCCTTTATACGCGGATCGGGGAACTTCGGCGGCCAGAAGAAACCTTCGGACCGTGGTGCCTCGACTGCGGCGAACACTCCACCTGCTCGTGCACCAGACAAGGTCGTCGAGGAAAAGACATCAGATGACCTTGCAGCACTGTACCGGCTGATGGGTGATCGCAATCCCCTGCATATCGATCCCAAATTCTCGGCTGCCGGTGGGTTTAAGGTTCCCATCCTCCATGGCCTGGCAACATTTGGCATCAGTGGTAAACATGTCTTCCAGGCATATGGTCCCTTCAAGAACATCAAGGTGAGGTTTAGCGGCACAGTTCTGCCTGGCCAGACCATCGTCACCGAGATGTGGAAAGAGGGAGCCAAGGTAGTATACCAGGCGAAGGTGAAAGAGACGGGCAAGTCGTGCATCAGCAGTGCAGCAGTCGAGCTGTTGCAGGGGTCTTCCAAATTGTGAACAGCCGGTAACGATACGTGATGGAGAGTGCTTCCCCACGAGATGTGGGTTAATCCACAGGTACAAAAGCATAAGCCGTGATAAACTGAAAAGAGAGCGTCGCCATAGCGTCTCGGCGTGCAGAAAGAGAGAAAGGGTGAGAGGTCACGTGACAACTGAACAGGGTCCAATGGTGGGCATTTGTCTTTTGGTTCGTTCCGTGATAGGCCTAGAGCAATCACATGACCAGTGGGCTAGTTCCCACCAGCTCTTTCGGACCCCACAATCACTCCCCTTGCCAACTGTGTCCTCCGTACTCTGTACCGTGTAAACCAAAGCCTCTCTATCTGCGTCTCCTCAAAGTCTCTGTGGCTCGCTGGGTCATGGTCCAGACGAACAGCTCTTTCGTGCACCCAAAGTGAGAAGCAAGGTTGTGCAGATGATGGAAATGGCCATGTCAATCGGCAATCCACACCTCAACAGCTCTTCCTCCAGCATGCGGCTCCATCAAGGTTTACCGGCGCGAGGCTTCAGAATTTCGAACTGTCGCCAAGATGCGTCCGCATCCTGAAAGGTGGCAAAGCAGCGTCTATCCTGGTAGCCGACAGGGCGCAACTCGGGTATCGTGAATCTCCTCTTCATGCGGGTCTGATTGCCTAGGGCAGAGTGGACAGCGACTAAGCCACGTTCGGCCCACTATCGAACTCAATGAAGCGTGCTCGGCAGCGACTTCTGCCATGAGGGCAACGCCATCTCAGATCTGGACTGGACGACGCCTTTGCCCTTCGGTGGCGGTGACTTGCGAGAGCTGAGGACGTCTGTCATTCGGCTCAGTGGTCGATGCCTCGGCTGTGCCTAAGACGCGCTCTTATGCTCTTCTTTTCTCTGCGCAACTGTTTGTTTTTTGAGCTGTTTGTTGTAAGATTCTTGTGTGCATTTGCTGCGTTGCTAACTCGGCCCTGCTGGGACCGTCCACTCGCTTTTGGTGACATCTTGTCGCCGTCCATTCGTTTCGATTGATCTTGACTTCGGCGTTTTAAGAATGAAGGGACTGTTTTGGGGCACCGCCATCGCCGGCGCCATCGGGCTATGTCAAGGGCAGACACTGACTGACTGGAAAGACTGGGACGTGGTGACGACGACCATCACCAGCACACATTTCGTGTGCCCTTGTACCTCCTCCGAGACGGGACTTGGGCATTCTCTGCCAACATCGCGTGCCTCAGAACACGGCGGCCACGCGGGACATGCCTCTTCAACCCCAGCCAAAACAACCACGGTATCAAACAAAGCGTCAAGACCACATCGCTCATCCGCCACTCCGTCTTCCGCAAGCAACGACCATCCATGGCTGGACTGGAGTACTCCGTCCGAGGGGACCTCCATGACGACTAGTCGGAGCCATTCACGAGCGAGCGTCCCACATACTTCTTCTACAAATGCGTCCTCCACCTCGAGCAATACCAGAAGTCATCCCACTACACGGTCCTGGTCAAGCTCAAGAAGCAGCTCCTCCACTTCCTCAACACGGGTCGTGACAGTCTCGTCTTCCACCACGTCGATCAGTGCTAGCGTGACAAGCTCTACGACTGTGTCAACAGGTACAACAAGCACAACCTCTTCCGCCTCCAGCTCTCCAATCACGACTAGCTCGAGTACCTCTTTCACCACACCCTCAACCACGACGCCTGCCACCTCGAGTTCGACAAGTTCCAGCTCTTCTTCAACCACAACCTCGTCGACTACGACATCAACGACCACGACTACCGCCACCACCGCTCCAACAACGACGACAACGACTACCACAACGACTACAACTACACCCACGACTACCACCACCACAAACGGTTGCCCAACCTCTGCGTGTCCGACATTACCCCCGGTATGCCTCTCTTGTGCCTACCGTACATTGAATTTCGAGAGGGCAATCACTAACGAAGACAGATGGTCGACGTCGTCACTGATGGCGGCTTCGAGACCGTCCCCAGCGGCGACACACTCATGACCGACGTCACGAGCGGTGCCTGGACCGTCACCGGATCAGCGTACTTTGATTTCAACGGTAGTCCCACTGGGTATCAAACGCCCGACGGCCAGAAGTTCGTGTGCGTATCTCCCCACCCACTCAAAGTACTTGGATCACATTCACGTTGATCCCATTCCTGGTCCTGACCTCAGTCCTGCCCGACCCCTACTGATTGGCTATCCAGTGTGTTTCAGGGTACGAACGCGGCGCTGCCTGCCCTCTCGCAAGACCTCACGGGCCTGATCGCCGGCGAACCCTACTCCCTCGGCTTCGACTACAGTTTCCCTTTCTCCTCGACCGATGTAACCGGTCGATCGGGCCCCTGCTACTTGTCCGTCACGCTGAGTGGAGAGGGCGAATCGCAGCTGATCGGATACCTCGGATCCGCGCAACCGGCCTGGGGCCAGTTCCGGAATCTCGGCTTCATCGCGCCGTGTTCGGACTCGGAGCTGGTGTTTAGCTGGGATTGTTCGGCGCTGCAGGACGGGGAGAGGGTCGATTTGGCGGTTGATAACATCAGTCTGGAGGGGTCGAAGTGTGGGCCGGCCCAGCCGACCATCACGGTGCCTTGATGGCTGTGTACAGAGTACTTGGTTGTGAGGGAAAGTGCGATGTTGAATGCGGTGACGGCTCTACGACGAGTAGCACCCACGGCCTCGACTCCAATCCCAGCCACGCAGGCCCTCCACATAAAAATCGAGCTAGAACCACACTTCGGCCGAGCCGATCAATTCCAGAATATACCTTTATTTTGACCAAAAGCCTGCCTGGCGTGGCCATGACCGAACACCCATGAGGAGGTAGATCCCTATACGTGCAGTGTTCCGCAGCTGAGATCTCGTAGTCAGTACTTGCGCCGAAGCGAGTATGTCTGTCTTACTCCGTACTTGTTCCTTGAACGCTAGGAAGGGAGATCAAGGAAGACATATGGTAGATGGGACACAGCATCCAACATCCAACATCCAACATCCAGCATCGAACGTCCAACATCTAACATACAGCCGTGACGCTCCTGCGGCCTACTTCTACAAATACAACCGAGTCGAGTCCGGCCTCGGTCTCGTCGATAGCTAATTACTGGCATGATACATACTTAGTACTTGAGACCCCATTTCTATTGACCACACCGTTCGTTCCGTCTCCACTTCGCGAGTGGGTTTACATACTGTGGCGAGGAGGCAATGCATTGCATTTACCCAGCCCACATGTCACCAAGTAATCCAATGACCTGTCTACCTACTGTATCGAGCTTCAAGTGGTTTGTTTACAACGGTACTCCATACGTCGTTTTGTTCGCAGCTTCGAGCCGCCCAACTGGACGGCACTCGGCTGGACTGTACTAGAATGAGCTGAGCTCCCGAACAAGCTTTTTTGCCTTCGTTCTTTCGTTCGCTCGCACGAAGCCTCTGACCTTAGTCTTCACCAGACTTGACATTCAAGCTATTAGGTGGCTGCCTAGGTATGGTCCCATGGAATGAATGTCACAACTTCCACGGACGCTGCTCTGGGTCCGGTGGTCAATTGGATCTGCTGTACTCATCTTGCTCATCGTACACCCCGAGACTGACGCTAGCCCTGAGCCTGAGCCTGAGCCTGAGCCTGAGCCTGACCTGAAGCTGAATCTCTAGCTCAGCCTCAAGCTTGTCTACACTCATACCTACATCCAACGGCATCCCTCCCAAGGAAGCACTCTGCTCGCTTGACGCGAACCACGCATAGTTACGCACGCTGAATAGAGCACTGCATCGCCGACTGGCTATGTGCAACCGAGCCAATCCCGCTTGTCCCGGACGAAGAATAATACAGAAGGCAAAAAGCTTACCGTTCTCACCTGAACTCTTCTAACCGCTCACCTCCTCCCCGGGAATCGTCAATGGCGCTGCATCGGAGTCCAAACCAAAATTCAGCTACCCATCAGAAACTTACCTTCCTGATCCACACCAGCGAAGACCATGACTCCAAGGCCGACAAGAAGGAACAGACCCTCCGTCGGCACCAGCATGCGGCGATGGTAGCGCATCAGAGGATCCGGACCCAGAGAAACAGATCCCTCGCCCTGCCGAAGCCACGGCCAAATTCAAGTACAAGTCCAAGCACAAGTACCAGTACGAGCACCTGCATTTGTGATGGTAGGAAAGTCATGAGCCGGTCGTCGTCGGAAGGAGATCAGTCCTTGTCAACGAGCCCTTCGCCGAGGTCGGATCCTAGCGGCGGCCTGTTCGACCCCTTTGACGTGCTCAATGTGAGCAGCAATGGCGCGCGTTCGAGTATGAGTACCGTTGGGCAGTCGCAGATGATGTTCCGAACCGGTATGTCGGTCCCGCTGTGTTAGAGACATCCCGGCGCGATGCTTTGTACCGTGTTGCCCCGTGCCGTGCCGTATTAACAAAAGACACACTGATATTGATGTTGAACTCGATTTCCACCACCGTCTAATCTGCGTTAGCCATAATCGAGCAGTGGCCGAGTTTCGCCCTCTCGAGCAGAGCCCAAGACATCGAGACATGGCGAACAGCCACCGTCACCCTCGCGCTCCAACACGCCTACCTGGCGTCGGCCATTATTTACGCCGGATCGTCGTACCAGTATTTCTTCGGCGCAAGGGACCCGGCCTCGAACTTCGTCCGTATGACCGCGTACAATGACACCTTGAGACAAGTGCGCAAGGCGATTGAGGCGTTGGTCGACGATGGCTGCACTGGCGCCACCCCAGACGCACGCGCAAAGGCAGACACGGTGGTCCTGGCGGTTGCGCTGCTGGCCATCCACGGTCCACCAGTGGATATGCAGGGCAGCACGCTGGTCGGACCGCAGCAGATGAAGGATTATGAGTATTATGGCAGCCGGACGTGGGAGCCAACGCATCTGCACGCGCTGTTGTGCCTGACCAAGCAGAGGGGTGGGCTTCAGCATGTTGGTATGCAGTCTCTGGCTGGCATGATCCTCACGTGCGTATCCCGAATCCCGCCCAACAATCGAAAGAACTCTCACCCACTCACTTACCGTATACAGAATCGATCTGGTTGACTCGTTGTTGACGCTGAGACAACCGACGTTCCCACTGTTCTTCCCTCCCGGTCCCCTCCTCCAGTCCCTCCGTACAATAGCACCTCTCCCAGGTACAGTGTGTCAGGGATTCCGGTTCTTGAGGAACAGACGCCACGGCCAGCGGTTCGTGTCCATAACCCAGGACGTGCATGCTCTGCTGAACGCATATAGCATGGTCCTCCAGGATCCTGCCGTCGGCATAGACTTCGGGCAATTAGTCGCGACGTGGCGTCTCCTGCAGCACCAGGCACTCACGGTGGCGACTGGGGGCGACCTCCTCTTCAATCTCTGTCGGGCAGCGGTCGTGGTCTTTCTGGCTGAATGCCTCGAGCCGTTGCCCGTTGTTGGCGCCTTCCACCGAAACAGCTCCCGCAGCTTGATGCTGTTGATTGACGAGTGCGACAAGCGTGACTGCTGGCTGTCGTGTCCCGACCTACTGCTTTGGGCCAGCATCCTCGGCGGGTATGTCAGTCGGGGGTCCGCGCTTCGCCCATGGTACATCCAGCAGCTCCGGAGCAGTCCAGTAGCCGTGCAGAAGGAGAGGTGGGGAGAGGTGCTGCGTCTGGGGGACGGATTCCTCCCCTTCAGGCATCGACAAGCAGACGGTTGCTTCGGGTTCTGGAGGGAGGCGTGCGAATGGCTGACTCCATCCAGCTTCCTTGATAGTTGAGACTGGCAGCGGTCACCAGCGGGGCATGGTGCGTGGAGGAAAGCGGGCAGGCAGTCTGTACGCATCCATCGTCCATGCCAATATACTGTATGTGCCATGTAAGCAGCCTCGCGAGCCTGGCCAAGCAGTCGCTGGCAGTGAAGATATGGCTAGATTGCAGAGGTCTCGATGGTCTTTTGACAGTAAGCGCCAAGCAAGTCGACGACTGTCCTTTTGGTGTTGCACTTGCCTAACTTGATCAATCCGCGCGGTTTGATCCAGGCGAAGCTTCACAGCCACATCCCCTGGCAAGCTTCGCCCTTGGATTACGAGCATTCTTCGGTGGATTCGACCAACGGAAGTGCATGCCCGGGGATGTTCCTGCTGCTGCTCGTGTTTCTATCTCAGATCAAGCGGCCGATGAAGAAGCCCTGATCCAGTAAAAACTTGAAGTCGCAGCTGAGAAGAGTATCGTCGCGGTATTGGCTCCCGTAGGCATGTTTCTCAGTTATTGGTAACTTCCTTGGGCTCCTCGAGAACGACCTGATGCATTGAAACTGCTAGCTGCAGGCCACACGAGGCCATATTCCCGTACAGCACGGACCCGTTGGCATACTCCCTCATGATGTATTCGGTCTCCAAGAACGTGGAAGCATCGTCTCTCGAGTCGAGTCTCTGTGGGATAGGGAGAGAAATGTAGGCTCTACCGTGACGGATCAAAACATCAGCTGTAATTAGCCGGTATGGAATCTCGCTCCTCCTCCCACACTCACAGTCATGGACAGTCGCCACTTCTGAATGGGTTGTCGATTATTCAGGACCTGGCCAGTGCCAATGGGCGTCTGGCAACACGACAATGCCCATTGCATCGAGAAAATGAACACCCTGTTGAACCCTCCATCTTTCTCCTCACACCCTGAGATTGATGCCGTGCGAGGCCATATTCCAATGATTTGCTGCCTCCTCCTCCTCTTCCTCCTCCTCCTCCTCCTCCTCGTCGTCGTTGTGCGACCGCCGCTGCTACTGCGACGAGTACCTAGACCGCGAGACCTAGTCAACAGGGGTGGTCCCATCATTTCATGTCGCATTGTTCAAGCGCTGAAGCGAAGCCAGCAACATGTGGTTCCCCTCAAACGACACAATTTGCCATGGTTTAGGGAGTCCATATACGACGTATAGACAGTATAACGAGCTTCAGGAAGCCAAGCTATCTATTGTTCCCAGATTCGAAGATATACTAGGAGCATATACACAATGATAGACTTTGGTATCCTCGTATCGCAGTGCCTCATTCGTACACATCGTCGGTAACGGCTTGAACTCTCACACCTTCGTCTTCTTCCTCGTTTCAGCCACATATCATCATCTCATCGCCAAAGACATTCACTACCTGCCTCCATGAACTTTTTCAAAGCTAGGGTATCATGATATTTCCACCGCCAATGTCTCCTTTCCACGTAAAAGGTATTATGCTGATTACACCTTCCATATGAAGCCCCCCGCCAGAAGTCAAAGCAAAAACATGTCCCGCCTAACATTCAAGCAACCTCACTTTACACAAATCAACATCCTTACTCGTGAAAATCAAATTCATCGTCGGCCGGAATGGTGATGCCACGGTACGTCTCGGCCAAGTCCAGACAATCGGCCGTCGCAAGGGACCCACTGTGACTGCCGGCGGTGCTGAACAGGAAGTCGTCGCCGCTGGTCAAAGATTCCTCGGAAAAGCTAATCAGGCTTTTGGGCACTGCTGCTTTCGTTGGAAGATCCACGCCCGAAAGTTGCCACGTGTCTGGCGCCCAATCGTTGCTGGGGACTTGGTACAGTGGCTGGCTACTGGTCGACATATCTGGGAAGACTGATGAGGTGTTGGGGTCAAGTCCATCAAGAAACTGGTCCCAACCGGAATTGTCGGCCATCGTCGGAGTTGCGGCCTGCTTTCTAGGAGGCAGCATCGTGCTCGAGGAGGTCCTCGTTTGCGAGTCACCGAAGTCATCTCCCATCGGGAAGTAATCCAGGTTGATGGTGGGAGTTCCCATTAAATTGGGAGCGTGGACTTGCCGCGGAGAAGGCGTACTCATCTGCATCATCACTGGCGCTGACCGTGTGGATGATAGGCTAGCACTGCTACCGGCACGGTGTACATGAGGAACAGAGGTAGGTCCGGTCTGAGGCACAGTGGCCCGCCGAGGGACATCATCAATCTTGCCTTTGTTGCTGCTAAACGAGGACCATCTCGACGCGATGGCTTGCAGTTGCTTCCTGGCCGACTTCGATTTCGAATCGACAGGGGCAGGCATTGTGGGTGTCACTTTCCGTGTTGGCACTGCCTGTTCAGTCGCGCTTGGCACAAGGGGAGGTCTCGCCTCGCCAGGGGTGAAGCAGGCGGCGACTTGCTGAAATTCCGTGGCGATCACAACGTTCTCGATGTGCAGCATGCCAACCACCATGGTCAGCGACTTTTGGTTGTCTTTCACAAGCTTACTGTCATCTTCCAGGTCCAGTGTCTGCCAGAGTATCGCGAGTCCCGAGTTCAATAAGAGATCGGTCTTGCTCAACGGAAAAGTGTAGTTCATGTGGCGTTCTTCTAGCAGATCCAGGATTTGTAGCACGTGCTTACCTGCCGTTGCTAGAAGGATGCCAGCGGCTGAGGAAGCACTGCCTGAACCATGGCATAATAACGGTCGGTGAAGCAGGCTTCTCGTGTAGAAGTAGGCCAAGGACTGTGAGACGATTAGCATGTGTTCGGATCAACAAGGTAGACAATGACGTACCAACAACGGGGATCGGCAGCTGATCAGGTTCGTCGCAGGTTTGTCGTTACAGAAGCGCAACCGTAGGTGGCCAGGAAGTTCCTCTGACCACTGATCGAGTTCATCAGAGAGCGCGTGTAGCTTGGTCAAGGAAAGTTGGAAACTGGCTTTCGCGGGATATAAGGTGTCTAGCGCTTTGGAGAGAAGCCTGGACACGCGGAAGAGTGCAAGAGCGCTCGAGATCTTGGTAAGTTCACCGGGAAGGGTTGGTGAGAAGCCTTGAGTGCTGAGGTTCTCATCATCAACATCAGCCGGGTAGTCGGTTGTGATGTCGCCGTCTCTGAGGAGTACGGGAGTGCCCGTAGCTGCGGAAGTGAATCTATTTCGACGTCAGCCATGCAGTCCAGGAGCAGAAAGCACATGTCCGGAACAAGGTTGGGAGAGCCTTACTTATCGAGGACGTATTGGCACCAGAAGACCCTCTTCTTCGACTCGGCCTCGAGCGGCGACAGGTTGTGGTATTTGTGGCCTTGATGTAGGCCCAGTTCGTGACACATGGTGATGGCTATACCGCGGTGCCGCGCCAGATGAGTGTAGTCGGCACGCAGGATGTAGCAAATTTGGGCCAAGATATGGCATTGCAACGTCGCGAGGGAGGCGGTGGACGAGGTCGAGTAGAGGGCTTTGCGCCACTGAGTCTCGTATGATGGGGTGTTGTTCTTCGGTGTTGAAATATTGGACAATGCCGAGATCTCAAATATGAGAAACAGCTGCGCATATGCTTGCTTGTTGTCCTGCCAGTGCCCTGATTCGGGGTTCGCGAGATACTGCTCATAGACGTGCAGGAAACTCGGGCGATGCAGCACCGGCATCAAAGGTTGCCATTCCTGAAAGAACAGATCTGTGCTAGTCAGTAACCGGACCGCTCAGGCGAGACCCACGTGTCAGGGCTTACTGATATATTGATCCGACAGAATTCTAGGAGGCACCTTCGGGCCCTGAGTAAAGGTGCGCCGGGTCGGCTGGACAGCCTTTTGCAGGCCTGATATTGGGACACCGGTCGTTTGCCGGCCAGATTCTTGAACTTTCTGGTCAAAAGCTTCAATGAAGGATTGTATGGTGGAGGAACCAGTCGAGGAGGCCTTGGGCTGTACCGGTGCTGGAATCTCAACATGTAATACCTCTTCTGCCGCCGATTCGACCTCCTCTTTGACCTGTACGGCCTGCGACGGTGATGATGAGTCCGACCCTTTCCGAGAAGGAGAGGAGAAGCTATGAATGCGGGAGAGCATGTCAATCTTCTCGTCCTTCTCGTCCAGCAACTCTTTCAACTCCCGTACTTCGGCTTCAAGCCCACGCACGCGGTCCTCCAATGACTCTGTGTAACCTCGGGGAAATGCCCTTCGACTCAGCTTGTCACTCGTCTTGCATTCAAAGCCAACATTGGCACACTGGGTACAGCATGGCCGGACTCCATCACAGCGGATCTTCTTACTTCGACACCGGTCGCATGCCTGTGCAATGCGGCTCGCCGCGCTGCTCCCCACCCTAATCATCTTCATCGGTAGTATACCAGGCATATTGGCAAGTGTATGATCTTTAAGGTGTATTTCAGATATGGAACATGTATACGCAGGCACGGTGGAATCGTGGTCTCAGTCTAGTGGAGCTTCAGAAGAAATGGTTTAGGAAAGAGTCCAGAACTTCCGGGGAAGTGTGAACAGGATGCAGGAGTTATCAGGGCTTATGACAACATGCCACTCTTGAGACAGTCCAGAGATCCTTCGAGGGAGATCAGGGCGCTCCGGATATCGATTGGAAATCGAATGGACGCTGCAGGAGTGGCGGTCGTCGCTAGTGGCCAGGGAGCGGCGCCGAGTCTTCGCAGGGGATTACGAACTAAGGATGTGCAGGATAGTCAGTCGAGGCTGGATTCGAATACGGTCTGAATGCGCTTTGAGTTTGCTCAACTCTTGTTGGAGGGAATTTGGACCAGAAAGTCATGGATCGACTCTGGGGTGAAATCACAGTCAACGGTGCAGCGTGTGGACCGTTGAGGGCGGGGCGCACCTGGGGCCTGGGAACTGAAGCCTGAGGAAAGAGAACAGCGCGGGGTGCCAGTGGCCGTTGGCTGAATGCCGAGACCTGCAAGACTCTGCTTGGGGTAGCCTGCTGGGCCTCGTGAGCGGGCTTAGCCTCTCCGCAGAAATCATAGAATGGGACTCTCCGTGATACCCAGTTGACCATCAGCCCCCCACCCCTCCAAGTGTAGCCGAGTAAGCTGAGCCCTCCGACTTGCTGAAAGTGTCCAAGCCTTCTCTTGTGTGCTTTTCTTCTTTCAAGCCCGGTTCCATCCTCCCCGCAAACCTGTACGGCGGTAAAACTCCACAGCTAGAGCGGCAAATGCAAGAGAGCGAATCGTGTCGTCTTGAGTCGATGTCTTCGGTGCAGCCATGCCTCTGCAGGCGTCTCTCGGCCAATTGCAGTGCGCCGCCCGTAAATCCTCCCCCCAGCCGAGCATTGGCCGCCGAGAAAGGGTTTGTCCACAAGGCGAATGAATGATGGTAGCCAGAGTGCGCAAGTATCTCGAAGTTGAAGTGAATCGAGTATTATCGCAGCCTTTTCGCTAAAAATGCCCAGTGGCCACAATTTGGGAACGGAACCGCTGGGTCGCTCATGCAATGCAATACCGACGATCACAAGTCCTAGTACGTACCTAGCACCACCAGCCTGGTTATGATGCACTGCTTGCGACAGCAGAAGCGCCACCAGCTGAAAATCTGCCTTATCGACACGAGTACGGAGGACCTGCACCGGTCTGCGATGTTGCATGGCAGGAAAAGGTTTTGCAAACAATGAGATGGACGAGTGGGACCTCGCAGAACACTGAAACAAGTACCCAGTACAAGGTGACTTTCACAGTACGAGAGCCCGCTTAACTCGTGGCGGAGGGTAGGGGCAGTGGTTAGGGTTTCGACGATAACATCTGAGAGGCGATGCATGCGTCAGCCCACCAGATTTGGAGCACTGCTAAATTTGTGCTCTGCATGCCGCTTCTCACACCACTGGGACCCCAGCTCCGATCTTATCCGTGAAGACTTGGCGCAATTTGGGGACTTCAGACGACGCTGTCCCTTGTACACTGCATATGATCCTATTGTGATTGTATTGTGATGCTGTTCTCACGAGAAATCGTCTGGGCTGATACCGATGGATTCACTTGTTGGAGGCTGGCCATTTTCCAGGTATGCGCGGACAACGGTAGAACCAACAAGGTCTGCCTTCTGTACAGCGGTCAGGGAGGTAGAAGTAATGATGCGAGGTTTCGCGACGACTCACCTTTGTCTCTAGCATCTCGTAGGCACGAGCAAGGAGCTCGATCTCCAGGGCCCGGAGTCTTCCGATGGTCTGATAGACAGGGGTTCTGACTTGATCGCCGACAAGGGCATTTTGGAAGTCATCTTCACTGGTGGCGAGCTTTGTGCCTTGTTCCTCGACCCTTTCCTGGATCATGACTACCGCACGCAGAACGAACACATCTCGGAAAGGATCATCCTCCAAGATTGACTGCAGCGCCCCTGCATGAAGCTCTTTGTCCTTCCATAGAGCCTTGAGCTCCATCTCTCCGTCGAGGGTTCGCTCCACGCGGAAATCCAGACCGTCTTCTTGGTTGACGCAGGCCCACCAGACGAAAGTGCTTTCCCAATGTACCTGATCTGAGTCATCAACATAGATGCGGACACCAGGGGCTTCTTGAGCAAATCGGATCTTCGCCACACGCAGTGGATCGTCGGTTGGGATAGACAAACCAAGGAACATCTCCCTTGCGCTGCTTGCGTGCTCCTCCAGAAAACCATATGAGAAAACCATCTCACATGCGCCTCCGCAGCCATACATTATGGTGATTTCATCACCTTGTTTGACGGTCCTGTGGTCTCGTGCAACCAGCAATACTGACTCTGTTTCTTCATCAACCTCGAATCTAGAATTGTAGCGGTCGTCGGAGGCGTGGTTTGCCATGTCAACTACAGGAACCATGCCTACGCCGGCGCCGCGTGGTAACTCAAGTGCACGAGAGCGGTACATGGCATCTGCAAGTTTCCAGTCTTCAATAGTCAGACAGCCCGTGCGATCGTCCCACCAAATCTTTTGGCACCAAGGAATGTCTTCTGTAAAGGTTTTCAGACTGTCGAACTCTTGTTCCAGGCTGATCATTTTCTGGTCAAGCGCATCCGAGAGCGAAGTTCCGGTAAGCAAGTCCCTCTCTTCTGGTGTATAGAAGGTGGGAAGGAGAATATCATGCGGTAGCATTTTCACATAGTCGGCAAAGGGGTTGCCAACTCCCAGGCCATAGCCCTGACAATCTGGGCTGTTGATGGTCATCTGGTAGACAAGGAATAGAAGCACTGCCGTGCGCGGAGTCTGTCATGTAATTGCGACCGTCAGTTTATCGTGGAGCACCTACCTGAGAGGAAGTTCAGAGCTGCCACCGCTTGCAACCTACCTTTAACAAGGACGGAGCAGCTTCGATCAACCCTTTCAAATATTGGTCTGCTTTCGCACATTGCTCAACTCGCTCTCTGGACAGGACAAGGTCTAGGGGCACTGCGAGGAAGGGCTTCCCCGGCCCATGCTCGGCGTCGGCTTGTAGCCCGCCGCCCTTCTCGTTGCCATCCTCACCAATGATGTGGGGCTCGATTGAAGCTTCGAAAAGCCTGACGTCGTTGAAGTGAGACCATGTACGCAGGTTCTCCAGCGGCAAGAAAGCCTGTCTCATTGTTAGGAGGCAGAATGCAGTGTTTGTCTGGGCGTAGGGCTATTTGGTGAACGTGTCGCCCTCGATACGTCCCTGATGATCCTCAAGCAGGAAGTGACCGAGTTGCTGCCGTCGGGGAATCTCGGGAATTTTTGCCAAGCTCTTATTTCTTGGCAAAACAGCGGATCACTCGATGCTTCGAACGCACTCCGGTGTTTGCTGGATTACACAGTACTGTGTATGCAAGCTTCCTTCGAGCTTCACTTTTGGTCACAGAGCCATGTGAGCCATCTCGAAAGCGTGGAAGTTGATCGGCACTTGTCTAGCCTGTCTTGCCTGTTTTAGTTCCGAGCGACTGGCGCTGCGTTCTTTAGATGTTGACATCACAAGGTCGTCAACCCAAGCCTCAGAAAATCCTGGAACTTTTCTCCATCACGCCAAAGACCGAATTTAGTCTCTTCCGCGCTGATCAGCCTGCCTCTCATTCTGACGTCAGTCGACTTGATTCGTAACTTCCCATAACCGTTTCTGGTGCTCGTCCATACCCCTCTCATCCCAACTGGTCTCGTGCGTCGCGGTCTCTCCTCTTCGGGGACTATTTTTGAAACCCGCCCTGCAAGGAGCCGCCAAGATTATGCCTTATGCAACTGGCGGCAAGCGTCAGGCCGACTGCAGACTAATTGACCGGGCTCAGGCCTCTGTCTCATGGTGGAACGATATTGAGAGAGCTGCGAGCCCGCCATAGCCGTGCAGCTGATTTCTCCGCCACGGATTCCTGGAGGAGCTGTGATCAACACGAGCTCTTCTTGACTTGGCTTTCCCCGGACCTTGGACTTGAAACTAAAAACACCACATATCTGGTGGAACCTGACATTCGAAGCGTCCCCTTCGTGGACCAGCAAAGTCAAACTGCAGCCCAAACAGGAATCCGCCTTTCACCGCATGCTCGTATGAGAACCGAGTCATCTTCACATGCGCTGATCTGCTCAACGGACTTGGCAAGCTACAGGGTTGTACCAATCCCATTGTGCAAGTGCAAAGGATATGAGTGGGAGACCTTGAATAACAAAGGCGAACGTGTGGGAAAGACAAAAGCAAAAGCCAAGAGATATGATATCAGGTGCCTGCGAAGCGACAATGTCAGCCTTCTGTGGTCGCTTTTCGTCGAAGTATATTGAGGCTACAGGCGATAGTGACACCGCAGTGAGCTGGATTTGAATTTATTGCGTAATACTGACCCCATGAGATATGTTCTTCGTCTTCTTCTGACATGTCTTTTCCCCCTGCCACCATTGCTGCGGCCAAGGGTAGGCAGATGACGAGAAAGGCTTCACGCCGAAGGGTAAGCGAGGATGTCATCTCGATCAAAGGGCAATTCGTATAGTGTCGATGACAAGTACGTCAGAGAGGGAAGCTAGTGCTAGACCGATCTGCGCGTGAGAGTTCAGAAGGAAGTGCTACCACGCCAAAAAGCAGGTGCGAAGGGGCTGCTCTGTGACGATGGTCCATCGTGACGACGCTATTGCTGTGGAGGTCTGTACGTCTCATCAATGGCAGCCTCATCTGATGAAAAGCAGACCGTGCCAGATATTCAGCCTTGTCAAACCCCATTGTTGTCCAGATTACCCGTAAGTGCTGTCGCCACCATCGCTGTAGAGTACTTAGTCAGCACCGTGTCGACTGCAGCAGTATTAGTTCATCCAAGGATTCAACAGCCGGCGCGCTCTTTCGAGTCTCCTCGATTGCCATACAGACACATCGTAAACATCTGGACATCATGATACCTGCCAGCGTGAGCTTGCGAGCTTGTGATGATACGCTGCCAATTATTCTCAGGTCACTACCATCGCCCTAGTCCTTTTTCTTAACAGATTTGATTTCTGTCAATGTTGAACCGACGATGGTGAGCAGCCCGAGCCCAAGTGGGAGATACAGCGTTTGGATGACGGCTCCGTTGTAACCGAGAAGCACGTCCTGCAGGCGATCCGGGCCCAAAACCTTGCGTAAGTCGGACAAGCCGTGATCCTCTAGAATTGTTGTGTTGGTCCCAGGGGAGTGATTAGCAATTTCGGCCACCAGTCTGGTCTGGAAGAGAGTCGCAGAGGTCGCAATGAATGCAGAGGATCCCAGCCCAGAACCAAGCGCGAGCACGCCCATGGCCATGGGGATGTCCTTTGGCGATAGCACGGTCATTATCGCCGTGACAGGTTGCTGGATGCCAAACTGCAAATGTCCGTTAGTCCACTCCTCTGTCGGAAAGGCAATCGGAAAAGCCCATATAAGAAACGTAGAACTTACGCCGACAGCAACGCCCAGAAAGCCCAACAGTGCTGCAACCTTGACCGGACTGTCGTTCAGTTCCAAGGTGGTTAACAGGCCGGAAGCGATCGGTGCGAAAATGCTGGTAGCGAACAGAAATGCTGGGCGGGTCAGCGAAAGCCTCGATTACAGCTGCGAACTTACGTGTATAGTACCCAATCCAGCCTGTGCTGAAAGAAGCCAACAGAGAAGTGACGGCGAGTCCAACAATCATCGGGAGACCCAAGAGACCCGCCTTCGCGGCGCTGTACCCTTGAACACCCTGGAAATAGATGGCGATGTAGTACTCGGTGACTGCAAGAATGCCATTGGTGCAACAGCAGAAAAGGGCACTTGCAAGCACGGTCCGATTCTTCATAATACGTGGCGGCAGTATAGCCTTTTCCTGCTGACGATGTTGGACATACCCGAATGAGACACTCAGGACCGTGAACAGGACAAAAAGTAAGATTACTCGCCAGTCATTCCAGGCGAACTTTGTACCTCCCCAGATCAGTGCGAGCAGCAGACATACTACACAAGGCAGGACGAGAACGGTGCCGACCGGATCCAGACGCCTGATCTTCTCACGCAGAGGAAGCTGGAGGTCTGGGTTGGGAAACAAGTCCTTCATCCAGAATAGCGAACCGACGATCGCGATGACACCAAGCGGGATATTGATACCATAGCAGATTCGCCAGCTGAATGCATCGATGAGAGCTCCTCCGATGGCGGGTGCACTGACCAAACCAAAGCTTTGAGCAAAACCCATGATGCCGTTCATCATCGGCCTCTTTTCGACTGGGAACGAGCGAGAGATGAAAGTCATGACTCCGATACCTGAAGAAAGCCGTGAGCGCGTGATAGTCAAGAACCACCTCCCGTCTCTACCGTACCCTGGCCGCCTGCCCCAAGACCTGGTAAGAGCAATAGATGTCAGCGTTTGCAGTGCCACCGCATGGAGGGCGAAGGTATAGAGAAGCAGCATACCAGTTACTGCACGGCCTAGGATGAACACAGTCGAGCTGGGAGCAAAAGTACACATCACCGAGCCCAGCTCAAACGTGGCCACCGAAGCGACATAGACCTTCTTGAGATCGAATACGGTGTACATCTTTCCAAAGAAGAAATTTGTCGCACTCAAGACGAGTCCATACACGGCGGAGTACCAGCCTATATCAGCGACGGTCTTGAACTCATTCGTCAGGCTCGGTACGGTAGGAGCAACAATAGTCAGATCCAGTCCGTGCAAGAAACAAACCAACATCATTGCACCAGCATTGAGCCATAGCTGCGGCCCGGTAGGATATTGGACCGGTTCCTCGTTGGCCTCTTGCACCTGGAGTTGTTCCGTTGCGTGGCCAGCGGCGACACTGGTTGTCGACCCAATGGGTGACTCTCCCCTCCGGACAGCTGTGTCAATCGCGATATCTGCCATGGTGCTTGTTCTGGGCGAAAAGGCTCTTGTCAGAGATTACCAGCTGAGGTCCTTTTGTTGAGGCTATCTTCGAAAGGCCGAATCTATACCTACGTAGTAGGGGCGGCAGACACAGTGGCGGCCTGTTGTACCCCAGCATCGATTCATATCAGGCCCCAGCATTCGCTTGCTACTGTAGGCATCTTTTTCCCACAATTCAGGCAGCCTCATCAGGTACTCGTAAAGAAAGACGCGGAGTTTTCTGATGACGTGCCTCTCAACGAAAATCACCAAATCTCTCCTCTTTCTGACATCTCAATGATTTCATTCTCAGGTACGCGCAGTAACCACGAATGCAGGTTGTAGTTCGAGTACTGCGAATGGCGAGCATGGCATGAATCACAAGCCTTTCTCAGCTTCTCTTTCAGCCAATCCACCCAAAGCTAATTAGGACCTCTGATTTCGTGTTCTGGGAATCACGCCATAGCCTGGGCCTGCGCACGACATTCATAAACACCCAGCAAGTCTCCGTTCACCTCTTTCATCTACCCAATCAATGACTCCCATTCGGACTCGAGGACGGTCCTAATGCACGGATGTTATCGAACTCCGTCGCGCGATCTCCCTTCGATGCTTGCCGGAGCTCCATAGGGAGGCTTCTCGTCAATCTTAATCAGCGTTGTTGCTGACACTGCTTTCAGCAAGCTCTTATTCATGACGATGCAAGATCAAAACCGCGATGGCACTCAACAGTACAGCTCTACTCCATCTGCGTTCCCCAAACCACCCCGCCGACAGTCAAGCGTTCGTTTCTCGCAAGGGACCAAAACTCATTCTCAGTCCCCAATGTCGTCTTACCGGCGGAGCGAAGGCGAGTCGGACGAGTCTACTCCAATTCGGGCGGCAGAAAACCAGACGGACCGTCGCTACAACAGCACCAACGAGAGCAATCCCCAGAGCACGGTGACAACCTCGAGTACTCCATCACAACCCACCTCATCAACTCTCGTGAACGCCGACGACGCTGGCCCCGAAAACGGTGATGAGGAAGAAGGCAAGAAGAAAAGCCGGGTGACCCAGTGGTTGAAGAGCGCGTCCGAGAAATATGGTTCAGTCACACTAGAAAACAAAGGCTCGGTAGCTCGAGATCATTTGGCCTTGGAAAGGACCTTTCTGGCTTGGCTGAGGACGAGTTTAGCATTCGCTAGCATTGGCATAGCAGTCACCCAGCTCTTTCGCCTTAACAGTTCTTTGTCCAATCAAAGTCAGTCGACGTCGAGTATTACCCAGACGATACCCTTGTCGCCGCTCCTCGGCCAGTCCGTGCCAGCTGAACTTCTACCGTTCCTTCAACAGGTAGCCGCATCCATGTCGGCTCCGACGAGCCCTCCGACGCTGGGACCGACGCTCCTCGACCAGATCCTTCTCCTGCCACCGACGGGTCTGTCACCACATCCAGCTGGTGGCGTCGCTGCCTCGAATGTCGAAGGGAGCGTCGAGACTGGTACCAACACCGAAACCAGCGCCGTGAGGATGCGACATGTGGGCAAACCGCTTGGAGCAACCTTCATCGCGATCTCCATGGTCATTCTCGCTATTGGGTTTCACCGCTACTTCGAGTCTCAGTACTGGATTATCCGAGGCAAATTTCCTGCCAGTCGCGGGAGCATCTTTGCAGTTTCATTCATAACCGGCTCGCTCATCATCGCGAGTCTGGTCGTGGTTCTAGCAATAGCATCGACGCCCGTTCAGAGTAAAAGGTGATGGTTGTCAATTCCAATGAATGGGGCGCGTTCATCAAGTGTCTTTGGACTTATACTACCCAGGGTTTCTAGCGCCACTAACAATAATGCGTGTGGCACAGCTGATCGAGATATTAGTTGTATCTCAGAAACGACGTTCAGGCTGAAATGACTGCGGCTTTGGCAATGAGTTGGGTGGTCGGCGACCGGTCGTCAGGGCTGGATCGCTTCGTTGCAGGAATATGCTGGCTAGTCATGCTAACTTGAGGGTCAGGGCGAAGTATTGGTTGAATTGGATGAATCGATTTTGCTGGAATGAAGGACCGGAGAGTACAATCGTCCTGCCTCTGAACGCCTAACACGGGAATCTTGTGAAGAACTACCTGTGCGATGCCGCCACTTCGAACCACGCATTCGAGCGCGCCACCTCAGCCTGGAATTCATCTTCTCTACCTCGCTTCGGTCATTGAGGTCGATGTCGCACTCCAAGCTATCCAGAAATCGGCTCCCACCGTTTCGTCTAATATGCTACAGCGGCGCCTTGAGCTCAGAGATAGAGTCCGCGACGCCAGCCCTCTGTGCATCGCCCATTGTCCGTTACGTGCAGACAGCTGTCAATCGCAAATACGCAGACTTGGGCAGTCTCCTTCACAGATCTCTGCAAGGACAAGCAATCGGGTTGAAACCATGGGAAATGCAGAAGACCGAGTGTGGGCTGCCGATAGCCGGACAATCGACAGATCCAGAGACGTTTAGGCGGTCATCCTCACGCCAAACAGTCATGGGGTCCACATCACTGGGGGCCGGAGGGACAGAATCGCGTCGTTCCTGCCATGGTCAGAGCGCAAGGTCGCGTTATCCACGAGCTTCATGTCGTCATCGTCGGCGAGCATGGCATGCGGCGGCATTGACAGAAGCTTGGAGCCGCGTGATGGTGTCAAAGGGCCAGGCCAGCCAGCCTCGTACTCGTCAAAAGTCAGACGCTCATGCGGCTGTGGTTCGGAAAATTTCCCGGGCTCCTGCACGTCATTTGGATCTGCCATTTCTTGCTTGGCGTTCCTTCCCGCTCAGCCCTCCCGGCCCTAATTCTTCTCTGAACAGCATTTTCACGCTCGTGTTCGGCAGAGTTGGTGTGAGTCTTGATGCAACAACAAGTGAGAAGCTTAAAGTGCTTGCAGCTGCACTCCAAATTGCAGGGCGATAAATGCCTGGAAATGGTGAAACACAGTCGTAGCCTGGGCGGTCAATTGGGGCCGATCGATACCCAGCTAGCGTCGCTTAAGGTTGTGCGATCTGCGGCTGTGGTTGGACCAGGTTCGATAAGGTACCGCCAGATCTTACTTAATTCATCTGATGCAGCCACTAAAGTTTGCCGCGAGCAACAAGTTGACACAGGCACAGCCGCTTGGTCTCCTCCGCTGCGACTGTGCCCCACTGGTTCCAGCAGACAAGTTTGACGGGGGCCCACACTGCAGGTGGTGGCTTGAAGATTGTGTTTTGGACAGTCAGGACGTGTGTTTTGACATCGTGGGTGCTCGAGTGCCATTCGTCTGAACCAGCAACCTGGACTACGAGAATAATGTGCGTGACGACACCCTGAGATTGTGAGCTTTGCTGGCATAAAGGCTTCACCCCCACTATCTTAAGGTCTGGTGGTGGCTGGGGTGCGCACAGCAGCTTTGGTTGCGTCTGCTGCCATATGCCAGACGCGTGTTCCAAATCTGTCATCGCGCTGCTGCTGTGCAAGGTAGGATGCGTTTCCATGCGCGAGCAATCATCAACTGGAGGTTTGGGATCGCTCGGCCCATCCACACGGTATTGCTGCAGGGAAGCACAAACACGACGATAATCGGTACGTCGGGGGTTGCACAATGTTCAACATTGACCATTTCTGTCCGCATACGGGGTACAACAAACAAGAACGCCAAACCGCCAAGCTGGGCATGCGGTTCCAGATGGAGTCGATGTTTCTTCCCAGCATTGCGGGGACACGAAAGCCATGAGGAGTTCGAACGCACCGTGAGCGGCATGAAGGACAGCGTTGTCGAAATGCCTTGGTCACCACCCATCCCTGCAGGATGCTTCATTCATCGTGACGAGGACAATCATCCAAGATGATACTCCGTAATCAAGCAGCATCCGCGACAGATGTTCGATACCCCACGTAAAAGTTCATCTGGAAAGTTGGTCGTGATTTCCAGCCGGCGGCTCGACTTCACATAGTCAGTTACTCCGTATCGGCAACCAATATCCCCCCTTTGCACGAGTTGTACTTCAACAAGCCATCGTGATGCTCCGATGCAACCAGGTTCTCGGAAAGTAGCAAGGGCATCGAAGTCTGCTTGCAGCAGTTGCACTCATGCTGTTTGCTGTGAATGGGAAATTTGTGAGTATCCAGTCTTCCGAACCAAGCAAGCTGCATTCGCGTACGTTGCGTGCGTGGCCTCTTATCAAAACCTTGGTCTGCTCCATCTTGCTCTTCGGTGATCCATCTCCGTTTGATTAGCTATCTCGTCACCGCCGCAGCGATCGTCGTCGGTCATTGATTACTTTCGTTTGCCCGCTTCATCTAACGGTAGATGCCATTCGCAATGATGGTTCATGGGCAGTCACAGTTCATAGCGGAATGGCCATTGCTTTGTCCTCAGACTCGTTTGTTTGGGCAGAGGAAGGACCAATGACAGGGGCGCGAGCAATCGTGGACAAACAATTTGGGTCAAGCAGCTTGTTAGCGGCAGATCGAAGGCGCCGCTTGTGGGCCGCAATCTCTTTGTGGTGCAGCGCGGGCCATTGATGGGCGTGGAAGGGGCAGGGGGGACGCTCCATGCTAGGCCTGTTCCTGAATGTTAGGGACAAAGAATGGCCCACCCAACCAGCCCCATGCCCAGCGGCCGAGTGCCTGGCGCCCAGAAATGTGCCTCGTCGTCTCTCCTTTCCGTTTCCCTTTCAATCCTGCATAACCATTTCATCCCGTTGCAGAACAGACCGAACACTGCATTTCACTTCCAACTCACCCTGCCTCTTTCTTGCCCTCCGCTGGCTTCACGTTCTTTACCAGAGAGACTTTTCTCTCGTTCACTCCTTTTCAGCACCCCCTTTGCGCCAACCTCCTCCCTTGAGAGCGAGCACTCGAGCCTCCGCGTCCCAGCATTCCAGCACTGATCATATGAGTCTCTGGCTTTGTACGCCCACCTGACCCTGCGAACGGCCTCCCTCTCCCTTGCTTTGTCCCCTTCTTTCATCGGGAACCGCGTTCTACTTGACTCGAGGAAGACTAACGCGCCGGCCGTGCTTCACAGACTCGACGAGCCTCGTATTCTTCAGCGTCACCTAACCTATACACTCGTTCACATTCGGCTGACTGCCAGTCTTTGAGAGACTGCCGCGACCTATCGCTACGACAATCGACACACGCAATCACCGTCGAGATGAGATTCACTTCGGTTGCCTTGACGGCAGTCACCGCCACGGCGGTTCTTGCCCAACCTCATGTCCACAAGCATCGACGCTTCCACGAGCATAAATTGAACGAGCGCGACGTCACCAAAACAGCCTGGGCTCCAGGCCCGACCGACTATGTGTACATGCTCAATGGAAAGGAGCTCACTGCTGAAGAGGTGTGTGAAGGTCTTCAGGACAATGAATTGAAGTTTGTGGATGGTCAGGACCCCGGTGTCTGCTCTAAGACTGTGACCACCAGCAGCTCTGCCCCTACGTCAACCTGGGCAGAGTCGAGTACGTCGAGCACCAGCACCACCACATCAGCTGCCGTGATCTCGTCCGCAGCGGCGGCCGAGTTCTACGGATCTGCATCTTGGTCTAGCCCAAGCGAGTCCTCCTCTAGCTGGGGGTCTGCTCAATCTTCCGCTCCATCGTACTCGTCTGGCGGCGGTGGTGTTGACGCACCATTCCCTGATGGTGAACTGGATTGTGGCACTTTCCCCTCGCAGTATGGTGCTGTATCGCTCGATTACTTGGGTATGGCCGGATGGTCGGGTCTGCAAGCAGTTACCATCGCAGGTGGACTTGTCAACCACATTGTCACTGGCATCGCCGGCGAGTCTTGCACCGAAGGCATGATGTGCTCGTATGCTTGCCCTCCCGGCTACCAAAAGTCCCAATGGCCCTCGACCCAGGGTGCGACAGGCCAATCCGTGGGTGGCCTGGAATGCACTGGTGGCAAGCTCCGCTTGACCAACCCTGGCCTTTCGAGCAGCCTTTGCATCCCAGGTGTTGGTGGTGTCCAAGCTACCAATAGCGCTGGCTCTGTGGTTGCCATTTGCCGGACCGACTACCCTGGCACTGAATCCGAGACTATCCCCGTCGAACTTCAGCCCGGCGAGACGGAGCAACTGACCGTCCCGGATGCTGGCTCGTACTATCAATGGCAAGGACAGTCCACGTCCGCCCAGTACTACTTGAACCCCATCGGCACCTCTGCTGCTGTGGGTTGCCAGTGGGGATCGCCTGGTGGCAACGTCGGCAACTACGCCCCCATCAACTTCGGCGTCGGTGCCAAGGGCGGCATCACCTGGTTGTCCATCTTCCAGAACTCCCCTACGACAAATGCGCAATATCAAGGCACCGTGGAGCTGAAGGGCAATCTGTCCGGCTCTTGCAAATACTCCAACGGCCAATATTGCGGCGCCACCGGATGCAACTCCCAAGGATGCACTGTAAGTTGATCACGTCTGTCCCCAGCCTGTCTAATCCTGATGCTAATCTACTCTTCTAGGTATCTGTCATCTCCGGTACTGCAACCTATGTCATCTCGAACTGAGATGATCATTGACAACAATACCTGTACATGTTACGATCTCATTGCTTTCTCGTCGCATACCATCAAGCCGGCGTTGACGTCTGGTTTTCCTTGAGCATTGTATTCGTTAAGAGGCTATGTAGGGGCATGGTGAATCTGAGCCCCTGTGGCGGTGGACGATGTGTTTTCCCATTTGTGGTCAGGACGACTTGGATAGTGAAGACAGTTGGAAGGGACGAAAGGTGCTCGATGCTGTTATATCTTGAAAAGGGGCTCGACAGAACAAGACATTTGAAAATGTTGGATCACACCAGATTTGCTATAATGGGGATATCAAAGCAAGCGGTACTATACTGGTCGTCCAGCATTGGATGTCAAAACCGACATGATCTGTTCTTGTCGTGTCATACTGTAGGAGGACGTCGTCCACTGTCTATCACTTTCTGCTCTGTCGATCCGGGAAGATAACGCCGTCCGGGTTACTCAGATCATTACTGTAGTGTCGTACAGCGCAACCACACGGTGCTTGTGCCTTCGTTTTTCTCTTTGATTAGTCTCGTCATCCCGACCGCATTGCCCTCTCTTGGATCGAAGAGGAGTTCACTGCAAAAGGGCAATTTTCTCCTGAGTGTCCGCATCTGCTCGTATAGCTGGCAGCTACATTCCGTTGCTCACATAGACGTCTACTCTTATATTTTATCTATCCGTATGGCTGCGTGGGCTACTCGAATGTTCCCTTTCTTCGCACGTCTCCGCCTCCCTTCTCCTCGCACCTCCAACCTCTCCTGTCCGGCATCTCCTGATCGCCATGCTCCGTAATCTTCCCTGTCCTGACTCACGCCACTCTTTTGGACATGCAATCACTCACAACACCTCCACCGTCAAAATCCACTCCCACTCCCTCTCTCGCGTCAAGACCTGATCCTTCTCCTCCGTGCCGGGACCACACGCTCACAACACCTCCACCGTCAAACTCCACTCCCTCTCCCGCGTCAAGACCTGATCCTTTTCCTCAGTGCCGGGACCACACGCCGCGGTACCCACACCCGCGACGTCCGCATCGACACTCCATACGGCGCCACGCCTGCGTGCGCTCTCGAGCTCCAAGTCGCACGGATGGGCTGCTTCTTCCACAGTAAGTGCGTCGTATAGTTGCGTTGAGAATTGCATGTGCGGACGATCTGCCGGGTCTCGCCCGGGCGTGTAGCTCGCTCGTAGGCTAGGTAAACCACCGGTCTGAGGAGCCTCGACACAACACCATCGCACGTCCGTCCGACTTCCGTTCTCCTGGGGCACGTCGTACCGCTGGTGCATGTCCGCGATGGTGCTCGACCAGACGCCCACGCGCTGGGAGAGGCGTTTGTCATTGTAGCTCTCGAGGAGACCCCTCCCGAACCATTTGACGTGCGTGTACGCGGGGGAGAGCTGGATGTTGTGTCCTATCCGCGGGAGGTTTGGTGGGAATGCACCGCGGGGACGGAGATGGGTGTGGGCCTTCATGACGACCTGAGGGTTGAATTCGTTGGTGCGCGAGGACGGTGATCGTGGAGACGCGGCACGGATTGTGTAGGTTGTGGTGGTGTCAAAGTGCCATGCTAGACTGGGTGGTGCGAGGACATGTTGCGCGCGGATTGTTATCGTCGCGGCTTTGATCGTCATGTTCTCTGTTGTGGCAGACGTTGAATTCGAGTCCGAGTCAGCGTGTGCAACTATGCTCTTCAAACGGCTCGTCATCAGGTGCAGACCGTAACGTTTCCACTCGCCCGTCTGCCATGCTGCGTCGTTGTCCGTGGGGGGACGCCAGAAGTCCAAGGCGAAGAGCGGAGACGGGGAGGCGGGATTGTAGCTTGCGACGCGTGTGTCGACTAGTAGGGGGTGATTGTTGTGTGTCAAGGAGGAGATATGGCCTCTGGTGCGGTCGAATGTTATCGTCGTGGATCCAGTGGTGATGGTATAGGCCAGACGAGTGGTCGCGAGGGTGAGCGAGGGTGATGACGTGCCTGGACTTTGATGCTGGGAAGGCTTCCTCGTGCGTGGTTTCGACAGCTGTGTTTGATACCACGCGATCGTATGGCCGGCTTTGGCCCACGGTTTATCTTCCTTCTGGCGCAATGTGACGAGTAACCAGCACTCGTTGTCGCCGCCATCGTCCTCGTTGTTCTTGAATCGGAGAACCTCTTCTTCCGGTAATTGTACCCTGCCTTCCTGGCCTGGGTAGATCGAAGGCAGGAGTAGCTCACCCGCTGAAAGTAATCGAGACCTGCTTGTATGCTTGGTTAGTGAGGTTGTTCTTAACTCAGGCACGGCTCGAGTGGGAACGTACCCTTGTCCAAGACTGTGTACCACAAATTCTGCCTTGACATGTTCCAACCCCACGAAATCGTAATGGTTTTGCACGACAAGCTGGTCATTGTCAAGCCTCGCTGTTATGGGTTCGAATACCTTTTTCAACTCGACAAGACCTCGCGTGGGCGTATGATCGCTATGACACAGTCCGTCCATGACGAATGTTCCGTCATTAGGGACGTCGCCAAAATCCCCGCCATAGGCATAGTATTTCTTGCCATCAGGATCTTTCTTCCACAGACCGTGGTTGGCCCACTCCCAGATGAAACCGCCTTGAAGGCGCCTGTGGGCACGGAACAGGTCTTGGTACGTCTGCAGAAGGCCTGGTCCATTGCCCATCGCATGAGCATATTCACAGAGGATGATTGGTTTCGCAAACTTGTCGCCTTCGGCTTCGGCTTCTTTCTTCAACTCTGCTGGAGATGTGTACATGTGGGAAATCATGTCTGTGGTGTGAGCTTGAGCGTCTGGTTCATAATGTATTAAGCGACTTGGATCTCGCTGCTTGGCCCACCTTGACATTGCAGCGTGATTGCGGCCGTAGAAGGCCTCGTTCCCCAGAGACCAGATGATGACGCTCGCATGATTCTTGTCTCGCTCGACGAGCTGATGCATCCGGTCGAGGTAGGCAGATTCCCAGTCTGGGTTGTCAGATGTGTAACTGGCCGCGTCCTTGGATGTTCGAGCCACCTTCTCGTCATAGCTCAGGCCTTCGAGACTGAGGTTGGCGGCAACAGCGGCGTCAAAGCCATGGCACTCGAGATCAGCCTCGTCAATTAGCCAGAGGCCCAATTCATCGCAGAGTCCCGGTAGACTGGGATGGGAGGGATAGTGCGAGCATCGCACTGCATTAATATTGTGTGCTTTCATTTGTTGGAGGTCACGCCGGACCCAGTCCATCGATACGGCACGTCCGAGGTGCGGGTGATTGTCGTGACGGTTTGACCCTTGGAACAGTATTTGCCTGCCGTTCACGCAGATGTTACCGTCCTTAAGCTCGACAGAGCGGAAGCCCACGCGGTGCCGGGTCCTCTGGAGCAGGATTCTCTCACAATCGTGTAAGGAGATCTGCAAGTGGTACAGATATGGCGTCTCGGCAGTCCATTTGTGCGGATTATCGACCTTGATTGAGTGAGCATATCTGGTAGACTTAGCCGCAACTTTGATGCCCTCATCTCTATGAACAATGTTGCCTTCGCTGTCCTTCAGCTCAAATGATACCAAGGCGGCGTCAATGAGTGCAAGATCAAGATCGATACTCAGCGCCGCATTCCTGTAGCCCTCGTCCAAGAGCGTTTGGACGAAGAAATCGTCAATTCGCGCGCGAGCTGGAAACGCAATAAGATGCACATCGCGGAAAATACCCGAAAGCCACCACTGGTCTTGATCCTCGATATAGCTTCCTGAACACCATTGAAGCACCTGGACGCCAACGTAATTGGGCTTATCCCGAAGCACGAATTTTGTGACGTCGAATTCAGCAGGATTCCTGCTCCCCTGGGAGTACCCAATCTGTGTGCCATTCAACCACAAGTAAAATGCGCTGTCGACTCCGTCAAACCTTAGCCTGAACTGGCTCGACTCGTCCCATGACGAGGGCACCGTGAAGCTGCGGTGATAGGTCCCTGTTGGGTTCTCTGTGGGTATGTACGGTGGACAAACAGGGAATGGAAATACCACGTTTGTATAATGAGGTCTGCCATGCCCTTGGAGTTGCCAGTGTCCAGGGACGTCTATAGCCGCCCAGTTTTCATCCCCATCATCAAACGCGGTCGTGGGCTGCGTGCTAATCACATGGCAATCAGGTGCCTCCTGTGGACTTGAGGAGTAGGCAAACATCCACTTCCCATTCAGGCAGATCGAAGTGTCTGGTATGAAGTACGAGCGAGGGGCCAGACGATTCTTCTGGAAGATTTTCTGGTTACACCATTCTGGAGAGGATTGGGTAGACTGAGATAGGAACTCGCTGGCCCGCTCCATGGCAAGCCCTTCGGTGCCTGTGTTGGTCAACTGCATTTCACAGGCCGCGATATGGTTGTTGCAGTTTACTACCCAAGGCGTCCGATGGTCAAGTAGGATCTCAGCGGTACTTAGTAACCTGCTGTCGAATGCGATCCAAGAGTCATGGTGAGCCCAGAGCGACTGGACATTGACACAGAATGTCGAGGCAGACAGGGAGATTATGGAGTCCAAGTCAACAGACCTCTCACACCTCTCCTCTGCTGGGAACCTGTGTAAACAGGGACGAATTAGGACGAATCGCCATTTGCGGAAGCGGAACAGTCACCGTCGGAGCAGTTATTCCGTTAGTGGTTCATCTCGGAACGGGCATTCGTAACTCCGTGAGGGGTCGCTTCAAACAGTTGGTCCACAAGTGGCTTTCCAGGGCTTTCTTCGGCCTGGATTTCTGAATTTCCCAGGACTCCGCACTGGCTATGCGCAGGGGGGCTTTACAACGATTCTAACAATAGACTCTCCCACAGAACATATCAACGTAGCCATTCACCGAAATGACCTCTTCGGAGGCTACTGCCCGTGACGCTGGGGCCCAAAATGGAACAAAACCATACTCGATACCGAAGCTCGTCCCGAGAACGCAAAGAAGGTCGCCTCGAATATCAGCGCCAACGGAACCAGCGCCTGAGACACCTCCATTACCTGCTCCTCCAGCGCTTGAATCCATCCATTTCACGACTCCGGTCAAGCGCATCTTGTCTCCGGCCGATCACACGAGATTCCTAGCCTCGCCTGCCTACTCTTTGATACAAGCATGGATTTTCACATTGGCCGACTGCGTACGCGGTCGCGCCATTTCCTCCCTCGACTCGCAGCGTCTGTCAGCCAGAATCCAACGCCTCGACGCCGTCCTCGACGCCATTGAATCGCTCCTGCAACGGTACCCTCCACTTGACACTGGATCACGATTCGGCAACCCAGTCTTCCGTAGCCTGCACAAGGCCATTGTCAGAGATGTGGATAGGATACACTTGGAAGTGCTGGGCATAAAGAACGAGGCCGCCATACAAGAGGTCTCGGTCTATCTAATCAACTGCTTTGGCTCAGAGGAACGGCTCGACTATGGATCGGGTCACGAGCTGAACTTCATGATGTGGTTGTTATGTCTGTACCAGCTCAAGCAGATCGAAGGAGAGGACTTCCCGGCGCTTGTGTTGCACACGTTCGTTCGCTACCTCAACCTTATGCGGAAGATCCAAAGCACCTACTACCTCGAGCCAGCCGGCAGTCACGGTGTGTGGGGGCTAGATGACTATCAATTTCTCCCCTTCTTCTTCGGCGCCAGTCAGCTGGTCGGGCACCCTTACATTACGCCCAAGTCCATTCACAACAACGTCGTGCTGGAGGAAGAAGGCGACAAGTACATCTACCTGAACCAAGTCCGGTGGGTGGATAGTGTCAAAACCGTCAAGGGACTCCGCTGGCACAGCCCAATGCTGGACGACATTTCGGGCGCAAAGAGCTGGCAAAAGGTGGAAGATGGCATGAGAAAGATGTTCACCAAGGAAGTCCTCGGCAAACTACCGATTATGCAACATTTCTTGTTTGGCGGCCTAATCCCGGGCACCGAAGACATGGGCCAACTAGATCCAGAGACACTTCGGGCGCAGGCGGAACGAATGCAGCATGTGAAGGAGTACGGCCACGAACCCGACTACTGGGGCGACTGCTGTGGCATCAAGGTGCCTAGTACAGTGGCAGCAGGAGAAGAGATGCGAAAACGCTTGGGCACGTCGGGCGCTTTGCGGCCAATCCCATTCGACTGAGGAGCGCCCGGCAGGCCACGGCATCGCCTATCTTGATTTCGAGTCAGCCAGTCTGGCGGGGCAAGGCGCGGGAAACTTACCTTTCGTCCTCCCAGAGCTGGGCGTCTGGATAGTCGCTGCCTTGCATCTGCACGGCCACGGACATGCACATGTCTGGAGAGCAAAAGGACGAATCAGGGTGGTTGACAGCTGTGGGGTTGAGGGGCTGCACCCGGTTGGCCAACAGCTCAAGCTTTGAGCTTCAACTTACAGTACTTGGATTTGGTGTGCGGGCTGCAGCTTGACCGGTTCCCAGCCTGATGTTAGCTCTGCAGTACAACAAGAGACAACAGGCAAGACTCTAAGCCTGCCACAGAGATAATGACGATGCACGCCGAATGGTCATTGGAGCAAAAGATGGCACAGACCTGGGTGGGAACACACACTTTTGTGGTCTTGTCAATGTGAGGGGCAGAAGAAAGCACTGACCTTGCTGTCACAAAATCAAATCAGCCTGACAAGCCTCACAGTGAGGTCATGATCAGCTTTATACCGTCCCTCAGCCTTAGGCCAACAAAGCATAGGATGCAGGCATGTAAGGCAGTGACCATTGAACCTTGGAAACGGCGCCGAGTGCGTTGCAGACGAACAAGACGCACCAGCTTTTGACAGCTCGGGACTCCGTCAGCCACCTATCAACTCTTCAGCCTCGCTTGTCCTTTAATGCACAATTGAGAGTTTGACTTCCAACCTAGGGCTACCCCTCCTCAAGGCGCTCACACAAAAGTCCTCGTATAGATTTCAGAGACACTTCACCCCTCCGTCTCTTCGCTTTCACTTCCCACTTTGATGTGATATTGGGGCTGCACAGATACTGTCACCAGGCTCAGCTTGAGTCTGCCTTCACCTCCATCAGGCAGTACCTCTGGATGGTTTGCCTGATTCAAGACCTCGTCTGATCAACCTCTGTTTCCTCTGTTCGTACCCTCATACGTGTTAGACGCACTCCCGCCCCCCATAAGTGGTACCCGAGACACTCAGAGAGGACTCGCCACGGACCTCATCAGTTCTCAGCACCCGCCGCGATGTGGAAGAAATTCAGGTCCAATGAAGACGCCGTCGACAATATGTTCACAGCATGCCCTCCCTTCCCGGAGCAACCATGGATCTACATCACTGACCCAATAGGCAACAATGGCTATGCAAACAATCTCCAGGACATGATTGAGGCCTCTCAGTTCCATTATGGCGGCATGTCTGACGATCTCTTCGCAACCAGCGATGTCTCTTCCATGGACACACTCCTCCACAACCTCGACAAGTCCAAAACCGCACGCCATATCAGCAAGAAAGCGTTCTTGATCGTCGACAAGTTGAACCGCCTAGACTGTGAGAATAGCGACAAGATTGAGGCGGCACACAAGATCCGCGAGCACGCAGCGAAGTCCGGGCGTACCTTTGCCAGCGTAAATTTGTACGTCCAAGAGGGCACCAAGGAGCGCGAGATGAAGAAATGGGGACCGAATCATCTGGAGTTGTGCGTGACAGACTTGATACCCAAGCAGGTCGCCGAGCTGGTGTACAAGTGGTTGTGTGAGTTACTCTCGATTTCACTCTTCGCCTCCTCAAAGGGGGCAATGAAACTGACATTTAACCCCAGTCACGGCCATCCCACCCACCGAGCACATCTATTTCCTCACGCAGGCCAAGCTCCAAGTCACAGACCATAAAAACTACCCGGAATACCAGTACTGTCAGCTCGGCGACATCAAGAAGCAGCCCAAGGACGCAAAGATCCAGTTCGGCGTCGTCATCACCTCCAAGCCGGTCTTGGTCCCGGGCACGCAGCGCCTGCATTGGACAGTGGCGGACAAGTCTGGCACGGTAAGGGTGGCTTGCTGTTTTTCTTTCTCCTACCTGACAAGCTAACCTCGGTGGCCTTATAGGGCAATTTCTACTTCCAATACCGCGGCCCGACCTCGCAGTACACGTGGGACTGGGTCCAGTCCCTCCAAGCAGGGGACATCAAGTCCCTGCCGCGCATGCCGTCCGTGCAGATCCGCGAAAGCCGCACCGTGTGCGTGGCGAAACTCCCGCTCCGCACCGCGTCCTTTGCAGTCTCCTCCGTCGGACTGGCCATCAAGGGCGTCGGGTCGGGACTTGTTAAGGCGGGCGACGTCTTGAGTATGGGTAAGTCGTCTGAATTCGTTCCGCACGGCGACGTGGGCAAGAACGGTAAGAAGGTCGATTGGGCCAAGAAATTCGAAAAGGAAGGCAAGGACAGGAGCGAGAAGGTCGAGAAGGCGAAAAAGACGGTGACGGAGAAAATTGCTGCCAAGCTGGCGACGGCGCGGAAGCGGAAGAACTGGGCGGCAGACAGTGAGTACGACAGTGATGAGAATACGTTGTGTGGGGGCGAGAAGCAGGTGATGGCCACGGAGAAGGAGTTCTGCTAATTAGGCGGAGGAGATGCCTAGTCTTGGGGAAGGAGCTCTGTTAATTCAGGCTGGAGGAGGGGAGATGTATTTGCACTGCTCAGCCTTGCAACTGGGTGGGTGGGTGGTGCCGCAATATCACATGTTACATGTGGTTTCTGCGCCAGGTCAATCAGTCAGTCACTCAATGCCGGTGGCAGGGACTAGAGCTGAGCTGAGCTGAGCCGAGCTGGACTGATGCGAGTCGAGATTCCCGAGCCATGCACGGTCCGGCTCTTCTACCACCTGAGGTCCCTTTTCACGGGGAAGAGCTCTCTACATGCTTGTACGAGTTCCTCGTTGCCGGATCGAGGGAAGGAAGCATCCGTGCCTGTGGCAATGGGCTCCGAGGACTGATCGACCACCTACGATAATGACCAACCGATTGATTACGCGAGGTGGCCAGTCGTACAGACATACTAGATGGTTCCAGTCCGCTCGTCAGATACTGTCTACAGTACGGAACAATGTGTTGATGCAAGGACGCGGAATGAAATTCTTCATGTTCCATCCATCGGGTAAAGCACACAGCATACAGCACACTATGTATCTATAGTACCTATGTTCTGTGTGTTCTGTGTGTTCTGTGTGTCCTGTGTGTTCTGTGTGTCCTGTGTGTTCTGTGTGTCCTGTGTGTTCTGTGTGTTCTGTGCCTTGTATTATATAGCGGTAAACAATATACTGTGTCTATCCCTGAAGTCGTCAAATGAAACCTAGCACGAATTAATACTCGTATAAAGTACGAGCGGCCGGCTCTCCTTCTGCCCACCAGAAAGTTACTACATAACCCTGTTTGCACCATGCTGCGGGTGTTCGAGAAAATATCTTCTGTCCATTGGTGTATTAGCTCTCTGCAGTGGTGGGGGACTATATAATGTGTCTTATTAGACGTCTTTAGGGAACCACATAGGACGTTCTTTCTTAGGTAGATTGTACTCGTACCCTGTACGGTCCGTACATTCTATCGAAGCGGTGAGCTACAGTAGAATCACAAGCACTGGAAGTGGGCGGGACCGTGGACTGTGGACAGTAGTAACTACAGTTCAGGATACTCGATGCAGGATGGGTCAGCCTCGCTTACGGGTGTCATGTGGGTGGTATCATGTGTGATATCAGCCCGTGCGTGGTGCTCGTTCGGTTTGCTCGGTCAGGGGGTCAGAAGGCCGCTTGTTTGCTTGCTCTGTCAGAATTCGAGTGAGACGACACACTGCTTGCCTGCAAGCACACATACACTTAGGCATACCGAGATTGATCCGGGATGCTCAGAATGGAGGTACGGTTTGTGAAATGATTTGCTCGGATCAATGCTCTGACGCTGGAGTTTGTCTTCTCAGCCAGCAAGCAAGCAACCTCAACCTCGTTATTGCTGGCTTGCCCGACGAGCGGCAAGACAAACTCCAGGTCCAGTATCTGTAAAGTACAGACAGAAAGTACCTCTCCAGAAACAGTGAAGATGCACTGACTGTAGCCTCCTGCCAACCGCAACACTGCCCGACCTTGCCTGCCGCCTACTCCCCTTCCCAGATCCCAGAGCTGCCTCTAGCCTGCTGAAGCCCACGAAGAGGCCATACCGCCCAGTTGTCGTTGTCATTCACTTCGTTGATATTGTTGCACCGCTGTATCATCATACATGAAAGGACTGCGTGCCCGTCATAACCTTTCTCCCGAAATCTCCAACTCCCACGATCATAGTCGTAAATGGCTTGTCTCGTCGATGGCTTCCTGATGACCATGCGCGTTACTGTAGTAATAGTCTTGACTGGAACAAGCTCGCAAAATATTCGAATGCTATCCGTTTCAAAGGAGTAAGAACTTTGGAAGGACGCGCGTTTGACTTGTAAGGTGGCGTGATCGCTGAACTGATGCAGTACCTTGGAGCCCGCGCTATCGTAGGCTGGGCATACCTGGAACGCCTTGCTGCAGGATAAAGATGGGGTTCTTGGGCGCTAGTCAGTACCTCCTCGAGCTGTATCCATAAGAGGGTGTTCGAGTGACGACGTTGATGGGAGCAACGCCGTAGCCGGTGTGATAGCCGCCGTATTGCTGCGGTGATGGTGGTTCGATAGCCACGTAACGCGGTGCTGCTGACGACGCGTAGTGAAAGGGCTCGGTCTTGGCTCTGCCGTAGCTGTCTGAAGCCCGAGACCCGTAAGAGCCATATCCGGAATCATGGATCTCGACATGGTCATGGGCCACGTAGCTGGAGGGAGCCGGTTTGTACTTTCGGGCGGAAGAGCGGGAACTGGGCATGCTGTCGAAGCTCTCCTGGCTGTCCTGTCTTCGTCGACGGTAGAGCCTATCATGACTTGGGCGATCGTCCTCGGCACTCCAGCTGCGCATCTCGACAGGAAGGCTTCTTCCCGTCTCCTCTCGCCGGTACCGACGGTGATAGCGGCTGTGCTCGCGGTCGTCACGCAGTTCATCCTCTTGGACGTATATTCGCGTGGCTCGGCGGTGCGGAGAATGACCGACAGGAGCATGATCGCGTTCCGAGGGAGGATAAGACGGCAGCGACTCGCGGATGCTTTGCAAGTCCAGGTTCCGTTCCGCATGCTCCTCCAGCCAGCTGTCGTCTGCCTTCTTCCTGGAATGGCTGATCCACTCCTTTTCTCGAGCTAGTGGGGGTGCCCATGGGCTGATACCGTTGCCGGCTTCAGCCACCTCCGGAACCGAGTCAAATGGAGGTTCGACGTCTTCCTGTCGAGATAGAACGCGCCTGCCGATTTCTTGCCCATAGCGACCCTTCCCGTCTCGCCCTCGCGTCAGCGCTCCACCGGCCTCTTTACAGGATTTGCAGTCGCCGCTCTTGGGATAGTGGTATCTCTCAAGACCCTGGCAGCGCGAAGAATGGCACTCGGCGTCTGTCTTGTATTCGCATCCGCACCCGTACGATGTCTTTGTACGTACGCACATGGCTGTGGTTCACTGGGCGCGCAAAAGCCAAGTTCAGAGATTTGCTCTTGAGTGAGGCACCGACCAACACTTGTGCCTGTGTTGCGTGGCGAGGAGCCCAGTAAATCTTTATGCCCTGGTCGCTCAACCCGAGGTGGTGCAAGAATTCCGCTTCACAGAATCAGGAACGGAAACAGAATCCAGGCACAAACAAAGCGGTGAGATGTTGTGCAAGTGTCTAGACTCGAGTTCCTGTTGTACACTGCAAGTTCCATGCGCGACTCGAAGCAGAAAGATGTCACGCAGCAGGTCTTCCACAGTGTATGAGAGTGACGTCGAGATACATTGGAGACTTGGCTCGATTTGCTACTGAGTGTTATTGCACGTCATGGACGACAGACGCTGTCTCACGTCGGAGCAAGGAAAGGCTCATAAGAAGCAGGAGAAGAAGAAGACGAGCTCAAGCGGGAACAGGATCAGGTGAAAAGAGTCTGGCAAGCTGCGACGGAAGTGAGCAGAAGTGATGAGCGGGAAAAGGTGTGGTGACGGCGAACCTGGACTGTTTTGCCCACGAGAGCAAGAGAGAGACCAGAGCAGAACGAAGGCGGCCCAGCGTCTCTTTCACAGGAGGAACATGAGGAAGAACTGAATGGAGCGTGCGCTGCATCATGCAGACGGCGCTCCATCTCGCCTCAAGAGTCAGGATTCGGCGTGCGCAGGCGGAAGCGGGCACAGTGCATGGGCTCCAAGCGGTTGTCGCCATGTCTCGCCCATTCTCGCTGGGCCTCCTGCAACGCCCGGCGCCCGAGGTGCATGCGACGGGCTGAGCCACCTGCCTTTTGGTGCCTATCTTCGGCGGGTTTGGCCTGGCGTGACAGCCAATGCAGGCACCCTGGTGGTTCTGGTGCAACGGAAGCGCGGCCCTCAGCGCCCGATCAAGCAGGGGCCGCAGCCAGTGCGCAGGGCGGTCGGCTAAGCGTGGCCTGTGACTGGCCCGCAGCCCTAAATTCCCGCACTGTCACAGGCCAATTGCTCGCGGGGCTCTGTGACTGGAGCGGCCTCTGCGACTCTTTTCCCTCTTTCCACCTCAACTGCACTTCTCACCACTCTTGCTGATTGCTACGAGCTAGCCTGCGCCCCACCGTCACCGGTCGCTGACATTGGGTGGCGACGCTGATCTGGGGCTTCGAATGGGAGTGCGTGCAGACGGTGAAACCCAGTGGCAAGAGCCCGTTCAGAGCAGTTCTGGCACCATGGCCTGCGCCTGGAGCGCCGGTGCTGTCATCTCTGCGCATACCACGTAGCACAGAGCCATTGGAATGGGAGTCGGTCAAAACGCTGACAGTGCCTTCCAGTGGCCAGTGAGGTCCTGCTGATTGCGCCTGGGCAGCTGGATTTGCGACTTCTGCCGTCTTGAACAACATGTCACTCGAGACTGAATCTGCAGATGCACCCGGTCCTCGACCCAGTGCCAGTGAGCTCGAGGTCCGTGGACGCACCTAGGTGGAGGTAATGGACGCACTGGAAGTCTAGGGACGCTCAGCAGCCTGACGCTTTTCTCCCTTCTCCCCTTCTTCTGCAAGGCTAATCATCGTTTCCAGCCAGTTGGTGGAAGAACTCCCCTGTGAACCTTCAGATCGGTGATGAAGGCGAGTCGGCAAGCCAACGGCAATACGTCGAAGAGAAGGAGACATCCCACGGATCGGGCGGGAAGTCTTCGAGAACCGACGTCTCTTGCAGCCATTGGGAATTGATTATGTGGTCATAATTCTCATGGTTGGGTGTGATCGAGGAAAAGGCGGCCTACCGTAGCTGCAGACGAGAAAGAAACACTTCGGTCAGATGAGTGCTCTGCACTGCATTCTTTTCGAACTCATGTTCGCAGCCAGCACAGCCAGGAGGCGACAGAAACCCCTCTAGTTCCTTGACACGGTTGCTGAATACGTCGAGCGTGCAGAGCGAGACGTTGTCGTGTGCCTCCAGGCCAAGTGCGAGCCTTCCGGCGTGCGTCAGTGGTGGGAAGCGGCAACCAGTCCATGCGGCCGGAGCTGATGCCGTCTCGTCGTACCAGCGGACTTTGTATCTGGTGCCTCTTCCGGAAAGTTCCTTTCTCTTGCGCACGGTGATAGCGCCTGTCAAATATCGATTGTGCCTCCGTTTATGCTCAAGATGGTCTCATAGATTGCACACGCCGTCACATCGTCGTCGACCTCCAAAGCAAGTGCGCTGCTGGGCTGTCCGAAGCCGGCTTCCCTCGACCAATCCGGAGCAGAGTCTCAGGTTCAGTCAGCGTCTCAGGCTCAGCCGGGACGATCCTCGCTACCATCATTGGTTGGTTCCTCGCTCGCTTCGCCGTTGGTTTCCGTGCCTCGTGGACCAACGTTCACCACAGACAGGATGTTGACGGTCGTCTCGAAGGTCGAGCCTTATGCCGAGCCTTGTGCCAGGCCTTTCCTGCACCTTTTCCAGCCTCGTGCGAACCCGTTGGGTCTGCTAAAATCGAGTAGCATGCAGGACCATTGGCATCTTCGGCTTGGCCTCCCTGTCATGCCACGTCCGACATGATCTATCGGCCTCTTGTCCCAGTCCTCCTTGACCACTTTAGGCCTGCAGATGCAAGGTACGATGCCTGAGTTACCGCGCTCTGGGTTGTCCGTTCTGTGATCCTGCTATATCGGTAGAGCAACCACGAACGACTGCTCCAAGATGTCAGGCGAACCAGCAGAACTCTCAGCCTTGCAGCCGCCACGCTCGGGCTTATCTCCATCGTCACGAGCGTCTCCTGTTTCGCGCGTGAGGCTCTCTTCGAATTCAGGCATTGCCTGGCTAAGAGCAGGAGTTGCGCATTGGTACTCCGAACCGCCCTGAGATGTCTCAGGTCAATTGCAATGTTGTCCATCCAGAGTTGATCGACGCCTATCTCGACGTTGTCTTCAAGTATGACCTGAAAATGCTACGTCATGACGCGGTTCGGCCATCATTGAATCGGTCTCGCTGCTCATGATCATGTCTCCGTATGTGCTCGAACTAAAACATAGCCTAGGATGGCATCACTCGCTTGGCTGGATCCTCAACTCCCTTCGGATACCCAGGGACCGTCGATTTTGTCACGCTGGCGGCCCTCGCAGTAAGGCACTCGGGCCACGAGATCAGGCACAATGGTGAGAGCAATTGACGGTGCCAGGCGGCAGCCTCTATCAGCGTCTAATCTATATGTCAGTCTATTGATGGTCATCAGTCGCCTCGCAGCAGTATGACCAGGGCTGTACATCAACCTCGAGCCAACATCAGAACCCATCGTCTATGCCATTGGCCTTCTCGTGGGCCAACCTCTCGTTGTTGACAGGATGCCACCACCTGTGGGCTTCGTCTTGAATCTCCTCATACTTCTCATCCCAGGGTTTCGGACTCAAGATGTAATGGACATTCTTCACCTGATCATCCCGCCATATCGCATCATGTACGCCTTTCCACCTCATGGTCTTCAAGGCATTGTATATGTACGGCAGTCCCACCCATCGACCATAGAACTGGTCTCCAAGCAGGCTCTGATCGGCAAAGTCATAACTGGAGGTGATGTCTCCGTTTTTCATCGCGTTCAGGATTTTATCATAGATGCCCTTGCTCGGGTTGCACACAACAAGCCCGCCGTTCGGGCTCCCTATGCCTGCGGTAGGCGGAGGCCCATGGATCTGGGCATCGTCTGGGGTATTGTGCTGGGTGGTAAACCCACAGTTCTCCGGTATCCAATGCTTCGGATAGTGTGGCTTGTTCAAGGGGTTGCACGCACAGGCATGGCTGGCTGCGTATACCCGGTTTCCTTCTCCGTTCATCTCAGGCGGGTCCAGCTCGATTTCCATCAGCTCGTCCATGTTCCTCAGCACCATCATATCACTATCTAGCTGCACCACCCGGTCATATTCCGTCAGACTGAACGGAGTCAGTTTGCTCCAGCAGTCATAGAAACGTGGGTCGTTGGTATACTCCTTGGGAATGGAGGGCAAAAGATAAGGAATGTGCTTCGCGGGAATGTCCCTGCTCTTGAGGGCCTCGAGGCCTTCCGAAGGAAATGTATCCGTATATAAGGCAACGAGAGGGTATTTCGAGCCGTGCTTTTTCAGGGAGTAGTCGAGCGTAAGCAGACCGGAGAGGTACTTAGTGTTGGTGATGAGCGTGGTCCATACCCTTCGCCCCTCCATCATTGCGCTGTTGGCACGGTGCAACTCGCCCTCTGCTTCTGCTGGGAAGGCCAATGTCAGGATGTACAGCACAAAATATACAAATACTCATACGGCTGGAGAGCAGGAAGCTCAATCACGCCAGAATGCCCCTCTACATGGTGCGGATCTGTTGGCGGCTGCCGCCGCAGATGCATACAGCAGCTAAGGCGGGCGCTTTTAATTAAGCGCACAATGAGGGCACCGCCTAACTACTCGTAACTAATTAATTCCGATCCCGACAAGGGATCGCCGACGTCACCACCAGCGTCTTATGAAAAGCATCAGCCGGGGAGCCTAGATCGTCCCCGATAACCGTCGCGGTCTCTGCACTGCACCTGAAGAGCATGTTCAGCAAGTCCCCACCTGCTTAGGTGCGTTCTTCTGAAATACAAGTCGGCTGTATCACTTCGACGATGGTGGCACCCGTGCAGTCACCAGCGTCGATTAGGTAGCTGTGAGCACAGAGCCGCATGCAGCGTCCCGAGCATGTCCGCGCCGTTGAGCAGGTAAGGAGAACGATCCACATGGGGGCCTTCCTCGCGCACACAGGCTTACCCTTACCTGCGACAGGCCTCAAGAGCCTCACGATGTGAGCCTTACCAACCCTGCGCATGGCGTAAATCAGGCCTCTAGTGAAGAGGGCAGGACAAGAGCCATCGTGAGCCACTACAAGGGATTTGTCGCAGGAGTCTTCTCAGGCATTGCAAAGCTCTCCGTCGGCCATCCCTTCGACACCATCAAGGTCCGGTTGCAGACCTCACAGCATTCACAGTTCAAAGGCCCGCTGGACTGTCTGCTGCAGACGCTCAGAAAAGAAGGGCTCGCGGGGATATACAAGGGCGCCACTCCGCCCCTGCTCGGATGGATGGCCATGGACTCGGTCATGCTGGGCAGCTTGACAGTCTATAGGAGATTACTCCATGAGAACGTCTTCTCGAACCCCGCCTTTCGCCCGGGCAGGACCGCTGAACATCTGGCCCACGAGAAACTGCCCGCGCTGGGCCACGGCATCGCCGGCATGATGGCCGGAGCGACCGTCTCGTTCATTGCCGCGCCAGTCGAACACGTCAAGGCAAGGCTCCAGATCCAGTACGCCGCGAGGAAGCAGGATAGATTGTACAGTGGTCCCATCGACTGCACGCGGAAGATCCTCCGCCATCATGGCGTCCGTGGCCTGTTCCATGGCCTCTTCTCCACCCTCATCTTCCGCTCATTCTTCTTCTTCTGGTGGGGATCCTATGATCTGCTGACCACGTGGTTTAAGACGAACACCGCCCTTTCCACCCCGGCCATTAATTTTTGGGCCGGTGGCCTCTCCGCCCAAGTCTTCTGGATCACGTCTTATCCTTCCGACGTGGTCAAGCAGCGGATCATGACGGATCCGCTGGGTGGGGCCCTCAATGATGGAACACCGCGATTCAGACACTGGAAGGATGCGGCACGGGCTGTGTATGGAGAATCGGGCTGGAGAGGGTACTGGAGAGGCTTTGTCCCTTGTTTTTTGAGAGCCTTTCCGGCGAATGCGATGGCGCTGGTGGCATTTGAAGGTGTGATGAGAGCGTTACCTGATTGATAGATGGATATCACCAGTATGGTGTCTTGATACCTCGGCGGTTGCTGTTTCTAGGACGCCATTAACTCACACTGCTTGTAGCTACCAAGGGCTTTTCCATTGACGTACAATTGATTAGCGTCATCGGGGCTCTGAGGTGGATGTTGAAGTCAAGCTGCGAAGAGAACTGCGCACCCATCGCAGGCGGACTTATCTACAGGGGCCGTGTTAAATAATGGGGATAGGAGTGTCTTCGTCGTGATATCGGCCACACAAATTTCGGCTCTCCATTGCCCCATGCCGTCCCGGGGTACTTGAAATACTCGACCTCGTGAGACATCAGCAATATCATGAGAGTAGGAAGTATCGGTCACTCGGCATCACTTTCGTAAACCCCCAGCCTCGATTCACCACTGAGACATCCAGCAATATTGGAAGAGTAATTACTCCGTCTCTGTCACTCCGTGAATTACAGCCTCGCGCTAATTTCCTTGGCAGCCTCGTTCTGCTTAGGCAAATATTCCTCGTGTCCGTCGTACCATCCGCCATCCTTCCGAGTGCACCGCCTCGCGCATATCTCCCATGGCTTCTCCACTCATGGGTGATCCTCCGCAAGCCACTCTACATACGCTGGATAATGCAGACGGGTCGGCAACATACAGCGCTCCGCATCAAGGCTACAAAATAGTCGCCGGAGTCAACTACCCGGTCGAAGTACCATATCGATCTGATGAGCTACCCGAGTCGACCTTTGTCGAGGTCAACCTCAGACCCCACAATGGCGTGGGCATGGTCAAGGAACGACACGTCGAAGACCTCATCAAGCGCACTCTTCAGGCTCTCGTGCTGGGCGACGAGACTCCCCGAACTATGCTCCAAGTCACCCTTCAAGTGGTCTCGGTCGAGACGGATGAAAGCCTCCCTGGTGGGGTCAAAAGCGGTGGCCAAGGTGAGACATATCTCGATATGCTTGCATCGGCTCTCAACGCTGCTATCCTCGGTTGCCTCGACGCAGGCGTGCAAATGAGGACCGTCACGGGGGCAGCAGTTATTGGGCTGAGTCGTGATGACGGACAAGTGGTTGTCAATCCGGGAGTCGTCCAACGACAGGGCTGTTCCAGCTTGCACGTCTTTGCGTTTACCCAAGATGGCAAAACGCTGTTGATAGAGAGCGAAGGCCGGTTCAGCATGGATCACCTCAAACGAGCAGAACAGGCGGCTCGTTTGGCAGTGCTCGGTCAGAATCAGGGTCAGCGCGCCAACAACAAGACCAATGCAAGCGATGCAAACAAACTTCCCAACGGAGATGTTGCCATGAACGGAACTGGACACGACTCCGCGGTCGTCTCGGTGCTGGACGTGATGAGGAAAGCGATGCAAGCACGCGTGATTGAGGACGAGAGCTGGCGACAGGACTAAAGGCACTTGCAAGTTTGGCCAGTGTGTGAATCATGAAACATGTCACCAAGTGGGCGGCTGACTGGCACCAAACAGTGGTGAGGTGAGGGAAGTGGAGAGGCCCTCGAGAGCCTCGCCCAGCTAGCGGGTCACCAGTCACCGACACCGCCTGTTCATAGCAGGATTTCTATCCATAGGCTTGGTGCTGCACTGTTTCAGGGGCTGATAGGCGATAAGCAGGTACAGTACCACCCACGCGTGCCCTGGAGAATCGGGGTTGGCCAAGGGGTGCTTGCGCCGGCTATCTGTGGCGTCTCAACGCCCGCCGCAGATCCCCACGTGCCTGTCTCAGCCCTCAGATACGCCGACCACCGCCGGGGCGAGAATGTGGTCTGGCACCAAGCATGTTGGGAGTTCTCCTGAGCCGCCAAGATACAAATACTCCGTACGAGGTACCTGTGTGCTGTATGCTAGCAGTCAACCATCCAGCTCAGTCACCAGTTTTTTCTTCTGCTTCGGACCGTTGCTCCAGGAGAGCGATCGGGTCATTATTCTTACTTGGGGTCTGCTTAATCGGTGCTGGGCACGGTGCAAACCTCGGTTCCCGTCTGCCGTCTTTGCTCTTCTCAATTCCTCGACTTAACTCCGTGTCTCCGGATTACTGCTTCAGTCGGTACGAGGACGCTTCTGGGAGGCCTGTCACCTTCAGCCATCGGCGCTCTGACTGTGCCGAAGATTGGTCCGCTTACATAGTACACGCACGAGTCACGGCATCTCCCCTCGGCATCACATACAACGGGGGATCGTCCAACGCTCAGTAGATCCACATCCGCCGGCTCGGGTTGTTCCCATCTACGTATCTCCCGCATCGTCGCAACTCCAACATGACCACATCTCCCACAATCAGCAACTGCGACGCCCACAACCACTCCACTTCATCCTCACCCACCACCCCTTTCGAGTCCGCTGGCATTAGAAGCCTTCCCGCACCGCCTCCTGTCGATAACTCAGCTCTTCTTCCTCCCCATGGCATGGCCACTTCCTCCTTGAAGCCATCCATTGGGGAGTCTATCCTCCGCCAGTATGCCCAGCATTTAGACCCCATAGACGGCGGCAGCCAAACCCACGCGGCGCGCGATCTCGATCAGCCAGAGCCTGAGAAGGCTTTCAGCGGCGCCCTCACTCCGGTCAGCGAATCGTTAAGGAACTCCTACATTGCTCACCATCCGACGGTTCCTGTCCCGAAACCTCTGTTGTTGCCCAAGTCGTACCTGGCGCACCGCAAGAATACAAAATCGATAGACATACCCAGACAGACCATTATGAAGGCGCTGGCCTCACGTCGGCCAAGTGCCGGGCCCAACACGGCCCCATTGGCCACGAATTCGTTGAAAGCGGCTATAGCAGATGCAGAAGCAGCAGAGCAGCAGACAGGTTGCTCCTCTCCCTCTTCTCTGACAGCAACACTTGCAGGCTTGCAGACCGGGATCCTGTCAGCTGCATATTCACCCACGTCGACGAGTTTTCTTCGCTCGCCGTGCTTCTTCCACCAGAGATTCGACGGAGTGGCGGACATTCAGAGAGTGTTGGAGGAGGTCGCCGACGACGACTACTCACACTCGAGACTGATGCAGACTGCTACCGGCGTGCGCGAAGTCTCCAAGCTGCTCCAGCGTAAGCCGTTAAAGCGGGCGGTGCGGAACGTTATGATCGTTACCAAGGCCCGCGACAACAGTCTTGTCTACCTGACACGCGACCTGGCCGAGTGGTTGCTATCGACACCCCGATACGGCAGTGAGCTTGGCGTCAATGTCTATGTCGATGCGAAGCTGCGGCACTCGAAGCGCTTTGACGCGCCGGGACTGTTGGCCAAGGAGCCGCGGTTCCAGAAAATGCTGAAGTATTGGACTCCGGATCTGTGCTGGTCTTCGCCGGAGAAATTCGACCTCGTGCTCACGCTTGGAGGCGACGGGACTGTCTTGTTCACGTCATGGCTGTTTCAGCGCGTCGTCCCACCCGTCCTGTCCTTCTCTCTTGGGAGCTTGGGCTTCCTCACGAACTTTGAGTTCGGCAAGTACAAAGAACATCTGGACCGGGTCATGGGTGACACTGGCATGCGCGTCAACCTGCGCATGCGATTCACATGCACGGTCTGGAGAGCCGATCGGTCTCCCGGTGCGGCAAAGGGGGCCGTGGAGGAGGGCGAGCAATTCGAAGTGCTCAACGAACTCGTCATCGACCGTGGGCCTTCGGCCTATGTGTCGAACCTAGAGCTGTACGGCGACGACGAGCTCCTCACCATCGTGCAGGCTGACGGGTGTATATTTTCCACGCCAACCGGGTCGACGGCTTATTCCCTGTCGGCTGGCGGGTCTTTGATCCATCCCTCCATTCCTGCCATCTTGCTGACGCCGATATGTCCACACACGCTGTCTTTCCGGCCGATGGTCCTTTCTGACACTCTGGCTCTGCGCATCGCCGTGCCCAACAAATCCCGCTCGTCGGCCTATTGTTCCTTTGACGGCAAGGGGCGCATCGAGCTGAAGCAGGGCGATTATGTGACTCTGGAAGCGTCCCAGTATCCATTCCCAACCGTTATGACCGGCACGAACGAATGGGTGGAGAGCGTCCAGCGAGCTCTGAGGTGGAACGTGAGAGGAGCTGTCCAGAAGGGCTGGGACGATGGCGACGACGAAGACGGCGACCGTGCAGAAGACAAGTGGGATATCGACATTGATGCGAGCCCGCTGGGAGGCACTGACAGCGGCATCGGCCCTAGTGAGGACGGTGACCATGCTGCCAGCCCGATGAGGAGGCAACTCAGCATGCTGAACATGTGATGGGGTGCTAGACGACTTGCTGAATTGAAGCGTAGCTGTGCATAAATCATAGAGAGACAATCTGATGCCATGTAACGACAACACAATGAACGACAGAGCTGAGCTACTACTCCTGCTGCTGCTGCTGCTTTTGTAGCTTTTGCTATTGCTGAACCGGATAAAGAAAGGACAGTGCTGCCTCCACGACTGCATCCCAGCCCAGCCTCGTCCATCTGTGCTTCTACATTCTGCTCTATCCAGGTCCACACATTTTGTCGCTTGCTTGCCCTTTACCATGGGCACCACTTCCAGGGCACAGATCCGTTCACTTCCAGCTGCTTGATCACTCTGAATACCTTGACAATACACAATGCAATCCACGAACGGACGAGGGACGACAATGTGAAGAGGAAAGGTCTGGGTCCGACAGAACAATGGCGGTGACGGTCGCACAATGCTGGCAGGCTGCCGACTTCTTTATATTTCTTCCTCACTCTCTCTCTCGTTCACTTCCTCTCCTTCTTCTCCTTCTCACTCACCTTCGTCTCTCAACTTTAACTTCGTCTTGAGCCGTCGCATTGTATCGTGACTCAAGTCGTATCATATCATATCAAAATCGTTCAAGACCTCGTCTTTTCAAACTTCATCACCGCGAAGGGACCGGACGCGACACGACGATACGATACGACGACAGTATCTGCGTGCACAGCAAAGTCAGAGACACCACAATTCTCACACCTCATCTCACACGTCATCGTGGCCACGAAGATCATCGCAGTCTGTGCCAGTCCCAGATCGACGTGCACAGTAAAGTCAGATACACTTCTCACACTTCATCGCGATCTGCTCAGATCGTCTGAGTCGGTGTTAGTCACATACCGGTCTGCCTACCTCGCGTCTTTACAGACCGTCAAGCCGTCGCAAACCGTCTCAATCAACACCTCACCTCACCTTTTTCAGATTTTCAGCGCGTCGCAGACCGTCTCAGATCGGCTCAGTCAATACCATTACCTCAAACTTTCAGGTCTTCAGCGCGTCACAGATCGTCTCAGACCGTTCCAAGCAATACCTTAGCTCCCCTTTTCAGATCTTCAAAGCGTCGCAGACGGTGTGAGTCAATAGGCACCTCCCTCCTTCCAGAACATTAGACTGACTTAGACAGTGCCAACCAATACAAACCTCCTCCTTTGCAGCAAAATTAGACTGTCCCAGACAGTCCCAGTCAACACCTACCTCTCTTTTCAGATCTTCAGACAAACAATACCGCGGTCCAGAATGGCATCTCAAATCCCTTCCGCAGGTAAGTCCACCACTCCAGACCCTCACGAGTCGTCCTGTGAAAGAATGTCCCTAGCTAACATTATGCCGTAGCACCAGAATCCCCAGCTGAGACATCGACTGTCCGTCCAAATGAGCAAGAGCAAACTGAGCACGTGACGGACGCTGCCGACTCGCGTACCAGCAGTCACGTGGTGACGGATGCTGAAGCCACCAACGAGAGTGGCGAGAGGACTGAGACTGAGGCCGCGACCAGCGGCGTGTTGGTTGCTGGTGCTGCTGGTGGCGGGGCTGCTGGTGCCTCCGGCGCCTCCAGTGGTGCCCCTTGTGGTTCCTCTGCTGGTGGTTCTGGTGGCTCCTCTGGTGGTGCTGGTGGTGGTCGGCCTCTGGTCCCAGAGGAGGAGGAAGAAGAGGAGGAGGAAGAAGAGGAGGAGGAGGAGGAAGAGTTCCCAGAACGCTTCAACCTCGATGAGGTTGAGGCTCCGGTGGCGGAGCGACTCCGCGCCGGGCTCGCTCACTTGACCGAGGTTCTGCGGGAGGTCGACGCCCTGGACGTCGCGATCCCCCTGGTCCCCGGCGGGCGGGGCCACCCAGCGGCCATGCGCGCCCGCGCGGAGGTCCTCGCAGCCAGCGAGGGCATCCACGAGGCCGTTGGTTTGCTGTGGGGGTCCGTGGTCGAGGCCAGGGAGGTCGCCAACGATATCCAAGAGGGCATCGTGGCGATCCGAGACGAGTCCTTGCGCCTGGGGATCGAGCTCATCGATTTCCAGATCCAAGCTGGAGAGTGGAGAGAGCGGGCTCTCGCCAGCGAGGCACGCCTTCGGGATGCTGAGCAGGAGATCGCCTCTCTTCGCGCCCGGCTTGGTGAGGAGAGAGAGGAGTGAGGTTGCCCTGGGTGTTGAGGCTCGTCGAGGGAGGCGTCCGGTGGCTGTCTGGCGGTCCTCTGTGGTGGTGTGTGGTTGTGCCTGTCTACTGGCGTGTGTTGGTGGTGTCGTCTGCTGTGTGCTGTGTGCTGGCTGTGTGTTGGGGGTTCGTTGCCGGCGCCCTTCGGGGCTCAAGCGTTGAGAGCGCCTTTCTTTTGCGTTCTCTTTTTCCTTCCTCTCCTTTTTGTCTTCTTGGACGAAACGCCAAAAAACACTTGGAAAAACATCTTTCTGTTCGATTCATGCGCGCTTCAACGTTGACTTTTATCCTGCGAGTGATGCGACACGACGGGTTCACCAGCAATTCCATCGGCGCCAGAACAAGCGGGAACACCAGAATATCCGGTACTGCTCAATTCCTTACCTACTACACGGTATGTAATGGCTCGTCCACCGCCTTTGGCTTGATGATCCCGAGTGCGGAGTCGCAGATCTTGGGATGTCACGGTCGAGGGTTGAGGACTGGGACCCGAGGACGTAGCGACGCTAGCCTGTCATTCCAGCCAATCAAAAACCGTGCCCGTTGATTTCACGCTAACCCTCCCCACACGGCGCGAAGGGTTCTTGTGTCATTTCACCTTCAGTTCAGTCTCAGTCTCAGCGCATCGCCGCCACTGAACTTTTACAGCCACCGATCTCAACCGCTACTATTTTTGATAACACCATACCCAGCAGGCCAACATGGCGGAAGGCATTGACAGAAGCGCGGATGGTGAGTCTCACAGAGAGTCATGCGAATCTGCCACTCACAGCCTGCAGACCGGATGGAGTTCTCGACCTCGAAAGAGGTGACAGTGGCGCCGACCTTCGAGGACATGCATCTCAAGGAAAATCTACTTCGCGGCATCTACGCTTACGGCTACGAATCACCCTCTGCTGTACAGTCACGAGCCATTGTGCAGATCTGCAAGGGGAGAGACACAATCGCCCAGGCGCAATCTGGCACGGGCAAGACTGCGACTTTCTCAATCAGTATTCTGCAGATCATCGAGACGTCAGTTCGAGAGACCCAAGGTGAGTGAAAGAGAATGAATATGTTTGCGACTTCGCTCACAAGAGTCTAGCTCTCGTTCTGTCCCCAACTCGCGAACTCGCAACCCAGATCCAGAGTGTCATCATGGCTCTTGGCGACTATATGAATGTACAGTGTCACGCCTGCATTGGAGGCACAAATGTCGGCGAAGACATCAGAAAACTCGACTACGGCCAACACGTCGTGTCAGGCACCCCAGGCCGAGTGGCGGACATGATCAGAAGACGAAACCTGCGCACACGACACATCAAGATGCTGGTTCTCGACGAAGCAGATGAGCTTCTCAACCGCGGCTTCAGAGAGCAGATCTACGACGTCTACCGATACCTTCCTCCGGCAACTCAAGTCGTCGTCGTCTCCGCCACCCTTCCTTACGACGTGCTGGACATGACCACCAAGTTCATGACCGACCCTGTCCGCATCCTGGTCAAGCGTGATGAACTCACTCTCGAAGGCCTCAAGCAGTACTTCATCGCGGTCGAAAAGGAGGAATGGAAGTTCGACACCTTGTGCGACCTTTACGACACCCTCACAATTACTCAGGCCGTCATCTTCTGCAATACGCGCCGCAAGGTTGACTGGCTCACGGACAAGATGCGCGAGGCAAATTTCACAGTCAGCAGCATGCACGGAGAGATGCCGCAAAAGGAGCGTGATAGCATCATGTCCGACTTCCGACAGGGTAACAGCCGCGTTCTCATCAGCACGGATGTCTGGGCTCGTGGAATCGACGTCCAGCAGGTGAGCCTTGTGATTAACTACGACCTGCCTAGCAACCGAGAGAACTACATCCACAGAATCGGACGCAGTGGGAGATTCGGGCGGAAGGGCGTGGCCATCAACTTCGTCACCAGTGAGGACGTCCGCATCCTGCGCGACATCGAACTCTACTACTCGACCCAGATTGACGAAATGCCCATGAATGTGGCCGATCTTTTGACTTAGGGGCCCGGCTTAAAGTGCCACACAGACACGAACGATCAGGTGGCGCCGGATTCATGGAGTTCTACTGCAGCCGCTAAAGCCTTTTCTTCTTTGATCGACACTGCTTTCACGCTATATCGACGAGAGACCTGCTACCCAGGCATTCAGCAACATTATGAGCCTCGAAGTCGGTATCTGCCCATCGAAATGTATGGCGCGCGAACTCGGCGTTTGATGGAATCGCTTTCAGGACATGTTCCACTGTCTACCACAGAATGGATAATTCAGTTCGGTTGAGGAATCGGCCCCTCTTCGTCTGCTGGGGTTGCAGACCATGCCGGGGTGAAAAAGCGACGTACTAAAACCATCTCGTCCAGTCTGGCTAAGGGGGCCATATCTTCTTGAGGATGGAAATGGGCTGTAGCCAAAAAGGTTGGTAATGGCGTTTTCTGCTCATGCACAGCACCCACTGACGCCATTTGAAGAATGTGCATTATGCTTCTCGTCAACGCGTTTGTCGGTCGCTCAGAAGTGATCCCACTTTTTAAAGCTGTTCAGGATGTTCAGGTATTTTTAGCCACTATCCATCACCTTTGCACAATTCGGCATTTCCGCCCGCCCGACTGACCCTTAGCCATCAAAGGCCGAGAGGACATCTCTCTTGGCATCCTCGAATTCCTTGAGTATAGTCTCCCGCCTCTTCTCGGATCTCACTTTGACTTCCAGGGCGTAAGGCTTTGCACACACCAGAAACCCTTCACTGTAGCCCGTTGTGGGATTCGTGTCGGGCATGGTGGGCTTCCCCTGACCATCTGTACCCGGCGCAAAGTCGAATGCCCACAGGAGCTTGGAGATGCCGAGGAAAAGGTTTCTCTCGGCTAGATGGATGCCCGGACACAGGCGTCTGCCTGAGCCGTACCCGTAGTGGTCCCTGTCTTCTGGATTGACAGATTGAGCCAGTTCTGATGCTAACGCCGTGACACCCTTGAAGTGGTCGGGATCGAAAGTATCGGGGTTCGGGAAGCGCTGCTCGTCGTGGTGGAGACCCCACGCGTTGATGAAGATTACAGAGCCCTTGGGGATTTTGTACCCGTCGATCCAGTCATCTGTGCGCGCCATATTGTCAGAGGATGGTCATCTAGCACGTGGGAGTTGGAGAGCTCGACTTACCCTGGTCGACAGCATGTGGGAAACCCAGTGGCGTCACTACAACAATGGTCAGTATAAGCGGCCCGCGAGCAGCAGATCTTACCTGGTCTCCAGCGCATGGCTTCCTTGACCGTGGCAGCCACGTAGGGCAGCTGCGCGTAGTCGGACCACGTAGGTGACCGATCCTCGCCCATGACGGAATCAATCTCCTTTTGCGCCTTCCGCATCACGTCAGGCCACTTGGTGAAGGCCTGGATCGCGGCAAGGATGATACTGGAGCTCGTGTCGCTCGCGCCCTCCATCATGGTCCCGCCCAGAAAGTACAGCTGGTGCCTGTTCAGCTCGAGCTTGTCCTTCTGATCCAACACCCTGTCCATGAACGAGTTTTTACTACCCACGGCCTCCCTCCTTCTCTCCAGCCCAGTGAGCATGTCGTTGTACAAGGCGTTCATGGCGTCGCCCACGTGGCTAGCCCTGCTGCGCCAATTCCCAAACACCTTTTCGGGTATGTAATGCAAGAGTGGGAATATATCGACCGGCGGCGTATTCCCGGGCTCCATGACCACGGACCAGTCCTCCATCAGCTCGTACAGGCGGCGCATGTGCTCTGTGTCGACCCGGGGCGAGCGCACGCCCCAGATGGTCGCGCACGCGATGCTGTTGGTGTACCGCTTCGGGTGCTCCATGTGTTGGTGAGGAGCGGTGAGCATGTCGTGCAGCAGTTGCGTGGCCTCGGCGTGCTGCAGCGGCAGATGGTCCCTGTTCACGATCGACTCCATGAAGTGCTGGTGGATGGTCTTGCGGTACTTTTGCCACGTCTTGCCGTAGTGGGCGATCAGCACGTGGTCGCCGCCCGTGATCAGGTTGTGCGAGACGTAGCTGTGCGGCCTGTCCGAATAGATGGTCGACTTCTTGTCGATGAGCTGTTTGATGTGCGTGCGCGAGGTGAGCACGATGGCCGTGCCGGGCCCCAGCTTGAGCGAGAAGATACCGCCGTATTGGCGCGCCCATGCCGTGAAGGTCAGGTATGAGCCTTTGGTCGGGATCTGGTGGAGATTGCCGATGATGGGGGCGGTGGGGGGCCCTGTAGAACGAGGGTAGAGTCAGTACGGTGTACAGAGTACGGAGCAGTTACAATAGAATGGGAATGTAGACCAATTCAACGGATTGAGTCGAAGCTGAAAGTGAAATCAGGGGCGTATCGTCGTCCACCACACTGCAGCTTGCGTTACAGCCGTGCGGCGTAGGCTAACGTCTCGCGCGAGCGTACGTACCGGGAGGGAGGCCCTTCTCCCGCCTTCCGATGAAGAGAAAGGCGTAAAGCACGAATGCCACGACCAGGCCAGCGATGCCAGGCAGGACAATACCAACAGCCATGGTGACGGGACGGCTGTGCCTAAATTAGCCTACTGGGCTGTATGAGATGGACCTCTGAGAAGTAAACCCGTTCGCCGAGTCTGCGTTATCCTGCGTGCAAGGACGGCGTCACTGTGTCGATATTGGTGAGACCGAACGGAGTACAAGCGTGGGATAATTACGGTATATGCGGTGTGAGATGTGGTATGCGCGTGAGTGAGTGATTGAGTCGGCGACTTGAGTATCTCACATTCTAGCCGCATATGTAGATCTTTGCGTGTCCGACGTCTTCGAGGGCATATGTTGATTATATACTCACCGTACCTGACACCTGACATCGATCGTGTGCCTAATTACCGAGTCTCGCTCTCAGGCAGGCAAGTCGTCCAGAGTCCGCCGATGGCTGTGAGTGTCACTGGTCACTGGCCCGGAACGAAACACCTCGACCCTCCACGCTTGGGGTATTTCCCCGGTCCCTCCCCCACAGGTTCCGGGGCCTGCTTCGTCGATCGTCCAGGGCCGCCTCCCGCAAGAGCTTGTGAGTGGTTGATTCTTGCCCCTGGGGTTTGACGGCCCAGAGGTCCCACCACAAATCAGACCGTCGCTATGTAGTCCTGTGCGACCGTGTACGGAGTACTCGTACACAGATACCGGGCTCGCACCCTGAACTTGAACTTGAACTTAACTTGGCGAATCGTCACGTTCTGCACGCGCGCATGTACAAAAAGGGCCATCAGGCTTTGAAAGCGAGAGTTCACTTAATTACAGTACAGTAATTAAGTACTTGTACCTACAGTACACTACGAACCGTCCTCCAGCCGTTTGGGAGGGGAGGATATCTGAGTTGGTTCTTCGCTTCACACTTCGACGACTTGACGTTGAACTTCCACAACTTGACGTCGAACTTCCTGGAAATGCCCCGGCTGGCTGGCTGGCTGGGCGGTGCTCAGCTATGAACATCTCTGTGTCGTGCGAACAAGTCGGGCCACGTCCCTCGGATTCGCGCTTTAATTATATTCTACTGTGGTAAGCTCCCGCAGGACAGACGTGGCACAGAAGTGGCTGGATGTGGAGTACAGGCGTGCAAACGAGCAGTAATTACCGTCGGAGGAGTTTCTCAACGCACGATTGTTACTCGTACTCGGTGCCGGCTGTGCTGGTGTGGTGTGCTGTGGCGGGTTGTGCTTTTTTGTGTTGTGCTGTGACGTGCCGTGTAAGTGATGTTACTGGCCGCTTTCATCACCGCAGACCCAACAGCACGAGTACATCCAACATGATCAACCGAGGGGGCCACCACCGATTCGGAAAGCACAACAGAGCATTCCCTTCTACAAAATGGACTCCGGATGATGCGGAGAAATCCAATGCGAGACGCGAGACGTGCACGCCTCCATCCCCGCGCTTCCCAAAAGGGGGGCCGTGTTGCCTCGGAACCCCTCACGACGGCTACCGGGTACGATGACAGTACGCAGCACAAGGTACTCTGGTCAATACGAGTATATAAGACAAAGGCAGCATTGGTCCGACCGTGCAAGATTGACCAAGGCCTGACATACCAGACACGGAAGCTTGAAGCTTGACCCGATTATCTGGCGCGAAAGTACCTTGATCAAGCAGCACCTGATCTGATTCCCTATCGTTGCTAGTATACTGTAACTGCTACATACGCTACGCTCCCCGCAAGACCATGGCCCAACTGCAAGACAAAGTCATTGCCATCACTGGCGCCGCGTCCGGGATCGGCGCCGCCACAGCGCGTCTCGCCGCCGCGCGAGGCGCCTCGGGCCTGGCCCTATCCGACATCAACGAAGACGCCCTCTCCAAAATCGTCGACGAAATCAAGGCCAAGAGCACCGGCACAAAAGTCACATCCACGCGCCTCGACGTGTCCGACTCGAACCAAGTCGACGCCTGGATCGCCGCCACGGTCAAGGAATTCGGCCGGCTCGACGGCGCGGCCAACATCGCGGGCGTGGAGGGCCTGCCCGGCGAAAAGGTCTTTGCCAACATCGTCGACATCAGCAACGAGCGGTGGGACTATATCATGAAGATCAACCTGACGGGCGTGTTCTATTGCCTGCGCGCACAGTTGCGGGTCATGGACCGGGGAGGCAGCGTGTTGAACGTGGCGAGTCTCGCGGGCCTCATGGGCAGGCCGGGCATCGGGGCGTATAGTACGAGCAAGCACGGGGTTGTGGGGTTGAGCCGCACCGCCGCAAAGGAGGTGGGCGAGCGGGGGATCAGGGTGAATGCGCTGGCGCCGTAAGTCACAGACAATGATTCCACATGCCGCTTCGCACAGAAGGGATACACCGACTGACTGACACGCTCCAGTGGCCCAATCGAGACGCCCATGTTGAAGAGGTTGTTGTCGGATGGCGATTCGGAGGACCGGCCTGTCACCAACACGTACAAGACTTTACCTTTGCAGCGGCTGGGCACGGCCGACGACATGGCCAAGACGATTTGTTTCGTGCTCAGCGATGATTCGAGCTACACCACGGGAGCGACGTTCTCGGCAGATGGTGGTGTTGCATGCTAAGTATACCTAAGTAGCGGAATGTGTCGACATTCTCTCGTCCACCGTTGCTGACAGCCTCTCGTCCACCTTTGCGGACATTCTCATCTGGCCGTTGCCAACATCCTCTCGTTTCCCATGGCTAACACTCTCTCGTCCAGTTGCTGGCGTGTTTTACCCCTGGATCTCAAGCATAGACCCGCCATTCGCAGGCACATTGTTCCCTGCCTCATCATTAGCACGCTCGTAACGGATCTTTAATCTCGGCCGACTCACCATTGATCCACCTACTCTCGCCACTCGCCAAGAAGCCCACAATCCCTGCAATGTCCTCCACCTCACCCAGCCTATGGTCGGCAGTATTCTTGCTGACAAGCATATCAATCAAGTCTTTGGGCAACACGCCGGCCTCCATGGGGATTCGGACGAGATCCGTCATCGTAGGACCCACAGACACCGAATTGATCGTGATCCCATGTTTCGCAGAGAAGATCAGCGCGAGACTGCGTGTGAAGCTGTCGAGCGCAGCTTTGGAGACGCCGTAGCAGACCACCGGGTCCGGGCTGGGTTGTTTTGAAGCCGTACTGCTGATCATGATGACACGGCCGCCCCGCGGGATGTGCGGCAAGGCAGCGAGGAAGAGCTGCACAGGTGCCCAGGCGTTGCCGGTCAGGAGGTTATCAAAGACCGTTTTGGTCATGGATGCGATCGGGAGGGCTGCTTCGGTGTTGACGTAGGGGGCATTATTGACGATGATGTCGATGGTTTGGGTCGAAAGGTCGGTCAAGGCCTGGGACACCACGTCTTGTGCGAAGGTGGGCGACAAGACATCCGCCTTGAAGGCGGTTGCTTTGATGTTCGGGTTGATATGCCGCACTTCCGCGAGGGTCTCAGCTGCGGCAGCAGCGTTGGCGGCGTAGGTGATTGCAATCTTGGCGACGCCCTTTGTCGCGAAGTGGACTGCGATGCCGCGGCCAATGCCTCGGGAACCTCCTGTGACAATAGCCACCTTGCCGTCGAGGGGTGCAGGGATGGTAGCAGGTGCCATTTCGGCGGCTATACAGTAGCTGCTGGATATAGCCTGGGTCAATTGACACGGCTCAAGTATCGAGAAATGAGAGACGCTTAGGTTGCCCTAGACCTAACGACGTGCGAAAATGAATTGAATATCTTATTGACGCATTGTTCTGGTTTGGTGGCATAAGGGTCGTGTCCTCGCCATATATTAACGGCACCTTGCAGATGAACGATTTGACAACGACGTCGTAACAGCCATGGGCTCCGTAAATGGACGCCTAGCTATTACCCAAAGAGTACAATTGCAGACTTCGATAACTGGGTGCGTGTGAGGGATGTTGCTAGACTGCTTGGCAGCGACCTCGCGGACGGTTGAGCATGCAACCGACCAGAGAACGGAGGTTCAGTGCTGAGAGTTGACATGATCACTGCTCTATCGCATTGTCAGCCGCATGGCTATTGTGTGGAGCGGCGTGCAGACTCTCACCTCACGCGATCTTTCGGGTCTGTTAGACTGCGGCTCAAATGACGCGATACGTAGTAGGTTACGTGTTCAGGAATGGCCGGAGATGTCAGCTACTTAGTATCTTACCTTGTTGGCGGTCTAAGAAGTGAAGCTGGGCTGACTGCATCGCGCTCCACGCTATCAGTGAACCGAGCGTGGTTATTGCTCCGGCGTCGGAATGAAACTCGTCGGAACAAACACGCGATCACGGCGACTTCATGCTGACGTGTCTGGTTAGGCGTTGATTCATTTCTTGCTCTCACCAGCCTCACCTCACCGTCACAACATCCCCTAGACGCGTCAATGTGACCACACGTTTCTGACTTGGCGTCATACTGTCGATGGGCACGGCAGGCAGACAACTTCCTCTCAGACCACACCGTCTCGACTTTGCATGAGGCATGCACCGTCTCACGTTCGGAGACTCAAGTGTCCTTAACGACACGCGCGCAATGCTCCGTCAATTGGCAGGCGGAATTAGTGTCTGCCATGGTAGTACCGTCAAATCTGCACCGTCTCCAGCCAGAAGACGCCTGCACACTACTATCATCGTGGCAACGGCCGTGCGTGGAGATTTTCCGTCTGTGTTCCTTGTGGACTCGCGCTACTTGCAGACTCGACTGCTGTTTTCGTTACTATGGTTGTCGCGGAGACTTCTGTCATGGCGCGTCCTCGCTGGCAACCTAGACTGCATAAAGAGCACCTGTTGCATATTCAATCATGAGCACCTCGGTATGTACGAGATGTGGCACAAGCCAGCTTACTGCAAAAGTACCCGGGACGCGGCCGGGATGTCCCAATTGATTCATTCGGCGGCCAAGTCTCTTGTAAAATGAAAGAACACAAATCGGAGGAACTAAAAGACCTTCTTGAAGCGTACAAGAGACCAGATCCATGACATGCCAGGCGCCGGCCAGGCGACAAGATGAGCCGCAGCAAGAGATGGACTGACTCGGGATCCTCACAGGCCACAGGGCTGAAGCCTAACTGTGACAGCCTGCCAAGAGCTTTCAACAGATCTCACCTCAAGTCAACATTTCATCAATCGACACTTACCCAACACTGCTGCTGCTTCTAGCCCACAGCTGGAACTGTATCCAACAGCAGCCGGACCACCATGTGAGGAGTCAGCTCCACGCGTGGAAAGAACCACGCTTTCGTCTTCTCTCTGCATTGTCGTCCTTTTATTAGGTTACGCCATGCCTTTTCCGGGGCATTTGAACCCTTGCTAGCCCGACCCGCGGCAATTCTTGGCGTTTCCTGCATCAAAGTCGCCCGGCACGGGTCACCTTAATGAGCATTGCCGTGGACCTCCTGCAGCTGCCGCGGTGCTTGCCGGAAGTGAGTGACGATCGTAGCTCGCATACGGTGCCGCGCGGTGCAGAGGCACGTCTTCTAGTTTCGATGTTTTGAGCAGCTTCCTGACCTTAGCATCCATTTGTATGCGCTTAGGCTCATGTGGATGTTGGCGGTGGCGCCTACGGATCGGCCGAATCACGACACAGCATTAGCCATTCTGCATGCCACGAGATGGGATCCACGGCTTTTTCGTCAGCAAGCGAGCTTTTCGACCTGATGCGGAGGTTGTCAGATCCCTCAGGATCCGTGTCTCTTCCATATCAAGACCTGGAAACCTTCTGCATTGGGAAATGCTGTGTGTCAGCTACCAATGGATTTTCTGCCTGGAGACGGACAGACGTTTAGCTGGCATCGCGAATCTGCAAGGTACAGGCACAGCCGCGCAACAGCATCTTGCACGAACCAACATCCATTTGCTTCCACGGTCGCCTCGTTGGGCCCGGAAGCCGGGAGTCAGCCCACCAGCACAGCAGCAGCTTCGAACATGAATAATCACATGCATGTGTACGGGAAGGACTGAGGATAGAAAGAGATTCCCATATATGTATCCGGACTCGTTCCCTAACTGCCTTCACTTCGAAACAGTTGCTAACATCCATCAGCTCCAAAACACATGCAACATGTCAAGAATCAGCATCTCATGGATCTTCGGCTTCCTTGCCCTCTTCGCCTTCGCAGTCGCTCATGCAACCACCACCCCCTCGTCGGGCCTGCCTTACACCGTGGGCAACATCACCCTTGCCAATGGCATTGACGTCTTCTATCGTGAAGCCGGGCCCTCCAACGGAACCACACTCCTGCTTTTGCACGGCTTCCCTTCCTCGTCCCATCAGTTCCGAAACTTTATCCCCATTCTGGCAGGACATGGCTACCATGTCATCGCACCAGACTATCCCGGCTTTGGATTCACCACGGTCCCCTCGTCGCTAAACTTCGCATATAGCTTCACGACGCTCACAGACACGGTCGCTGCGTTCCTCGATGCCAAGAATATCAGCTCCTTCATCCCTTATATGCACGACTACGGCGGGCCTGTCGGCTACCGCCTCGCCATCCAGCGACCGCAGTCCATCCTGGCTTTGATCTCACAGAATGCGAACGCCTACCTCGAAGGATTCGGTCAGTCCTTCTGGCCTCCAGTCGTTTTTCCCCTCTGGAACGCAACCACGCCGGCAGAATTTCAGACCGCTGCCAACCCTGTCAACAGCACGGTCCTCAGCCTCCGGGGCATCCAATCGCAGTATACGACAGGCAGCGCCAAACCCCGGCTGATCGAGCCCGAGGCCTACTGGCTAGACTACTCGCTCATCAACGAGAAACCGGGTAACCGGGACATTCAGATCGACCTGCTCACGGACTATCGCTCAAACGTGCCGCTCTACCCGTCATGGCAGGCCTATTTCAGACAGATGCAACCCAAATTGCTGGCCGCCTGGGTGAAGAACGACATCATCTTTGTCCCACCAGGGGCGCACGCTTACAAGAGAGACCTTCCCAACGCCGAGGTCGTCCTGTTGGACGCCGGTCACTTTCTACTGGAGACTAATCTGGCACAGCAGGCGAACATTGTGTTGGCATTCTTGAGGAAGAACGGCCTGTGATGTGCACAAGGTGCAAGGAGTCGTTGTAGGCAAAACTATACATGCAGAACAGCGTCGTGGGCGAAGTCATGAGACTAGTCATTCCCCATTGGACTGCTCGTGGGCGGAATATCGAGGGAACCTAGGGATACATGAACGGCTATGCATAACCCCCAAGCAGGCCGAGAATATATCTCCTTGCGACACGTGTATATGATCAACGCAAGTTCAAAGATCAAAAGCCGATGGTTTCCATTCAACCAGTATCCATCCACTTGTCCGCTAGCTAAGTCTCTAGCACGGCGGGCCTGTGTGCCTTCGGTCTGCTGAAGTGCCTTGTTGACCTGACTAAGCTGATCGCTTTGGTTCTGTAAGAGCAACAAGTCCTACGCCCTGCTCAGGATGTTGTTTCAGCCGTGTTCGTTCGCGCGAGGAAATCCAGCTGCAAGGACGAATGCGTAGAGAGCCGTGTGAATGGCCATCGAGCAGTCTAGATATCTTGTGCTTGTTCGTCTCACTGGGTTCGCGGAAAGCTGGATGAATGGCGAGACATCAAACCACGTACATTGCGCGGCTACGTCTGTCAATCGTGTCAGCGGATACCTGGATTTACAGAGTCATTAGGTGTGATGGTGAACAGGATGGGTGGAAGGATCTCGAGACGTAGCTGGCTTGTAATGAACAGCGCGCTATGGACGCCGTAACGCCTACCACTGTTCGTGGTTCGGCGTGTCAGTTACGGAGACCCCATTCTGCTCATTGGTAAGGCATGTTGAGCCCGGAGCACCAAGGGTGCTTCACAGTCGCTAGGTGGCTTACCTGAACTATAGTGATTGGAGCTTGACACCCACAGAATATAACACAAGCAACGGCGATGAAGCGTTCCCAGCACGCAGAGATATCGGAGACGCGCCGCTGCCCCGAGACATACTGGACGTAAAGGTATCGCACCGCATGCATACGGCTTCACAGTCCCCGGCCCCGCCCTTGATTGGAATATTTGGAAGCGACCACACTCTCACCTCCACCAGACGAATGACGAGCGATGAAACTGCATAATTACGTATTCCTCGTGAATAAGAGGCCGCGCTATATCGAAGTACAGTACCTATAGTCATCACAAGCTGGTTTCATTATCTCATAAGTACATAATTTCACATACACAAGGTACGAAATGAAATGCATGCCGGGAGCTGCGCTATTGCCTCGCGCGCATGCTCTCCCGCACGATACGATCCACGTAGCGCGCCAAACACGTCGATCCTCTCCCTCTCAGCGCCCACTGAATCGAATGAGTGTCACCGGTACCGTGTCGAGGCTCCCTCAGATGAGGTCAGGTGAGGTCAGCGTCAGGACGAGCGCCACTGCCCCTAAGTCCAACTCTGCGCCCTCCGAATGGGCTCCGTCAGAATCCCCATATCAATGCCCGGCAGTTCCAGTTCCAGCTTGAAGCCTTCCTTCCCGCCACCATTTTGCTCGGAGGAGGAAACTTTATCGCACAGGTACGCGACTGCGAGGGGTGTCCCGATAGCTTGGATGATCCATCTGTACACGAAGCGGTGGGTGCCGTGGGGACTATGATGGAAGGAACGTGGTTCGGGGTGGAATGACCGACGGAAAAGTGGACTGGAAAGCATCGACGAGGCGAGGGGCCTGCTGCTGCTGCGGAGGGCTCGATAGCAGATGTGGTTCAGCATGGTGGACAGATGGAAAAATCAGAGGCGGGATAGAGCTCGAGTGGCTCAGGGTCACGATATCTGAAGGACGTAGTCCCTAGGTAGGTGTCAAGATACCGAGATGTCGGGTTGTCGAGTTATCGGGTTGTCGCAAAAAGCGAGCAGCATTCCTATCCACATTACTCCGTACGTGGTCCGCGGATAGCTCTAGGTGATTACCCCTCATCCCGACCGTGGGGCATGCGCCGGCCAGGCTGATAGTCGATTGGCCGCGCTGCGATATGCTTATCTTAATGCCAAGAATATCCACTCCACTCTGGAGGATCATCCCGTGCCGGTACGAGGTAGGATATCGAACGGAGCTGTCGCGATACGTCAATACTTGTTCATCAACGACCTGAGTCAACGAGAAGGGCAATGACTGGAAGATGGAGATACTTCTTGTCGTTCATCGTTACGGTCCGTAAACATGTTCGTTTTCAAAGTCGAATACTTGGGATCCTCAACAGTTGTGGGTTGATTCTTCTGTGATTGATCTCCTCAACTTCAACAGCAGATAATGATCACTGGCCGCCACTCAGTCACTGATGCAAATACTTCTGGGTTCCGGCAGCCTCTTCACAGCGCGTCCCAGCACCTGAATTACCTGCTTCAGATGGGGTTTTCGAACGGCGGCAATCATTTCAGGACGGTCGTACCACGCTGGAATCGTCTGTCTCTTCCGACCCCAAACTCTTTCGGTGGAGGACTTCCCGTCCTTCCAGTTCCTGGGACTTGAACCACCGGGAAAGCCTGCCGTCGCTTCTGTCGTGCCACCAGACCGTCCGACCTTTGGGGGACCACTCGGCGGATTTCCATATATTGCTGCCAGAGCACCTCTGCCGCTCAGGCTCTCCAAAAAATCCATTCAGGCTCGGCATGTTTTCAATTCTCAAACCATCTTTGTCCCACAAGACGAGCTAACCCAATGTCAGACCAGGTCGTTTTGAGGCACAACTCGCATCTGGGCTACTTACTACACTAAAAGTATGCCGAAAGTCAGGTTCATGATCATAACGTGGGTCCCATTCTCGATACGGTTCACCCTCACATGCAATGTCTTCCCAACAGACAATTTCGAAGAGCGTGGTGCATTGGAATGTAAGGTTCCTTCTTTTGATGAATAGGGCTGTCTCTCTAGCGTGCTGTAGGGCATCGGGCTTGCATATAGCTTCGAGGTCGGTTAAATGCACGGTAGACACGTACTCTCGCGTTTCCAACTGTCGTCGCAAGCTTTGATAGATAGTCGGTAGCAGCCTGAAAGGATAGTGAATTTTATGGTTGTAATCCTTGGAGATATAGCGACCTATGCTTGTCGATACGGTCCGGAGGTTCGGGCAATTGGAAGGATCTAAGAAGCGGTACCCGTAAATGCTTTGAGACTTTGAAAGAGCGAAGGTTCGACCTGGGTGCAATTTGACAATTCTGGTAGACACATCCTACCCAGTAGGGAAATCAGACGGGCAGAAAATGCCCTTCCAGTGCCCACTGACAGTAACCGGAGCGTTGAAAATGACATATGTTACTTCCACATGGATCTGCCCTACAGACAAGGAGTAGTGCACCTTCGCAATGCCACCCACGACTGTACCACCTCCTCTCTGGATGTTCGATTGTCCTCTGGCTTTGTTCGTCAAATTGCGAATAAGAACCTTCATAGTGGCAATAGATCCGGATCTTGGGAAAGATGAGCTGGAAAACCATGCTTCGAACCTCTTTCGGTAGACCGAGAAAGGTCGCGGCTTCGACAGCTAGGGCGTCATTTGGGGAGGTGGCAAACGTCTCCATCGTAGAGACCGGAAGGGATCCGTGCTGAGATGAGGGACGGGGAAGGTGGATTTGTTTGAAGTCCATTGAGTCATGGAACGAGCAAATGGAAACAAGGGGCATTGGAGAATGGGCAGACGTAGCATCAACTCGCCATGGGTCCTCGAGTGAATGAGGTACAGAATCAAATTTGTCAAACTGGGAAGGTGTGTCCAGTTCGAGGGAATGCAGTAGGATGCGAACGACAGGAGTGGTTCATGTGTCGGTAGTCCCCATGTGTGAGCTTAAAGGGGAGTTGAGATGGAGTGAGTGGCTATGTGACGCAGGACAGATCAACATTAACTGCCGTGGCATGAATAAACTCTCACGAAGTCTGGTTCTCCCTGGGCGTTCATGCAAGGAGCCCGTTGACCGGGTTTGACTTTGACAGCTATGCAGATTAGTGGTGACGACACTTCCACAAACGCGATCGTGACGAGAGCGAGCCTCATCATGTAAATGGAGGCTCGCCGGCCGACGAGGATCGCTTTTCTTGTAGAATTGACGGGCAGGCAGATTTCTGTACAGACCGAATGGACGAAACAGACAGGAGACTGCGCGAGCTTTGGCCAAGCAGATAAGCGAGAGCGGGGATTTTCACTATCCTCGACTTGTGATAGCGGCCGTCATCCAGCGGTCCTTTTGCGCTTTGCTCTTTCGGCCTCTCATTTACTACCAGTACTCGTACGGACCGCTTTTGACACTTTCCAAGGACATTTTTCAAGTGGTGATTACCGTGCTACGCCGCACCCGAATATCAAGTGCCACAACGGTCTTGCGCAAGTGACGTCCAACCCTTGGATTGCCATGATGTCCGTCAGCGACTGTACCGCTTCCTGACGCGAGAGGTGGTCCGTGGGATCTCAGCCGGGTCTTCGGGGCCACAGCGGGAAATGCCCAGGTGACTGTCAAAAGTCGGAGGTGAAAAACATTGTCTCTCCGAGGCATGGCCTTCTGCGGCGTATGCTGGAGCTTGAATCCAAAATTGCGCATCGATGCCAAAAGACCTGTCGAAGAGTTACAAAGTAGGTCGCCCCGAGGAGAGTCAGCAGGCAGGAAACTGGGGAACATAAAGTGACGATTATCTGAGCCGGGTCCTTGCTCGTAAACATCGATCGAGGTTTGCGAAGCTTGCGCAAAGCTCTGATGAGTGGCTTGGAGTCTCACCCTCGCAACGGGTCATCTTCCCGCTCATTCAACTTCGCTCAGAAGCTACAACATGTCGTCGGTACTAGTATCTAACATCGTCATGCTTGTGACCATGAGTCGAACGGAGGGGCTCAAGCATGCTTCGTACGGTGCACCCACGGGAAAGTTGCTTGAAAGTGAAGACTGCTGAAGCTGTGTCCGAGCGGAGCTTTGATCTAGTCACTTTGCCTTCGCTTCAGCAAAGGGCCGAACAATCCGTTAGAGGACCATCGAATAGTCGGCATCGGTGTCCAAATGAGGCACCTTGGCATTGAAGAATGTGTCTATCCTATGCCTCGATCGGGGTGACCTCCCCTTTCTGCTTCGCGAAAAAGTGAAGTCTATCTTCGTCAGTTATGCACCAAGTCAAGAACCGCTAAAACGCATGCACAATTCCCTCCCAATCTATGTTTTTGTCTTGGTCTACCTTCTCTTCATTGTCGTAGTTCATAACATCGTGAAGGCAGACAGGTAACTGATCACTCAAAGTCCCACAGGTCCAGCATTTGGTCCATCTGCTGCTGCCCGGTAACAGCTTCGTCTTCACTATCCTCCGTGGAAGAGAAGATCTTCTTCGGAATCTTGTATTCCACCACCGGAGGCTTCTTCTCTTTTTTTTTGAACTCGCTCTCCAGCAGGGTGGCGTAGCCGTGGTCGAGGAAGTCTTCAAGGTTGTACTGCTGCTTCGTGAATTGCTCAGAGATGATTCGAGCAATGCTCGCGACCGTGGGATGGTAGTGAGACTGGCAGGTCTCGAGTTCCCAGAGCGAGGAGTCGATCGCGCCAGTATGTTGTGGATTGGGCTCGTTCGGGTCGTAGGGATCGTTGCCCAGGTTATGCTTGAACTTTGTGTAGGGAGGATGTGGGTGTCGGTGAATCATGAAGGTAGTGGTTGGGTGTTGTTTGAGAAGGTTGTAAATAAATGGTATGATGGCCACGATGGCCGAGGGAGGCGCGAACAGACACAGTCGCGAGAGACGCTTGATGAAGCTCGCAATCGTCGCGGCGGGCAAGTGGTTCGTTGGGGACAGGAAGACGTCTAAATGCCGGAGCACGCGGCTGCGGTACTTGCTGTGTAGGAGATCCTTATCAAGCAGGGCGTACAAACGAGGGTAGAATGCAGGGTAGTCGAGGTTCTTTTTCGTCATTAGGTGGAACAGACCCGTAAGTGCCGGCACTGCGAGGCCCAAGTCCCGCATGTCGAGACTGTCGGTGAAGAAGTCCATCAAGATTTCCGGCCGGCGCAGGCTGTCAATAGAGCTGGCATCTTGAAGATGCTTGAGCAATTGCTTGCGCTGGGCCATGGTCATCGGCGCGGCAATCTGGGCGGCGTACCCATCCATGGCTGTCGAAGAAGGCATGCTGCACGAGTGATGGCAAGGAAGCAACAAAGAAAGACGTGATCGAGAGCGGTGGAGAGCACTGCTCTCAGACTATAAAGAGTGTAACCTCCAGTCTTCCGTGCTCAATGTGGTCAGTGTCGTGCTCTAACATCTCGAGGCGAGATGGACCGCGAACCCGCTCATCGAGCCAGATTATTTCTGCACATGCTGGTGGAGAATTCTGTGAGAGCCAAGAGGGGAGCGCAGGGAGGACAGACGGAGGGGTCCAGCACGTGCCTGGAGAGTCGCCTTCGTGACTGGCGGCGGTTGATTTGCTCGCTTCTGCGCTAACGTGGGTTAAGCTGGTCTTTCGACCATTGACAAGCCACGCCAGTGAAGATCGGCACGCTAATACGGAGTACCACAATATTTGCTGTCCTAGTCCAACGCATTGATATTGAAGCGCAAGCTCTCTTGTTTACAATGCTTTACGTACGCGTGCACATGGTAGACTCTAGTATTCTTTGCCTCAAGATACGAGGAAGTCCCCTGCGCAATCTATGAGAAAGCAACCAGCCAATGCCACACTAAGGAAGAAATGCTCTTCACAGATGCCTAGACCGCAAACAGCTCACACGATAACAATAACTGCTCAGCGTCGTAGACTACGCCATGGTCTACGCTGATTGCGCAGAGCCAAGATGCCTCCAAGCAAGGATGACAGCCATGGTGTCGAAGGAGTCGGTTAGAAGCATCTTTGTCTTTTTAGCGGATGTAACAAGGCCCGGCTGTCCGCTCCATAGATCCTGCGACGCACTCACACGGGTAAAATGCAAGATCACTCCAGAACCCCTGGTTGAAGATGAAGCATGTGCTATGGGATATGATGCCAGACATATTGCAAAGTCCATGAAAAAGCAGTCGGGACCTGACTCTGTTGTCTCGTCTCCCGGCAAGATATCGAGATCTTGTTCTCGAAAGCGTTGTCCTCACTCGAAGTGGAAGCGAACAAATCCTCAGGGCATTCAGATAGTCTTCTACAGTAACAGTGCGAGTACTCCGTAAACCTTCGCAAACGCGGCGGGTTTCCGCCAAATTGTTGTTGGTCCATGTACGGTGGAGCAGTCAAACCCTTGCTCTTGCAGGTGAGTACGAATTGCTGCACCGTACTCTGCACTATCCACATACAGTTTAGCGCCTCATCGAGCTTCTCTCAATCGGCCCAGCATCAATTCTCGCAACGTCAGGGAGCTAGCTTGCACGACCACTGCCCAGGCACACACATCACCCTCAATAATGGCGTCCAGACTGGCGAGGAGCGTGGCCGGTTAGTCTTCTGCCACATCTCGAGCTCACAAATAGGAAACTAACAGGGGACGTCCTGCACAGGAGCCAGCAAACTCCGCCCATCAACCCTCCCTCTCCGTGCTCTGACAGCAAGCACCAGCACCCCATTAACCACATGTCGCCACCAGTCGAACGTCCCATCTGAGCAAGACCCCAAGAAAGCCGCCCAATCCATCGTGGATGCCCTGCCGGGCACGTCGCTCGCGTCCAAGACCGCCATCCTCTCCGCGGGCGCCGGCGTTTCCGTGTGGGCCATCAGCAATGAACTGTACGTCCTGAACGAGGAATCAGTCGTGGCGTTTTGTCTATTGTCCGTCTTCTACGGCATCTTCCGATACATGGGACCCATGTACAGCGATTGGGCGGACAACCAGGTGCAGCGGATCAAGGACGTCTTGAACCAGGCGCGGGCAGGTCACGCCGGGTCAGTCAAGGCGCGGATCGAAGAGGTCAAGCCCTTGAGCAACGTCGTGGATATCACCAAGCAGTTGTTTGAGGTGTCAAAGGTACAGTAACCCGCAATCCCTGGGTCGAGAACCGATGCGACATACTCACACGCTGGGGACTTTTACTGACTTGAGGGCCAGGAAACCGCCCGCCTCGAGGCCGAAGCCTTCGAGCTCGAGCAGCGCACCGCTCTGGCTGCCGAGGCCAAGAATGTCCTGGACAGCTGGGTCCGCTACGAGGGGCAAGTCAAGCAGCGCCAGCAGAAGGAATTGGCGGATAGCATCATCGCCAAGGTGACCAAGGAGTTGGAAAATCCCAAGGTGTTGCAGCAGATTTTGAACCAGAGTGTCGCGGATGTAGAGAGGTTGGTTGCAAGCAAGAGTCAGTGAGCAGTCAAAATGGACAAGCTAGACTGGGTGACCGCGTGACTGCGTAAGCTCAAGACGTGTTGGTGTGGTGAGATACAGGAGCAAGGTGGACTGAGGACGTGCAGACAAGGGCCTTCAAGTGGGAAGGCGGTTCAATGTTGTACATAAAATAGCTCTCTTTAGAGGCCTCACCGAAGGGGTATCATTGCCTTTACACCAGTCCGTTCTTGAAGCCGCCCAGCCCTTCCGTAGCGTCAAATCACGAGGTATCTCTCCGTCACACCTCTCGCCATCTCCATGTTCCCGCTCATTGCATAAATCGTAGACATCGCATACGCCGCGTCCATGGTGAAATCCGTGTACTTCATCGTGTCCTCTCGGTCGATACCCGAGGAGGGAACTGCCAAAGAGAGCATCTTCTGATAGCCATTGACAGCCAAATCAGCCATGCCAAGCATGTGGCAGCATCTCGCACGATTGAACTCGATTTCCCGCTCTATCAACACGTCCAGACCCTCTAAATCCAGCTGCCTTTCGTTTTCTTCTTTCTGCTCCTGCAGCTTTCTATGCGCCCACTCCCGTCTCGCATCCGCATACTGCTCAAAAAAGGCCCACCCCTGCAGTAATATCATGTGCCGATTATTGCACTTCTTGAAAAAGGTAAGATGCATATACGTCAATGCAATACTCAACCAGATGACGGGATTCTTTGGGTTGAGGGACTGGGCGCGAAAGAAGTAATTCAAAGCGCCGATGAAGGTGCCGGCCGCGTTCAGGATCTGGCCGTAGAGGAGAAGAAGGAGGGCGTTTAGTTCTGTGATTTCCGAGCCTTGTTGCTGGACCTGTTGCTGCTCGGGCGGGGTGGTCAGCCGCTGTTCAGGTTGATCTACAAATGCTGGTGTTTCTGATTGTCGTTGCTCAGCCTGTTGTGAGAGTCCTGGTGTCTCTCTGGTCCTGTCTCCGATGGGGGCATTTCCGTACGGGGGAGTTTGAGTTGCGGTCCTCTCCCCGAGTTCGGTGCTGCGAGCACTCCTGGATGCTGGTGTGCCTGCGAGGTCGTCCTTGCTGCGGGTGCTTTGCTCTTCAGCGTCTGCGCCCTTTCGCATGAAATCTGGCGCCGGCCCGAAAACTGGAGGGTCATAGTCCATGGGTAAAGACGAATCGGCTAGGAGGAGCTGTTTTAGCACAAATTGGTGCATCGATCGGCCACGAAACATGGCATTCTTCATCTGCCCATCCTTGCCGTTCTTGTCGAGCTCGTGGGGGTACAGCAGGTTGATAGCTGCGAACAGACGATATGCATCGTTGTTGAACTCGTACGTCTTCAGAAACCACCGTAACACCACGTTATAAAGCGTGTCTTCATCTCTTAGCGTCATAGCACAGGCAAGGTATGTGATGTGGATTTGCAACAGTGTCTGCGGGTCACGCTTCCAGATGATGCAGCCCAATGCGGCATCAATCGTGGTGTAGCAGCGATGCTGGGCATCTGGATCAGGGCTCTGTGACAGGAGAAGAGCGTACTCGAGGAAGATGTCCAGCCAATCTGAGAAGGCGATTTCGCGGTACTCCATTGGCAGATTTGACTCGACCGATGGGATCGGGATATCTGCGTCGAGCTCTTGCTCTTGGACCTGCTTGATCTCCTGTTGTTCTTGCCATCTCTTTCTTGTTTCCAGCAATGTCCCACGGGCAAGGCCACTAACTTTCGCTATGCGATCATCAGAATAGAAGGTGCGGTTGCTCCTAAAGTCTTTGAGGAGCGTGTCGGCACATCCCATCCACGTGTGTTGGGCAAGCTCGTCGCCGGCTCTCATGGCCTCGGTGCTGTCCAGCAAACTCTGGTAGAGTCCGTTAATGGCATCGGTCCGACGTGCATCCCTCTCCTTGGCTGTCGGTCGTTTCGCCTTGAACTCGTATTTCGGCAGGGCCGCTTGAAATCGAGCTGGGGGTCGATCTTGTCTATTTTGTGCAACCTTTCTCGCGATCAACCTTGCCATCTCCCGCTGATTCGCAGGTGGCAGCTCGTCGCCATATTCCAAACCCTCGTCCTCCCTCCCTCCTTCCCCAGCCGATTCCGCCTCGGTTGGCCGTCTCCTCGGGAGTCGCCTTCTGTTCCTCCCTCGGCCAACCATCTCTAATTTACTCTCGATTCGGTCGACCGGTACGCCGCCAGTGTAGTCCCCCGACAGTTGGAAAGCTTCCTTGAGTGTCTTTTCTGCTTCCTCACGGGCATAGCGTAGCTGCTTCGGCTCGTACTTGCGCTTGCCATGGTCGGGGAGTAAACTTTCGGCAAGCCTAACAGCCGCTCGAGCGCTCTCCATCGCCATTTCCTTGTCACCGAAGTCCGCAAAGAGCTTAGAGAGCTGGGTGCTGGCCTCCACAGACTTCTCATCCCCCTGCCTGGCCTCCTCGTAACATTCTATGGCTTGCGTCTTGTTACCACACATGTAGGAGCTGGCTCCGATACCCAGCCAGAAGTCGGTGTGTGAATACGCATTGGTCTCTTTTAGAGCTTCGTAGTAGCGAAGCGCTTGATCGTATTCTTTAGCGTCGTGCAAGGCTTCGGCAACTTCCAGGAACAAATCGGGATAGTCGAAGACGTTGGCGCTCTCATCTCTGGCATCGGGTTCGAGCCACTCAAAATGAGCCAATGCTTCATCCAAAGCCTCCTGTCCCTGCCGCAAACGGAGCATTCCCAGTCTGACTCGAATTTCTAGTGGAAGTCCGGCACCGTATGCCTCAGCTGGGTATCTGCCTAGAACAAACTCAGGTACCAGGACTCTGCGAGGTTCATCCTCCGAGTCAAATTCCCGGTCATCATCAGTAAACCGATCCCAGTAGACTTCTTCTGTTCTGCCAAGTAACCAGCGCGATAACTGCTTCAGCACCTTCAGGGCGTTCGAGATGGCCAGATCGGGTGGTTCTTCCAGGGCGAGAATTTGAGCGTAGACGAGGATGTCCGCCCAGGAGAAAGACTCTTCATCTTGAAACCCGTTCTCTTGGTAGTAGGTCAGCGTCGTTTCATACACCTCTTTCGCACGGGTAATGTCCCTGAGGTCGATACATATCTCTGCAATTTGTCGCAAAACACTAGAATTCCTGGGCATCACCTCAAGAATAGCCTCCAGATCTTTCATGGCTTTGGTATAGTGGGTTAGCTCCCGGTTGACAGCAGCTCGTTGGAACCGAGCTTCGACATGCCTATCCCTAGCACTAGGGACGTGGATGATACGAGAGAAACAGTAGCTGGCCTGTTGCAAAGCAACCTCACGCCTCCCTTTGTACCGTTCCAGGTGCGCGGACGCTGCTTGAAACCACACTTCAGGGTCGGTCGGAGTAGCGTGGGCGGCCAGAAAGAGAGTGGCCAGGGCGTTCTCATCCTCACCTCTTGAAAATAAGAGCTCGGCTCGAAGAGCGTGAGCGGAGTAGATCTCCGGGTTGATTGCGAGGGCCTGACTGACTAGATCGAGAGCTTTGTCGGAATCCTGCTCGTCGATGAAAGCTTCCAGCGCCTGCGTGTAGAGTGCGTTGAATTCAGGGCCAGGGTCGATGGCAGGTCGCGGGCCGATTTTCATGCCCTTGCTCCATCCGCCAGGGTGTCCTGTTCCTTTCTTGCGTCGCTTAACGGGCTGGCGGTCCGACACCGGTACTTTTGGGCGGCCTCTTTTCCTAGCGCCAGTGGCGATAGCACTGCCAGTATCAATGGCGTCCTCATGCGATGCCGGTTGCTCAGATTGGGTTATGGATACATTGGAAGCACCGCCCAACTCAACTTCAGTCGGCGGCTGGCCCCAAGTTCGGCCCACATGCTGAGGCATATCCTGTACTCGATCCTCTCCATGGTGAAGTTGCTGTCGGGGGGGATGTGGAACGTGAGTTGTGAGGCGATCTAGCGCTCCATTGGCCTGGTGGGTGAAGAACGATTGATGCAGTTGAGTGTCTTGTACAACAGGCCCATGTATTTGGGCGTACGATGAGGGATGGTTCCATGTCTGTGGTTGTGATTGGAAGAGTGATTGACTGAAAGCGAGGAATCTGCTGTGACTTGCTGTAGCAGGGTGCTGTGGCTGTGGCTGATATCGGGAGAAGAAATGACCCGCGGACAAGGTTTGCTCGAGTGGTGTAGCTGTATGTACTGGCGGACGGGGACCCAGACCACGGAGAGGACTCACTAAACCGACTGCATCGTCTTCGGACACTAGCGGTCGCCGCTCCCGTTCTCGTGGGTGCACTTCCTCCGGGGTTAGTGGAGGGATGTAGGCCTGCCATGAATACTGTGGTATGCTGAAAGACGAGACGGTCTTTGCTGGAGGTTGTGACCCATCAGGGTTGAGGCCGCTCATCTCTCATGGTCGTTGGCGTAGTGCGAATGGGTAAATTGCCGATCGATGGGGGACAGTTCCCGATGAGTCTACTATGTAGGACCTGCTTGAACATGAGGATGTGCAGGTCGGCGCTGTTTAGCTGTTTGAGGAAATTTTCTCCGTGCCACTCGAGCGAAGGAAGCGAATGACTAACGATGCCAATGTGTTAGTGGGTGGGAGGGCGAAAGCTCGGCGACATTGCGAGGTGATGGAGCGGATTTGATTGATAGTTCACTTCGCGCTCAGAACGAACAGACCACGGCCTATCGAGGGGCTGGACGAAAATTATCGGGAATGAGCCCGGATAGCGACCACTGGTGGAAAATTGACGTGCCAATACCCATGGCCCCTCCTCTGGCAAAGTGGCATATCATCATAGCTACAGCATCTCCGAAACCCCACCTCATCATGCTCACGCTCTCAGCGTGTCGTGAGAGGAATGGAAAACAAAAACCCCACCCGGGCCGGCAGGTCGATGGTTGATAATTCCTCATCCTCCTGTTGCTCTACGAGTACTTGATCTCCCCGACTCCTTGTTCATTGTACCTTCCTCAACCTCGCCCATCTATCAATATGCCTTCCGATACAGCTGGAAAGGTAAGTCAAGCCAGGTGCTCCGGACGATAGGGATTTGTGCTGACGACGGATCTCGCTAGACCATCACTTGCAAGGTATGCTCTCACACAGGGCTCGCCGTATGTGTCAACGATTGACTTGTTACAGGCGGCCGTCGCCTGGGAAGCCGGCAAAGACCTTTCAATCGAGGATGTCGAGGTCGCTCCCCCCAAGGCCCACGAGGTCCGCATCCAGATCTACTATACTGGCGTCTGCCACACTGGTATGCCGAGCATATGACGGGTAAGAGCCGGAAGCTGAAAACGAGACACAGATGCATATACTTTGTCCGGCAAAGACCCGGAGGGCGCCTTCCCTATCATCCTGGGGCACGAAGGTGCCGGCATTGTCGAATCCGTGGGAGAGGGTGTCACCAATGTGAAGGTTGGAGATAATGTTGTCGCGCTCTAGTAAGTCGTCCTTGCGTAGCATGGTCCGGCAACTGACCGTGAAAGCACTCCCGAATGCAAGGAATGCAAATTCTGCGTATCTGGCAAGACCAACCTCTGCGGCAAGATCCGAGCAACTCAGGGTCGAGGTGTGATGCCGGATGGGACGTCGAGGTTCAAGTGCAAGGGCCAAGACCTGCTTCACTTCATGGGAACCTCCACCTTCTCGCAGTACACCGTCGTCGCCGACATCTCCGTTGTGGCCATCACAGATAAAGCTCCGATGGACAGGACCTGCCTGCTGGGGTGCGGTATCACTACCGGTTACGGTGCTGCCGTGATTACTGCCGATGTCGAAAAGGGCTCGAATATCGCTGTATTTGGCGCGGGCTGTGTTGGCCTGTCGGTTATCCAAGGTGCCGTTAAGAACGGTGCGGGCAAGATCATCGTGGTCGACGTGAACGACAAGAAGAAGGAATGGGCGGAAAAGTTTGGCGGTACTGACTTCGTCAACCCCACCAAGTTGGATGGCCAGACTATCCAGGAGAAGCTGGTCGAGATGACCGACGGCGGCTGTGACTATACCTTTGACTGCACGGGCAACGTTGGAGTTATGCGGTCCGCTCTCGAGGCCTGTCACAAAGGCTGGGGTCAGTCCATCATCATTGGTGTCGCCCCAGCCGGTGCCGAGATCTCCACGAGGCCATTCCAGCTCGTCACGGGCGTAAGTGTTTTCGAACTTGCCTCTTCGGTTCACAACCTGTTTTTCCGTTGAGACAAATACTGACCTGGAGTGATATGCAGAGAGTCTGGCGCGGTTGCGCTTTCGGAGGTGTCAAGGGCCGCACCCAGCTTCCTGGCCTGGTCCAAGACTACCTGGATGGCAAGCTCAAAGTGGACGAGTTCATCACCCACCGTCAGCCATTGGACAAGATAAACGAAGCCTTCCATGATATGCATGCCGGCGATTGCATCCGATGTGTGGTTAACATGAGGGAAGCCTGACCACACTCGGGGTAATAGAACTTCCTCCGGCTGATCTCTCAATGAGCTGACTCGTTTCCACACAGCCCCCGCCTCTGAACAAAACAGGTCCTTGGTGTCCTGAACCTCGTGATTCGACGATGGTCAAGCGGGCGTGTCGCTCTCCGATTGCAATTGCATGTGACCGTTCATCACATGAGGGAATGCAATGTGCAAGACACCACTAGGCGGCCACAGAAAAAGTATTGGAATTAAATCTTCGAACCATGGATTCTTACTCTTTTTGTGCTCTTGTACAGGATGTGCTCTCTCCTCCGCTTCAAGTATGAAGGCTCCAAGGCTGCGCCCAGATCAGGGGTAGCAGGAGTAGTGCTCCAGGACGCGTGCTCTAGCCCAGCAATCTCTGTGTTTCTCTTGCGATCGTAATGCTCCAAGCGGGAGTAGAAATTCCTCAAGTGACGGTATTGAGTGCTATCTTAGAGGCTCCGCTTTTTGGTGACTTCAATATCAAGGTACAAAGGATATCAGGACCAGAGGCAGCGCGAAAATGCCCTGCAATATCCGCCTGCAACCAAACGATGCGATGTGCTTGAAACCAACCCGCGAAAACTGGTTGAAACACGGACAACGTGGCAGGTTGCCAGGGTGCGGCTTGTTCTACGAGGTACTCCGTATGGGTCTCGAGTTTGCTGGACGGCCTCAAGTTGTGCCCTAGATCTCGGAAGTTGGCCATCCCGGAGAGCTTCCATTCCAGGCGTGTCTTTAGTGGCGCTCCCGCTTCTCAAGCATTCCCAGTTCTGGCGGTGTCGGTGTGACATGGCGATGCGATTGGTGAATGGCCTTCCTCTTCTAGAAGCAGCTGACTTTTTCAAGCAACCGAATCGCGGACTTGCAGGCGCTCAAACACGCCTTCCCTGACCGTAACTGAAGGATCGAGCCTCGCTCACCAGTCCTTGGTGCTCTCGATCTCGGGCGTTTCGGATTCTCGCCTGCGGTGGCGTACCCTGTACACCCACTTCGCACTTTCCATACGTTCTTAACGCCGCTTCCGGGACCAGATCCAGCATGACCACTGCAGCAGCCGCGTTCCGGTGTTCTGGGAAATATCAGACTCGGACCCTTTGCATAAAGGATCATCTCTCTTCTTCAAAATGGTCAACAGCATGGCTTGACAGTACTCCAGTCGCTTCGAGAGCCGGACGCTCAACACTGCACGTTCTACGCAAACCACTGTCGATGTCGCCACTACTTTGACTAGCCGTTCGGTCCTTGAAACCTCGTTCTGTGTTCGAGGCAGCAAAGCATTTCAGGAGGACTGTCAGCATCTCTCAGAAGCGCCAATTCAATATGCATCATCGCGCGGATATCGAGGCCTCCGATCCGCTGCTAAAGGAACCGAGCCAGATCGGAAAGGGGGACCAGAATTATGGCTCTCAGCGTCAGAGTGGAAATGCAGATCTGGATTTCCCTATGCGTAAGCCGCCTCTCCAATAGAAAGCTCAAGCTACCGTTCTGACGGTCAAGTAGCAAGCTGGGCGCAACCGACAATGTACGGGCACAGCAAGCAATTATTACCTCAAGCTATTGCCCACCGTGGCTTCAAGGCCGAACACCCCGAGAACACAATGGACTCTTTCATCGGGGCTGTCAAAGTGGGGGCACATGCCATTGAAACCGATATTCATTTGACCAAGGACGGGGTGGTAGTTCTTTCCCATGTAAGTTCCCAGCAGGTGTGTACGGGCGTAGTCACTGATCTTGCAGGATCCTGATTTAAAACGGTGCTTTGGGCTGAAGGACAAGGTAATCGAATGCGACTGGAAATTTTTGAGCAGCGTCCGCACACTTCGCGAGCCACACGTTCCCATGCCACGACTACAAGACCTGCTTGAATACGTTGCGCAGCCCGGCTTGGAGCATATCTGGCTGTTCCTCGACATCAAGCTGGACAACGATTCTGATGATGTAATGAGGCTGATTGCGAAGACGCTGGCGTCTGTCCATCCTGGAGCCCGACCGTGGAACAACAGAGTCATTCTGGGAATCTGGGCAGCCAAATATCTTCCGCTATGTGCCAAGTATCTTTCAGGGTTTCCCGTCTCGCACATCGGGTTCTCCACGGTTTATGCGAGGCAGTTCCTGAAGGTACCCAACGTATCGTTCAGCATGCATCAAAAAGTACTATTCGGTCCCTTCGGCTCCCGCTTCATGCGCGACGTGCGAAGGGCGAATCGACCACTCTACGCTTGGACGGTCAACGACACCAACCTCATGAAGTGGGGTATTCAGCATCAGCTGGCTGGGGTTGTCACAGATGATCCGAAGAGATTCAGAAGGATATGTGAAGGGTGGGACGATCAGAAAGAACCGCCAGTCAGACAGACGTGGGTTCAATGGTTCTACACGATATATGTGTGGATATTAATCGCCGTCTTCTCCCGGCCTTTCAGGCGCAAGTTTCCCGAAACGGTGGAGCAGTATATTCAGAAGAAGAACATCCGAGCTAAGGCAGCCGAAACGGTAGAGGAGCTGTGACTCGAAGGGATGGACCAGAACTTCGGCATTAGACAGACCCAGCATATGCTGTTCGAAGCGATATTTTCAGTAGACGGCAGCTCTTAGACAGTTTCGCAACGGATGACTTTCGCAGAAGACTATCTAGTGCTTGAGTTTGCAACCATTTTTGAGAGGTGGAACAAGATTCGAAAGGGCCTCAACGGGCAATATTCACATGGGTCTGGGAGATATGTAACGCCGGTGACATAGAGTGTGTAGAACATGTTTACTCCATCCGGAGAGTATCACTGTAACTTGGCTGGCCCCCCACTTCCTACCCACCCGCGACGCGTGACTTTTACGCGTCTTGAAAATGCGCCTCCCACTCCATATTCACCAACTCCCCTCCCCCAGCTGCACCAGCAGCTGCCCACGCACGTCACCATGCCCCGCGAGATCATCACCATCCAGGCTGGCCAGTGTGGAAACGCAATAGGTTCTCGCTTCTGGCAACAACTATGTCAGGAGCACGGCATCTCCCGTGACGGAAACCTCGAAGACTTTGCGACTGAAGGCGGTGACCGCAAAGATGTTTTCTTCTACCAATCCGACGACACACGCTACATCCCGCGTGCGATACTCGTCGACCTGGAACCTCGAGTGATCAACGGCATACAAAGCGGTCCGTACAAGAACATCTATAACCCCGAGAATTTCTTCATCGGCGAGCATGGCATGGGCGCCGGGAACAACTGGGCTGCGGGCTACGCTGCGGGAGAGAGGGTACAAGAGGAGATCTTTGACATGATTGATCGAGAGGCGGATGGAAGTGACTCGCTGGAGGGGTTCATGTTGCTGCATTCCATAGCCGGCGGTACAGGATCGGGACTCGGATCGTACCTCCTCGAGCGCATGAACGACCGGTTCCCCAAGAAGATCATACAGACGTACTCGGTGTTTCCGGATACGGCGACAGGCGACGTCGTGGTCAACCCCTACAACAGTCTACTCACCATGCGGCGCTTAACACAGAACGCCGACTGCGTGGTGGTTCTCGACAATGGGGCGTTGTCGAGCATCGCCTCCGAGAGACTGCATGTCCAGGAACCTTCTTTCCAACAGACAAATCAACTGGTCTCGACAGTCATGTCGGCCTCTACGACGACGCTCAGATACCCGGGCTACATGCACAACGACCTGGTGGGGATCATTGCCTCGTTGATCCCCACGCCACGATGCCACTTCCTGATGACCGCCTACACCCCCTTCACGGGCGACAATGTGGATCAAGCGAAGACGGTTCGCAAAACTACGGTACTGGATGTGATGCGCCGCCTCTTGCAGCCCAAGAACCGAATGGTGTCGATCAACCCCTCAAAGTCCTCGTGCTACATCTCGATCCTGAACATCATTCAGGGCGAGGCCGATCCCACGGACGTGCACAAGTCCCTCCTCCGCATTCGAGAACGACGCATGGCGAACTTCATACCCTGGGGTCCGGCTTCGATCCAGGTTGCTTTGACCAAGAAGTCCCCTTACCTCCAGAACACGCACCGAGTCTCTGGGCTCATGCTTGCCAACCACACCAGCGTTGCCACGCTGTTCAGGAGGATAGTGGTGCAATACGAGAAGATGCGGAAGAGAAATGCATATCTGGAGCAGTACAAGAAGGAAGCACCCTTCTCGGAAGGGCTGGGTGAATTCGACGAGGCGAAAGAGGTGGTCATGGGCTTGGTCGGAGAATACGAGGCGGCTGAGAAGGACGACTACCTTGACCCTGATGCTGGAGATAGGAAGGCGGATGGCGCGTAATCGAGCCTGGCGGTCGCGTACGTACCTATGGACGACTCAATGATCCTCAGCCGTCGAATTTCTGTGACGGAGGTGGCCTGCACGAGGGTCTGGATACGAAGCTTAAACTGGAACTTTGAATGACTGCATGAGAGACGATGATATGATGGCGCATAAAGTTTTTATGTGACCACGAGTGTTGACCACTTGGCAACAAGATGTGGGATGGAGATAAGAATCACGTTGAGATGCATGTGGTCATGGACCCCGAAAACGAACTGTGTTGCAAAGCACAGTAGACAGATCTTCCGCTCCAATGCTTGCAGCTATCTCTCAGTTTCCGACTACGCCAATAACAGCAAAGAAGTACCAAACATCGTCAGAAGCAGCGAGCGGCCGAGGTCCGCGCTGCAAGTGCACATCGACCCTTGTCTCGCCATACCTATGAGCGCATGATCAATATGTTATCACGGTTATCTCGAATCAACCAAGGGTTGCAATATGATTGTCAGAAATCCCAAGCTCTGATAAGGGCAAATTCCGACTGCAAACCGGCATCGGACACGAGGACGAACAGCTGCAGACATGATGCTTGCGAACAGACTTGTCACTTTCCTACGCAGTCGGCGACTGAACGAGAGCAAACAGATTCATGTCCGATGCCGCATCGTTACTGTGCCAGGAAACCAACCGGTCCATTTGACAAAGACGCCGCCCCACGAAAACCGCGTATGAGGTGAGGACAACAATCAATGTGGGCTGTTATTGCTGCAAGCTACTCCCGTACAGGTGACAACAAGGCAATTGTCCCAATTGTCTTGGCTCGTTGGCCGGCCTTTGGGATGTTTTTAGTGGACATCACAGAGACCAGCGCGCAGGCTCTTTGAGCAGGGCAACCTCTCAAGCGGCTGGCCACTGCGGTCAGCAGGATTAGCATGTTGCTTTGGGCCACGCACAGGCACGTAAGGGTCGCAAGCGCTGGCCCGTGATCTGGACCTTCAGGGACGGTCGGCAGGGTCAGTGGAGACGAAGCACGGCTCCAACAGAGAGTCAGTCGGAGGTACTGTAATAGTAGTGGTGAGCGCATGGTATCGAATGGAGACGAGCTTGACAAGAGGCAGATGAACCCAAAAGTCTGCCGCGCTTGCCACTCTTTGTTAGTTATGATCAGCAACCGGAGAAATCAGCTGGGCCTCTTGAATAATTGACCATGCGCTTCATCCCATCACATCGGCTTGCAGCTCAACCATCAGCTCAGACTGAATATCGATTCATCGCAACTCGGCGACTTGTCTCGTTCGCCAGTGTTCGGCACTCCATTAACTGGGCTGCATTACCGCGTAACCCCCCTAATCCGCGCCTTTTACCTCCGTTACAACCTTAAAAACTAAATTCTACGAGTCCTCGTACGAAGCAGCTGCTTTTGGTGCTTGTCCATGTGCTGGCTCCGTCCCAAAGTATCCGATCCCTTGGATCCGCATCCGCCATCCACGCCAACCGTGATATCCACAATCGCAGGATCCAGGGTTTCCTCATCGCCTCCAAATCAGCCACCCTGACACTAATCCACATAACTACAGTAGCCGCCTGTTGCCTCATCGTTTGTCTCCAACCTTGCTTCGGACCATCTGACTAGGTCCTTGCTACGAACGGAGAACCATCCACTGCCAGGCAATACATTACACGGCTCTGCCCTTCTCACAATCTTCACTTCCTCCATCCTCATCTACCACTTCTACACCTGCTTCTAGGACAGTCCGTCTTCTTTCAGCGCCCTTGAACCTAGCAACCGGTCACGCTATCGCTCGGACTAGCACCGACACCCTCATTAGTCGGCCGACGCTCCGCTCTTCTCCATCCGAATTCGTCATCAGTCACGAGCCTGTCTGCTGCATCCGACTGTTTGTCACCCGCCTCAAAGTCTTGACTTCGGTCTGATCTTGTTAACACTTCCGAAGTCTGATCTTGTTAACACTTGCCATCTGTCTTGCCAACACCCACCTCACCGTCAACATGAATCGCTCAAGATCAGGCTCTGCCTCCTCCAACACATCATCCAGCAAGGAGCTTCCCGCCGACAACATGGCTATCCAGGTGCAGATCAGTGGTGGCAAGAGTAAGCAGTGCCTTCTAGAAGTCGCGCGAGTTAATGTATCCTGACAAATGCCTCACAGCGATCAAACTCAATGTCCGACCCGTCCACACCGTCTCGAACGTCCTCGAGTTCCTTTCCGCATCGACGAGCTTACCAGCCGACGTACAACTCATGCTCGACGGCAAGCCACTAGACCCGTCCACCACCGTTGGCGAGCTCAAGCTTGGAGAATTATCCACTTTGAAACTCTCATCGCCATCGCGAAGTCCCACAGCGGCCACAGATCCACCACAACAACCACAATCAGAGATGACGGCAATCCAACCCCCGACGCCCTCCTCGTCCACACCCGTTCCTTCGTCCGGCGCTTCGACCCCCAAGAAGAAGTCGAACAAGCCTCGCTGCTCCAAGGACGGATGCAAAACAGCGGCCCAGCCGATCGTCGGAGATTGCGGGTTCTGTCAGAAGCGCTTCTGCGGCAAGCACCGCATGTTGGAGTCCCATAACTGCGAAGGCCTAGCGGATGCTCGAAAGGCGGACAAGGACAGGAATACCGCCAAACTGCAGGGCGAGCGAACCGTCATGCTCCGCGGTCTATAGGTGGCGGCGCATCCACTTGGGCCTAGCCAAGAGGAGAGAACACCACCACAGCCACGGCTTTGATCTTTCGTGTGTCGTCTTTATTCTTCACTTCGGCGCGGTCACTAAATTATTACTGCGCGGCGTTCGGGTGGTGACGGCCCGGTCTGTCGATCGGCGGTACACTGGGATTCGTACAGTATCTGGGCAACGACTCTCGGGATGGGCATCGGCATCAGTTAGGTACGGGATTCGCAAGGCTCCGGTACGGGTACGAGCACGGGCAACGGTATCTACTGTATCTTCGCAGGTTCAGAGCGCCACTCATGGCTGGCAAAAAGGGATCCAGCCTGGGATGTTTTCCTGTGCCTTTCTGTGCATGGGTTAGAAATGGCAGTGGCATTCCGCCTCGCTCATGACGGGCCATCTACACTATACGGTACTGTATAGAGGTAGATTCAACAAATTTCCCAAATCTATCAGGCATCCAAGCACGGTGAAAGAACTCATCGCCGTTCGGAGCATCCCTCCTGCTTTCGTGTTTGGCGCCAGAATTTTGTAACAATAGGAGCGCCGGGAGGATAGCGAATGAACCACGGTGAAACGACCGCATCGCCGTTTCTTTATAAATGTGAAAGGACCTCACCGGCGTTCATTCATTGCATTCATTTCCGAATCCCATGTTTGGCGTGAGACTTTGGCAACAACACTGTAGGGCATAGAGGAGATAGGCAAGCTCGGTTAGGGGCTTACCCCGGTGAGCGTGGTGCCTTTAGTGAATCTGATACAGTTATTGCTTTCTCTGCCCTCTACTGTGCTGGATCATGATGGGTGGTGTCCTTTATACACTTGGCCTACCTACCTAGTATATAAGGAGGTGAAGGCGATCTACATAAGGTAGACTCTGTGCTCGGCGACCATCGAAGCCGTGTCGCGTCACCGGGCAGGACATGTTATTGTACGTAGGTATGGAGGCCTGTATGCAGGTGTGCTATTGTACTTGCGTTGTGTAGTATCGATGACTGTTTGCAGGTACATTAGGTATATCAGGGAGGGCATCGCATTAGCATTGCATGGCACGGGACGGGATTGCACTACATACTGTAATTGGTTTACGGTAGATTCCATTCCTATCTTCCTAGGTATCTTCCTACCTAATATCTCTACCCCTCGGCACACTGGTACTGGATGCTTGGATGAACGTAAGGAGTATGCCCGTAGAAAAACGGTCCAGGTACAGCTCGTCCGTGTTCGGCGTGTTTGTAATGATTAGTGATATTCATTCGGCAGGATTGCGTATGTAGCTTGCTTGAGCCATCAAAGTCATTGTATGGAGTATGGCGGGCTGGCTTGCGTAGCATGCTTTCACCAACAAGTTCTTCTATTCCAGCATAGCTTGCTTGCTTGCACTCTTAGATCCTTCTGTTCCTGCGCGGGTTGCTTTCACCTTTGGGTCTTTCTATTCGTGCATGGGTTACAGTCAATTTACCCCGGGGTCCTTGTACTCCTGCGTGGCTTGCATTTTACCATCAAGTCCCTCTATTCCTGCGTGGATTGCTTGTCTCGGTCGCATTGTCGTCGGCCGGCGTCTTCCTTGTCCTGGTCCTGGAGCAATGGTGAAGAGGTACCTAGGTAGATAGCTAGATAGGTGTGATGAGCGCCTGCTCAGCACACATCGCCGCAGATCTGGAGTTGAGGGCGCGATATCGGGTGGGAACTTCTCGCGCTTGGTAGCCAAGGACAGTAGATTATGGGCGAGGTGTGTGAGGAGCCTAGCCGAGCCACAGAGGGAATGACTTGCCGGGACTTGTATTGTCATCTCCTCGACACTCAGTATGGATCAAGCAACGAAATTGACTTTGAGGTCTTGTGCCCGTAACTTGGGCGGTGATGGGCCCCCCTCCTATGCGGTTGTTCTCGTACACACTGGAGTTGATACCTAGATTGTGGTTTGGGCGGTCCTGAAGACGGTCTTGCCTCCCACGGCGTGGTCTACGACACAGAGTGTGACGCCTTGCAGACGCTAACTTGTAGTCTCGCGGTTCTCCCAGTAGTTGAAGGTGCTGATCTGTTTCACATCCCAGGGCGGCGCTACCCCATTGTTGTTGACCGCAGCACCCTCCTGGAATCTGCCTGCATCTCTTTTCCGCTTGCAATATTTCCTGGCGCACTTTTCCACATGGTCCCAGTCGTCCGACTTCAGATAAGTCTTCACTGCCTTGCCGTCGTCGTGGAGTCTGCGAAATGCCTCGCGCACCCATGAAAGGCAATTGAACGCCGAGTCGTCGCCGCGGATAGGCATGTCCCGCAGTATCGACCGGAGGCGCTCTTCATCCGAGACTTTGCAGACAGCCACACGGACTAAGCATCTCTGCGCACCTGTACTCAACGGGATGTCTTGCTCCTCATAGAGATACCTGTCCGACTGCTCGTCGAGGTGGGCCACATGGTACCGCGTCCCCGCGTCTGTTCGGCAGGCCGTCTGGGGCCCAACTACGAGGGTCCAGTGGTACGAGTCACAGCTGGAGACGTTGCGGAAGGTAGAAGCCGTTGAAGAGTCTCCGCGCGGATAAAGTGCAACGTACAGTCGCGGTTTGTCCTTTGTGGGCTTCGCGGAGGAGGAGGAGGAGGACAAGGCGCGGAGGAAGTGAGGCCTGGAACTAGGGCTTGTAGGAGCCATTGCTCTTGCAGGCTTTCTGTGGACGAAGTGGATAAGTGTCAGTCATACAGAAGAAGGGCAGACCGGCGTGATGAGGTGCGACACATGATTATTGAGCCGAGTTTCCTGCGTTCAGCTCGTATGCGGAGGACGAGGCAGGGCGCGATGCACTCGCTTTTGGTGGGGAGGAGGATTAGAAACCACCAAAGTTCGAACCATGTGAGACACAGGTGGCTCGCTTCCGGGGGTCGGCTAAACTGTTGTTAGTGCAGCGATATATGTTGAAGAAGATTGGTCACTGCTGAGTGAGTCTTCTCGATGCATTGTTGAGCCATTTCAGCACATAGGATAAAGAGTATTGAACATGAGATGGTTACACTTGTTAGGAAACCCCGCGTCCCGAATACGTGATCAGTATGTGCACAAGGAAAACTTCCTCCAGCGACACAAGATGTCCCGCAGCGATTAACAGCTGCTGGCTGGCTCATTGGATCCATCTCCTAAGAGCCAGTACGGAGTACTGCGTAGGACAAGTATGGAGCATCATGGTCAAGGGAAGTCTCTGCATTTCCATGTCCTGCAGAAGCCCATCTGCGTACACCACATCATCCCACGTCAAAAAGGCTTGAGGAGTCCGAAGAAGCATGACGGCGAGCACGGATATTCCGGAGCACAAGGCGGCGGACTTGACCAACAGGTAAAAGCCCGCTGGAGATCTTAGGGCGTTCAGCCACAGTTTGTGGCGGTGCAGATGACGAGGCAGAATGCTTAATTACCCAAACGATGCCTTGATTCGTCACGTTGCGTCACTCTGGGAACCAGCTGTGGCGTCCCTAAACCACGAGCGGCAGCCGCCTGAGGGCTGTGATGACCAGAAGCACGCCGAAACACACGTCATGTGGCTCGATCACGTCCTTCATTCCTTGGACCGTGCCCAGAAGGGCCAGGTTAGACAAAATTAGTGTCCAAGATGCAGGCAGGCGAGGCAGGATGTTCGTAATCTGGACGAGGACTCGGGTTGACCAGTGAGTGACTGCGTCCGGCCCCAGCCATCCTACAGGTGACAGGCTCATCTAAATAGGCTCGCTGGATCTTCCGGCGCGCAATCTTCCTGCCTTCTGTTTCCTCTTCACTACATACTGTTCTCCCATCGACTATCGCTTCGTTCTAGAAATCCTCGCAACTGTGTCTATTGATTCACAAGTCGATTCTCTAATCCCAGCACTACCACCCACAACACCATCAACATGCCGTTCACTGCATCGTAAGTTGTTCCGGGCACCTTCCGTGCCCTTCCGCGCCGTGCGCCGCAGAGCTGACACTGCTTTGCAGCGACATCTGCAAGATCATTCTTGCCATCATCCTCCCTCCTCTCGGTGTCTTCCTTGAGAGAGGTTGCAATGCCGACTTCTTCATCAACATCCTGCTTACAATCCTGGGTTATATTCCGGGTATCATCCACGCACTGTACGTTCAGGCGCACCAAGCCAATCTTACAGATACGCGCCGGATGCATGCTAACACATGGACCAGCTACATCATCCTGAAGTACTGAGCGACGAGCACCACATACCTCTCGATGCCCGCTGCGATCCGCTAGCTTCTGACAAGGACCGACCCAACCTTGTCGAAACTCTTGATATCCCCATTGCTTGTGATTCTCAGAGCATGATGCACGTAGAACTTCCACGACTTGCCCAGCACAACAGATCGAGCACCAGATCGGCTTCCGCGATTGATTGACAAGCGCAAGATTTGCTTGGCAACAGACGGGCAATTCAACTTGGATAGGGAAGTGCAACATGGGCTATTGTACAACTCGTTTGCTGGACGGATGAGAGCATTTCCGTCCTACTTCGGCGCGACAAGGACATCAATGCTGCTGCACGTGGTCTGGATGTAAACAGCTTAATTCGGCATAATGAGACAACCTGTTACCTCTCAGTAGTCAGTTTCTCTTTGTTTATGCTTTGTTCTAATGCGTGCGGGAGCTCGGATTGACTAGTTCTGACAGCCTTGTGGTATGGTGAAACCGAACTTGTTCCTCGGAGCTTGGATTTCCGGAGCCTTGGATTCTAGCATCTTGCACTTAGTCAAGGCTGGGAATCCTGGCTGTTCGAGATTCTTTGCACGGCAGTGCGCGTCATCCGAGGCTAGATAGAGTCACTTGCAATCTTAACGTCCTGGGAGACAACAGGTTGTCAATGTTGTCCTGTAGCAGGATGACAAAAACCGCCGGATGCCGGAGGATGATACAGAGACCGAAGTCGGGCGCCAGGACATCCGCGACCAGCGCAGTCAGCTCACTGTCAAAGACAACTCAATTACACAGGGCAACGCAAGCAGGATTGCATCGGTGACGAATAACAAATACCCAGGGGCCCGTCTTGCTCATCATCAATCAGCGAGGAAGCGCCCGTTCGCGCCCAGTTTTCCGTAACCGCCTGGTCATATCCGAGCCCTGCAGCCATTGCGCAAGGATAGCTAGGGCTCGCTCACGTGACAACTCCTGGCGTTCGCTTAGGACAATCCCTAACCGCTGGCTCGGCGACTACGCTTCATCCAATGCTTCACATTCGACCATGTTCACCATGATGCTTCCTCGGTTTCAGGCCATACAACCTATCGCTGTCCAGTGTGGAAGCCGCCATCGTCATACAGCCGCGAGGATGTCCTGCTCAGGGACAAAACTTCTACGTCGACCCTGCTCGAGGGGTAAGGTAAGGGCAAAAGTGTAAACCCAAGGATCATGACCCCAGATTGCCTTTGCGGCGCATATCTGCAGCAAATCTCCCCGTGTTGTCGCTGCTGAAGATCGCTTTCCTGTTGTTGAACACTGTGTACCTGCAAACCAGTCGTGTCGTGACCGTTCACAGAAACATTTCCGCAAACGGACCTTTCGAAGGCATGAGCCATCAGCGATGACAAAGGCCACCCACTCGACATGCGGTACCCTACGTGGACCTCTCCGAGTCCGGCGTCGACTTTACACGATGGCCTCGAGCTCCGTGCCCGACAAGCCTCAACAAATACGAGTACCTGCCTCCCTCAATCCATCCTCTCGACAGTCCCGAGTTGCGCAGTCAGTTGCATTGCATCCTTCACCGGTCTCAACTACCCAGGTGCCACCTGCGCCAACACCTCAGATCTCAGCTACCTGTGCATACAGCCAAATACTGCTGGGCTCACAATTGGAGAGGGGTCGGTACAGTGCGTTGTGGCGTCTTGTAGCGGACAGGAGCAGCGAGACGTGGACGTGTACAACATCTGTGATGGTATAGCAAATGCCCAACCGAGGACGGCTCGAACCATCACAGCTACGATAATCGCAAGTGCCACCTCGTCAGCTACCTCGACATCTTCCACGATGGAAAGCCTCCCTGTTACAATCGGCAACCCGACGACGACTGAGGATGTGAGTACGATTGTGATGGCCACTGACAGCCCAACCTGGATAATAGCGGCATCATCGGCGACATCGACGTCTGCAGCTGCTCCTTCTGCTTCTAGCATGTCTTTGGAGCCCTCGGCAACATCTGCTGCCAGTGCTATGTCTGACAAACCTTCCCCTAGCGGAGGTCTCACAACCCCTCAGATAGCCGGGATAGCCATCGGCGGTGCCGCTACCGTGGTGGTAGTTCTCGGTTTGTTCATGCTTACATTATGGATGCGCCGACGGCGCCGTCAACGTCGTCGAAGTCAGAGGCGATCGAGGATTATAGAGCAGACACCTCCCCCGAATTATCAAAGTCCACCGAAAAAGGCTACACCGATATTCGACGACATTGGCTCGTCGCTAACAGTGCCTCAGGCGAACGGTCGCTTCTATGGCGCCCAGCAGCCGATGGAAGAAAAGAGGAGAAGCTTCTGGCGAAAGAGCATTCGACCGGAAGACATCGGCGTCGCTGTTTCGCCAAAGGTACCTGGCGAACACTCCCCCGTTAGCGCATCGTCTGAGCAGAGTTCCTCTTTCCTCCTGCCCGCCGTGCCTGTTGCAGCACTGCGACCTGCGCCTCTTGATCTTGAGGCTACAAGGGATCGCAGGAGATATACCCAACGGCCTGTTAGTGATGTCACCGAGTTTGATGATGAACCCCAGATCAGGGCGCAAGAGCCCGAGCGGATCCTCATTGACAACCAGCCGTTTATCCTAGAAAAGCCGCCACTGGCGAAAAGACCACGAGGAGCTCCATCGAACCTGAAACTGCCAGCGGTGCCCGAAAGTTCTCCTCGAAATGCATCACAGGCACGAATTCCCCTGACACCGACATATGACAACGGAAACGTCGATTTTGCATCACCACCCAGCGTTCGTTCGCCTATGGTAACACAAGGACCGGTTCCTGTGGCCGAACGCAAGTTGCCTTCGTCATCAATGTACGCAAGCAGAAACGTCTTGCGGAAGAATCCGCCTCCAAGACTACCTCTGCGAGTGGTCACTGGTCGATCGGTTGAGCCTCTCACGCAGCCGCGTAGTGCTCCCCGTCCACCTCAGGCACCTCCAACGACGCAGAAGGCAGGGTCCGCACGAAACGAGATCTCAGCACTACAGAGACAGAGCTCTGTCAGCTCGGTATATACCGAGATTGAAGAAGACACGACGCCGGAAGAGATAAACAAACAGCTTGGGCTGCGAGCCAACCCGCCAACAGCTATCACCTCTACATTTCCGCAGCAAGTAGCTGCGAGCCAAGGGAGCCCGATCAAGGATCTAAGATATCCCGAAATACCGCGCTCGGCGGCCGTATCGAGGCAAGCAGAGAAATCTGCACAACCTCGCGCAAGCCCCAGTCTGGCATCAACTCCAGTGCCTGCCCCAAGAACCATCCCGGCCGTGCGACCAAAGAGGGACGAGCTTGTCCGAGCCGAAGCCAGCTTTATGGTAACGGATACAACTTCCTCGGATGGATATTATTCTGACTCGACCATCGAGTTTCCTATCCCGCCCACGTTTAAGACTCGAATGTCAAGTCTGTCTCAACTGAGGAACAATCCCTCCAGTGGGAACAAAGGCATTATACCTCCAAAGACGCTCACTTTTCTACACGAGTCCTCCTCGGAGACAAAGACGGTGGATGTCACAATACCGCAGCGGTCGCCGTCCACCAAAGCTCGATTGACACCAAAACAATCAAGCACCGGGGATTTGTATATAACGGTTGAGATCTGAGGAGCCATCCTTGACAGCCAGTGCTTTTTTCCCAGCTTTGTATTACTATTTCGCATCAGATGAAGGTCATTTTACATCCCAGATACCAGTACAATGTACTGTAGCGTGAAAGCCTAGCGGCGACACAGGTTAGATGGCTTTATGGAGAGAGAATGATAGCACGAAAATACAAACATTTAATCTTGCTTGTTCCGGGATTACCACCTCCGTATGTACCCCTGCCAACCCCAGTCTGACAGGGTTCAGGGGTCTTTTAATAGGGAGCCAAGAAAATCACTCTCCATGACCTTGACCTTCGCACGCCATCTTTAGATCCGTTTAACGAAGGTCCAAACCGTTTAACGAGGCCTTTCGTCCTTCTATAGTCGTTTCTTGATACGCGCGCCTTGTATGAAAATACACCTCGGCTCCGGAGACCACCGCGTTGCTCGAAGCTAAGCTATGCTAAAGGGAATCTTGCCTTGTCGCCAAGGGAAAATAGTGACTGAGATCCCTCATGGCACACGCAAAGTGAGACGGCATTTATCCAACCGTGTTGCGCTGAATGCGCAGACCCCGGCGGAAAGAACAAGAGTCGAGTCACAGCACGCTGCAAAACCTCGAAGGGTTTCATGGGCTAAGGCATCATCCCGATCAAATAGTTCGGTGGGCGGAGAGAGATCAGCCCTTCAACGATCTCCAGGTCCTGGAAACAGATCCACCCGCGATGATGATAAAGGTGGAGGTATTCGAGAAGGGTTCACCTGGTCGACGAAGGATCCGGCCCTCGTGGTGAGTGCAATGTTCCTCTACAAGATCCACCTCACCCACTTTCGAGTCACTCTGTCAACTTGTACTTGAAAGCTCTAATGCAAGCTCAGAATCTACAACCACTGCTAGCTGCTGTTGCAAATTATCGGGGCAAAAGGGAAGTGGTGAGGACGATAGTCGTATTGGCGACGCCGTCTCTGGCTTCTCTACTTGAGCCTGGGGATTTCCCCCGAGATCTCCTTCCAGCACTATATCATGGACGCCGGTCGTCTTCTGGACAAGGAGCCGAGATGGATGTGAACTGCGTTTACGGTGTTGTCGACGCACTCCCTGTACCGATTGCGGTTTCCACAAGGGAAGACGGACCCTCGCCTCGTCTCACTGGCAAGGAAGGGCTTGCAGTCTTTTTAAGTTCCGATGCGTGGCGCTCACGGTCTCGCGATGCTTCGACGACGGCGCACGGTGTCGAAGAGGCAGAATCCGCCACAACGCTGGAATTCGCCACTGCGTTTGACCCAAGCGATCTCGACGCTGGCGACGATCAAGGCACGGTCACCTCGCGGCGCGTAAACTTACCAGTCGCCAACACTATTTTCGTCAATGGCCAACGGACTACATTATTCAAAGACGGCTGGGAAATCAAGTTTCGCGAAACCGACGAGCCCACCGTCAACTTTCGCTATCGAAAACCACTTTCCTCGTACCATATAGACCTGGGCTGTCACCCGGATGAGATTGTGAAGGGAGGATCTAGTCCGCTCCAGCAGTTGACCGAACCTAGAAAGGTGGTTGGGTCCATGGGCAACGTCCTGGCCCAGATTGAAGTCGGCACTGAGGCCATCCCTGCCTCACGAGAGCTAGAAAAGGCTGTTCAGACATTCATCGATCGCAATCCTACGAGTACTGCTCAGGGCCCACTGCTCGTCTATGCTCTTATACGCCCAGAAAGCATGATGATCGGCAGGGATGGCCAGCCACACTCTCCCTTAAGCGTTTTGGAGGCTCTGTGGCGAGGAGCAAAGCTGTTCAAAGTATCAGGCGGTGGAGGAGGCTGGGGCAAGCGGCAAGGCCTGCTTTCTCTGGAAGCTGCGGTGAACTTCGAAGGCCCAGATGCTCAGTCGACAGCTGGATTCCCCGACCTTGACGACGATGAGACTGGCGTGGAAGCACTGGGATCGCGTGGTATAATACCTCCATCGAGCACGGTGGAGTTCCTTGTGCATGCTCCGAGCCCAGCCTCTGCAGATTCTCAAGCCCAGCAGTACTCATCTTCGCTGCCTGAGACGAAAGCCTCTACAGTGGTGCTCGGGACGGGCAGAGACCCTGACACTCGAGATGATGTGGTGATGGATAGCGACAAGGACGCTACAGGGGTATACTTTGTGCCTCACCATTTCGGAATGATCTCCTACGGCGGTGCGGCTTTAACCAGCATCAGTAAGGTCCCTTTCTCGCAGCTAGCGCCAATCAAGCGTACGGAGACACGTCTTGATGTGCCAAATACATGTTTTATCCTTGGTGGCGGGAGCGATCTGGACTCTGAAGAGTAGCGCCAGGATATAGATGATGCACGCAAGCCACAGTGTACCACCAAGGAGATGTTTAAGGCCTTGTATAATACTCGACTCGGTGATAGACAGTGCAGATAGAGCAAGCTGAGCAAGGGTTGAGCGAGCGAAGGGAGCAACTTACGAACGGGGCTGGTCCAGATGGCAATCAGCCGCCGCTTCCAAGCCCAGCATCACTTCAAACTGAGAATATGGCATGGATGTCGGCCTGCTAAAAGGCAAGCTGTGCCGCCACCGTAGAGAGGTTGAAACATTATTCGGTTGTCTCTCTATGTTAACCATGGCCGAATCCTTGCAATCCTAACCTCGTCTAAATGGGAGCGGTCATGATCTCGACTCAAGCACATCCACATCTAATTCTTGCATCACCTGTAGGACAACGCCGAGCGATTCCATGAAGCCATTGACAGCGACTCGAAGCATGCGGTTGGTAGTTGCACTGTACTCGGTGCGCAGGATCGTCTTGTGAGAATCATCCGCAGCATTCTTCTGCTCCTCAGCAACATCGCCATTGACCCGGTCCGCTGCAACCACGGTGAAATTTCGCCGCACCAAAGGGGACAACTCCGCATCCACCTGCAATGCACGCATGGCGGTGGAGGCCAGCCGATTGCTCAGAAGAGGGACATCAACCACCCTGGACGGCATGATCAGTGGGGTCAGGGTGTAGGTCAGTAGTGGGAGGCTGAACGCACAGTGAGCATGGGTACTCGGATTGAGTAGCAGGATCGACCATGATAGCGGTGCCCCAGGATGCGGGATTGGGGCTGTTTGGGGACAAAGAAAGTGTGGTGTCGGTAGTGGTGATGTGATGGTGGCGTTTTCCAGGGTTTGTTAATAGTCGATCTGCTGGTTGCTGGGAAACGGCATGTCAACACCACCGCCTGTTTCAACTCATCGCCCTGCGCCCACATATTCTAACCTGCACCTCGCATTTCCCGCATCACCACTCTACTCATATCACCTCCAGTCACTCGTCGCATCTTTACTCCCGCCGCTCTCATCCATTTAGAGATCTATGCTTCCTTGCTCCATCGTTGCGCCGTGTTCTCGCAGTGGTATGCCGCAGAGCTAGACACATTCCAATCACCCCAGCGTGTTGACAAGCACTCCGTCTGCATTCAGCGCCCCAAGCTTCTGCACGACTGTTGCCCGACGCCGCTCTATCCAAAAAAGACCCTAGACGGCAAGCAACAGCGACCGACTATCCGTCCTCAGCAGCGATGCCGCCTTCACTGGGACATCCTGCCAGCTATGGCCAGGTCATTGAGTACATTCAAGGTAACTTAACTTCACATGAAACAAAACATTGCCCCTCGCCGCGATGCGCAAGACTGACGATCCCAACTACCCACCAGACCGACTGTACCTAGCATCATACACCCACGCACCCGACGAGCATACTCCGTTCCCGTATCCTACCCAAGCCAAGCGATCGCCGCAGAAGCGGTCGGCCAGGGCACAACCATCGCCCACTCCTGCGAAGCTACGGCCACCCCCGGTCTACTTCACCATCGACGATACCTTGCTCTACAATGCCTTCCACGCCGATTTTGGTCCGTTGCACATCGGCCACCTTTACAGATTCGCAGTGCAGTTTCACGAGATACTGGGCGACCCGGGCAACAATGACAAGGCGGTGGTGTTCTGGAGCAGAGCTGACGCAAGAAGCCGTGCGAACGCTGCATGTTTGGTCGCATGCTACATGGTCTTGATCCAAGCATGGCCTCCCCATCTAGCTCTGGCACCCATTGCACAGGCAGACCCTCCCTACATGCCATTCAGAGATGCCGGATACAGCCAGGCCGATTTCATTCTGAACATTCAAGATATCGTCTACGGGGTGTGGAAGGCTAAAGAAGAGAACCTGTGCCAGCTGAAGGAATTCAACCTTGAAGAGTATGTCTTTTCCACTCACAGACAAAAGCACACGTGCTAACTTTCCTCTTTAGGTATGAGCGATATGAGCGAGTCGACCAAGGTGATTTCAACTGGGTTTCGCCTCAGTTCGTTGCGTTTGCGTCGCCACAATCGGAGCCTGTCGCACCGATTCCTACGTCCTCGCCGGCATATGCGACCCTGCCGTCCTGCATTCCTGAGATCCAACATGCCAGAATACCTCAGCCGTTCAAGAACGTCCTGACCCACTTTGTCCAGCGCGATGTTGGTCTGGTCGTGCGACTCAACTCGGAGCTTTACTGCCCAACATACTTCACCGCCCTTGGCATCCAGCACATCGATATGATCTTTGAAGATGGAACCTGTCCTGCCTTACCCATCGTCCGCAAATTCATCAAGCTTGCTCGTGACACGATTGCCAAGAAGAAGGGCATTGCCGTCCATTGCAAAGCTGGTCTGGGGAGAACTGGCTGCTTGATTGGCGCTTACCTGATCTATCGCCACGGCTTCACTGCGAACGAAGTCATTTCTTTCATGCGATTCATGCGTCCGGGGATGGTGGTTGGTCCACAACAACATTGGCTTCACCTGAATCAAGGACAATTCCGCGAGTGGTACCTGGAAGATCAATGGAAGGCGAAGATGGAGCTTGCTAAGCCTTCGACGCCCCGCGCCCTCTCGGCCAAGACACCCATGCGCCTTTCGAGTGGTGCTCAGACGGCGACACCAGAACGATCCAGTTCCCAGCGGACGGCACTCGGAGAGATTGATGGCAATGATGTGGCAACCGGTTACCAGGATGAGAACCTGCCAGCCCCTACACCTGGTCAGCCCAGAAAATATGCTCGTATGGATCCTCGGCAGCACCCATATTCTCGATCAACCTCTGGCTCTATGCGCGTCAACGGAGCCAAGTCTGAAAGTGAAGTCGTTACAAACGAGATTCACCGACAGAGCACAAGCGGCATAGATAGCGAAGAGGAGCTCATTCTTCAGAGAGCGGCATCGCGGCGAAGCCAGAGCAAGAGTCCGGGTAGCAAGGGCAAGGCTAGGAGCGTGTCATACACCACTACCACCACGACAGTGACCAAGTCATTCGACGTTGGTGATACCATGGGCATCTATGAAGACGATGGCGACGTCAATTTTCGCATGGAAGATACCAACGCGATCTGGGATGAACTCGCACAGGAACAGGAGAATCTGAAGCTCAGCACGCGAAGTGAGAAGGCTGAGACCATCCGCAAGACCCCGAGATCCGCCAGTGGTATGGGCGCCATGGGCGTTGCGAAGACCAGATCGATTCGCGAGTCCCCTCGTCGCAGTGGCGGAGAAGACAAGATGAAGGTTCGAAAGACGAGTGGTCGCGTTGGCAGTGCCAGCCACGGTCCAGTCAGCGTCAAGCGGTAGTGCTGCGAGAGCCATCACCACCTGAGCGTAAGCATTTCACTGTGATTACGCTGCCATGAGTGACGGTCGCAAAACCCTTTCTTCAAATGATGGCGAATAAGTGAGCATTTTTTGGACTCAGTCATGACCGCGGGGGATTCTGTACATGTACATGGCATCTGGACTGGGTACGCATGGCGTGATTATCGTGGGACTTGAACCCTCGACAATGATGAAAAATGGCTGTGTTTGCTCAGGACTCGCTGGAATGACTTGAATTCGATATGACTGGGCAAGGCGCACAGAGGAGCAAATTGGGTTGGGACAGGTCATCGGCTTCATGGTTCGGCATGGTGTCCCAAAGCAACGATGATGCATAGGATCACCGTGTCTGGGTGGCTGGTTGATATGACATCCACGGTCTTTGCGCCCCGGCGTGTACTGTATATCGAACTCTATTGAGCTGCAATGGACATTCAACTTGTGATTGAAAAAGACGAGAAAATGTCTAAGATCGCGGGACTCGGGTCCTGCTGCTCTGGCAATGGTGCCTTTGCCTATGCAGCGAGTCCATTCTATTCCGTATCGGTGTTGTGAATGCTTTCAGCACAGGCGTGCGCTCGTATGTCGTATTTGGACACTCGGTCCGCCAAGCCTCCCACCCCAATCAAAGCAAATGCGGCGACCTCTGCAGCTCCGCAGACGCACAACGCACAATCCCAAACTTTTTTCGTCGATTCCCTCGTGTTGCGACACTCACACATCCACTCATACACATCAAGGCGCAGGATATCAACTTCTTTGCGACCTTCTTTCCGTCTAGCCTACCTTTCTCAAACCCCTCAATTCTTCATACTTTATATCGGTCATAATGTCCGCCGTCAAGGTAAGCACAAGCACCGCTGCTCTTCTCCCTGGGCTCCCTGCCTGGCGACCACGCAAGCGAACGTTCGAGCCGATGTGAATGGTATGCGACGGAATCGGAATCGCTATGAATCGCTTTGCTGGCACGCTTCCCCCGGTCCCAATGGGGCACACACAATGCAGTCCAGTAGGCTAAGATTCTCGTTTCTTTGGCGGGGGATATAGGCTCGCGGGACTGCGCAGAAGGCTGCGACGCCTTCCAGTCGAGGGAAGAACGTCAAGGGCGGGAAAGTCACGAATAAGGTGCGTATACACACTTGTTTCAATGTCTACTTTCATGCCTTTTCTGTCCCACGCCTACGACCAGCGCTGACCTGAGTCCGCGTCTACAGTACACGATCAACTGCTCCCAACCCGTCAGCGACAAGATCTTCGACCTCGGCGCGTTCGAAAAGTTCCTGCACGACCGCATCAAGGTCGAGGGCCGGACGGGCAACCTCGGCGACAACATCGACATCAAGCAGGTCGGCGATGGCAAGATCGAGGTCGTCACCCACATTCCGTTCTCGGGCCGCTATCTGAAGTATCTGTGAGTGGTGGGCCCCATCAACACCGAGTGGAATATCCTTGGTTTTGTGCTGTGAGGTGCCACGTGGTGAATGACCGACTAACATGGATGGCGTGTGCGCGTGCAGGACCAAGAAATTCCTCAAGAAACAACAGCTCCGCGACTGGTTGCGCGTGGTTTCTACCTCAAAGGGCGTCTACGAACTGCGCTTCTTCAATGTCGTCAACGACGAGGGCGACGACGATGACGAGTAGATCTAGCGTGCTGGCGAGAGATGCCATTCCCACGTCGGGTATGGCTGGGGGTTGTGTGGAGCATGCGGCGGAGCGGCATGCATGTCGAACGGAACAAAGACGGAACAAAAGACCTTGGTGAGGCACGTCGTGGCAGACATCGCCCTGGACAGTAGACAAGGACGGAAAGATGCAGGCACGTATGCATGGGGCATGGGTATCGTTCCCGATACTGCGTCTTCCGTGTGCGCGCACAGTACTCGTCAGAGCCTCCGGGTACTCGGCCGGGTATGAGCGGCCCAAGGAGGCAGCCCTGCTTGCTTGCTTGCTTGCTTGCTCTTTCGGTCTCCCTTGAATCCCTGCATGCCAGAGATTCAGTGGTCTTCTGCTCTCGACGTCCGCCGTGAAGTCAAAGTTTAGAAAATTGTGGAAAGGCATGCATGCATAGAGATCGGTCCGACCTACATATCAGTTAGGAATGGATCAGTCAGGCAGGCAGGCAGACAGGCAGGCTGGCTGGAATCAAAGCGCCATCCGTGGCCAAGTCCAAGTCCATGTTCCGTTCGTTGTTTGTGGTCTATTTGCCGTTGCCGGCGGCCCCGTCGAATTGCGAATTTTCCCAAACCAGTTTGTCAGTCACCCGCCAGTCCACCTCCGTACTTTACTGTAGCTTGTTATCCACGACGAGTCCTCGAGCCCGCGTTAGTTGATCAAACCAGAAATTGCCAGGCAAGGTAACGGAGGTTGCTCTATAGGCCCAGCACAACCCCGGTCGAATCTGTGATCAAAGGGCCCCCTCTTGGGACGGTCGTAGCGTGGACGTGTGTTTGGCATACGAGTCGAGTGTGTAGGCAGACAGGTGGGTGACCAGGCACATGTGCGGTTTGGAAGTACCAGGTACTCCTCGTATCACCTCACACTCACTTATTCACGCCGGTGTTGGTGCCCGTGCTGCATGTTCACAGTATGTACCTAGTTAGATGTGCGAGGGACCAGGAACAGGACCAGGAACAGGACCAGGACCAGGACCAGGAACACGACCAGGAACACGACCAGGAACAGGAACAGGACCAGGACCAGGACCAGGACCAGGACCAGGACCGGTATACGTCGTCGTGCACAGAGGGGGAGTCACCCCTCCGTCCTGCTCTGCACGAGGACGACCGACCTACTGTGTTGTAGAGTGGGTACCTCCCATGCACTGCACTCCAGCCTTTGAGATATGACAACTGTACTGTATTGTGCTGTGCTGTGCTGTGCTGCGGTAGATAACCCCTGTCTGTCTGTCCGTCTGTCCGTGTCCACTGTCGACCAGGCCGAACTCTGATTCCTTAATCTTCAGCTTCCATGTCATGGGACGACGTCCTGACGACGGCCAAGGATTCCATGCGTTCCATGCGTTGCACAGAGTATCGGAACGTGAAGCAGTCAAATCAATGTCAATGGAAGAGACCGGAAACACGAACGGTTCGGCAAAGGTATCTGTCTACTGCGTCTTACACATTTCAGAACATACAAGTTCGCTGCAGGCTGGGCAAGCAGGGCGTTCAATCGATCAATCTACAACCGGACGGACGAAGCGCTGCAAACGCGGGCCTGACTTGATGTGGGAGGTCTGGTCCAGTTCTCAACATGGATCGTTGCTTCAAGCTCAGAACCGGGGGAACATACTTGACAAGCCAGTGTTGGTGGTGTCGTGGCCCTTGGTGGATTAAGATCGAGCATTCTATGTGCTTGTGCGAAATACGACGTCATGACCTCTGCTGTCAAGAAGGGCTCCATGGTTTGACAGGCCAGTGCCTTGGCCTTGGTAGATCAAGATTGAGCATTCTGTGTGCCCGCTCGAGATAGAACCGTAGACGTGCTTGACAACTCAACGTCCTGGCCCTTCGTAGACCAAGATTGAGCATTCTATGTGCCTGCGAGAGATAGAATGCTACAACCTCTGCTGTGAGCTCAGACCAGGGGATATGCTTTGAAAAGTCAATGTCTTGGCCCTTGGTAGGTCGCATTGAGCATTCTATGTGGCCCGCGTAAGATAGAATGTCGTAACCTCTGCTGAGAGTTCAGAACCGGGAATATAGGTTGTACACAACCTCTGCTGAGAGCTTAGAACCGAGAGGCGCGCTTTGACAAGCCAGTGTCTTTGGCCCTTGGTAGATCAAGACCATGATTCAGCATTCTAGGTGTCCCCGTGAGACAGATGATTACAGCCTCTGCTGTGAACTTGCGGGGCTCGACGCTGGTTTTTCATCAGACGTCGCATCGCTGATCTTTCGTAGGCTTTCGGCAGCCTCAGACTCGTTGATACAGATGTACTTGGTACCTCATGTTCTCCAGCTCGATGGGATACTTTAGCGATTGCTGAGTCAAGCGAAACCATCTCGAATCATCACTCACGGCTTTCTTCCACTTACTATTGTCCACATCCAGCAGGGTATGGTCGAGCAGCCACTTCATGGGATACTCCTTGACTGTACCAGTACCAAGCTTGACTTCTGAATAGCTCCCAGGACTGTCCACGACAAGGAGCCAAGCACCCAGAGAAATAGACTCCGTAAGCGCCAGGAGGAACGCTGTCGCTCGCGCGATGGAGGCCGAGAAGAGCTCGTTTAGCGTGAACATGATGGTGCAGAGATGCACGTCCTGCAGCATCAGTGCCAACTCTGCCTCGTCGAAACCCAGAATATCGTGCTGCGAGAAGCGGACGTCAAACGAGTCGGCTGAGATGAACGCTTTATTCGCTGCCCTGGCGCTTTCACTTGCATAGGCAGACAATTGAGGCGGCGTGCATAGTGCATTCTCGAGACTTTGCAGACATGTCGACCAGTCTGCGATGTCGACAACGTGGACAGACATCGTGGCCAATGACGGCAGGATTGTCCGTGCTGCAGCCGCGCATGCAGCCACTTCGGCCCCTCCTCCGCCTCCAATGCAAAGCACTCTACAAGCGCTTCGAGCCACTGGCGATAACGATGGCGATGAAGCTACCATGTCAGTCCGGACTGGCGCTGTACGATCAGGTTCACCAAGTTTGCTCCATGCCTGCTGCAGGTCGCCGTGTAGGAAAATGCTCGTGTACCCGAGTGCACGGCTGGCGCTCCACCTGAGTGCATACGCATCGAGATATTCGGGCTTGGCGAATGCACGGGAAAAGTCGCGTTGGAAGAGGTGGCCTTTGACCTCCTGGATGGTGGTTCGGAGGTCGCGTTGGTCATGATCGAATGGAAATGCCCGGCGGAAGGTGTCAAGAATCATCTGCTGTAGTTCGACCGGTAAGGCGGCGGCGGCGGTGTCATTCTCGACAGCCGCCCTCTTGCTTGTGTCGCCGTGGTGAGGTTTGATTTGACGGGTTCGATTGCTTCGATCCTTCGGCTGCTTCGCCGGAGCCATTGCAGTGGACTGTCGAACTCGACCATCACTCGAAGGCTGTCGAGCGTGATTTTCTCGAATGCTGTGTTACGTGAGGAAATGTCACCCGGATTGAGCGACTTCCGGAGAATCCCCCGAGATTGACTTGTGTGCTGTGTTTCCAATCCGTCCAGTCGGATATTGTGGTGTGCCACGATCCAGACGTCGCTGTTGGTACGTATTTCGCGCCTCGAGCAAGAGGGACTTTACCGGGCAACTACAATGATATTCCGTACTCGAGGAGCCCCGGGGGTGCGTAGGTTCTCGGTCTAGAAATCTCGGGCTAGAAGTGCATAAGCTGAGGTTGTCCCAATTGGTCAAGTGAGGCACCAGGCGACCTTCAAGTCAGTGTGGTGTGTCGACCTGCATGCCGTATGCAGAAGAATTTTTTCTATCCATCCGCATGAGCAGGATAATTATGCACGCCGACAGAGACCAAGGAACTAGCATAAGGCACGGAGTAAGGCGCGAACCAAAGTTCTTTGCTAGCTGGCCGCCATCCGCTTTGTGGTGGGCGCCGAGGGCGTCTTGACGTGATGCTCGAGGCGAAAATGGCATTATTGGGTCTCGCACGCCCAGCTGACGGCGATGGATTATCGCTAACTCAATCTAATGGAAGAGCCTTCCCCTCACATTCTGATGCGGTGTAGCTGCCTCAGTACTGGGTGTGTGCACGGTTCACCTTGGATCTGTATCTGTTACCTCGTATCCGCAGCAACCGAGATTCAAGACGCCGTTGTCGAGGTGACCGCACGAAGCGAGTTTCAGGCTGGACGCACAGCCGTTTGCTCCGTTGTCAGCGAAAGAGACTTCATCTTGCGCAGAACGTCAACCGGTCGAGCCGATTCGACGGCAGCATCCGTAACAATTGTCTGCTCGTCGAGAAAGCCACGAGTCCATCGGATACGAAGAGGGTGTGTCCCAAGACGGTCTGGATGGAAAGCCTCTTTACTCCCTATGCTCCAGTGAGCATGGTTCCTGCGCTAGCTCGTGAGCTTCGACTCCGCCAGGAACAGGCACGGGAGCTTGGTGCCCTGTTTCACGCTGATCGTCGACGATCAGCTTCACTCTTTTGAGCAGAATGCTTGCGCTCTGATGCAGTTTGACATGGCAGTGAATGGCCAAAGCCGCAATCAAACACAGACGAGGTCGGCTCGAGGGGTTTCACCAGCAGCACAAGCACGGAAGCCACTGTGGGAACTGTGTACTGTGTACTCCGTATGGGGAGGGGCACGCACCAATCTCGTCCAGATTGAGCTCATTTGCATTTGCAAGGGCTGCGCCGACCCCGTATCATTGCCTCATCAAAATCGTCTGCCAGCACAGCACATGGCCGCTTCTCAGGTCACGCTGCGAAATTGACAATGTCAATCAGTGATGACCCAGAATACTCCCTTCTGCAGGTGAAGACAGTCTTGCCGAAAGAGGCCGTTGAGATTCTGCAATGCAGGGGTAGCCCATCGGTCGTGCTGTACGATGGCAAGTAGACTTCCGTTCTCTATTGGTGCGCACGTCAGCACGACCATAGCATACGAGTACATAGGCAGGTCGACAGTGGTCTCATTGGAGGCCGCAACGTGGTCGCAATGGATATCACAGTGCCCCCAATGGATGTGCTTGCGAGTTGCCACCACAGATGGTGGGCGGGAGGAGTCGGCAGGCTTAAAGCCCACCTGCAACGCCTAAACGGGACTGGTGACATGCCGCTACGGCTGGTTAAGCCACCGAAAGTTCGCTTGGGGCACGCCTAAAGAGGGCACCTGCCTGGATCCCTCCAACTCTAACTCGTAAGCCAGGCAGCTCGAGGACCCGACCCTGCCTGCCCGGGTTAGCGGCCAGGTTTCCCGGTGGACTGTGTGCGCACGAGCTGACCAAACGCACCCAAACTGCATCCTGCGTGGCTTCTCTATCTCTGACTTTCCTCTCACCACCGTCTGCGATTTTCCTCACCTCCTCCTCCTTCCCTTCCTCCTCTACCTCAAAGAGGCCGCTTATCGCCTTGTGGCTCCTGATAGAAGGAAGTACCTTTGTCGGTCTTTCTTCCAGGTAGCCGTCCACTCCTTCAGCCAACGTCCAGCGCTCACCTTGCACCCCTTCGGCCCGTTCGATCCAAATCTCCCAGCTCGGCTGCGACCCTCATCTTCGTGCTCGAGACTTGTTTCTCAGGTAGCGATAGCAAACAACTCCAGACACAGGTCCTGACCTCCTTCAGATACACCTTGTACGATTCGTTCCTTCACAAACGTCCTGCACACATACTTGCCCATTCAACCGTATTTAATGGTGGTAATCGTTCCTTTACTGGGGTCGCCGCATTCAGAATTATCCAAGGTGCCGGAACACCTCGCACGCGTTACGTCGCACCTTCCTGCTGGCCAGAACAACGATACTACTATTAGTCTTGGGCGGCGGCTCTGTTGAACTATGACTTCAATCTCTGTGCCTGCTTCGGTCCCGGTCTTGTCTCCATTCGACTCAACTCCTGGCAGTCCACCTCGATCCTCACCAGCTCATAGACGGAGAGCTTCGCGGAATCCAAATGCTCCTCCTCCGCTACCACAGTTCTCCTTCAATCCCGGCGGAGACGAGAACGTTGTAGGCACGGAAGGGATGGATATAACGGCGGACGCTGTGAACAACGCGAATGGTGAGGCTGATCGTCGCCTCTCGAAGCCTCTCCCGCTGCCGGAGTTCAAGTTCAATCCGGGAGCAGATCTGCCCACCGAGCGAAGTTCAAGCCCGACACACCCAGTGCTGCAGGAGATGGCTCTCAATCAACAGCGTGCCGTTCGTTCTGCCAGACCTGCACCTCTTCCCGCTTTCACCTTCAACCCGAGTCCTGCACCTGAGGAGGCCTCTCCCAGTCCCACAAAAGGAGGGTTCAGCGACGTTCAACAGTCGCTTCGAGGTGGTCATCGAAGAGGCGGAAGTGAATTTGTTGGTGGCTCGAGGACCGACGGACCTCAGATGGTCAGTACGAGTCCTGAGAAACCGGAATATCGACCGCATCCACCTATGTCCGGGATCAGAGGACATGCACACCGCCGTTCTCAGGCTGTTTCCATTTCCGATATCGACACGTCTGAACTGATCAAAGCCAATGCTGTCGCCAAGGCCCGGGCAGGCTCGACGCCAACGACACCCTCTGATGGCGTAGATGCCTTCGTGTTTCCGAGGAGTACTGCTCACACGCGACAGTCCATGTCAGGTATTGTCAGGACTCCTCCTTCGTCTCCTCGACGCAGGGGTAGTGCCCCCGGTATTCGTCCTCGCGTCGGCTTTTCCGATCATGTGGATGTTATTCCTCGGCCGTTGTCCATGATCTCTTCCGAGACGGAAGGTAGCAACTCGACCATTCGAGGATGCCATTCTCTCTCTGGCAGCATCAACTCGATAGCAGCGAGTCCCACACCGAACCCAACATTGATTGTTAGCCCGTCAAATGATGCACAAGTCTCCCCAGAAAGACCTAAGACAGCGGATGCTCTTTCTACTTTGTCGCAGGGCATGGCCTCCGATAAGACTTTGTCGATGATCAACCTTCCCAAACGCCCACTGTCTGCTTCTGGGTCACCTGGGACTCTGAGTTCAAGCAGCCCCCCCAACAAAAAGAAATACTTCTGGTTCAACCATCCTTCCGACCCCTCCCCATTGTCAACGCCCAAGGCCGAGGTTGGCGATCCTATGGACATCTTCACCTCGCCAGCTCCCAATTCGCGACCTTCTGCGGACGTATTACGGCCACGAACATCATCCAGCGGGTCGGCATCCAAGAAACGGAAATACCACACATGGACGTCTGGTATCTTCTCAAGAAAGTCCGAGAAACGCTCTGGCAAGCTCAAGCGTGGGACTGTGCCAGCACCGCCTCCATTGACGAGAACCCCGAGTGACCATTTGAACGAGATTTTTGATGCCGATGACACAATCGTACTCAGAGAACCTTCGCCAGTGTCGACTCGAGTTCGAGCTTCCTTGCAAAACCTTGCTCCATTGCAGAATTTGCCTTCGAGTGTACCGCAAGAGCAAATCATGAGCCCGGTCATCGATTTAGATGCTGCCTTGGGTCCCTTTGGAAGCGAGCAGATGCTTGCACACGATGGCGCCACCAAACAACCTCCGAGGTTGGCGAAGCTTCATAGCAGTGAACGCAGAGGCGCAGTAGATGCTTTCGGTACAGTCCATAGGAGGACGGAATCAGCACCTGTGATGCCGGCTGTGAACCGCAGCACCTTTGGTCTACATCACATAGGTAGCAATGCGTCTCTGTCGGACGATGTGTTTGATGAAGAGGAGGAAGACAATTTCCTGGCTGGAGAAAATGCTACACAACAGCTTTCGCCCAACAGGTCGGTTGCTGAAGTGCCTGCTGTGTCGCCGCCTCTGGCGAGTCTCAAGATGGACGCACCTGATGGCCTTGGCCTCTCCATGTGCGATAACCCAGGAGACGGAGTCATCATTGTTGACTCAGAGGACGACATCACTCGAGCGGATGACAACAGATCATCTATGGCGACCATTGAGGCTCCTGTCTTCCATCATTTCGAGTCTCGAAAGCGGCCCATGTCTTCACCAATGACTTTTGCGTATCCAGCCCCTCGGTCACATTATACTTCGTCGACGGATGGCCGCACAACTTCGGCTTCGATGATCTCTTCTCCAGATGCAGACCATTTTTCGTTCGACACCATGTCACCGCCATCTCGATCACTTGGAGAACCGAGTCCCGACATGGTTCTTCGTGCCTCAAATGATGATCTTCCTTCTCTCAGTGACAGCATATCCAGTGGCGTCATCCCCAGAATCTCAAGCAGCGCGGGTACGAGGTCTTCTGTCGACCAACGGTCCGCGTCCATGATTGTACCGTCGACCTCGAGGAGGTTGGACAGCACTCAGGCATGGAAGCGATCTAGTTTGGCCAGCCTCAACCGCCTGATCCCAGGCTCATCACATGGTAGCAAGCTCAAATTTGAGACGGTTCCCGATGGTGCTGCGGCGGATGAGAAGAGCAGGAAAAAGACCAATCGGCTAAGCAAGCTGATGCTGTTCTGGCGCTCGAAGGAGAGGATCCCAAACTGAAAAGGTGTGCATCGCATTACCCACTTAACGGCTTTATGAACCGCGCCTAGGCGTTCGGAGCATGACGAATCACGGAATTAGGCTTTGCTTGGTACGGCATTTGTTGATGCACAGTTTACGACATTTCACGAAAAGGAGGCCGAGAATGGCCTGTCATTCCTTCCCCGACTCGAGTCAATCATTACAAACCAATTTTCTTTTTCGACGCGCGGGCCAAAGCCCAGACATACAGGCACTTGGAGCCTCTCTACTCGACGCAATCTCGTCTCTTTTCGCGGCATTGTGGAAGACGCGAAGAACGTTCTTCCGACATTGGTCTATTGGTGTCTGACCAAGCTTGGGGCCTTTTACATACTCGAACATGAACAATCGGTCATGTCCATATGAAGAATTGGCGGAAATCTTGATGAGTGGACTTGATTGAGCTGAATTGATGGAATGAGCTTCGAAGGGTTTTTTTTAACCAGGATCAAACACATGAAACGTTGCTGGAGATGCGGTACAGAACGAAACACTGAGGTAACCTAGCTCTTAGAGCATTGACTGAACATAGTGTCTGAAGACGAATAGAAAGACTGAACCCTCGACTTCATCATGTCCTCTGCTTCGAGATTCTCCCCCTCCCGCTTATAACAAGCGCTTGGCTTGGAACTGCTGGTGACGGCGTCCAGCTCTCTAAAATTTTCTGATACTCCGTTTATTCCATTGCCTGTCTTCGATTTCGTTCGTCTGTTGGTGCTGTCTTCCTTGACTCGAATTGTCTCCGCTTTCTCTCCCAGCGGTGTCGTGAAAGACTCCAAGTCCTGCTGTGAAGCGGTCCCAACCAGAGACATGACTCCCGTTCCCTATCCAACCAGGAAAGCAGCTCAAAATGTACCCTAGGCGACAATGTCAACCACCATTACCACACGTAAACAGGGCCATATCTTGCGTAGAGGTACGCTCAGATCTGCAGCGAGGCGGGAGGGCATGGCAACTCTACTTCAAAGTTCCTTGTGCCGATTGTGCCATTCGTATGGGGAGGCACAACCAGCATCACGAGATCGAAAGAATATATCCATGGGAGTGAACGCCATTTCTTCAAATTGAACCGAGACGGCTTGCAAAGCGGTGACCATCGAATCGATTCGTTGCTATTATGGCTTCACCCAGCGCTGAGGCAGTGATGGCGCTTCACCGCTGTCGCTTGTCACAACAAAACAGCCTCCGCTCAAGCCAATCTTATCCTTGCCTTGCACAGACTCCTTCCACCCTGGCTGGCGAAGTCCGTGAGCTTCTTCAGAGCACTGGGTGGGACTGGGAAAGTACGGTACGCCACCGACATGGCCGCAGCCTTTCTGCTGTCGCTCCCTGATGCGGACGGCTCAACTCTCCCCGAACTGCCGCCCAACCGGTACTTTGACGATCTCTCCACTGTCGATGAGTTACTTGAGCACAGTTCTCCGGTTAGTGATGGTCGGGCAGACGTGAGCGCGTCGCTGCATTTGTCGACATCCGGCGCAAGTACGCTCAAGTTCCCATCCACGGCTCCAAGTCAGACATTGCCCCTTCAAGCCAAGCCAGTGGAGAATCATGCTTCACCGTCTATCACAACGTCATCTGCAAGCAGGTCCAGGTCTGCACCCACGACTGACGAAATTGTCCAGCTGATTCTGATCAACGAGGTGCGCGCCGCCGAAGAGAGATTGGATGCCGATCAGAGGGCGCTCGAAAGAAAAACAGAGATGATCGAGGAAGCCTGGCGAGCGGAAAAGGTGACGTTGGATCAAGAACGGTGGGTCTTGGCGGTCGAGAAGCAGCGTCTGGCGCGAAGAGAAGAGGACCTGACGCAAGGAGAAAGGGACCTGTCACAGAGAGAAAAGGACGTGTCGCTAAGAGAGCAATCTCTCCAGGAGAACACGGACAAGCTGCAAGTGGCTCAAGCCATCTTCAGGGAGCAAAAAGACGAATTTGAGCAGGAGGAGCAGCAGCAGCAGCAGCAGCAGCGTGCCAGGACCCAAAGAATACGTGAGCTCATGTGGGGGGCAAGCGAGGAGGAAGTTACTCTGGTTATGACCATACTTCTCCTTTGCCTGGCAACGCGAGGCTCTTCCACCGATATCTTGGAGCGTCTCAATCTACTCGGTCTGGCAGCCCTTGATATGCTGCATAACCATGTCTCACGTCGAAACGTCCGCTACGATCGTCAAGCGTGACTTTCCACCTTGTCCTGCAACTGACCAAGCAGTGATGGGTACACAATCATTGGAAGACCAGGCGTGTCAATGCAGCGACGCCAGCCTCCACATTCCGTGCCCGTCTGCCGTACCACTGGAAGCCGAATGCTGCGAGCACCGTGGGCAAAGCCTCTCATGGCCCCAATCCATCCCAGCTTTGAAGCCAGCCACTTGCTTTTCCGCAGAGGATATCAAGAACGCAATCCCCGCCAGGAGGAATGTCAATGAAGGACTTGATATTGGCGGTTCCGCATTCGCCGACGAGGAAGGAGTAGCGTGTGGCATTGGCCTAGTTGGTGACTTGCTTTGACCGGGAATGACGCCCGCTGTTTCTGAAATAGGCAGTGACGGGTATGTGAGCAGTAACTGTCTGTCCTTGACTGCACACGCAAACCTGGACCAGCTGGCCGCGCTGGAAGCCAACCACTGGCTGCGGATGGGCTGATGGGCAGGAGACACCATCAGCACCTCATTATGCTGAGATCCACGGACGGTGACCACTGTTGCTGTCCAGTATGGACTAAGGATGCAGCACAACCATTCTGCATCGTCCAGTGGTCGAACTCGGAGTGGACGCCTCGGACCCGGCGAGATACGCTAGAGAGCGTGAGACCGTTCGTCAGGAGTCCAACACAGACATGCTCATCCGGGCATTCAAATCGAGCTTACTCATTTGTTAATGATTTCACCATCGTAACAGCCCCTTCCGTTGGATGAGTGAAGCTTCCCTTGGAAGACGGTCAATCGTTTTGAGTGCAGCTTCCCTCGAAGGTAATTAATCTGCCCATTGGACATCCAAACCGCGGTACGATAGGAGCACTCCGTAAACATCGTAGCTCCGGCTATTCTGGATATCTCCACCCACAGCCATGTGTTGCAGAACAAGTGCCAACCAGCCTCGGTCTCATTGCGATACCTATGGCGGGTCTCGCATGTAGGAGAGATTAGCTTGCTGAACAGTCGAAGGGCTGGATAGCATTCCACGAAGGAAGGCAGTCTCAGTACTCAGTACTCGAGAATCCACCGTAGGTCATCAAGGCAGTGTTGCACGATGGCATTGAGCTGGGGCATTGGAAATACAGTACTCTGTATCGTGTCCATTCATTGGCAATTCGGTCGGAGTAACCTGCAGGAGCGATGTAGAACATTAAGTCTGGCACCTGCACACAGGCCATGCCACTGCGCAGTACTTGAGTTTTTGTGAGGAAGGTCAGCCGATGCACCACGCACCCGCCTCAGGACACAAAAAATAAATTGCACACAACACGCTCGAAGCCTACTCCAACTAGTCCACTCACAATGAAGGACAAAAAAGAGATGATAGGAAAACTCTCCCTCGGGGAATCGAACCCCGGTCTCCCGCGCTTGTTAAGCTGCTGCTTTTGACAAGCGGAAATCATGACCACTAGACCAAGGAAGATATTCACTGCGTTTGAAGCGCCGTGACTTGGTTCTGATTGTTGGAGGGAAGTTGTGTTTTAAAATATATGAAATCCAAATTTGATCGGCTTTTGTTGGGGTACTGGGTGCCGAAGGGTGCTCACACGTGACCTGTAGTACTTTCTTTTGGCAGGAACTGGAACAGGAACATCTGTATTGGTTTTGAGACTTATCACAGGAACAGCGTACAAATGATTCTGCAATTCCTCTTATCCTATGTAGACCCCAAGTCCGGGTTATAGCAATCGATTTTATGCTGCGGACCGAGACAGTACGAAATGCTGTGTGCGACGCTCTTACCCATGCTTTTCCTCACGGATACGACTTCTGACCCGCCTATTCGTGCGTGAACCCCAGTTGTTCCCGCCAGCACTGATCACATATTGAACGGCGCTGCAGAGGCGGCTGACGTGCCTCCTGGAGATGAAGTAATCCCAAGGGAGTTGAATAGATCAGGTGTATGTATCGCAAGTTTTAGATGCCCCGTATGTACAGAGACGGACGGAGACAGAGACAAAACCTCTGCATGGCTTCGCCTAGCACCGTACACTTGACTCCGGGTTGGATTCTTTTCTAGCTCCCGAGTACCTCGCAGAGATTTGGAGACTGTAGCTGGGCAGATAGGCAGACAGACAGATCGATGGATAAATGTACGATCCAAGAGAATAAAGCTCACCCGTACACAGCACACCTGGTATCATATTTCCACCCCTAAAACGCCAATGACACCGCCACTGCCACCACGACACCATCAAATCGCAGCTATAAAGTAGCCTGCACTGTGTACTGCGTATCATATGCCTGAATCCCGTGTCATTCCATGCCATTCCCCCTCATCCAAGTCGAACCCGTTGAAGTGATTAAAAATGTTTATGATGTGTCCTCCTGTGCTTGTCCTTGTGCTTCTGCTTCTTCAAGCCCTGCTCCACCTCCATCTCCAGCTGAACCAGATCGGTCGAAAACCCTAGGTCGTGGACACTCTTCTTGGCCAGGGCCCGGACTTTCCTCCGTCCCGCAACAGGCGCTGTGCTGTTGACGACCTGCTGGATCAAGTACCCGTTGATCAAGTTGCCGGAGTTTTCGAGCGCGAATAGCGGACACTTCCCGTCATCGGCCGAGCAGGAGACCGTGGGTGGACAGCACACGCCCACCGACTCAGGGCATACCTGGCAGAGAGGGTTGAGGTTGGTGGTGGAATTGGATGCGGCAGTACTGTTCGTGTAGGGCGACGTGTAGCCTGGAGACAACGTACCGTTCCGGTTGGAGATTGCAGGAGAGATGCCCTGGGTGGTGTTGGAGCTGGAGGCCAGGCGGAATATCGCGTCTGCGCCGGTGCCGGCACCGGCCGTGGGGTCTGGACAGTAGGACAGGTAGACAGAGATGGTCCTGGTCGGGCGGGCCGTGCTGGTGGGTGTGACTAGGACAGGTGAGCCGGCTGTCGCGCTGAAGTAGCCGGAGCCTGTCTGCAGGGGACGGTGCGTGTTAGTCGAGCAGCGTTGGACTGGAGATCAGAGGAGAGGAGAGTAGAGAACAGAACAGGCTAGATAGCTAGCAGGAGGCGGTGCGTCTCCAACTGGCGCGGTGACTTACTATCGTTCCACAGCCAGCGAAGCTTCCTGCCCCGGCGACGGTGCCGGAGCTGACGAACGACAACAGGCCGCCGCCATACCAAGGCCAGACTGTGCCCATGCCGGTCAATGTACCGGTTCCGGAACCCAAACCACCTACAAAGCGTTATTTATGTACGACTTAAGACGCGATAGACACTTACAGCCAGTGATGGAGGCGACGCCGGAAAACGATCCGGTCGTGGCAACGATTGTGCCGCAGCCGCTAACGCTGGTTGCATAGCCTGTCCAAACATGTCAGTTGAACCGTGGGGATGCACTCTCCAGGGAAGTGAAGAGCGTACCACTTGCGGTGCCTGAGGCGGAGACGGACGTGGCTGCCAGATATACCGTGCCCGTGCCCTCTAGATTCAAGGTCAGCCCTGCCAGCTTCCAGTTACTAGGGAGAACATACCGGTAATGCCACTTCCCGAAGCTTCTCCACAACCTATGATCGTGTTTGACTTTATGGAAGTGCTTAGCGACACCGAAGACAAGATGGAAGATGTGGTTGATGCTGTTCCCGTGATCACCGTTAATGTGGGCAGATCTGACGCTCCTCCGTTTCTGGTAGTGGACATGGTAGTCACGCTAGGCGTAAGTGTGATTGTCGTGCTCGAAATGACGATGATTGAGTAGCTGGTTGTTGTTACAGAGCTTGACGGCGATGTGTATGGATTACTCGATAAGAGGCTGGAGCTTGAGCCACTTCCGGTCGTTGTCATTGAGCTCGTAGAAACTGTCAAGATCGTCGTGGTGCCACTGATGACAGTCAGGGTCGTTCGAGCAGATGTGGCAGTGGATGAGCTAGTGCCACTGTTCAACACGGGTTCTCGCGACCGAGAGCTGCCGCTAGTGCTGGTGGGGGTACCTAGGGAGAATCTCGAGCTCGAGCTCGTCGTGCTGAGCCTTCTTGTCGTGCTGGTGCTGGTGCTTGTCGGTCGAAACACTCCAGTCGAGGCTGTGAACGACGTAGTCGTATTTGCGAACAGCGTGCTGTTCAATCGGCATGATGCCGGAATTGTGAAGCAACAGGGTAGACCCGTGGACGTGGTTGCACTGGGCTGAAACACGCCGGTGTAGTTCGTGTTATAGCAAGCTGCTGTTTCCGTATCTGGTGGATAGTCAAAGACACCCTACTCCGGTCAGCTCTGGCACCTGCGTTCAGGATATCACTTGAACCCACGTGGTACGTCCGAGTTGTGCATGGCACAGTGGACGTGCTACTACTCACAAGTGCTGACGTAGCAGCATCTCCTCTGCAAGGAGTACATGTCGCGATGGGGGCATCTCCCGAGAAGACTCCTCGCTTGTCAAACATTCCTCTTCCTTGCCGTGTCTTGGAGAAATAGTGGTGATAGTGCAAGCTGTACATCGTTTCATGAGTCCCATTGCCCACGAGCGTCACTTGAGGAGCGACTGCCGTGATCATGGACGGAAGAATCTCATGACGAAGGTCGTAATCTTGCGGTAACTGGTTCGGTCTCGGGGTTGGCTCGTACAGGGGCTCAACAGGGAGTGTCAAGGAACCAAAATCAACATAAGCATATGTGCTTGGAAACAGAACGCCGGCAAATGCAAGAAATGAGTGTAGAGGAGACATCTTGAGATGATGCTCGGGTCGGCAGATCAACAAAACGAAGATAGCATTGCCGGACAATTCACGAAGCAGAGAATCTATGGTGAGCATCTGAAATTCATCCCTCGCATCGCGTTGTGGTGCGCACAGACCTGGAGAAAGACTGGAATGGAATGTTGGAGGGACCAGGGGAGACCAGTCACGGCATCCCAAGACATCCCTCCCATCTTGGACGAAGGATGCGCTTGGCACCCATACCATACAGCTTGAAGCTGTAGAGGAACAGGAGACCACAGGAGACGAGGAAAGAGACGTAATTATCTTTGTGAAGGCCCAAAAAGCAGTGCGAATGTGTCCGAGTACGGAGCCCGAGTAGAGGAGCGTGGTCTTGGTGCTCGCGTCGCCTTCCGTAAAGTGACCGCCGCTGTCAGAATCCGCCCGAAAAATGTCTCCTTTTCTTCGATCCGCAGGCCAAGCCGCTCAACATGCGCTGAAGTTGCGCGTAAGATCGTCGAGCCCCAGAGGCTGGACGGTGTAGAAGGTAGAAAGATCTAGCAGGCGTCTTGCATTGTCGTCAGAAAGAAAATCCATTTACTCAATCAGGCCTGCGCCGACGGTCTCTCCGTTTGCCCTCAGAACAATCCTGGCTGGAGCCTCCAAGGGTACAGCCTGATCGAGCTGCACCACGACTCGAACAACGCTTCCTGGTTGCACAATCTTCGGCCTTTTCTTTGTGATTGCCCCAGTTGATTTGTCCAAGACGCCGACGAGCTGGCTGATTCGGCCCGGCACATGCAGGCGTCCTTTATGCACATCGACATTCATCGGCGTGAGATGATCGAACGCCAGTATCTTGGCCTTGCATTCAGTAATGTTCCGAATGGGTGACAGGGTGCTGCAAACAACGTCTCCTGACTTCAAGTGGATAGGGTCGATGTCGGTAAGATTCAGGATCACATTCTGTCCTGCCACTGCCCAATCCTGAGGTTCATCGTCCACTAGCAAGCTGCGGATCTGTGCCTTTTCGCCACTGGGCATGATGACGACTTCCTCGCCCACTTGAATGGCACCAGCGTCCAATCGTCCCGACACGGATAGGGGATTCTGTATGCCATGCCTGAAAATATCGCTAATCGTCATTCGCAAAGCCTTGTCCAGCGCGTAGGTTAGTGGCTCGGAACTATCCAGCTCTTCGACCAATGTCAGACCATGATACCAGGCTGCTTTCGCATCGGTAACTTTGGTAAGTATGTTTCCACCTTCAAGGCCTGAACATGGCACGAATGTAATGTTTTTCGACTGAAATCCAGCACTGCTCAAGAAAGCTGCCATCTGCTGGCGGATTTCGGTGAACCGCTCTTGCGACCAGTCTGCAACATCCATCTTGTTCACAGCGACGATGATCCGTTGAACGCCAATGGACCTCACCAACAGGGCGTGTTCTTTGGTCTGTCCTTTGAGCCCAGACTCGAAATTCCCCGTCGAAGCGTCAATGACGAGGACAGCGAAGTCTGCCTGACTAGCTCCGGCAATCATGTTAGGCACGAAGTCTCGGTGACCAGGGGCATCGAGGATGGTGAAGGACGTTTTGTCCGTTTCGAACTTGTTGGTGGCTATGTCGATAGTGACACCTCTCGCTCTCTCTTCAGTGCCCTGATCTAAAACCCATGCGAACGCGAATGAGCCTTTGCCGATGCGTTCGGCTTCTTGTCGATATTTCTCCATGGTTCTCTGGTCGATAGCCTTGAGATCAAACAGCAGTCTACCCATGAGAGTGCTCTTGCCTGCATCAACATGGCCTTGGCCTATTAGCGAACCACAGGCCCACCAGAATGCCATCGGGTGGCGTACCTATAACAACAAAATTTGCCGCATTCTTCCGCTTTGTCTTCTTGTATTCGGCGAGCACATCGATATTCTTGCTTTTGATCTTGGGTGTGTCCTGTATTGACAGAGCCTGGACACCATTGTTCAAGGTCGTCTTCGACTTGGCTGGTTCTTTGGGTTCAGACGTGGTCGACGACGCTGCTAGATGATGACAGGGTTAGCTCGTGGCCGACGGGGTCTATCTCTACATCCGACCTTTTGCAGATTGTGCCTTGGTCACGATATCATCCGGACTAGGCTCTGCAAAATTGAAGGACTTGGCAGTCGCTTTGACCGACGGGAAATCAGTGGAAGGCAGCGATTGACTTTCAGGGCCGTGGTTGGTCATGATGCTTGCGAATGCCGACGGGTGGCCACGTAGATTCTGATCGACCACAAGTGGGACATCGGGCGTGTGTTTCTGCCGGTCCGCCTCCGCTGAAGCTTCTCCGCCTGTTGACGGCGCCTGGCGTTCAAGAGCTTGAGGTTCGCTGGAGGTAGATTTGGCTTGGGGTGAAGCAGTTATTCCTAGTTTTTTCAGGTCCGGCAAGTAGTCCTCCTTGATTTCGCTCCCGGGTCTAGGCTCCGAAGCTGGCGGCTGGTTCTCCTTCTGTCGGCGTTTAGCGGCCAGAGCAGCCAGCTTTGACATTTTGCCGGCGTTTGCGGCGCCTCCTAGCAGCCCCAGGCGCGGGTAGAGTGGCTCGATGACGATCTCACCCCTTCGATGCTCTGGGATATTCAGCCATGGGCTGTCCTGGAAGAACTCGACAGCAGAAAACCGCGCTTCGCTTGTAGTGTAGGCGTCGAAATCTTGATGCCCATCAGCGTCGGTTCGGCAGGGGCTCGGTCGAAAGCAATCATGACCACCACGACCTGAAGACACTTCAACTGGAGAATGTTTAAGTGGCAGACTTACTCTTGTTTTGGGTTACCTGCTTCTTGGATGCAGAAGGAGGTGGCTTCTGCTTGTCTGGTAGAATGAGTATCTGCTCAAGAGTCGGACAGCACAGTGAATCATACTCTTCAAGTACGCAACAGACTTTGCCACATCGTAGTAATAGTGCCATAGTGCATCCTGGATCTCACTGTCCGTGGCAGGAAATGTCGATCCAAGCGCAGTGCGGACCTTGACTGTGCCTTGGCGCATCTGTTCCTTGTCTTCTGGTGAAAGGTCGTTGTTATTGCCGTCCTCGTAGTCGTCGTCATAGTCATCATAGTCGTCGAGATCGTCTTCATCGTGCGCCAGAGATTTGACACGGCGGTTGGACATTGTGATAAGCTGGGATTTTGGGGGAGTGGTGGGGGTTTGAGTGAGACGTGAGAATCCGGGTGTCGTCGAGGTTAGTTAGGCGGGCTCGAACACGCCGCCACCAAGACCTTTATGAGTTAGCACGGAGTACGTACACTTTAATCGCTAATAAGACATTCTCGATTCGATACGAAACCCAAAGCTTGAGATTATGTCACAGGTGGAGAGATACTCTGGGTCACCAGTGAAGACTGGAAGAGGAGATGGGGAGTTCACGTGACTGACATTGAAGCGGCGTGCTCCAAGATCCGCCAACGCGAACGTCAAGTCCAATGTCCTGGCACGTGTTCCCAGGGTCCTCGTCTCGTCCCATCCAACATACACCATGCAGCCGCCCACATACAGTAAATACCCCATAATAACGCGACACGAGGGTCCCTCTGCCTGAAGGACGTTTCTTTTTACCATTTCTGTTGTGGCACCCTCTTAGACACAAGGCCCTCAGAGACGCAGACCTGGTATTCCCTTGCACGCCATGATTTGCCTCGAGACCGACTCAAACTCGATGCTTCGGTAACGCTCGCCGCTCAGCTTCAGCAATGTCCGCTTCCCTCATGCATGCCCCGCCCATCGGGCTGGGTCTCTCACCAACAAAGTCGAACCTCACACAGCAGATCGAACAGAGTGAAGGCGAGCGGACTCCGAGATCTGCCAGAACCACGGCCAAGGGCTCTCCGAAACCACGATCCCTTTCAGACGCCCCCAAACCTGTTCTCTCGCCTTCACCGGCTTTTCGTGAACCTTTGCGCCAAGTGTCCAAGGATGACTCGGTCCTTGCTTCTCCTTGCACACCGACTCGACCCTCGACCCACGGTAGAGGACTGTCCCTCCACATGCCGTCGAAAGATGCCTCAGGAACCAGCGCGGGCCCAACAATACCACGAATACCATTATCACCAAAGTTAGACTCGTCGTATGTGTATGGCTCACCATCTTCCATGGTCCCAAGGAGGTCACGAGGGCTGGACTACGCGAGAGCATGCACAAACCTACACCATTCTACGTTGGCAGAGGCATCGCCTGATGCATCGCCGGTTACTGGAAGAGGCATACAAATACCACAAAGAAGAAGTGTTGGAAACACCATGCTTGATTCACCGAGCAATCAATCAAACACACTATGGTCGCTGCCAAACGACAGGACAAACTTGTCCAGCTCGGTCAGCTCAATTAACATGATGGGCTCAGATTCAGATTCAGAATCAAATGGCTCTTCAGACGACATGGCAATCGATCGCGAAATGGATGAAGCGATATTGACAACCCCTGCAGCGTCGAGATTGAACCCTGGTGCGGTGCCGGCGTGGGTCAACAGCCCGGGTATGGAGTGGATGAACAATCAACCCTCCCCAGCACAAGCGAGCCTCATGAGCTTCCAGCCGAATTTGATGAGTTTCAGGAGAGCTCGGACGAGGAAGGGGAAGAGTCACCATAGCTCGAGCAGTGTCAGCATGAATAGTTCCAAACCTTCACCGGGCCCTTTGTCTCCCGGAGTGCTGAAAAGTGTGGAGAACTCGGGAGGCAGTTACTTTGGGACCGGCCTAACCAAACAGCAGGTGCAGTCACGCCGTGAAAGTTTAAGCTTGGGGACAAACGATCTCCACCTCTCTGACAGCGAAGATAATACCACGTCCCGTGTGACTACCGGACAATCTCTCTCAGACATGGATGGCCCAAGTAACGACGACCCAAGAAAGGTGATCCGCAGAGCGGTAACTCGCAGAGGCAATCTACTTCCCAAAACAAAAGGCTTCGCCCGCATACGCGCCCAGCTTCTCGAGGAATCTGCCCCCATTGAAAGCGAAGCACGCCGCGAGGCTGAAGTTATCCGCCAGGTGCAGGACAACGACCCAACCATCTCGCAAGCGACTTCGCCGATCTTGCCCACCCATGCTACAAACAACTTCGCGGTCGAACCGATCGAGGAATCGATCGAGGATATGGTCATGGATAACACGAAGAACCAGCTGCCGCCTGATAGCTTCAGCCGACAAGCGGAGAGAAATTCTGCCGGTGTTGGTTTCTGGAACGGCTTCGATGAGCGGTACCGAACTCCACCACCTTCCCTGCTACCTCGAGAAAGTTCTTCCGTTATCAGTGACGACCTCATGGACACTCCTGGCTCTTTCGATAACCCTGCCCTTAAACACTTCAATCGTTCTAGATCGAGATCGACCACGCCTCTAGCCCACATCCCGCCCATGGCTGGAGATGTTGCACGACGAGTCAATAACAAGCGCCGGAGAGAGGAGGACTTTGACCCACTGTACACCAAACGCCGAGCGGTGTCGCCCGGTATGAGTGTCCAAAGCAGCCCGATCTTGCCCCAAAGCCCTGTTCTCACCAGCGACAAGGCATGGTCTAAGCTGCCACCGAAGGGTGGAAACGGACATGGCGACCGCAGCAATAGCGGAAGTAGCGTTACTGGGGCTAAGAAGATTGGTCTCCAAGGCATGACCGAGACGAACGAAGCTATTATGAGCATGAGCATCGACTGACGGTCTTACCATGAGCCTAACAATTTGACAAGCGAGGCGTTTGGACGGGGTCAAAATTGGTGACTGCCTCTTCACATGACGATAATGTACAAAGCATGAGTTTTAATTTCTATGTGCTCGCCGGGGACGTCTATACCCCGTGCTTGAAGCTACATGCTTAATAGCATTTGTAACAAGCTGTGATCGTCTGTATCGTGTCGCTGCTGCCTCTCCTTCGTGGGCATGCCGAAGCCTTGCCCCGCGTGAAGCTGCGCCGCGCCGCGCAGAGCAGAACCACTGAGCCTCGACTGACTGCTCCTTCCTGCCCCTCGAATAGCAAACCGTCGCAGACACCTCGATAACACTGCCTTCCTGCAACATTTCTCGCTCGTCAAGATGGGATCGACCGGTAATATCACTTCAACATTTATCGAGGGAGCTCCCCCAGGCGAGATCCAAGACGTGGTCAAGGACATCAAGATCCTCGCCTCGGACGACGACCCAGCCCTGATTGCGAAGCTGAAGCCCGCCTTTGAGAAGTACAATGAAGCCCAGATGGTCGCCGTGAAGCTACCAGGCGCAAGCGACTACGTATGACCTCTCCTGCGGCGGTGCCCAGTAAACTCCCATCTTCAGAGTCCAGGGCTGACAAGTGCTCCATGGCCTCTCCAGGTTCTCATATCACCCCACAACAAACTGCCCTCAGGCCAATCCCAGTCGCAATACTACGACAGCGCGTCCTCGACGTCCTTCAGCTTCGACCACACGACGCAAAAGCCCTCCTCGCCACAATCCTACACCCACGACACACGGCACTCGACGCTGATTGCCTCGCTGTTAAAACTCCTCGCCGCACACGTCGCAGAGCACTACCCTCCCACGTCCTCCCCGTCGGCGTACACCGTGTGCGCAACGCCCGATGATTCGAAAGTGGCCATCCTGATCAGCAGCCTGAAAGCCTCGCCGAAGAACTTCCTCAGCGGCCGGTGGAGAAGCAGCTTCGTATGTGATCCCTCTGCAAACACCCTCTCCGGGGACATTCAAGTCAATGTGCACTATTACGAGGACGGCAACGTGGCGTTGGCGACGTCCAAATCCTTCTTCAACATCGCGGTGGACGGAACCGGGAATGCAGACAGTGTGATTCGCAAACTTGCGGCCATTGAGAAACAATATCAGGAGGAGGTGAATCGGACGATTGTGGGCATGAACGAGACGAGTTTCAAGGCGCTGAGACGGCAGTTGCCCGTTACGAGGCAGAAGGTCGAGTGGGAGAAGATCAGGGGATATGGGCTTGGAGGGGATCTGAGAGGCGAGGGGAAGAGGTAGGCTGGGTTAGGAACAAGGCACCTAGAGGGTGCGGTTTGAGCAGCGAGAGTCATATCGTAGGGCATCAGATAGGGCGCAGGGGATCATGCTATGGGTTCATGTGCGTCAGAAAAAGTCGTTGAGCGCCGCGCTGGTTTCACCACAATGAGCATACTACAGCTTCCCCTCGTCTTTTACCACACCAGTCTTTGCGCCGGTCATGGTAGACCCCGGCCTGATCTCGTTGCTTGCCCCACCTGGGACTGCGTCTTGTCTTCTGCATATCTTCGGTAGGCATCAATGTACTGGTCCCTGTCGCTCAGAGTATCTTGAACGCTTTCTCGCTCTCCCACCGCTTTCGCCCACTTACTCCACCTCTTCCAGACCTCCTCGTCCTTACCAGCCTGGCCTTCCTCAGGGATGCCAACGCCACCTTTATACACGTCGAACAAGAACATCCTGCACAGCCACGGCGCTAGCATGATATCCACCATACTGAACCGCTCGCCCAGGAAGAATGGCCCCTGCGGATCGAGGGCCTCGACAAAAGTCTTGATATGGCCCAGAAACTCCTGCCGTGCCTCATCCAACGAGTAAGCCTTGTCCTCGGTATGCTGCATGAAGCGATAAAACGCCGGGATGATCCGCGTGGAGATGTGATCGATCCAGATCCGGCACTTGGCCCGCAGATACGCGTCCTCCTTGCCCCGCGGGAGGAGGTCGCGCCCGTGCTGCGCCTCGTCGTCGTACACCTCGTCCAAGTACTCGCAGATGACCTGGCTCTCGTACAACGGCTTCTGCTTGTTGCCCTGGCGGTCCATAGGCACCGCCAGCGTGGGCACCAATCCTCGAGGGTTGAGCTTCAGGAACTCCGGATCCTTGTGGTACGGGTTGATCTCGAAGTATTGGTGGGGGATGCGCTTCTCGTGCAGTGTGATCCACGAGCGTTGCACGAAGGGGCAGAACCACCCGCCATACAGGATCAGAGGGTGGGGAGATTCGTGGGAGGAGGCGAATTTGGCGGCCCGGCCGGAGGTGTGTTTGTGGAGGGAGGTGTCGACGCTGCCCATCTTGAGACTGGAGGAGGAGAATAGACGTGGGGCAGAAGAGACGTGATGTTGCACGAGAAGAGAAGCGACTCGGGAACTCGTACGGTTGATTCTGGGGATCCTGGGGCGAAGAAGGCACGGGTAGAGGGAGATCATGCCATAGACACTGTATATCGCAATCTGAAAGCGAAAGCAAAGCACAAGCAGAACAATAGGACTAGGACCAGCCTCACTGATGGTATGTGGTGTGCATGTTGTAATATTGTGCAATGAGTGACCGATTGAACTGATGCGGAGGAGGAACGGATGACGTCGGTTTGCGCCGGACCATCGGCGACGGACTGCTTACATAAATGGCTCCAGCTGATCGCTCAGTGTCGCCGTGGCAGTACACCGTACTCCGGGTTAAGGGGACTCATACTCGTGGGCGTCAACTTTGTCACCGCGTGGCACGTGGAGGGTGCCCGATGTGTCTGTTTCTCGAAGGCCTGTGTGGGCATCAAGACATGGCGGTGCATGGCGTTGTCCGCTGCCAGACAGGGTACGCAGTGGCAGATCCCTGGTGGACCGGTACTGGTTGCTAGAGTACTGTGTACTGCGTGGAACAAGTCTCGCTACTGTGTACTCAGTACTCAGTGAGGCTTCAGTTTAATGTGAAACTTGGTGAGAAAACTCAGGTCGTGACATCTGAACATCCTCGAATGTTCTTCTGCGAGAAAAAGTTCTAGAAGAGTATAGAAAAGTTGCCCACCGCTGTGTACTCGGTGCACAGCACTGTAAAGGCCAGGCTGGCATTCAGTCAGGGGCAAAAATAGGGAGTTAGAAGGCCACCTATAACCTTCCGCCAAGGGCCACCGGGCTGCTTAGCGGCACTCATAAGTGACAGTTTGGGGCCCCCAATTTTTGCGGCTTTCGAGTGCCTTCCGCCAGTGAAGATCGTGGAAAAGGACAGCGTATCGATAACTGCGGCATTGACTCCTGTCAATAAATATTTCCTCCACCATTGCTGGCGCTCCTTCGTCTCTTCCCTTACCACTTCGCACCCTCTTATTGTCTCGTTTCTTTTTCTGCAGACACCATGGCGTCCGGCAACGTCCAGCGTCGACCGCGCAGAACAACCACCTCTGCACTGCAGTGGACCACTCTCTTCTACCTCCTTCTCATCTTTGTTTGTCCCTTGGCTTTGATCGGTAAAGTGAACGCTGAAGATCAAACACCTCTGAACGACTCAGATACGAACTATGGCACCGTCATTGGTATCGATCTGGGAACCACCTATTCCTGCGTCGGTGTGATGCAGAACGGCAAGGTCGAAATCATTGTCAACGACCAAGGAAACCGGATAACACCTTCATACGTGGCCTTTACAGACGAAGAGCGCTTAGTAGGAGACGCAGCAAAGAACCAATATGCTTCGAATCCCACGAGAACCATCTTTGACATCAAGTAAGCAGCTACCCTTTTTGCCCGTTGTCGCGTGAACTGTTGCTAACATGTGATTGTCCAGACGTTTGATCGGTCGGAAATTTGACGACAAGGACGTCCAACGAGATGCCAAACACTTCCCCTTCAAGGTTGTCAACAAGGATGGCAAGCCTGTGGTCAATGTCGAGGTCAATGGCCAGCCAAAGACCTTTAGCCCTGAAGAGGTCTCGGCAATGGTTCTGGGCAAGATGAAGGAAGTCGCAGAGGCATACCTGGGCAAGAAGGTCACACACGCTGTCGTCACAGTCCCGGCATACTTCAACGACGCCCAGAGACAGGCTACCAAAGACGCCGGCACCATCGCCGGTCTGACTGTTCTTCGTGTTGTCAACGAACCCACTGCCGCAGCTCTTGCCTATGGTCTGGACAAGAAGGGCAAGGAGAGCCAGATCATCGTCTACGATCTTGGTGGCGGTACCTTCGATGTGTCGCTCCTATCGATCGAAGACGGCGTCTTCGAAGTCATGGCTACCGCTGGTGATACCCATCTTGGTGGTGAGGATTTCGATCAGCGAGTCATTGACTACTTTGTCAAGAAATACAACAAGGAAAATGACGTCGACATCCGCAAGGACCTGAAGACCATGGGCAAGCTCAAGCGTGAGGTCGAACGAGCCAAGCGGACACTGTCGTCCCAAATGTCGACGCGCATTGAAATCGAGGCCTTCCACGGTGGCAAGGACTTTTCCGAGACCTTGACCCGAGCCAAGTTCGAAGAACTCAACATGGACTTGTTCAAGAAGACCCTCAAACCAGTGGAGCAGGTGCTCAAGGACGCCAAAGTCAAGAAAGCGGATATCGATGACATTGTCCTCATTGGCGGCTCTACCCGTATTCCAAAGGTTCAGTCCATGATTGAGGAGTATTTCGGTGGAAAGAAGGCAAGCAAGGGTATCAATCCTGACGAAGCTGTGGCGTACGGTGCCGCTGTCCAAGCCGGTATTCTCACTGGTGAAGCCAACACCGAAGATCTCATTCTCATGGACGTTAACCCTCTCACCCTCGGAATTGAAACCACCGGTGGTGTCATGACCAAGCTCATTCCTCGCAACACCCTTGTCCCGACCAAGAAGGCTCAAATCTTCTCCACAGCAGCCGACAACCAGCCCGTTGTCTTGATTCAGGTGTTCGAAGGCGAACGAGCTATGACCAAGGACAACAACCTACTCGGCAAGTTTGAGCTGACTGGCATTCCACCCGCGCCTCGTGGCGTTCCCCAGATCGAAGTGTCTTTCGAACTTGACGCAAACGGCATTCTCAAGGTCACTGCTGGCGACAAAGGCACCGGCAAGGCGGAGTCCATCACGATCACCAACGACAAGGGACGCCTGACCCAGGAAGAAATCGACCGTATGGTGGCCGAAGCAGAAGAGTTTGCCGAGGCCGACAAGGCCTTCAAGGAGAAGATTGATGCCCGCAACAAGTTGGAGAACTATGCCTCATCACTGAAGAACCAGCTCAACGATGAGGAAGGTCTTGGTGGCAAGATTGATGACGATGACAAGGAGACCCTCCTCGACGCTGTCAAGGAAGCCCAAGATTGGCTGTCCGAGAACGCCGACTCAGCCGACAAGGACGACTTTGATGAACAATTCGAGAAGTTGTCGCAGGTCGCCTACCCGATCTCAAGCAAGCTGTACAGTGGAGGTGGTGGTGCCGGCGGCATGCCAGATTATGGGGATGACGACGATGACTCTTATGGGCATGACGAACTGTGAGGGCTCTCTGGAAAATGGGGCATGAAGTTTTGTACCAGCGTTATGAATTGATTGCAAGCATCTAGACGTGCTCGGCAGGAAGGAAAGGTCGGATCTGGCACGCCGGCGTTGGCTTTTCATACCTATCTTGTGTCTTGTACCATGAAAGCAAGGCGGAGCAATCAAGATGAAAACCGAACTGAGTTGAGATTGAAGCAGTTTGTCCTTCCGTAGTGGTTCCCGTCCTTGCCGCTCGTGAGATGACTGACCTTACTCGACTTACTTACGGAGTACTCCCAAAGTACTACCTAGGTACTGTCTACCATTGAAATCGACTGATGAAACACATCCTGAATCTAAGGAGCATTCTTAATGCAACTTGCAAGCGGCGCGCCCTCTTTCTCGCGCACGCGAGCGAACTTACTGTACTTAGCCATTCACAACGCATCCACATGCCATGCCACATGAGTCTACGCAGTAGTAGAAGTATGGCTATTTTGGCCCGGCGTGAAGTGACGAGGACCCACATAGGTAGGTAGGTAGCATGTTCCGATAGACAAATTCAAGAGCAGACCATAGTACTCTGTATCATCCTGGATGCTGATACCGTGTTAGAAATCCTCACACCGCACAACAAACAACCCGACAACCTCATAAGGATGCACGCGCCTCAACTCGGCGACCGCTCTGCGGACAGCTTCGGTCCCCACGACGACCATCTCGACCTTGTCCTCCTCGACGACCTGTACCTCACCTGGGGTGCCGATAGTGGGATTCGCGTGCGCGGAGGGCCGGAATTGTCCTGTGCCGCGCGAGATGAAGGCGCTGTCGATGTATTTTGGGGGAGAAGACGAAGACGTCTCTGGCGTGTCCTTGGTGCCCGATGCGAGGGTGGGTGGCGGGGGGCTAGGCCACACGCCTGCGCCGACGGCGTGGAGGGCGGAGAGGCATGCTTTGGTCGCAGAGGGGGGTGTGAAGAAGGTGAGTTTGTAGGTTGTTTGATCCGTGGTGGTGTTGGTGTGCGTATGGGTATCAGTATCAGTTGATGGTTCAGGCATGATTAATATACCGGTATGGAATTATGGAATTATGTAAGTACTGTCGACCGCGTGGGTGGGTGGAAACAACAACAAGCAGTGGGTGAGCAGAGCAGAGTGGGCCAATTGGTCAGGTACTGTCGTGTAGAGTAGAGTAGAGTAGTGTAGGGAACGGATCGATTCAGTAGTCGGTAGTCACGTTGTGTACATAGAACGAGTGAGAGCCATTCAAGAGCTTGTGAGAAACGGGGATCCATTTTCGGGAGATTTATCGAATCTGAATGCGGTACCTCTATTTCACTGCGCGTTCGCACGCACATACCGTGCAACGTTGGCCAGAACTGGATTTGGAGTTTAAGTGTGAATGTGTATGACTGACTGTCTGAAACGTTCACCAGAATCTGCCCCATGCTCGTAATGTATGTACCTAGCTAGATACGTGGGTACTGACTGATATCTGTCAAGCAGCCAATATACCTGGTAGACATTATTCCCTCCCTTCTTCTGCGTCAGTAATCGAAGTTCTCAAAATTAATCACCTCCCCGGGTAACCAGCCCTGGACTTCCTTCCTCATGGCTGGCGCTGTACACAGGTACCAGATATCGACTTCGGACTGCCACCGTGTCAAGTCGTCCTTGGTGATCCTCCTCCTGTGGATCTTGACGGCCGTATCGCTCAGCTGCTGAAGCTTGGCCCTTTCACCAGCGGCGAGCAACGACTCGTCCCCAGTCAGGAAGATCGTCGAATCAGAGTCCTTGAGCTTGGGGTACTGCATGAGGATATCAAGCGGTAGTCCGACATCACGGACGCCGACGGTCCAGCACATCTTGAAGTTTTCAAGATCAATGCTCCCCATCTGCCCTAGGAGCGGTGTGATGCCAATGCCTGCGGCAACGAAGGCATTCCGTTTGTTGGGCTCGAAGATGAATTCGCCACCGAAGCCTCGAATGCCAACCTCGCACATCCCCTCTCTTTGCCATTCAAGCCAGCCCGTCACGTGGCCGAGGTTTCGGACGGTAACCTCAAATTCTTCGCCGTGGAGGCCCAAGCTTTGCGGAATGGAAGAGACGGTGAACGTGCGGATGAAATCGTCGTTGAGACTCGTAGGGTCGTCGTCGCGCATATGTGAGTACCCCATGTCCAGTTCCGCGGACAGGTCCATGGCCACGTATTGACCCGGTTTCCAGGGCCCGAAGACCGCGGGGTCGGTAAGCGCGAAGCGATATCTCGTGATTGTAGGAGTCAGTTTTGTCTTTTTGATGAGTTTGGCCGTTGTCGGGACGCTTTCGCCGGGCGTCTTGCCGCCGAACCCGTCTGTCTTTTCCGTCGTGAGGTATCGGATGCGTGGATTATATGGTGAGCGACCTTGTGAGGCATCGTTCGTAAGTTGCCCTCGAAAGGGGAGGCCGTTCTCGACAAATCTTGCTCCAGTGATCTTCAGGCTCACAGCGAGGTTGGATTTGGCGATGACTGTGCTTGCGGCGGCGCCGACCAGCGTTTCAGTGTCACCTGTCACATATAGCACGTCGCCAGTCTCGAAGTCCGGGATGACAAGACCGGCGTGCGGAGTCGCTTCTAGGTTCCCGAGGGTCTGGTAGAGGTTGTTGCCGCTATACTCGGGCCAGACGATCGTGGTGGATTCGTCTGGGGTCTCTGGCTGCGTGACACGGATGAAGCCTGGAGGTCCGCCGCGGTGGTTACAGTCCATATCCTCGTGTTTGTGGGCCGAAGCGATGAAGAACAGGTCAGCACTATGTATTAAATCGATAGCCTTTTGGGAGAGATGTGTTGAGGACGACACCAGTCGTGGTTCTGGGATGTGGGCGATAATGTGCTTCTTGTTGAGATATTTCGGGCAGTTCCCGAGACTTTGATCGATTTTGACGACCAGTTGAAGCTCGCCTGATTTGCCCTGCTTGACACCGTCTTCGAGCTCGGCTTGGGTGCCATCGGGCTCGTTCGCAGTCAGTGCACCGGCAATGACTTGCCCTGCCAGTTTGACTCGAGAGCGCTCCTCGAGATGAATGCTCAGGCCGGCCATCAGCCGCCCTGTGCCCTCAGCTCGGAAAACTTCTCCGTCATCTTTGCCTTGGTAAATCGCTTGCACGACTGGGTCGAAGCTTGCGTCCACCGTAGTGCGGACCCCCATGACACTCTGGGCCACAGGCTGAGCGATGGGCAGTTGATCCGAGCCCCAAACGGTACACCATGGCCGGTCGTCATCGTCGAGGGTACCAACCGCCATCATGGGGTATCGCTGGATCCAGTTGCCATATCGTGGCGCGAGAAAAGGTGTCGTCGGATTGTCATACCCGCTCACGCGAGTCCGTTTGTGAATCGCAACTTCGCCCTCATGCCATGGCGCAGCTTGGAAGAATGCCATTCTCCTCTTCCTGCTCACCATCAGCAATGTTAGGCTTGATGCAGAGAACTTGAAGATGGACTTGAATGGGAGTCACTACCAGAAGTATTGATATATTCCACTCGACCTAAGCGGAAGGTCTAACCACCCGTTTCTAGCCTGGCTCTGAAATGGATTAGGCGGGTTCTCCTCCTGAGTAAGCAAAATGTGACGAATTGAGGCCAGGCGAAGTCAACCAGGATTCCAATCAAGCCGAAGAGAGTGACATCTTGATGCTTGCATCGTGGTCCCAAGACAAATGGCACGGCGGCCAGATGGACTCGTGTGAGCGAGGAAGTGCTGGAGCACTAAAGCAGAGCCTGTCAGCACGCAGTCAAGACCCCGCCGCTTAAGCCTGGGAGTGAGAGCAGCGAGACGAAACGTGCACGCCCATTAGCTCGTTCATGCTGCCGAGTTTGTCAGCCAGGACAATTTGCTTCGGAGAGCAAATGAGCACTCCGGACGTGGCTGGCGGATCTCCGAGGGGAGAAGACGAGCGGACCGCCTTCCCAATGACATTTCAAATTGGTAGTAAAAGCGGCATCGAGGTAACACGCACGGCACGGCGCAGTACGGTGGAGGACGACGTGGAGGGACGAGCTGTCGATAACCGGTACGGTGGAGCAAAGGCAGGATTCCCGCTCGCAACACGCGACGCGTCAAGTGAGTTTGATTAGAATTCAGATCCAAGATGGACAAACATCTTCCCAGGATCTGCTCGGAGCTGGAAGGTTGCCGCCACTCAAGGAAGAAGGTCGTTCTATGTGTTACGCTTTTGGAGAGGAATGCCTCTCAGATGCCACACATACTCCAACTCCTCCAGGAAAAGCAATTCTTCGCCTGAGCAAATATTCTGATATCGCTGTTCCAGGTCACGCCTGACAAGAGCAATATCCTCGGACTTGTCGACCGCGTATCCGAAAATCACTGTCGGCCAGGAACCAAGGTAACACCTCGACCATTCTTCGTTGGCTTGTGCGCACCGTAGGATTGCGAGTCCTCTGCGGACTTGCCAACTATCACCTGTGGGTGGCAGCGGTGAATCCATGTCGCACACTTCGTGCGATCGCATCACCCAATCAAGGAGAAGCGATGCAGCAAGAACATGGAGACTCGTGGAATGTTGATGGAACATTCGAGCCCGCTCAGAGGGCTTTTTCGTGGACCATTTGCCCTCTTCTTTCACGCAATGCTCCTCTTCGAGGATCGAATTTTCCCAGTACTGCATCTCCTCTGAGAGTCTCCCGAAATCTGCGCTCGGTTTCGCAGGACTTTTGCATAGCTGTACGATTTCAATCATGAGTTTCTGCAGCGACAGCGGGAATCCAATCACCGGGCTGTTATCAGCTGGTGAGGCTTCTGGAAACGTTAGAGACTGCAAGGTCTCCTGTGCTTTCGCACAGAATTCGAAATCAGGCTGGAACTCGACTGCAAAAGGACGATTGGCTGTTTGACGGAATATCTGGTAAAGGATGCTCTCCCATATTATTCGATGGATTGGGCGTGGCATTGGCGGCCGCCGAGAATGAGCATTTCGGAGCTTCATCAATTGCGTGGCACCTGCCACATGCTTGGCGATATCCTTATTGGTGTCGACGTTGAAGACCTGTATACGGAGTACATTGGTGGTCAATAATGGAAGATTCAGACAAGCGTCTCGAAGCGCATGACCACAGGAGGCTTACCCCATGAATATACAGCAGGATGATGGCTTGCAGCAGCGCATCATTGAAATCATCACGGCTCCAGTCGATTCTTGTCAGTGTGCGATTGATGCTAGACACAGCACGGGCATAGTATCGAATACCGGCTTCATTCATCTGAGAACTTCCCGTGAGGTGATGCATATGTGATGCACCACAAGCTAGGACAGCATTTCTCAGGCCATCGAACCCCAAGAGCATTTCCACGACTTCAGGCACAAGATCCGACTGAAATCCTGGATGACTGGTGGAAAGGAGCAAGAGGGGCAGAAATCCATTGACGAAGTGCCGAAAGCACTCGACTTCTAGGTCGGATTGGAATGTCATTGAGTTCAGAAGGTCTGATCTGAACCCAATTCCCCGGCACACGAAAGAAGGCAATGGGCTGGTAGCTCCAGCTGGTGTGGTGACACTTGAGTCTCGGACGATGGTCTCGGTGCTCTCCCCAGACCTTGCAGGCGACGGCGACTTGGATGCTCTCGAAACACGGCGATGGCGCCGATCATGCAGCTCGTCCTGCGTGGGCCATATGCAAGCTCGGCTCGATTTGATGCATCTATCACAAGAAGCAGGCCTTTCTGCTTCATTGCATTTCTTCCGTCTCTTGCGGCCTGCGAATGAGCGAGGTCAGTCATGAACAACAGCGTAGCGTTGGGACGAGACTTACAGGTCAAACAACCAGTCTTGGTTCGGAGTGTGGCACTTGATGTCGCGTGGACTGGCATTTGATTTCAGCTCCGCTCGCGTGTGTCTCAATGTCGTGGAGGAGGCAGCATTCGTGATGAGCGACACAGTCCAGGTGGAGATGACTAGTTCGCTTTTAGGAACCCTTATCAATCATTCGGGCTTGGCTTCGGCTTGAATGTCGGCTAAGAGAGGGGATATATGATTGGGGCACCCGCATCAAAGCTACACAGTATGGACTACTGGAGCCGGCTTTGTGGCCGACAGAGCTCAGTTACTGGGTCTCAATTGGTTCCACGAATACGACCGCATCCGCCGCAAACCCCCGGACACGACGCCGGAACAACAAATCGCAAGACCAAGCTTTTTATGCTCCGGGCGGTCATTCCGATAATCTCATGCACCGCGAAGGCAATGTCAACTTCTGCTGTCTTGCGTCCTGGTTTCATACGGTCCTCCGAGTGGTGTACCTCTCCTATTTAACGGGATTAGGGCGCCAGTTGACTGGTAGGTGGTCTGTCCTCGAAGCATGTCTGCTTGGTTTCAGAACAACAGTGACAAGATCAACGTCAGCCCAACTCCCGTTGATGCTTGACGGCTGGCAAACCATGTCTGATAAGCAAGAAAGGAGCTTTTCCCGCCATACAGCTTACATCTCTGCGCGGTCGCGCGAGGTGTCGGGCGCCGCTTCTCCGTGTCCAACAGGACACAGGACCCGTAACTGGAAAGACACTCTAACTCAGGAGGACCTTTGATATCATCTCCACAGCGGCCATCAATTCCTCATCCTGCTCAGATCTTGCGATAACTTGAACGTGGCACGGGGCTCCGTCAACGGCTTCCGGGTCATCTACCGTCTGTCAGCTCTGCCAAACGCGACGCAAGCTGCAAAAACACTTACAGTCTGGAATTCTCGAATCAGGGAGGTCGATATTCTTGTCAGCCTTGAGATAAGGGATGATGCAGGCAGGGTACTGCTCGCGGGCGTTAGCGTATGCAGCAGAATCGTTTCCATGTTTTCAGTCCTCAAATACTCACCGCGAGGAGATTCCACATGACCCTGTTGCTTGTCAGACCTTGTTTCCACGACAGACCGGGCGACTTACGTGTAAGGGGGCATCCTGAATGTGTCGTGCGGCACCGCAGTTTTGTGAGACCCCGGGGCCACAATCACGTCCAGTTTGTTCTCCATGAAGACCTTCAACCAGTCTTTTCGGAATTTGAGGCGTTCCTCGTTCATGTCTAAGAGCTCGCCCAAGCTCTTCACCTTGCGTCCCTCTGGCGGAGGAGTATACATGTCCTTGACAGAAGTAACCCACGGCTCCCCTGAGGCCTCGATGTGTTTGAAACCCGTGCCTTCGTTGTCGATGTCGAAAAAGGTCCAAGACAGCTGAGTGGCTGCTGCAAACGAGGGGAACTTTTCGAGCATGACAATGTTGTGTCCGGCCTGCTTGAGCTTGTCCGTTGCTGTCTTCAAGGCCCGTATGATGGTGGGTTGCACAGGCCAGGTTGGGCATTCGATGATCACGCCGATGGTCAAAGTCTTCTTGTCCTCCACGGGGTGCCAGGGCATGGCAAGGGCCGTATAGTCATAGTTCCATGGTTTGGAATTGATGACGGTTTCCAGGAAGAGCCGCAGATCCCGAGGACTTTGTGCGAGAGGCCCCGCTGCTGGCATAATGCCCGTCCAGCCATCGAGAACAGGATTGGTTTGACCTCCAAAGGGGACACGATCGACGGACGGCTTGAAACCAAACGTGCCACAGCAGAAGGCGGGGATACGGATGGATCCTCCAATGTCAGTTCCGACACCGATGAGCGAGCCTCGCATGGCGACGAGGGCGCCCTCTCCGCCACTGCTTCCGCCAGCAGTGAGTTTGAGCTTGTTGGGATTCAACACCCGACCGAAGACGTTATTCTCCGAGTCCGCCGTCATCAGGGTTTGCGGGATGTTGGTTTTCACGTACAACACCGCGCCATTGTCAAGGAGAATGTCAACCAAGGCCGAGTTGCTTTCAGCTGCTGGGCGACTGATGAATGACACATAGCCGATGGTCGAGTACGTGCCCTTGAGGTTGAAGGAGTCCTACATGATGATTTATCAACCCCCGTCCCCTCCTTAATCTGGCACACCTCATTCCACTCACCTTGACTGAAATAGGCATTCCGTGTAAGGGTCCCATCGGTTTCCCTTCTTTCTCAAGGTAATCATCGAGATATTTAGCTCTCTCCAGAGCTTTGTCAAAGAACATCTCTGTCAGACAGTTTGTCTGTAACCATCAGTGACAGCCGGTCAGTTCATGGGGACCTGACGAACCACTTGATGGGCGATAGCAGCTCTTTTGCAGAATGCTTGTGTTACTTCAAATGAGGACAATTCTTTCGCCGCCATCTTGGCGATCAAGTCGGTAGCATCATGGTTCTCGGTGATATCAATCTCCTTCTCCGTGAGAAGGCCGCACTTCGCTGGAACATCGAGGACATTGGTATCAGCGGTGGGACTGACAGTGTCCAGAATGCTCGAGGGGAGACGCCATTCTTGCGGCAGCGCCTTAGCCACTTGGGCACGTTTCGCCGCGACGAGGGTTTTCCAATCTTGGACCATATCGATTGCGAACAAAATTACGATGAATAACTCTGAGACAGATTCGATGGTGGTTGCTGGTGAGGGGGGCCCAGGTTTTATGTGCGTTTACTTTCTGATCTCCAAACTCCAGAACTCCGAAGCGAGGAGGTTCAGATGAGAACACGGGTTTGTATTGAAAGCTGGTGCCTTGATAGAGGTGAACGCTCTCTCATACTGGTCAAGGCTCGCCTGGGCCCTTCCATACAGGACGAGAATACTTGGCCTCACTCGAGAGGTCTCAGTGGTCGACAAGGACGTCAATCACGCGGAATTGCGCGGTCTTAAGTTCAAGCTAACGTCCCGGAACGGCGGTGGGGCGGTCGAAGAACTCCACGTTACATGCGCAGCCAATCGTACGGGATAGCGCAGCTCGAGTTGGAGCTCCTGGATAAGGCCGGCCACGCCCCAGACCCATGCCCGTGCTCCCGACTCTACACAGTAGACGACGGCATAGATCCGCATGGTTATCTCGAGGGAAACCTTTGGACCAACTCAGGGAGCCCTGCATGCCTTCGCGGCCGCCGTGACGTTTCTCATGGTCGACCATGTGGTACACGCGGCTGCGGAGATCCCAGAGACCCTTATCTTTCGCAAAAAGCTTCATCGGCTCTACCTCTGGCTGGCCGAAGACAACCGAGCTGCTAGGGCTATCTCGAAAGTGATAGTTCGTCCTTATCGAGAATGTCGACGATGGTCTGTTGCCATCTCGAAACTGCCACATATCTCCCTGGTCAGCTGTCGCGGACATTTGCGATATCGGGAGGACAGACGCATATGGCAGGATCAATCTCCAGCTGTCGATTGCATAAAGAGTGACAAAAGCCACGTTTTTCCTCTCTTCTGGATTTACTGCCATTCCATCAGTTCATAACGACTTGAGAATACCAACCGCATCGCCAAGATGGCGGCCTACAATCTCCCTGTGGATAGTGTCCCGGGCACGGTACACCTCGTTGATATCGAGCATACCATGCACACACGACATGCTGGATCCGGAGACAAAGATATCGTTCTGGTCCCCACGCCCTCGAACGATCCCGACGATCCGTTGAACTGGTCACCCAAGCGGAAACTAATGAATACTGTATCGGTCAACGTGTGAGTTCTTACCGGCTTCGCCATTGCTTGTCTGACCACGAACACTCCTAGTTACACCCTGGTCGTTGGAATTGCCAACTCGGTCGTCTACTCGGTGCTTGTGCCACTCTCAGAGGCTTCCGGCGTTTCCATCAGCACCCTTAACCAGGGAACCGGGTACCTATTCCTCCTCGCGGGGTGGGGCCTGCTCTTCTGGGTAACGTACTCCGTCCCCACAAATTCGTGTCAGAGAGTTGGGCTTTGCCTCAAGAAGGACAATGCCCGTTGTCAGGAACATGTATCATAGGCTGCATGCGGAGGTCGAGACTAACATGCTGAGAATAATAGCAACCATTTGCTCTGAGATATGGCAAGCGATTGACATACCTACTTTCGATCTGCGGCACGATAGGTGTAAGTTGTCCTCATTGCCCGAAATTATACGAGGAAGACCAGGCGTCTGCCTGCCTGAGCCGCTCCCGTACTCCTATTTCTTTTGGGCCGTCAGTATTGACAGTCTGGCAGTGTACCATGTGGGGACCATATGCCCGCAGTAACGGAGAATGGATTGCGAAGAATATCCTCGGAGGCTTCTTCGCGGCACCCATCGAAGCGCTTCCAGAAGTATCAGTAACGGACCTCTACTTCCACCACCAGCGAGGCACGTACATGGGTCTGTACGCTTTCTTCCTCGCTGGAAGCAACTACTTCGCCCCCGTCATCTGCGGCTTCATTGCAGACCGCCAAGGCTGGAAATGGGTGTTCTACTGGCCCGCCATATTTCTCGGCGTCGGTCTTATATGGTGCTTTTTCTTCCTGGAAGAGTCCAACTACAAGCGCGCGACCGTTGGAGTCGTGGAAACCACCAGCGGCAGCCAGACTCCCACGTCTGTCACCGTGGCCGAGAAAACCGGAGAGAAACTGCCAGAGGTCACGAAGGAGCCCGCCACCGTTGAAAGTGGAACTATAACCTACGGAACCAACAAGACGTATCTGCAAAGGCTCTCCCTGTGGCAGCCGTCAAAAGGAGAGAACATGCTGCCACGGGCTATCAGGTCCCTGAAATACCTAGGCTGGCCTGTAATCTTTTATGCCGGATTCAGCTACGGCAGTTACCTTGTGAGTCGGCTGCCAAGTCACTGTCTCTCCGTATGTGCCCATGCTAACGATGTCGCTCGCAGATTTGGTTTAACGTGCTCAACGCCACTGCAAGTATTATCCTCGGAGGCCCGCCGTACAACTTCAAAGCCTCAATGGTCGGCCTCTCGTACCTTTCCACGTGTATCGGCGTTTGTGTGGGAAGCTACTTCACAGGTCGATTCAGCGACTGGCTCACCATCAGACTCGCTCGACGCAACAACGGCATCATGGAACCAGAACAGCGGCTCTGGCCGTTCGCCGCGTGTATCATTGTCGTCCCCGCATCTCTTATCCTCTGGGGCGTGGGAGCTGCTCAGAAAGTTCATTGGTTTGGCCTAGTATTCGCCATGGGGACCCTAGCTGGCTCGACCGTGTTTGGCATCACCCTGAGCGTCAACTACCTTGTCGATACTTATCATGAGAGTAAGTGGCTGCTATCTCTGTGGCGACGCCGTCTACTGGCTTTCCCACAGGCTAACATATCGGTACAGTTAGCGGCGACGCGATGACTACGGTCATGCTCGTGCGCAACACTATGTCCTTCGCGATCGGGTATGTACTACCTTTCATCCTTCCTTCCAATGTTGGCTCGACTAATATTATGGCCATGGCGGGACAGATACGGCATTACTCCCTGGCTCGATAATCTCGGCCTCCAAGACTGCTTCATCTCGGCTGCCTTCGTCGGCATGGCGGCTTCTTCGGTCTTCCTGGTCATGATTTTCTACGGCAAGAAGTTCCGGGAGCGTAGCCGAGTCAAGTACTGGAACCTGGTGGCCGAACTGATGGCAAAGGGAGATGCGAGCATCTGAGAAGCGCAAGAGGAGGAGACCTGACGAAGCCTTGTCTGTGGGACATCTACCTGGGACACAGGTATCACGTATACAAGGGATGTGCCTTGGCTTCAGGGGGTGGTTGTCGGTTCTTCCAGGGCGGATCTCTCTCGGTATGATGTCTCGAGGCTGCCTGCCGGAAGTCGTGTCTTGCGAGCGGAGCGCGATAGAGTGGACTTGAGCAGAGTAGTGAGTAGTCGAGTAGTAACTAGAAACATGAGTAATCATTCAAATAAATGTACCACGTGCCATTGCATGACGCAAGGCTGCAAGGCTGTATCCAGCTGACTAAGCAGCCCTGTCCGCGACCGGAATATTTTTGCCCAGTCCAAGTTTTCAACCCTCGGGCATCTCGCTCGAAAGTCGTGGTAAACATCATCTACTCGTTATACGGGTATCAGTTCATCAGGCTGTAAGCTTCAAGCTACCTCGACCTCACAGTATGATCTAAGTCTTTGTCTTCTGCTCGCTCTGCCCTATTTCAGCGATTGGGTCACGCACGCGCTCAATATGCTCAGCCTTGCACGACGCCGGACAGTACAAAGCAGTTGCCATCGCGGACGTATTCGAAGCTAGGGTTCGACTTGCGGAGTCTGGTCAAGCGATCCCATTGATGTTCACAAGGGCCTCTTTTGCTCGATTTCACCTTGGCTGCACAGCGTCACGGGCGAAGTGGTCTAGAAGGGGTTTCGTGTTTACTGAGCCTTCTTCCCCTTTCTCCACAAGCACGTACGCGGTTTCTAATAGTCCTTCCTCCGTCAACGCCATGGTTGCCACCGTGGACGGCGTCATCAACGACCGCCTCCATCTATCCTCCCTGCCGTACTCAGGCTGTGACACTCGTATAGTGTCGCTCCTCGACGTCAACATCCCCGATCAGGCAACCGAGGAAGAATATCGAAATCTCTACTCTAAATATGTCCAGAAATCATCACCCGAAAACAGGACCTCTAATGCCAGTCTACTCCGCGACGCCGTCGAATCTATCAGGTATGGCATTGCCCCTCCGGTCGCATTCCCTACAGAGACGGTATACGGCCTAGGAGCGGATGCGACCAACGAAGCCGCCATCAGTGGTATATTCGCCGCAAAAGGGCGACCAAACGACAACCCTCTGATCGTGCACGTCGCGAGCATTGCGCACCTCGAGCGGATTACGGGCGCCCCTCTCCCTGATGTTTACGGGCCAGTCGCTCGGCGGTTCTGGCCTGGCCCTTTGACGATCCTCCTTCCTGTGCCGGCGTCGGGAATCTTTGCCAAGAATGTCCACCCCGCGCAGAAGACGATTGGGTTCCGCATTCCGTCGTCCAGGTATGCGAGATTCTTCATCGCAGCGACGGACAGGCCGATCGCAGGGCCGAGTGCGAATTCCTCGGGGAAACCAAGTCCCACGACGGCGGCACATGTTCTACATGATCTCAGGGGGAAGATCAATTTTATCCTGGACGGCGAGGGGTGTGATGTCGGTGTCGAGAGTACCGTTGTCGACGGCTTGCATGATCCGCCGCTCATCCTCAGACCGGGCGGCGTGGGGTTGGAAGAGTTCAGGACCTTGGGACGGGAAGTCGGTGGGGAGGTCGGTGATAAATGGGAGAGAACCACGATCGGGTACAAGACATCGGCGCATCACGCGGCGGAGACGCCGTCAAACACGAGTGGAAGTCCTTCCGTGTCTACATCGACTACTAGCTTGTCAGAAGGTGCTACAGCCTCTGAAGAGCCGCGTGCGAATCACTCGACTGAGAACAGCAACGGTGCTGCAAGCTATGAAGAGGATGTCAACGGTGCTCCTCGTGCCCCCGGAATGAAGTACAAACACTATGCACCAAGGGGCCGGTTAGTTCTGTTTTCCAAGCACGCATGCCAGGCAGGTCGGGTGCAGGAGAAATTGGAGCAACACGCGGAAGCGGCAAAAGATCAGGTCGTCAAAGTCGGCATCATCTCCTGCCATTGGCCCCCATTCGCTGGTCTCAAAGGCATTTCCTCGCCAATCGATCCCACGCGCATCACCGAGATCTCGAAGCCGAAACATGGTGGGCCGAAGAAACCAGACCCGATCCTTCATTCCGCGTACGCTGACATCACGTCCATCGCACACCTGCGGGTGAAGGTTACGGATGTGACACTGTACAATGTGCAGCTTGATACTGAAATCTCCTCACTCGCACATTCACTGTTTGGGGTACTGCGGTTATTTGATGAGCTGGAATGTTCATACATATTTGCGGAGACGGTGGAGCATAGCAGGCCATCACCTTCAGGGGACCAGAGATCGATTTCTGAAACCACGAACGGAAAGGATAAGGACAGAAAGACGGACCGGAGTGGCCCGAGGCAGTTGCGGCGTGATCTCGAGGCTGCGGTAATTGATAGGATCGAGAAGGCGGCGGCGGAAAGTATATACGAGTAGACGGGTGTCTAGAGCAGTGCTGGCATACAGAGTCTCCTTTAGCCAAGACTGAGGTGTGACCACGCCATCTTGAGCTGTGAGTGTGCTGTGCTCAGCTGGGGTCTCGAGATTAGAATCGGTATTAGTTTGTTCATCAATCAGCATTTAATCATGCTACAATTACCACTTGCCGAGTCAGGACGCACGGAGACACCACATACTCTCGACGACCGGCCAAGTCACGTGCAATCACCGGCTCCTTCCGGTCGTTCTATCACGTGACTACCTGATTCGGTAACCCCGCGTTACACGGTGAAGGCGCGTGTGACGCGCCTCGCGACCTCGACGTCTGATGAGTGTGACTTCAACACTCTTTCGACACTCGTCCTCGGCTTACACTCAGCTCACCTCACCTACCTGATCAGGATGGCCATCGCGGTAGCCTTACCCAAACACATCTCTGATCTCCTAGTTGAATGCCGGAAAGCCATCAAAGAAAAGAAGTATGCAGAGGCAATAAAATCAATCAACACGGCGCTAAAGAGCCCCGCAACCAAAACCAACACGGAACCGCGCCACTTGATCAGTGTCTACGATTACCGCCATGCCGCGTATGTGCGCCAGGGTGACCGGGATTTGGCCCTTCAGGACGCCAAAAGCATGATCCGGCTTGACCGCACCGACGTGCGAGGATATCTTCGATGCAGCGCGGTCGCGCGGTTCAAGGGCAACATGACTGCCGCACTACAATACCTCGAGCACGGGCTGAAGAACTGCGCCGAACCAGGCGACTTGGATACACTTCGTAGCGAAACTCGAGTTGTGCGCGACCAGTTGTCGGCTGAGCTTGTCCTTTCACGGCCCAGAGATCCAGTGACCACATTGCCCTTCGAGGTAGTTGAGATGATCATGTCATACCTCGACTATAGACAACACGTTCGGATGCTCCGGGTTTCAAAGTCTTGGAAGCGCATGCTGAGCGTCCTACCTCCTCTGATTGACACGGTTTCTTTCGAGGGCGCCAAATCAAACATCACGGCAAAGATGTTGCTCGTGGCTCTGAGGCGACTTGTAACTCCCAAGACGTTCAAGATTTCGGGCCTGACAAGTGGTGCCAGCGATATACTCCAGCACCGGCTTTGGCGGGACAAATTGATAGAATCCCTGCACGTGCTCCAGATTAGCGATCAGAACAACCCCTTCCGGATATTCTCTTTCGGGAGTGTCAGAATGAGAAGGATTGCGATTGACTCTCCGACAAGATGTAGTGTTGAAATTGTCGATCAGATCCTGCGGCGGTGCACGGCCCTGGAGTATGCCCGGTTCACGATCTGTGTGGATGCGAGTCAACTTCAGTGCAAGCTCAGCAGCAGCACTCTACTTGAACTGGACTTGAATTGCCGGACCAAACGGGCCGGATTGGTGAGTCAAGATACACTCTCGCTCTGTCCTTTACTCCTCGCTTCACGCAGTGGAAACCTGCTTACAGTGGTGCCCTTCTAGCTCGGACTCACCATAGATTTGCCGCAAGTTCGCACCCTCTATCTCCGCGGCTTCGATGACGCGCCATGGGGAGGAGATCTTGATTTGCGCCATTGCCAGTATCTGACGGCCCTCTCCCTGTATCATTGTGCCGTCCGGGATCTCTTTCTGCCCTCGACCATCACGCACTTGCGCATGGAAAGCTGTGAGCTCCAAACAAGCAGAAACTTATGGCCTTTCGCAGGACCACAACCAGAGCTCCCTGCTCTGGACAATCTCGAGACCCTGGACATGCTTGACAGCGCTCCACGGACAAATATCGAAATGCCGTTCTTGCCTCTCATTTCCCAGGCATCCGCGAAGACAAAGCCTGGCAAGCTCACGTCACTGGGATTAACCTACAAGGATGATTCAGCGCATTATCTCGAGGCGCTAATGCTGTCGGAGTGGTTCGCAGGTCTGAAGGCGCTGCATATCGACAGCCAAAACATTGTCGACAGACACAGCCAGTTGTTTGTAACAGCTTGTCCTGAACTCGAGAGGATCCATATCCGTGGAGCGCAGATCACGGGCGTCTTCATCGTCGATCTCGTCGCGGTGCCGAAGTCCAAGCTGCGGGCCGTCACAGTGGAAGACTGCCCGAAGGTCTCCAGAGATATTATACAATTTGGGGAGCAGCGCGGCGTGCACGTCAAATTCATCGCCTCGGCAGAGAACAGCAGCAGGAGCAGTGGGCGCAGAGTACGCGAGGTGCAGTGATGCATTTCTCAGACGCACAGGCCCACGCCCACAGAGAGAGCGACGAGGGAGAGGGTGAGCGAGAGACAGAGAGGCAAGGAGGGAGAAGAGGGTGGAGGAACAGCAAATCAAGGAAAGATCCTCCTTTTCCTGTGTCCCAGTTGTGTCTTCCTATGTATTCAGTATCGTCCACTCGATAGTGTGGACATCCAGATGACCAGCGATAACGAAGTAACGAAGCAACGACCTAAACTACATGTACGTAACGAAGCAATAACAGCAGGTTCGAAGGCTTGCGTTTGAATGGAATACTGTGACTGATCAATCCCAATTCCAGTCCCACTCCCCATTTTAATGCTCACGTAGATAGCTCTAGACTGCGGCGTTGAAATGACTGACAGCCTCGAAAAGTATAACGCATGCGATCATGTACACAAGCTGGGTGGACAGCGGTCTTCACGTCACCAAGACTGACTGATTGACTGACCTTGTTGCTTAGAGAGATGGAGAACAAAGGATGCAGTATAGTCCGTGCTTGAACAGCACAGATTCAGGTATGTAGGTCCCCCCATTGCTCAAAACTTGGTCCATATACCACATACTGTATATCACAGGTCATACGTCACATTGTTATGATCAGTCTTGTACGCAGCACGTACCTTTCTTTATGCGTATGCATCACACACACAGACACACACTCGTGATATCACACTTGTTCGTTATATCTAGATCATTACCATGTACGCTACACACATTCCAAAGTATAAATCCTACGCCGTCCCCGCGGGCGTTTCCAACATCTGTTCCCCCCCCCGGGTAATGACAGGGCGGTACTCGCCCTCGGCGAAGAGCAACTCGTCATCCATATCGACGGACCTGTCGATCTTGAAGTACCGGATCTCCCACTCATCATCGATGACATCCCCGTAGGTTTCCAACTCGGCCCACAGCTCCGGATACGCCTTGCGGGCCCACCTCTCCACCTCGTCCTTGCGGTACTGCCAGGGGATGGCGTTGTAGAAGGTGCCGATGGTGAGCGCGTCGGGCGCCTCGCCTATATCGTGCTCCATCTCCTCGATGAGCTCCACTGTATTTTCAAACTCGCTCTGTCCGGCGAGCGCACCGACGTACGCGTCGTAGACCTCCTTCGTGATGACCAGGTTGAAGCTCTGCATGAGGGCCATGATTTGGCGGGCCTCGTGGCCGCCCTGGGGGATCCATTTCTCGCACGCCCGGAGCGCGAGGATGAACGAACTCAGCGTGGGACCCTCCCGCGACTCCATGATCTTCCAGAAGTGGTCGATGATGGCGACAAAGGGCTGCTGGCACTCTGTGTAAGCGGCCATGAGGCCGTTGTGGATCCGCGTGGTCTGTTCTACTTCTAGGTCGAGTTTCAGCATGTTGTAGACCATCTGGAGGCCGTCGATATCTTTGCATGAAGCGATGCCTTCGAAGCATTTGGCGTAAGCGGCCGGGGTGGGCCGGGCGGCAAGATCTTCTCGCTGCCGCATGTGTCCGAAGACCAGACATGCGAGGTCTGGCCGCTTGCGCGCGAAGAAGGATTGCATTATGGCAACACGCTCCGTGACGGGGGTTTCAGGAAAGGCGTGGCGGAAGAGTTCATAGGCATTGTAGGCGCGCTGGTCTTTGATGGAGAGGTCAGTTATGAATTGCTGGAAGACGGCGCTGATCCGGGCGCGGTCGTCTCTCGGGTAGGAGTCAACACGGTGGCGAAGCAGGCCGGTGGCTTCTTCGAGTTCGTCCTTTTGCAGGAACACGTGGCACAGGCCAGCGATGGCTTCGGCTTCGAGGTCTGCACCGGTGGAGAGGACGTGGTCGACGACATTCATAAGGTGCATGTATTCTGGGTCGGCGGAAAAGGACAGTGACGAGATGTAGTGGTTGAGGACCGGCACGTCGGATCGGTCGACAGGGACGTCTTCCCGGGAGAGAAGCTCGAAGGATTGGGCTGCTGCGGTTCGGTTGCCCTGTTTTAAATCATACTCGAGCTGTAGGGCTCGCGTTCGGCCGTCGGGATGGAGGCCCAGGGCTTGAGCGAGGTCCATGTATTGTGAGGCGGTCTCGGCGCTGTGTTGTGAGTATGCGTACTCGATGAGTCGGTTCATGGTTTTCATGGATACTGCGTCTGTAACTCCTCGGTCTGATAGCTGCTGGATGATTTGTCGCATGTGTTTCACACTGGGTTCATGCGTGGCATGCCAGACGGCCAAAGTCCCCGCCATGTCCCCGGAATCGGTTCTTTGCTGCAATAGATTGACTGCCTTTCCGGCCCACTCCTCTTCTCCGTTTCGCATAGCACAGTCCACCACTCTGATGAGGGTCGGCGTGGTTGGCACTTGGCCGTTTTCCAGCGACAAGGCAAATACCCTTTTGAGCGCGCTAATCTCGTCATGTTGGGAGAAGTGACTGGCGAGCGTTTCCTGAGACACGGCATCAAGTGGTCCGACGGTGTCTTGCACTTCCCGCACCACTTCCCAGAACTCCTTGTTGCGGCCTTCATTGGCTAGGCCCCTCAGCACAGCCGTCCACATCGGAAGGCTAGCCCTTTCCGAACTGCTGGGTGACTTGCGCAGGAGTTCTAGGGCCTCCTGAGCAGATCCGGTCTTGGATAGGACAGAAATATAGGTCACCAAGAGAGAGCCCTGAGCCTGGTGGCGGCCATGATCGACAGGATGGTCGATATCCCGGGCAGTAACTGAGCCATCCCTGAGTGCGTCGAAAACCTGTGTGGCCAGTATCCGCGCATCGGTGCGGAATCTGTCGTGGCCGGTGGAGGAGGCCAGAGCGAGCAGGACATTATGAAGGTCTTCTTCTGACAGACTCGTTTTCGAGTCGGAGCCTAGGATATGTCCACGCTCTTGCAAGTGCATGAATGCCTCTGTGGCTAAAAAGACCTCGTTCCTCGTTAATCGCCGGGGGGACTCGATCATTGAAGCGAATAGGAATCTGAAAGCATCGACCACTTCATTCTCGGGGGGTAATCTAGACTGGCTTCTTCTCGCTCGGACGACATCGACCAGCTTGCCCAAAGCCAATTCAACGTTGGCGGCTGTGCTCCTCGCGCCCTCGAAGCCCTTCCGAGTGGTCCCGAAATTGATACCAAAAAGGTGGCGCTTCTGGTGGAGGGCATAGGTAGTGCGTGGGTGGTTGGACAGCGGTTTCGCCTTCGTCCCAAGCGTCCTTTGACAGCCTCGAACCGCATATGGCCGATTTGCAAGAATGGAGCGAAACACGCCGCGGGTGAGATTTGACGACTTCATGGCGAAAAGTCCCCCTGAGCCGAACTGGAAAGTCAAGGGATTGCAAGGAGAAGAGGCATGTCCAAGACCGATATACGTCGTCGTGCAATGATGATGGCATGATGGACGTCGAGCGACAATTTGCGGAGTTGCAGCTCGGCTTCGGCGCAGTTTCCACTTTTGGTTCTGCTGCTCCTGCGCATCTCGACGAGTTCAAAGGTTCAGCGTGGACCGTCGAGACAGCATTCATCAGGGTGCCACCGACGGATCGCCATGTCTCTGCGACTGCTGCAGATAGGCCGTGCAAGCAGATCTGCTGCTGCTTCGCCCCTCGACCGTACGTCCGTGCCTTCGTTTGCAGTATAGATGAGTCTGACCTTGAGCAGAGACCATAAAACGCGGACTTCTGTCCACCGTCAAGGAATCCGACCGCAAAGTAGCAATATCGATAGAGAACCAAGCCATCGCCCGACAATTGACGAGACCATGGAAGGCCGGTGACGTCTACGCTCCTCACGACTTGAGCGCTGCGGAAGCTCGCAAATGGAGAGTCAAACATCGTCCCACCACTGATGCCTTCGATGCTTTATCTGTCAATCCTCTAACATTGTACAAGGTGAGTGTTGACTGTTCACCGACATGTTAGTGTGTACTGAGCAGTCCTAGAACTTCTCTGTCATGTCCGAGTACGTCACAGAAATGGGCCGAATTCGACATTCCAACTCGACCGGGTTGCGACCAGTCAATCAAAGAAAGATCGCGAAGGCCATTCGCAGAGCCATTGCGCTGGGATTGATGCCCAGTGTACACAGACATCCTGAGATTCTGAAGAAGGAGATATCGACGAGACTGTCCAATTCTGGACGAGTAAGATGAGTTATTGACAGAAGATCTACCGTGGCCCAGCAGTGGAGGTTTGGCACCCAACAACACAGTCTGTGGCAGGGTGGTGTCGCAGAGCACGCAAAAAGTCTAACTTGCGTCTTTCTGGCTCTAAAGGATCGAACACGCCAGCAGAACTCAAATACACGAAAAGCAAGCACCAACCTCGACAGCGAGCACCTCAGGCGAACCAGTCCAAAATTGAAACCTTTCCTCGCAATCCACCCTAGCCGGTACTAGGAAAAGGGTCCCGAGGAGGAGAAACACCGTCTGTTTCCCAAAGATAAGGCATTTTTCCGTAGCCAACTTGCTCCTTCATATCACGATTTACTCTCCAGTTACCGTGGGTGCAATGGCAGACTGGGTCGAGGCGATGCAAACTCTCCAACAAATCCAACGGGTCCCGCAACTTAATCGGAGCTTGTCCTTTTATACATCCTTCTCGAAGAAAGCGTTGGGGGAGGCTGGACCAGAACTAAGACCGCAATGTTTCATCGGCACTTGTCTGGCTTGGCTAGGATGTGATAGATTTGGCATGTACAATACAAGAGAATTGAATTTTGGATGCCGAGGCACTGTGAATGTGAAATGACAGAATGTTGGTGACGGCGAGAAACGCTGTCCTTGTCCTCTGACGATACCTTGTCAATCGATGTCCCAGACTCCGAGGCCGTCAAGACTTCTTATCGTCCTCTCAGCTTCGTGACTTGCTCCTCATTACTCTTATCAGCCTGTTGACTTGATACGGCACATCTCGTGGCCAAAGCCCATGTATGCAGCGTCGCTGTCCATACGCTATCATTGTCCACAGCCTTGGGGGCCACTACAATGCAAGCTGACTAAGCGAGGCTGCGCCACCAGCTCCTGCAGCCTTGTATACAGAGGGGCACTTTGCCCGCCGCATTGCGGTGTTTCTTGCTGAGCTCTTCCCGACAACATAGTCCAAGCACCTCGAAACGCTCCGACTCCACGCTGTACATGGTTCTTGGCTACGGTTAAGCCCCGTCGTTCACTTTGTCCTCTCTGCGCATGGTTGACCATGTCCATCACAGCTGGTAAGCAAGTAGCCAAGTCAGCGAGCACGCCGCTGACGTTGCTTTACAGAGGCCGTCCTAGCGGCGTTGCCCTCGACCCAGCGCGGACTTCCTACTCCTCTGAGTTCAGACTCGAAGGGGGAGCGTCTAGCCTACGCAAGCGGCAAGAGCATCTTCATAAGGTCGATTGACAACCCGAGCGTCTCTACTCAATACACGGAACACACGAATACAACCAGTGTCGCGCGCATTAGCCCTTCCGGCTTCTACTGCGCCTCCGGAGATGTGTCGGGCGTAGTGCGGGTGTGGGACTGCTCGCCCAACGGTTCCGGCAAGACCAAAGGAGAATATGCCATTATTTCAGGCCGAATCAATGACATTGCATGGGACGGTGACAGCCAACGCATCATAGCCGTGGGAGACGGGAAGCAGCGTTTCGGACACTGCGTGACGGCAGACTCGGGGAATACCGTGGGAGAGATCAGTGGACACTCAGCACAAGTCAATGCGGTCAGCATAAGACAGCAGCGGCCACTCCGCGCAGCGACAGCGGGTGACGACAAGAATCTGGTCTTCTACCACGGCGCTCCCTTCAAATTTAATGGTATACCTGGCCGAGGGAACCACAGCAACTTCATCTACGGGGTCGGCTTCTCGCCTGATGGTAACCATCTAGTGAGTGTGGGTGGTGACAAGAAGATCTACCTCTACGACGGCAAGACTGGAGATGTCAAGACCGAGATCGTGGACAACGCGGAAGGTCACAAGGGCAGCATCTTCGGTGTGTCGTGGTCCAAAGACTCCAAGAGCTTTGTGACTTGTTCAGGCGACCGGACTGTGAAAACCTGGGACGTGGAAGCAGGCAGAGTTACACATACTTGGACCTTTGGTGATGCTGCGGCCGTCTCAGATCAACAAGTCGGTGTGGTGTGGCCGGCACGATCAGACGGGCTGATCATTTCACTTTCGCTGAGTGGGGACCTCAACTACTTGCACACGGGTTCGAGCAAGCCAACGAAGATCATTTCAGGCCACCAGAGGAACATTACGGCTCTTGCCTACTCTGGACAGAGCGGCAGCGAAACTCTATGGACGGGCAGCTACGAAGGTCGCCTATGCTCTTGGGATGCGGCAAAAGGCACTGCCGAGGCGATTGAAGGTGACAGCCCCACAAACATCATCTCGGGACTTGCAGCAACTTCTTCGGACAAGCACCCCCAAGTCTTTTCTGTCAGCTGGGACGATACCTTGAGAACAGTGGATGCTGGAGCAAAGACCTTTACTGGTAAGGCGACAAAGCTATCGTCACAACCAAAGGCATTGACTACCACGACGGATTCTTTGGTCGTCGTAGCGCAGCTCGAGAGCGTGATTGTGTACAGAGACGGCGAAGAAGATGGCGAGTTGCCCTTGAAATCAACTCCGACATCACTGGCCTCACACGGCAGTACTGTTGCAATTGGATCACAGGACTCCAGTCTGCGCTTGTTTGCGGTAGTGCCTGGAAAAGCACCGAAACAAATTGCCGTTGTGGACCAAGTCTCTGCGCATCCTCTGACAGCAATATCCTTCTCCAAGGACGGATCGATGGTGGCAGCGGGCAATTCTGCAGGGAAAATCTATGTGTACAAAATCAGCACTGGGCTCACGGGACTCGTGACTGGCAATGCTTCGCTGGACCTGGTGACTGATCGATGGAGCGCTCACACAGCAAAGATCACATGCATTGGATGGAACCCTGAAGGCACGGGAGCTGTTTCCGGTAGCCTCGACACGAACATCTTCGCTTGGAGTCTGAAGGAACCGGGGAAGCGGGTGAAGGAAACCAATGCACACAAGGAAGGCGTCAATGGCATTGTATGGCTTGGGGACACTGTCTACAGCACGGGAGCGGATGCCACGGTCAAGAAGTGGAAGGTCCGCATAGCTTAGAGGGAGACATGAATACTACGAGGCGCATGATAAGATGGACATGTGATATGATGGCACAGCGGGTCTGAGTCTTGGGAATGAGACAGCCTGGTGCGATGATCACAAGGCTGGGTAACGATAACTGGCTGTGCAGGATAAAGTAACAATGAGGAAGATGCCTCGTCAGCCAGTGATGCTCACTGCTTCGTGTTTGACCATGCCTAGCGGGTGTTTAGGTTGTTGGATGGATTCGTCTCTTTGAGCCTCGCGCTCTTTCGACTTCGCGGGCACTGCTCGGCAACTTTGGACTTCACGAATATCTCACAGACAGGTCACAGACACCTCAGCTCATTTCACTGTAGGCAGCACGCAGCATTTTTTTCGAGTGTCAATAAGTATCTAGGTTATACTTGGACTTGCCCCCTTCATGAGTGAGACTCGCATCTCTGCCACGCCTCGAATGCGGCCCTCCTGCAGTTGATGCTTTCAACTCGGCCATGGCAACGACACTGGACGACACATTCAACCCCGCCGCCCTCACGCGATCAGACACCATCACGTCCACAACCAGCAACGTCAAAGCGCCTCCGGGCCCTGCAGCGAAGCCATCGAAGGCGAGTCACCCTCGCGTCGACCTCGAACCCCTCTACACTGAGCTGAAGTCATGCATCGGCGCGAATTGGGAGGTCTACTTTGATGCTGTCACGAGGTTTATACGAGGCACGTCGAGCAGTTTTGGATTCGGAGAACAGGACCGCTGACTGCTGTACTATAGGAGAACTCAACACGCGAGAGTTCGGTGACCTCTGCGATGCCTTCGTCTACGCGACTCCCCAGACCGAACACGCCCACAACTCCCTCATCCTCGCAATCATATGCAACACGGGCAAAGACCCTCCTGAGCCCGGCCTCGCAGCCTGGGTCAGCGCGACGACCGACAAATCCAACCTCGCCTCGCCAACGAAACCCGCCGTCACCAGCGATGCATCAGAACAACGACTCAAGGCCGAGGTCATGGCCCTGCCTGCGCGCGAACGACGGCGGCTGAAGGGCGTCGCAGGTGACAAGGCCGAAGACGAGGCAGCCGTCAGAAGGAACCCATACGAGGAATACTACCAGGCCGGACGGATCAAAGCGCCCGAACCCAGCGCTGTGGCGGGAGCTGCGGGAGGCCTGACAAAGACGAACTGGGACCTGGAGATCAGGAAGAGATATCTACAGCCGCTGTCCTCGGAGACATTGGAATTCCCCGATACCAACTCGATACATGCCCGCATGGTGCCCATCTGCTACGAGGAGTCTGTGGCCCAGGGCTGTTCCGTACAGTGTGCCGAGCTGGTGAACGTGGCAGCCGAGGCGTACCTCAAGGGCGTGTTGAGCGAGGTATTCAATCGGACACGGTCCAACGGTCCACGCTACAACCACTCCGCCGGCGAGGGCATCATGACCAAATCCTACAAGAAGAAAGTTGCCTTCGAGGAGGCCGAAGTCGAGGCAGGTAGGCTTCAGAGGACCAGGGACGACAACCTACTGCCCATCGAAGCTCAAATCGCCTACGCCCGACGACCTATGGGAATGCCGGAACTGCAACTCACGGCCCAAGTTGGCCCGCTGCCTTGGAACAGCAATCCTCTCCTCGGCTTCAGCATTACCAATGCTTCGGCTGACTACGATTACGACCAATGGCTCATGGAACGAGGGCCGACGAAGGGGAAATTGACCAACGGGTACACCGCCCAACCGGTGGATGATTCGATGGACGCCGACAACAGCTCGGACAACTATGGCTGGGAAGGTGTCGGCTCGCACGACCGGACCGGCCTTCAGTCCGTGCTCGCTGATTGCCTCGCAGCTGGTGTATAGATTGGCACCCGAGAAACCACAGGATGGAAGGCTCCGTGATACTTCTTGACTTCACTCGCGTGGTGGTGACGTCGAATTCGAAAGCAATTATGCGAAGTAAACCGACTAACTTGGTGAACCTCAACAGCCCAGGGAAGTCAACATCCTCGCTGATCTTCTTGCTCGTACGCAAAGCGAAGGCGGCTTCGCAAATGACGTACGGGTCCCGATTCACGACGACCGGGACTTTCAAGCAGGGGACAGCGTCGCGAGCCTCGATGAGTCTCCGTGGCGAAACGAAGACAACTCTACTAGCCAACTGCGAGATCAAGGAATCGACGACCAAACCACCAAGTCAGAACAGCATGCAGCGGCTGATACGACTCATCCGGAGCGGAAGAGTCATGAGGTGTACCTGGCAGAGCCTCTCTTAGACGGCCTTCCTGAATCCGATCTTGCCAACACTGATGGCTTCACCACCTTTCCCGGAACGCAAGTCGAAGGCTTCTTCTGAATGGATATCCAGGAAGACGAAGAGGCCGCTAGAGCAACCAGCCCCGTACGTTGCCAGACGAGGGCCGAAGTCCTCCCACAAAACCAGCGTGCCTTCCCGTCTGGCAGGGAGGCGAAGATCCCAAAGAATACCCTATTACAGCCAGGCGTATCGCAGCCTGAGTGGGGGTAGCAGCAAACAAATCAGGCCGTCTCAATTCTGGAAGGACACAAATAAGAGGCGCCGAGGTGAAGAGCACCCGCGACGACACCGCGCCAAGGTCAACATGGAGCTGGGGGAGCAGTTCCGGAAAGATCCAGCAGAGACTGAGCTCGAGAGAGCCAACGCCGCAAACAATACCGCGAAAAGCTGTTGAGAAAGGGCCCAGTAATTAAAACTGAAACCTCGCGATGAGCATGCCTCAAGTTACCACAGGAAGGCGCCGCATAATTAGACGGAGAACTAGCATTTGGGACTCACAGTCCCAGACGGCGCGCGAGCCAATGACAAGGGGCATCTCAAAGGGCCCTTGGTGATGACGGGCCATTTCCAAGTGACCAAGTCCATCCGCAGCCAGCATATAGCAGCACTGAAGGTGTAACAGGGTGTCTCCGAGCATCGACGACCAGCGATTGGGCGTTTAGGAGGCGATTCCATGGGACCACCGCAGGATCTCGCCGTTCTGGCAGCGTCAGATGGACCTGTTCCTCGTCCGCAACGGCCGCACGGCTGAAGATGCGGAACAAGTATTATGTTATGGCCAGCCCTACAGTATTTGATTCCATCGGGCCAGGTTTGGCTCTGTCGATGGCGCCATAGCCTCCCGTTGCAAACACCGTCTGTCGCCTTTCCCTCGGATTGGGATCACGGCTACGGACTACGTCTTCTCGGCCCTGTCGAACCACACCTCCATTGACGGAGCGGTACAGTACGAGTATCCTGGTCAGCAAGCAACCCTTGCATAGATGGAGCCATACGATACGAGTACTGGACGCGTTATCATCCTGCAGCCAGCAATGTTTGGAACGCATGGAGCGGTATACTGTATGTAGCTCTGCAGACATGTTATCCCCACCTACCCGGCGGAGCAGGATCCAGTGGTTCCAAGTTCTCCCTCCCCATCTGCTTCACTGCCATTACCATCGTGTAGGAGCGGATGGCCTCTGTTAGGCTAAGAATGTAGAAGGGTGGGCAATGGGTGAGAGTAGCTGAGGAGGTGGGATACAACACCATGGAATAGAATGGGGGATGTCGGGGTATGGGTGGGCGAGGATGGATTGAATTGGCTAATGTAATGATTGATTCCCCCAGCATGGATGCATCCGGCATGTATTGACAGAACATAATGAATGATTCCCCCTAGCATGAATCGCCGGTTGGTCCTGCGTTGCATCATCTGACACTATCTGACACCCTGTTTGTCCGCGCTACGCAGTAACCGACCTCTTCCATAGAAAGCACGATCCGTTGTTGTATTCGAGGCGCCCCCTTCCATCAATCATAGCAATTCACACACTGCCCTGGACACTAGCATCACTCCCACGACGAATGTACTCTCTCGCAATGTCCTGCCCATCCGGCCCCGTCGTCTCTCCAGCCTCAGTCTTCCGCCAGACCAGCTCATCCCACTTGATGAAGCCCTTGGCTCGAAAGGTGTATTCCTCCACCTCGTCCGCCGGATCCGCATCCATGTCCACCACGCCATTGTCGTAGCGGTACCGACGTCTTAGCCCGGTAGCCTTCAACCCGAGTCTCTCGCGCCGACGATTCTCCTCGTTCTGCTTCTGCTGCTGCATGGCCAACCGTTTGGCGACCTCGTTGGCGTCGTGGAGGCCCACAAGCTTGCGCTTCCCGGGGTATTTGGCCACAAGTCCACTGATGAAGCGACGCATACGCCACGCCTGGCCACGGCCGCTGCCATCCTCATCCTCGTCCTCATTCTCGAGTCTGTCCTGATCCTCGACTTCGTCCTGGCTCGTGCCCATGAAATCGCTGGCTGGTTGGTCTTCAATGTGTCTCTTTTCGGATTCGTTCAGTTTTGGAGGATGCTCGATCCGATGGCACAAGTAACTTGTGGTCGCGATGTCGGACACGGTCATGCCTGTGGCGTTTTCCCAGTACAGCAAGTCTGGACGAAACTCGACGATAAACTGTACAAGCTCTCGGTGGTTTTTGCGCACCCCAGTGTGCAAGGGGTATTCACCTGCTCCATCCATTTTCTCGAGGTCTTTGCCCCCTGAGAGCAACAGTAGAAACTTGAGAGACTCTTGCCAGCCGCTGTGGTGCTTGGTGATGCGACCCAGGAACACTGCGAGAGGTGTGTTGCCGGTGGACTCGATAGTGCTACACCGCTCCAGGAGTAAAGGTACGACAATTGTTTTGTCAAGCATGTCGATCACGGACCGGAGCAGGTCCGGCTTGTCGATCGGAATGGTGTCAAGCATGGTGTGCAAGATGTTGCGTCCAACGTGATCTTTGGTGGCTTGGTTGGCTCCAGCTGCAATCAACTTCTTGGCCGCATAGTATCGCTCGACTTCGAACGCGAGGTGAAGCGGTGTCTTGCCGTCCGCTGCTCGGACTCCCACCGCATCAGGCATCTTCTCGAGGAGGAGATCAAACGTGGGTTGACTTCCATCCTCCCGTGGTGGCGATAAAACCCCGACATGCAGCACCAGTTGATTGCGGGTCGAGAGCCAGGCACTCAAGGTGCCCTTGATACCGCCCTTTGCTTGCGCCAATGCTTGTATGCGCTTTTCATCCTCGAGAGACTCTGCGAACTCGAGGTATCGACGCAAGGGTGCATCTGTGAGGAAGAATTCGGTGGAATCAGTGTTGCCTTCGATGGCAGCAGCAAGGAGAGGCACTCCGATATCTGACTCCGCATGGTGGGAACGCCGCCCGCCTCGACCTGCCTCTGCCCAATCCTGGCGTTTCCGGCCATGCACACTGAGGCCCTGGTAGTATTTGGGCTTTTCGTCCAGCTTGATTCCAGACTTCTGGAACACTTTCTGCAAGGGGAACCCATAGCCAGTGGACTTGATGATTTCTCCGATCATTTCGACTCGACCTAGTCGTACTGCAAGGCCGAAATCGTCTTGGCTGATGTTCATGACTCTCAGGCTGTCGTTGTTGCCATCGGGGATCTGGGCGGCCAATTCGTTGCCAACCTTGATCAAGAACCTCAAGAGGGTCATATCGTCGGTAAACTGTCCTCATCTGTTAGCCAAATAACACTAATAGACCAGCAGTACTGATTATACCGCAGAAAGCCAGATTTTGAGGAGAGGGGGAGAACTTACGATGGCATATCGAACCAAAGATCGTCGCATCGCCTGGCTTGTTGCTCCAAACACTGCATTGAACCATGCCCATGACTGCTTGGATTGATCACCGATATAGACCCGACGGTGGTTTGCAAGGCTATCTCCGAACACGTCTTTGACCTCTCGCTGGTCAACATCTCTCCGCAACGCACGAGCAACCTGACAATGCCAGGCGACCATGGTGGACGGCGAGACTCGGGATACGACAGTTGTAGCCTCCAGTGCCGCAACGTCCTCCACTGTGAAAGCTTCGTCGACGACTTCCGCGTGAAGTCTCACATTGTCACTGCCTTCTGAACGCCCGTCGTCACTGCTTCCATCGCTGTAGCTGTTATCGTCTTCCTCAGTGCGGAGACGGTAATGGTATCGGACCGACTTGTTATCTGGTTGATATTGTGCTTTGGCAATTTCGATGATGATGTGAGCTAATTCATAATGACCACGAATTGCTGCAATGGAAAAGGGACTGAATCCACGGAGATCATAGACTGCGATATGAAGAGGGCGTTCGCCATGGAGACAGAGTGACTTCAGTGTTTCCACGTTCCCATGCCAGGCAGCCTCGAACAGCTTGATGTAGTTGGCTTCTTTCTCTGGAGTCAAGTCCGGTACTTTGAAGGATATCTTTGTCCTGTAGGGTTCTGTGCTGTGTTGGTTGAAGCCATAGCGGTAGCCAAGGGCACGTCGCGACTCCTCTTCTTTCCGCCCCTCTGGATGAAGCTCCCAGAATGACTTGGCACCCTTTTCACAAAGCTTCGATTTGAGGTTGAGTAACTTTTCGAGCATGTTGTTGATAGCAGCTTTCTTCGGTGCCTCGTCCGAAGATTCCTTCTCCGCATTGAGCTCCTTCTCGTATTGCTTCGTTTGATATCGATGAACTGATTTAGCATCACAGAGATCCTCGGAGGCAGTCCAGTAAGAGTAGGACCCTGCCTCAAAGCCATCGAGATAGACAGAGTCCTCTTCTAGTGAAGCCGGCTTTTCCAGTGTCTGAGCGTCCGCGGGCTGCAAGTATTGCCGAAGAGATGTAACACGGTCTTCAACAAGGTCCAGTAAAGATTTACCAGCTGAATTCCAGGATGAATACTGGTACTCTAGGTACTTGTAGGCTCTGGCGGGTAGACTGTTGACGTCTTCGCCTGCGTCGACAAGCTGAGCAACAAAGTCCACCATGTCGTGTTGCAGTGCAACAAAAAGCGGCTGTTCGACGGTTTTCTGAAACGTCTTCTTCACTATTTCTGGGTCATTTGAGGGTCGGTCGAAACTACGCCTGTAGGCTTGTGCATATGACTCGAAGTCGATATGGGTTTTGGCTCCCCAACGAACAAGATTGTCGACAATCTCTGGCTTTCCAGTCCGGATGGCGGTCAGCAATGGAGTATTGACCTTGGCGGTGTCGAAGTACCCGGAGATGGCGATGAAGTTGCACGCGCTGGCGAAGTGTGATGGATCTGCAGAGTGCATCGTCTCTAGGATGAGTGTTTTCGCGCTATTGACAGCATAGTTGAGGGCTGAGATGTGATTCATATCGGCCTGGGCATGTGTCGCTCCGCGCTCAAGAAGGACTCTCACGGTCTCGTTTGCTTGTTGAAGTGGCAGCTCCAGAGCCAAGGTCATGGTGAGTATCGCGGCCTTGGCCCGCTTTCGATTGTATTCGTCCACAATCTTGATCGGAAGGAGGACATCGGCGCCATAACTGTCGACTAGAAGCTCGATGACGTCCAAGTGGCCTGCTAAGATAGCGAGGTGAAGCGGCGAAAGTGGGCTGTCCCAAGCTAGGACATCGACATCATACACATCTGGTTCGTCCTCTTCGCCGTTCTCGTCAGGGCTGACGTTGTCGTTGACCTTTACGAAGGAACCTTCCGTCACATCGTCTACTTCGGCTTCATGATCGAAATCCCCATCAGAATCAAACGAGTCGACATCGCCGGAGTCTTGCTCTTGACTCCCGTTTTCGGAAGAGGTATCAGACGCCGACCCAGCTCTTCGTGCATCCCTGCGGGCAGCTTCCTTTATGTTTTCCGCTTCCTCATTCGCGTCGCTCTTGTCCAGGATGTCTTTCACCATTTGCACTTCCCCACGGTAGGCAGCGAGGTGCAGCGCGGTCATGCCATTATACAATCGCGCTACCAGGCGGGCGCCATGCTCGATCAGACACTGGACGATCTCGGGAGTCGAACACATGACAGCCAACTGCAAAGGCGTACGGCCGGTGTGGTCTCTTCGATTGACGTCTACGACTTCCGGAGAAGAGAACCAGTCTCTGACCGCGTCGAGATCAAGGTCGACGATTGCTTGGCACAGTCTAGTAGTGTTGCCAACGTACGCCATGTCCGTCCAGTCGTCATCGGTGATAGGATTGAAGCTCCCAATAGCCTGCCTGCCGGGATCGTCCATGACGAAAGTGACATTTCCAGAGATGTAAATCTTGCTTTCCTCCTCGAAGGCTGCCACATCTTCAACAGTGACTGGCTTGGGACAGAAGCCGCAGCAATCATGAAGGACATCATTAGCTGAACCAAAGAACGCCGGATGACGGTGCAGCTGCGTTTCTCTGTCCTTCGGCTTGTTCCATTCGGCGTTGAGAAGCAAGTCCTTGGTGAACAGAAGCTTCTCGATTTTCTTGGCATGGTACTTCGGTCCGTATGGAATGGTGACAGTGTGGTAATTCGAGACCTCGTCCTCTTCAACCCACTCAGCCACATCGTCAGGTTGCGCATCTTTGACGTTGCCTGGCAGCTCGTGGCGGAAACGGGCATTCCAAGGCAGTGGTGGACGGCCACGCTCGGCTCGGCGCTTGGCGAGATAGGTGTCTCTGTCATTGGGATGCGGAAGTTTCTCCAAGACCAGCAGTCTTGCCAACCCCAGCACCCGTGAGAAAGACCTCTCGAAAATGGTTGGATCCACTCGACTACGGTCAATCAAAGGCCAGTAGACCTCGAAACCACGGCGTGAGTACTTGGACAGGCGATTTTCGTATGAAGGCGACCTTCTGCTGAGGTCAATGGTATTCATCTGGGTCATGAAGGCAGCCAGCGCTCTTGGGGATGCCCAGACTTGCTTCCCGTCGTAAGCGACGCACGAACAATCGACGTCGAATCCGGTGAGGATCTCCGAAACGCTTCTGTACAGGCGAAGGACGATCTGGACGTGACGAATTGGATATTGACTGACGATAGTTATGGCATTCTTGGTGCGGACAGTTGTTGTCTCGGCCAGGATGCTGTCTCGAATCTTGCTTTCGATCTGCTTGACCTTCTCCATGGCCTGTTCTCGGTCCAGACCGTACAAAAAGAGATCAACATCAGAGGCAGGAGCGAGATTCTCATGGTAATATGAGCGTAGCGCGCGCTGGAACCATGTCAGAAAGTTCTCCGAGAGATATGATTGTAGGCAATACCTTAGATTCGTTATGAGGGGCATCGACTGGCAGCAGAGATGTGACCACGGCGGACCCGGCACAGACGACATTGTTCCAGTCCAAATCGACCAAGGACGATTCCGAGAACAGATTGAAGTTTGTCTTGAACTCCTTGAGAGATTGGACGGTCGCAGGTGCGTCAGTTTTCCGGCGCGTGTCTTCGGGCAGTGGGAGCAGGTATTTGTCCTTTTCAGCTGGAGACTCGTTGGCAAGATCTCTTGCTCTGACAGCCAGAATGTCGTTATCGAAGACGGGAAGCAAGTGGTTTCCAGCTGCAGCCGGATGATCGGGATGCTGGGCATAGACTTCTCTCAGCTTGTTTTCGAATGCCTTGAAAGGTTTCACGGCTTCAGCCACGCCAGCCGGGGCCTTTGGACGTTTTTCGACATAGCTGACAAAGTCACAGATGGGCACGGGAAGCGGGGGAAGCTCCATTGCCGCCATGACCAAGGTTGCTGGGAGTGGTAGGGAAATGACACAGAAATGAAATGAAAATGAGATGAAAATGAGCCTTGGGGTGGAAGACAAGTGGTCAATGAGCACAACAACGAAGATACACACGTGCCGAGGGTGACGTGCAAAGCAATCTGTAGGGTTGAATGATTGAACTGCTGAAAGGATCAAGTGAAAGACGATTATATGTAGACGCTTGAGAGAGATGTGAAGCTGCCCAAGACTGTACGTCGGTGGTGATCCACTGCCAGTGAAGCCGGTGTCAGCAGCACGAAACTCATGAGCCAGAGAAGGCGCGACCCGGTGCGGCAGCCTGGGTGAAGACAGATCGCTTCACACTGACAGGCACCAGAGGCACCAAATTCAAGCTTTGTCTGGCTGTGTGAGAGTGTGAGCGAAGGGTGAGGGAAGAGTGTTGGCTCGCATGCTCGCTCGCCTCTGGGACAGCGCGCCCTCAAGTGGAGAAGGATGCCTAATGTGCCTACTGTGTACTCTAGCTCCGCCTATTGGTGGCCAGAAGAGCCAGGCACCAGGGACGAATTCCTTTGTGGCCAAATGCTCAGCCGAAACAACCTGGGCTCGGTCTACGCCGAAGTGCAACTTATTCTGCCGTCGTTCTGGCAGGAATTTTTCGGTACTCGCAAGTCACACGAACACGAAGAAATCAGGTGCAGAGTCGCCGATGGTTCTTCTCCTGGCGAGAGCAAGACTTGCAAGTCCGAGACTTGTGTCGCATAGCATTGGCTGTGTCCGATTCGCTTCGACGAAATCAAGGGCCGCGGTGTTCAGCAGACCTCGCATGAGCTCGATCGAAGAATCTTCCCTTGTCACCAAGATGGCTAATGATCATATCTTGACGCTATCATGCCCGGACAAGCCTGGGATCATCCACGCTGTGACCGGGATATTTTCCAGAAACGAGCTGAATATCCTTGATCTACAGCAATTCAGTGACCGCACCTCGGAAAAGTTCTTCATGAGAGTGCACTTTGGTCCAGCACAAGATACCAAGTTCCTCATGCCATACTTGGATCAACTGGCAGCCGATATCCACATGGACTGGGACTTGCGGCCCGTTGCCGAGAAACCCAAGGTCCTGATCATGGTCTCGAAGATCGGACACTGTCTGAATGATCTCCTCTTCCGACAGAAGACGGGCCAGCTGGCCATCGACGTGCCTCTCATCGTGTCAAACCATTCCGAATTCAAGTCCCTGGCCCAAAGCTACAATATCGCTTTCCACCACCTCCCCGTCACCAAGGACAACAAAGCGGAGCAAGAGAGTCGTATCCTTGACCTCGTCAAGGAGCATAACATCGAGCTGGTCGTGCTGGCTCGGTATATGCAAGTCCTGTCGCCGACCCTGTGCGAGGCGATGTCCGGCAAGATAATCAACATTCATCACAGCTTCCTACCGTCCTTCAAGGGTGCGAAGCCGTACCACCAGGCATTTGATAGAGGCGTCAAGATCATAGGAGCGACGGCCCACTTCGTGACTGCCGATCTGGATGAAGGTCCTATCATCGAGCAGAGAGTGACGCGAGTAGACCACAACATGACTCCCAAGGAGCTTGTCGATGAGGGCAGCAACGTTGAGAGTCAGGTACTAGCCGCTGCAGTCAAGTGGTGGTCGGAGCGGAGAGTGTTTTTGAACGGTCATAAGACCGTGGTCTTCAATTGAGCTCTCCTCTCTGGCCTCCCCCCTGGCAATACAACATCGAAAATATAGAATCCGTGCACTACGGCATCTATGATGGGCAGGACAAAAGTTCGCTGAGTGGATAAAAGAACATGTGTTTGACTGAATTGCATGAGGGAAGGACGGACTTGTCCGCCATCACCATTTCGACATCATCCACTCATCATACAGACCGTGCTCCACAATACCCCATGTTATTGACAGCAGACGTACGCGCCTATGTTGTCGTCTAACTTTATCCGACTGCCAGACAGACCAACGGCCATATAAAATGGTTCTCTATCGGCTCAAGGAGGCTCGTCTCGCGGATCCTCGTGCATACAAGGTGGAGAGCGGAGATCTCAGCTGCATGACCTTTGGCACGTATCAAGGAGTTGTCCGTCAGCATAGTATGGGTCTCACCATTCTATGCCTATGGTCATAACTCCGGACAGAGTTTTCTCCGCGACCAGCATGCGTAGGCCAAGTATAAAGAACGACCCGTGCGGCTCTGCGCCATGCTTCGATGTGGCTCGACAGGAGGCGTTTCCGGACTCATAGGAACATCCCCAGCTAGGAAGAGGGACGACTCACCAGGACCGCGAGGCTGAAAACTCAACCATAACCGACCTGACATACAACAACAATGGCGCTCAGTCTCCAATTGACGTTGACACTCCTCACGGTCCTGCTCTCGCTCCGTTCCATCCTCGCACACTCGCATTCCCAACACGATACAGCCTCCTCGGAAGAAGAACAACCGCTATCCTTCTCAGTCGGCCCGAACTACCCCTACGCGCTCGAGGACCTGGATAAAGACCTCCCCTTCTCACAACCCGTCACATTCGCCCATCTCCCCTGGCAACGATGCTTCTCGGCCAGCCACAAATCCCCACTCGACATCGCGGTCGTCGGCTTCCCCTACGACACATCGACGTCGTACCGCCCCGGCGCGCGCTTCGGCCCACGAGGCATCCGCGCCGCCAGCTCGCGCGAGAAAAAGGGCCGCTCGTACAACACGATCTGGGGCATCGACCCCTTCACGGACGGCGGCCTCAATATCGTCGACTGCGGCGACATCCCCATCACGCCGTTCGACGCCCAGCACGCGTTCCGCCAAATGGAGCAAGGATACCGCCAGATCCTGTACCACAACACATCTGCCACCTCCGCCTCCGCCAGTACTAACGTCTGGTCGCACCCGCGCATCCTCAGCCTGGGAGGCGACCACTCGATCGTGCTTCCCGTGCTCCGCTCCCTCAAGACCATCTACGGCCCCATCAGCGTGATCCACCTGGACTCGCACCTCGACACCTGGGACCCCTACGCCGGATATACCGGGATAGTCAGCGAGCAGTCGGCCATCACGCACGGGACGTTCTTCTGGCACGCCGCGCGCGAGGGCTGCATCGCCAAGGGCAGCTCCGTGCACGGTGGTCTGCGCACGAAACTGTTCAGCCCCGCCGACTACGGGACCGACAAGGAAGTCGTGGGGTTCGAGCTGATCGAGGCACACGAGATCGACGACGAACCGCGTGGCATGAGTGGGATTGCCGCGCGCGTAAAGTCCATCGTCGGCACCACCAACCCCGTCTATTTGAGCATCGATATTGACGTGCTGGATCCGAGCATTGCGCCCGCGACGGGAACGCCCGAGTCCGGCGGCTGGACGACGCGCGAGGTGAAAAGGTTCATCAAGGGCCTCGAGGGCATTCGGCTGGTCGGCGCCGATGTCGTCGAGGTGAGTCCGCCGTATGATACCGTCGCAGAGGTGACGAGCGTGGCGGCGAGTGATTTGCTGGTGGATATTATGGCGTTGATGGTCAAGGATTCGCTCGGGAAAGCCGAGAGGAAGGATACAGTGGGTGGCAAAGAGGCGAGGAAGGATGAACTGTAGCTAGACGGACAGTACACTAATGGGCGCGTGGGTATAGGATATTTAGACCTTGTACGACAATGCTGATAATACTTGTTGCTCGTTGGTGCTAATGTTAGCGTGAAGAAGTGGACTCTACAAGGACGGGTTCTGGGCGTGAATTCATGTATACACACCAAAGGAGGGCCAGCGTCAAGGTGGCTCCTGCTGGCCGAGCTGTGGCTTCAACTTCTCCCATTGAGAGAGACACTACAGTCTTCGCAGACCTTGGCGTATCATAACCGAGATTCTATGTCCGACCTGAAAATAGCTGAATTCCGGGAAGACAGGAAACACGCTCATAAAGCCCGCCCTTGGGGCCAAGATTCAATGTACCATCAACGTCGTAAGGTTTCCCAGACCAATGCAAGCAAATGAAGCCACATGCCCCAGTTGATAACTTGCTGTAACTGCTCGGTTTCGTGTAAAATCCCTGAGAGTACACTTAGTTTGGGCCCTTGCTACTTCTCCGCATGGCAAACCACTTAAAGCTCAATCAGACTTTCCTCGACGGCGACAGGCTGCGGTTGATGTTGCTGATGTGGTTGACCATACGGGGCTGGAGTATGTTGTGGCGCAGCTGGGAATTGGCTCTGAGTATAAGTGGGATGTGGCGCATTGTACGAGCCTCCCGTCGACATGGCCTGCTGAGGTTGCGCTGCTGGGTGCTGTTGTTGAGGAGGATATTGTTGTAATTGTTGAGTTCGCTGCGGAGGGTATTGTTGGGATTGAGTTTGAGGCGGGGGTTGCTGGTACATTTGAGGAGAAGGTGGTTGGTTGAACTGACCAGGCAGCGGCATAGATTGGTGCTGTTGCGGATATGACGATTGCTGAGGAGGTTGGTGTTGGTGAGCAAGCTGGGTCTGTGGCTGCGGAGTAGGAGCTTCAGAGGGCAGCTGCGGCATCTGAGCATAGGGTGTGGGGGTTGCCTGAGGTTCTGGAGGTGGCATTTGGGGGTACATAGAGGGAGGCTGCTGAGATTGCTGGAACGAATATGGTTGCTGCTGTGGCTGTTGACTTGGATGTTGGTACGAAGAGGCAGGGGATTCTTGCTTCTGACTTGAGTATGAATATGACCGTTGAGGTTGAGGTAGAGTCGTGGGCTGAGAAGGCGGAGCATACGAGTCGAGTGGTGCATTGCTGAAATAGTAATTCTCTGCACCGCCTGGACCTGTGTTCATGGAAGACGGCGGCGCCCCCGCTATTGACGGGTACATTCCTGAGCCCTGCGGCACGGCAGGGGATGGCATGGCGTAGGCAGCATAGCCCGGGTTTCTCTGATTGTATGTGTTGTTCAATCGCTCTTCAAGCATCCGGTCGTAGTAGCGGACGACGGTGGACAGCTTTGCGTGTAATTCAAGTAACGCATCGTTCTTGGACATGGTTTCGCCTAACGTCCTTGCCAACTTTGGCCGAAGCTTTCCGATGCTCTCGTAAAGCTCCTGTATTTGTGGTTCCCGTAAGATGGTGCCTGCTGGCTGATGCTGTAATCGATCCACCAATGTTGCGAACAGGTTGATGTTCTCGGATTCCACGACCGACAACTCGTAGTCACTCTTGGGCATAACAAAAGGCTGAGCTGGGGTAGCCCCGTTCGTGGTGGTTTTCTTGAGGTTCGCCGCATGCTTCTTGGCCTGCTCCTCGGCTTCCTTGAGCGACAGTGCAATCGCAGCTTTGAGGTCGGGGTCATCTTCTTCGTCATTGGACGCGCCGTTTGTCTTCGCCTGCTCTTGCTTTGTTTGAGATTGTGGAACATAACCTGAGCCAGAAATTCCTTTGGCTTCTTCCAGGCTCATCTCCAACGCCCTCTTCAGGTCCTCGTCGAAGCTGGTGTCAACTCGGGCACTGCGGGGTTGCATTGCGCCCGGCTTGGGTGCAAAAGACACTCGACGGTCTTGGGTGCCGCCCGACTTCTTCGTCAGTTTGTCGTAGCAGCCGTCGTCTACACGGACTGGTTGCATGATGCCCAGGTGAGGCAGGGGGATGGACTTGGAGGAACACTGTTGATCAAAAACGTTGCCACAATTCCTGCAGTGGTGCTTCCGGTTGGTAAGAGTAAAGGCCGTCCTGCAACGCATGCACACATCGCTGTCGGTCCACTCGGGGGGTGCACTGCTGTCCAGCATGGTGCTTGAGATGTCGACCTTGGGCGGAAAATGGAAGCCCTCTCTTTGCAGACTCTGATAGACCTGGTTTATGTATGACAAATCGTATCTTCCCTGTGTTGCGTTGGCCCAGGTCTGGATCAGTTCAAGAATCTTTTGCTTGACCTCTTCGTTGACTGCCGCGGGTCCGTAGGCTTTCAGTAACGAGACCAAGTTGTCCATGAATTCGCGCGATGCAATTTCACTAAGAAAATGCGAACCGCCGTTTTTGACGCACGTGTCTGTGAGCTTCAGGGCGGACAACTGAATGTTGGGATTCTTGTTGCCTATTCGCTTCTTCAGGGACCGCATGGCATCTTTAGGCTGCACTGTTTTCGAGCGGATGAGATCGGTGATTTCGAGGGATGTTGCAATATCTTCTAAGCTCGAAGACGTCGCTTTGTCGATCTGCTCGTCGAGCACAGACGTGCCTGACGTGAACCACCCGGCCATGGTGGGAGACTGAGCGCCCTGCGTTGGAAATGATGAGGTGGAATATTCGAGGAGATTGCCGGCCGGAGCAAAGGTTTATCCTGGGCGTGGTTCCTTGCTTGAACGAGGGGCAACTCTAGCTATGCGAGCTAGATGTGGAAACGAGATGAGGCAGATGATGGAGGAGTAGTTGAGCCGCATGTATTCGGTCGAGGCTTTGGCAGAATGATGTCTGCGCCTGTCTACGCGCCACACACGCCACAATTGTAATCCACCGTACGGAGTAGACCCACAGCTCACTAGCCACAGGCCGTTCTCGCAGGGCTCCCCCACGTTCCCGTAATCTGCCGAGCGGTGCTCCGTACTGTGTAGTGGTTCGCCGTACCTAGTTTAGCCTCGTGGCCTCGTGCAGTCAGCATCAACGAGTGGTGACGAGGCACGAGAGGCTCGGAGAGGCAATCGCCATCCACCTGCGCCGTCTCCGTCCCGCCTCCATTGTTGATCTGCGGCCCCCAATTGCGTTCACAGGCAACTCATAAATCTATACCTCGCTTCACACGTATCCAAGTCACTTCTGACAAACAAAACAACCTTGCCACCACTGGTCAAACGAGCCCTTGGAGTCTCACTTGAGGTCACTCGTCCCCCTACAAGACTATATGATCGATATTCTCTTTCCATCGCTAAACGCTCAACTCCAAGCAGTTAAGTCGAGAACTCTCTCACACAAGGACTCGGCCCGAGTTCGTGCGCAATGATCCTCCGGTGAACAGAGCCTACTTATCGCCATGGCGGCGTTCGCTTCCTCATCCGCCATATCCTCCTCCCACACCACTTCTACCGCCGGCAGTGCCAGGAGCAGCTGGACCCATCCTCGTGACTCGGGTCTAGATGCAGGTCCGGGCACCGGCAAGGTGTATCCTCACATTAGAGACATTGTCCACGACGCCACCGCTTCCTTCCAGACTGGCGGCTCGCTTACCCAGTACTTGACTGAAGTCGAAAACTGTACTGCCGTGGCAAAAAGCTCCGTCGACTTTGGCCGCCATGATCTCGCCTACAAGAATTATGTTCGGGCATACGAGATCGCCGTCAATCATATCCCGACACACAAAGACTATGGCTTTTGGGACAACAACCCACAGTGGAGGGCTAAATATAAGGCTGCGCGGCACAAGCTGACCGACTTGGAGGGGCACATGACACAGGTGAAAGCGTTAATCGAAGAGAACAATGCCCGCCACGGCACCCAACCGCAGTCCCGCCCAATTCCTCGGAAGCCCCTATATTCCAGTGGTTTCGGAATCCCATCAAATCTGGTGCCTGGTCGGCCAACCTCTTCCGGGAGCAACGATGCCACTCCTCGGCCGGGCTCGCCTCAATCAGAACTGCCTGAGACTCTCCGAATACAACGTGCGCGTCCTACCAGCAAGCCCAAACCGGAGACTCTGCAAGGCCGGCCCTTGACAGACACCACGAATGACCTAAGTCAAAGATTCGCGAAGCTTAGGGGGCTCGGAAATGGCGGCGACCAGTCAGACTTGGTGTCCATGCCGAGGGCGACTGACTTCCAGCAAGGTGCAGCCTACACATCCCAGCCGTATGCGGGCACAAACGGGACACCTCTTTCGCGGCTCAATGGGCCTCGGCCGATGACAGCATTTGGAAATGGGCCTATTCTTCCACCAAAAGTTCCAACCACTCCACCAAAAGTACCCCTGGACACCTCCATGGCCATGCCCAAACCTCCCAGTCCCACCTACAGCCCGATAGACAATACTTCGGCGCGATTCCATACGATCGGCAGTCGCTTGTCTGCTGAGGGAGGCCGCCCACCATCGGAGAGAAAGCAGACCTACTATCATCAGTCGCAGAACTCGTCCACTACTTCCCTGCAACTCCAAAAGACCCGCGACGAGCTCTCTGCTCCATATCGACCGACGACCCCGAATGGGATCAACTCCGCCATCGTCTCCAAGAACAGCTCCAGTGACCTACCTCACCATACAGTCGTTGACGCTGCGACGCTTCAGCAGTACATGACCAAGTACAATGTGCTTCTTATTGATATTCGAGATCGAACCATGTTCGATGACGGACATATCATGTCTACCTCAGTTATATGTATAGAACCAATTTCCCTCAAGGAGGGCGTTTCAGCAGAGGAGCTGGAGGATCGACTTGTGCTCGCCCCTGATACTGAACAGTCACACTTTTCTAGGCGGAACGAGTTCGACCTTGTGGTGTATTACGATCAAAATACAAGCGATGTCTCCTACCTGAGCGGGCCTCCAACGTTGAGCAAAGCTCCGGCGCTGAGAGCTCTGTATGACACGCTCTACGAGTTTAATGACACCAAGCCTCTGAAGGATGGCCGCCCTCCAGCGCTGTTGACTGGTGGTCTGGATAGTTGGGTTGACTACATGGGCGCACAATCTCTGGTGCGGTCAAAGACGGCCGCCACCCTAGGGACAACGCGACAACGACCTGTGGTCGCCGGACGGCCAATTGCACGACAGCGCATGGTATCTGCAAATTCCCGCTACGAGGTGCGAAACAGACGCCTCCGCGATCACAAGTTCCTTGACGAGAATGAGCAAGAAGCTTGGCGGCAACAGGCACTCCAGGAGGAGGTGACCCCGATCGAGAAAATTCAAACGGGCAGCGACGATGCCTATGAAGATATCGAGGTCGAATCAGAACCGCCTTCGCCCTTCATTCCCGACTATGAGACGTTCCTGCGGCGCTTTCCTTCCATCCAGCAGCAGGAGTCGATGGTCATGCCGGCTCGGCGGCCAGTGGCGTCGTATCCCGCTGCTCTTGGACCACAGTCTGCTCCACTTCCGCCAACACCGCTCCCTCAGGTGCCGGCAAGACCTGCCCCTGCCATCCCCAGACCCAGTTACTCCGGTCATGCCGATATCAACGCACCGCAACCTGCCCTGGCCAGAGTTACCTCTGCGACTCGACCACCTCTGTACTCGACTGTGACATCCCTACGCAGGAGACTGCCTAAGACAGGGTTGACGAACTTTGGGGTCACATGCTACATGAACTCCACGTTACAATGCTTGTCGGCGACCATTCCCTTGTCCAATTTTTTCAACGATCGACTTTACGAGGCTTACGTGCAGCGCAACTGGAAAGGCAGCAACGGCATTATGCCCAAACTATACGCCAACTTGGTTCAGGCCGTGTGGCAAGGAGATAGTGAGGTCATCAAACCGTCGACGTTTCGAAACTTCTGTGGCCGGATGAACCGAGAATGGGTGATAGATCGGCAACAGGACGCGAAGGAATTCTTTGACTTCCTGGTAGACTGTCTGCACGAAGACCTGAACGTCAACTGGGAACGGACGCCGCTACGACCTCTCACCACGGCGGAGGAGATGCAACGAGAAAGAATGGAGATCGCAAAAGCCAGCCCGATCGAGTGGAAGCGATATGAGCACCGCGACCACAGTTACATGTCCTCTCTCTTTGCTGGCCAACATGCCTCGCGACTGCGTTGTTTGACCTGTAAACGGACTTCGACCACCTATGAAGCCTTCTACAGCATTAGCGTGGAGATTCCCCGAGATCGGCCTGGCCACATCTATGACTGCCTTTCATCATATTGTCGCGAAGAGAAGCTGTCGGAGCTTTGGCGATGTCCATACTGCAAATGTGAGCGTGAAGCTACCAAACAGATCATCCTCACCCGCTTGCCGCAGTTCCTGGTCATCCACTTCAAGCGTTTTGCGGCCTCGAAGCATGAGAGAGCCAAGAAGATTCACACGCCGATCGAATTTCCTCTGCATGACCTCAGCATGGACGACTTTGTCATCCCTCGGCCACCCGCTCAGCCAGATCAGGACGGTCGGATGAACATGGAGCTGGCTACCACAGCGCCTTACACGTATGATGCGTACGGTGTGCTGAGGCATCTGGGTAATAGTGGCGATGGAGGCCATTACGTCTCCATTGTGAAGGACCAGGGTCGAGGCTGTTGGAGGAAATTCGACGATGAGAGACATGTCGATTTGGATCCGAACAAGTTGGGGTCGAGAGACAGGCTGCAGAACGGCGAAGCCTATATTCTGTTTTACCAAAGAGTGCAAGGACGATGATCGATCAGCTGGTTTTCGCATGAGACATTGAAGTAAGCGACGCAAGCGTTCGTGCAATGGGCCGGGTTTCCCGGGAACTGTCCGTTGTTATAGATACTCGACTGGACGGGACGTTCTGGGTGCCGTCAGGATCCTGTGAATATTCGTATTTTGGTGCGATGAGGAGCCACGAAGGATGTTTGATATGATGCAATGAACATAAGCGCCGGGTAATTATCCCGCGTCGCTGCTCTGAAGGTTGTCTCTTTTCTTGGTCTTGCCGTACATTCCACCCTCGATTCGTCGTCGTTCGATTGCCATCTTATAGGGTGGTGCTGTTGGCGGTTGAACCGGGTCGAGGCTGACGTGGCCTGCTGGTAACTTGTAGGTAGCGTCGCTATCCCAGGCTGAGAGGTCGCCACAGGCCAAGAACGGGGCGATGTACCTTGGCGGATCAGACTGTTCGTCGGGGAAATGTAGTTCGACGACGCCGTCAGGGCGTCGATGGCGGGTCTGTCCTGGCGTTCTGGCCCCACCGGATGGTGCTGACTCTGCAGAAGTAGTGGGCTCATCATCGGACTTTTCTCCCACAGCAGCATTATCCTGCCTGCCTCGTCCCGAGACGTCTCCGTTCGCCGGCTCGGGTGCATCTCCGATCTCCGGCGTCCACAGCACCTCCTCTCCGTCTCTGTTCCGGACCAGCACCGGCCTGTAACCCTCACAGACGACAAACGCCTCAATACTACTCGCCCGACTGGCCCTCGGCTTCGCCACACTAACCCTCTCGAATAGAATTCTCAATTGTGCATAGATCAAATCCACGTTCCGGCCTCTAAAGATCTTGGCGACGAATTTCCCACCGGGCCGCAATACTTTGGTCGCGAGCGTCAGTGCCGAATAGAGCAGTTGGCTTTGGACGTAGATGTCCAGGGAATGCAGGCCCGTGACGTCCGGGGCGCCGTCGGAGATGACCAGGTCGACGAGGTGCGTGCTGTCTGTGGGCGTGAAGGCCGGATCGATGGCGTGGAGTAAGCGTGGCACCGTGGATGGGTGCGTGATGTCGGCTTGAATTTGGATGATGCCCTCGAGGGGCGCCATGGGCTGGAGGTCTATGGCGACGATCTTGACGTTGGCGCGGGGTTTCAGCTCGCGGTCGAACTGCTTTCCGTCATCCAGGTCCAGAGACTCCATGTCCAAGTCGCCTACGAGGTCGGTTTCTTGTTGGCCCACTTGTGCCATCTGTGGACGGTTGAAGCGGTCCATTCTCTCACACCATGCTCGGCGGCCGAAACTCTCGCCTTTGATCAGGATGCGACTGAGCACTTGGCTCCAACTGCCTGGGGCGGCGCACAGGTCTACCACTCTCGTGCATTTCTCTGGTTCGGCGTAGGAGAATAAATCGAATTGCTCGTCGATTTGGATGAGTTTGAAGGCGCTGCGGGCACGCCAGTTTTGTTCCTTGGCGAGACGGTAGTAGGCGTCCCTTTTGTCTTTGGAAGATTTGCCCATGATTATTAGTTTTGTAAATGTTCAATGAGGGCTTGTAGGGTCGAGTCGAGACAATATCGAGAGAAATCCGAGCCATGCAAGGCTACGAGAATCTGGTGAAGCTATCTTGTGCTTCGCCGGACAAGCGACAGTACGGCGGAACTTTTGAATCAGGCCGCAATTTCAAAGTCCGCAGTTGAGGCCAGTTCAAGAAAGAAGGAAGCGGTCGAGTCACTTCCCGAGACTCCTCTCCCACTCTATTGCAAATTGTTCCCGTGGTGGAACCCTCGCGGAGTTTGTTACAATCATGGCGCCCAGTATGTCGCTGCACAGCGTCGTCGCAATCCTCATCCTCACCACCGACTCTCCGCCGGACACGGCCAGACTGTTTGCCAAATACTACACCCCGCCTCACACCAATGCCACACAGCAGCCTACACAGACGTCGCAGCAGCCGTATACGGGCCTAAAAGAGCAAAAAGCGTTCGAGAAAGGTCTTCTAGAGAAAACTGCCAAACAAACCTCGGATGTGATTCTTTACGACAACAAAGTTGTGGTGTTCAAGATGGAGAGCGACGTGATGCTGTATGTTGTGGGCAGCGCCGAGGAGAATGAGATCTTACTATACAATGTTGTGCTGGCACTGAGAGACACATTAAGCATTCTGCTCAAGTATGTGCTTTGGTCCTCCACCGGCATGGCAGCACGAAGTGAATCACTGACAACCGACCCAGGAACTCAACAGACAAGCGCACAATAATGGAGAACTACGACCTGGTGACACTGGCGATTGATGAGATTGTGGATGACGGCATCGTATTGGAGACCGATCCGGTCATGGTGGCTTCGAGGGTCTCGAAAGCACCGGCACAGGACGCGCCAAACATGAAGAACATCGACTTGAGCGAGCAAGGCATACAGAATTTGTGGGAGTTTGGCAAGAAGCAGGGCATGGAGTTTGTGCGGCGGAATCTATAAAAATGCAGGGCGGTGCAGTGAGGAGAGTCATCAAGGAGTTTTGGCCGAGCAGAATTGGAGTTCTGCGTCTGGGCAGGCAAGCATGTTTGCTGAACACGCCATGGCGTTAGGAGTGGTCGAAATGGAATGAGAAGCACCATGAGAGAGACCGGCTCTTGAAGACACAAGCCTGGCCTGCAAGCTGCGGAGGGGAACGTCAGCCTTGCGGAGGGCGTTCAGCCTCGCCGCCGACAGTGGATCACAAAACCAAATCGACGTCATGGCGACATCGAAGGTTGTGAAGGTCGTCAAAGACTACAAACATTTTAGACTCGACCCTCAAAGGGCGATGCTGAGGGTCCTAAACGTTCTGTCTTCTCTATTCCACCTAGACTTCATTTCGCCGTTCGCCTAAAACCATCGTCCAACATGAAACAGCGGTTCTCGTCCCTCGATGTAAAGGTCAATGAGAAGATCCCGCACATTGCCTCTCCACTTTTCTTACTCTCTTCCAGGTCATCGCAAACGAACTAGCTAGCTCCCTCACCACCCTGCGTGTCTCCAACATCTACGACCTCTCCAGTCGGATATTCCTTTTCAAATTCGCAAAGCCAGGCAAACGGGAACAATTGCTCGTGGACTCGGGCTTCCGGTGCCATTTGACCTCCTTCTCCCGAACCGCAGCCTCCGCGCCGTCCGCATTCGTCAGTCGACTGCGGAAATACCTCAAGAGCAGGCGAGTCACGGCCGTGAGCCAGATAGGCACGGACCGGGTGATTGAGATTACGTTCAGCGATGGGCAATATCGATTGTTCCTGGAGTTCTTTGCTGCCGGGAATATCATAGTCACGGATGCGGATCTCAGTGTGCTGGCGCTACAGCGCCAGGTCAGCGAAGGACAAGAAGATGTGGACGTCAAGTTGGGTGGCAAGTACACACTCGAGGCGAAGCAGAATTTCCACGGCATCCCACCTATTACAGAAGAGCGGGTGAAGACGGTTCTGGAGAAGGCTGTCCAACGAGCTAAACTCGCGCAGGAGGTTGGTGGGAAGAAGGCGAAGCGAGCAAAAGGAGCGGACGATCTAAGGAAAGCCCTGAGCGACGGCTTCCCGGAACTCCCATATCACCTCCTCGAGCACGTCTTCATCGAGACAGGGACAGACTCCACTCAGAAGGCAGATGCTGTTCTGTCGAGTCCCGAGGTGTTGCAGTCTGCGATCAAAGCCTTACAGCGTGCTCTTGAGATATTCAATGCCCTTGATGCCGGTCACTCCAAGGGATACATAATCGCCAAGACCAAGGCGGCTCCGTCCGCGGAGGCACCGACGCAGACGCAGACTCAGCCTGCACAGGAACAGGAGGTGAGCAGAGACAGTCTACTGTACGATGACTTCCATCCCTTTCGACCTGCGCAGTTTGAGAACAAGCCTGGGCTCCATATTCTGGAGTTTGACGGCTTCAATCGCACGGTCGATGAGTTCTACTCCTCCATCGAGTCACAGAAACTGGAATCCCGCTTGACTGAACGAGAAGAGGCAGCCAAGCGGAAATTAGAAGCCACGAGGACCGAACACGAGAAACGATTGGCGGGTCTGCAACAGGTCCAGGACTTGCATGTCCGGAAGGCACAAGCAATTGAGGCAAATACTCACCGTGTTGAAGAGGCATGTGCCGCCGTCAACGGCTTGATTGCCCAGGGAATGGACTGGGTGGACATTGGCAAGCTGATTGAGAACGAGCAAAAGCGAGGAAATGTCGTGGCTCAGATGGTGAAGCTGCCACTGAAGCTCGAGGAGAACACCGTCACTTTGCTACTGGATGAACCTAGCTTCGACGAGGGAGACGAGTCGGATGAAGAAGACATGACAGACGATGAGGCCGAATCAGACGAAGAGCCCGCCACGACGAACAAGCCTACAGCGGGAGAAAGACGGCTTGCGATCGATATTGACCTCGCGCTTTCGCCGTGGGCAAATGCTCGGTCATACTACGAAAACAAGAAGCTTGCCGCTGGCAAAGAGAAACGAACCATGGAGGCGTCGGCGAAAGCCCTCAAATCCGCCGAGCACAAGATCGAAGCAGACCTGAAAAAGGGCCTGAAGACCGAAAAGGCCGTCCTCCGCCCTGCACGGAAGCAATTCTGGTTTGAGAAGTTCTTGTACTTCATCTCCAGCGACGGATATCTGGTGATTGGAGGGAAAGATGCGCAACAGAATGAATTGCTGTACCGGCGATACCTGAAGAAAGGCGATATCTATGTCCACGCCGACTTGCAAGGCGCGTCCAGTGTTATTGTGAAGAATAATCCGAAAACTCCCGACGCGCCGATCCCTCCATCGACGTTGTCCCAGGCCGGCGCGTTGACTGTGTGTACGAGCAGTGCATGGGACTCAAAGGCATTGATGGGTGCATGGTGGGTCAATGCTGATCAAGTCAGCAAAACCGCTCCGACGGGCGAGTATCTCACCACAGGCGGATTCATCATCAGGGGCCATAAGAATCTGTTACCACCAAGCCAGTTACTCCTCGGCTTCGGGGTCATGTGGTTGATCAGCGATGAGAGTCGAGCTAATCACGGCAAGCATCGACTGGAGAGGACAGAGAGCATGCTGTCTGGAGAGGCTGAGGCCCTAGCCAACGATGCCCGGGGGTTGTCCATCGACGAAGACGATGCTGGAAGTGAAGTCGAGCGGGACGGCCAGCATGAACAAGCAATACCAGATGTGGAGGAGGCTGCCGACGAGGCAGCAGAAGAAGAGAATGAAGACGATCGTGGAGTGGACCAAGACGAGGCTCACAAAGGCGATGCTGAGGTCGATGATGAAGATCAAAACCACGACTCATCGGCTCCCTCAGAGGTCGAAGACGAGAGATCAAATCCGTTGCAGATGCAGGGGACCAGCGCTGGCAAAGACACCACCAACGATGAACCCGACGTACAGATCTCAGCCGATCGAGACGCCGAAGAAGCGGAGGACGATGAGGATGACGACGAACACCAAGATACCCAAGACACCCCCCAAGAGGCCACCCCTTCGACCCGGCCGTCCACACCAGCCTCTTCATCCCATGCCACGGCAGCAGCAAGACCCAAACCCGCACACCTCGCACGCGGCAAGAGAAGCAAAGCCAAGCGCGCGGCGAAGAAATACGCCGACCAAGACGAAGAAGACCGCGCCCTGGCAATGCAGCTCCTGGGAAGCACCCGCGCGCAAGAACAGCGCAAGGAAGCCGAAGCGGACAAAGCCGCCAGGGAAGCGAAAGCGCAGGCCGATCGCGAGAGGAGAAAGGCACAGCACGCCAAAGCCGCTGACCGCGAACGCGCAAGGCGGGAGAGACTGGAGAAAGCGGGAGATGCTGGGGCCGAAGCCGCCGCGCTAGACGAAGAGGACGAACTCTCCAGGGAACAGCTGGAGCAGGAACGGCAGGAGTTGCTGGCCATCGACCGGCTCGTGCCCGTGCCGGAACCGGGCGACGAACTCCTCGCCGCGATCCCCGTGGTCGCGCCGTGGACCGCGCTCACGCGCCAGAAATACAAAATCAAGCTCCAGCCCGGGTCGGTCAAGAAGGGCAAGGCCGTCAAGGAGATTCTGGGATTGTGGACGTCCCTGGGTTCCCGGGGCCCGAAGGTCGTCGACGAAAGTAATCGCGAGAGGGAACGTGTCTGGAGGCGCGAGGTCGAGCTGTTGAAGGAGTGGAGGGTCGAGGAGATTGTCGGGGCCGTGCCGGTCAAGGGGTGTAGGATTGTGCAGGGGGGCGGCCTGCTGGGCGGGAGCCTTGGTGGGAGTGGTGGAGGTGGGAAAGGGAAGGGCAGCGGTGGCGGGAAGGGGAAGGGGGGCGGGAGGAGAGGGAGATAAGAGGTACGACAGACACTTCGGAGTAGAATCGAATCCTCTGTAGCGCTAACACGCAATTCTCGGAGGCACGAAGATGGCAGTCAGTTTCAGTCCACTGTAGGGCTGTTGATTCCTATCGACGGTTCTGAGCTCATGTCCGTTGCTATCCGGTCCCCATCCTTGACCATCCAAACGGGCAGAGCGATCCGACACACGATCGCTATATTCACGCACCTCCAGGCCCGTCAAGGAAGGGAACTCTCCGAGGTAGACAAAGAGACGAATACATTCACAGTCCACAGATGGCCTGACTGACTGATTGACAGACAGACTGATCGGATTTCCCTTATATTTGACAGGCGACACCTCGTCTCGTCTGATGCTCTTGCGCCTGACCTACACAGTACCCGTCAAGGCACCGTGTTGGCCAGTAGCGGCGCACGCACCTCCAGAGACGGTGGAGGCGTCGTGGCGCCGCTGCTGGCGGTGCTGCCCTTCCTGCTCCCATTTTGCGGTTGACTTTGCGATTGCGACTTGCCCGATTTCGAGTTACTCAAGCTGACCCACAGGTCGGGGTAATTCGCCTCGGACTGGAAAGGTTGGAAAGAATGCGTTAGCGTGGGGCACCGAATCATCCTGCAGAGCGTAGCGTAGCAGGTATATGCGCAAGCGTGATACGCAGAGGAGACTCACATCCGCAACCACCTCCTTATACTTCCCCCACAGGTAATCGACCTTTTTGTCGACGTCAAAGTCCGAGCGGCAAGTCTCGGCGTCGACCTGCCACAGGTCCTCGTAGACGTCGCGCAGGCCGTTGCGGAACTGCAGCGCGCGGTTCGGCTGGTTGCGGCTCTTGAGGAACGTGAGCATGCCCGCCAGCACGGTGTTGATGGCCCCCAGGACCGTGATGGCGATGCGGGCCGCGTTGGAGTTGGTGCTTCCGATGGCCGTCACGGTCGCGCCGATGCCGATCTGCAGCCAGAGCATGCCGTGCGAGGCGCTCGCCACGAGGTAGTAGTAGCGTGTTTGCACGCGGTAGGCCTTTTCGAGATGTGCGCTCAGGGTGTGTGCGGTGGTGATGGTGGTGTCTGTGGAAAGCGTGGGAGGGTCAGTCTTGTCGTTCGTGCGTGCCCTGGCTTACCTGGTGGTAGGGTGGAAGGCGAAGGGCTGCGCGGGAGGTGGTTCTTCTTCCTCCTTCGTTCCAGGTCAATGTGGGGAGTTTTCGTACCGTCGTCGGGGATTCCAACTCTTTTGCGAAATTCTTCGCGTTTGTTGCTGGTTGGGGGAGTCGAACTGCTCGACATGTTCCGTGGAGTGCCAGCACCGACACCAGCACCCTCACCGTCTCGGCCGCTGACGTCGCTTGGTCGTGCGTCGTCAACTTGAGTGTGTGTTGCTGTTGCGGCGCTTTTGGAAGGGTCTGCCAGTAGGCTTTGACTGTTCAGGGACATGGTTGGGGGGCTGCTTTTTCCTGCGTTCAGGGCGAGGGCGAGGATGAGGATCAGGAGAGCAAAGAGAGTATAGATTGGAGTGAAAGGAAGAGTGAACGGGTGATTGGGATCCAGACCTTCCTACATATCAATATAGCGCGAGACCCTGCCTTCTGTGAACGGCAGGCAACCGCTCCCATATCTGTGTCCCGTCTCCTTGGGCGCGCCACCACGAGGAGCTGAGGTTCAGTGCTGATCGCAATCGCAGCATACACCCGTAGGTAGCTAGAGACCAATTGCTGACCCATGCAACATGAATGTGGTTTTCAGGTCGAATGGTCTAGACGATGTCCCTGGTGCATGTGGTCGCCGGTCGTGCTGCAAGTGGGAGCTGCTGACCTTTCAGACATGCAGTAAAGGGTAGCTGTTGCAGGGGTTGTCGTGAGATAACACGAGATGAGGCTGACGGGAGACGGGGTCACGAGCGAAGGACACGATCCAGCGCAAGAGCTCAGCGTCAGTTGATGAACTGGCCTGGAACCGTGTCACCTACATTTACTGTGTCTGTTTCAGTTCGCGGGCAGGTTCTGCACCACGAGAGCAGACTCCGGGTAGACTTGGTTTGGGAAAGCGGTGGTAACGAGTCTTAGCAGAGGAGTGGCCGAAGACCGAGTCGGGGCCAGAGAGATGTCGAAGGTGGTCGAATGACAGCAAAGGCATTGGAATCATTTGGCTGTTCTGGCTGTTTCTACCGATAAGGCTGCAACGGCTATGAGTCGCCAAAGGATCGCAGGCAATTGTAGCGCTTTCTGCTTTGGGAAGCCGACACAGACGGTTTTGCAGTCGCAGTTCGTATTCAGCCAGCCTCCTGACGGCTGATGCTGTGGCTACTTGTCATGGTGTGGTCGATTCGCGGATGTCTGCATGAAGAGGGTTCAGCTGTCAATGGCTAACCAGCCATTAGGATGTGGTCTGGTCATGTTAGTGAGGAGGGAGGGGACGAGGCGGGGATGGGACCGGGCTAGAGGGTATGGAGGGGTAATCGCTGGGTACAGTACTAGGTTCCATATAGACTCCCACCGTGTCGCTGAGGTAAGGCTGAGATGACCGTGAGGTGATTGTGAGGTGACTGTGAGACGACTACGAGGCCAACTTGAGGTGAGCGTGGGAAGGCCGTGAGAAGCCCCAGCGTCATCGGAAGCATGCTCCGATCGCCTTGTCGGGTGCTGGTCTCCAACTCTCCGACGCCGCTGCACATTGATTACCTACAGTATCAACGCGATAGCAGTATTCCGTAAAGTTCACAGAATTCTTCATCCCATGTATTAATTATCAGTTAGATCAGCGGCCGTCACCCTGCAATCACCAGCCTCAGACACCTACTATGTGCAGGCAGCTGAGACCCTTCCATCCCATTGCTTGGTGGCTTACAAGCCTCATGAGGCTGAGCCTTGAATTCCTGTTCTGTCCAGAACGCAATCAGACTGACCAAAGTTTCCCCTTTCCATGCTCAACCATGCCACTACACTCCAGGGGTAAACAGGCGGCCGTGCGAGCCTTGAAAGGCAATCTGATTCATCTTTGCACCAACCTCGGTGAAGGCCAAGGCATCCAAGCCTCTAACTACAGTACGGAGTATGCCCGGCCAAGCCGCTAACAAAGGCACCGCCGCCACCAGCGCTGCGCTATGGATGGCACGCCGGTGGTTAAAGGAGCGGTGCACCCTCTCGGTACGTCTTCTGGCATATCTTGTGCAGCCTTGCTCGTATCCGTCCCGTTGCAATGTATCGCCGCCCCGAAAGTCCCCTGGCGGAGCCGATGCTCTCTTCGTCTCCAAGCTCACCCTTACCGTCATTACCGCCCCAGCAGCCTGGCAAGACCGCAGAGAGCACCGCGTACTTTCCAGTCGACAATGTTGATGGTTCTCCCATACAAGCGCAGCCGAGGCCACTCCAGTCGCACCGACGCTGTGGGCCGTTCGACTGGGCCTTCGAGATAATTGCTTGGATCATCTCCCTCGCCGGCATGGCCGCCGTGATCATCGTGCTACACGTGTACGAGGATAGGCCGCTTTCAGATTGGTCTCATGACGTCTCTCTCAACGCAGTCATCTCCACTCTAGCCCTGGTGTCCAAGGCGTGTCTACTCACCGTCACGGCGTCCTGCATCAGCCAGCTCAAGTGGGCGAGGTTCACCAACCACAAACGGCGGTTGATCGAGCTTGAACTGTTCGACGCAGCCGCGAGAGGTGTGAGCGGTTCCTTGCGTATGATGATCACCCCGACATTGTGGCATATGGCTTTGGTGGGTGCTTTCGTGACGGTGGCCGCGATCGCCATAGGACCTTTTACGCAGCAAGCTGTTACCTACCCCTTGCGCGCTGTTGTCACATCGACCGCCACCGTACAACGGACTCAAACATATCGGAACTCGGCACCTGGAGACGTTCTGGTCCTCAAAGACGTTCCTCTGACAATGAAGGCAGCAGCCTATAGTGCTCTGTTCGATCCGAGCACCGCTACGACGCGTGCATCGACGGTCACTCAGTGCAGTACTGGGAATTGCACTTTCCCCGCGTACACGTCGCTAGCGGTGTGCAGCAAATGTGTGAATGTGACTCGGTTGGTGGCTCGCAATGGTTGCACTGGCTCCGGGTCCAGTATCCGGTGTAGCAGCTATACGCTGCCAAACCAGCTTCTGCTTCAAGGCGACCTTCAAGGCGACGGCGGACTGATCAATAGCTCCTCGACCGTGACGCCCCACCAAGAGGTGGTGGAAAACCTCGGTTCCAGCTTGACCAACCTCTCCATCATCGTGTCCCGGGCCCGTTACGGTATAACACCTGATGATATCCGAGCCTATGACTGTAGCATCTACTTTTGCTTGCAGAAGTACCAAACGGATCTCCGAAATGGCGTGTTCAAAGAAGGGGTCATTGACGAATACGTTTCTGACGTACCTTACGGGAGCTCGACCCTCGACTACAATATCACTGCTCCCTCAGCCTTCGTTGCCGCAGAGGAGCAGACCAACTTCACGGTGAGCGCCTTCAGCTTTCGCGCGGTAGCAACGTATCTTCGGACACTGCTTGTCGGGGATGCTGTTGGTGCTCTCGGGGAGGCCTCGTACACCTCAGATACAATGAACGCTTTGTACAACTCATTGTCTTCCGCTGAAAATGGCACCACCATTCTTGATGCATTAGCAACAAGCATGACAGCAGAGATCCGCACAAACCCAGGTGCGGAATCGAACGGTGCGCTCGCATTGGGGACAGCCACGCAGGACACCACGTACATCCACGTGCGGTGGGCATGGCTCGCTCTGCCTTTGGCGCTGCAGGCTCTCGCGCTCTTGCTGTTGGCTCTGACGATGATTTCGAGCACCCGCAGTGGGACTCCGATCTGGAAATCTTCTCTGCTCGCCGCTTTGTTCCTAGGACCTTGCGGCAATGTCTCGCAGAGGCCGGAACCTCAACATTCCACCTCAGGGCCCAACAGCAATGTCTCCTCGAGTGTCTGCACCCTGAAAGAAATGGAAGAAAAGGCCAAAGCGATGCGGGTGCGCCTTTCGCGTGATGAGAATGGCGAGTTGCGCCTACAGTAGGTGTTGCTTCTTGCGTCTGTCAGAGCAAGCCAGCGCCATAGATATGTATATAGTCATTTTCCTCGCTTTACCTGCAGAACAACCCCAAAATTTCTGTGTGTAGGCTCGGTGCAATCGCGTGAACTGCTGCTGGATCAACTTGCGATTTACCTTACCGGGGCCTTACTCTCAATTTTCACTATTTTGGGGGTCAATGCCAGCTCAGTCCAGTAATTGCGAGACAGCAACAGAGACCCTACATGAAGCTCTCTCTTTTGCTTCACCTTCCGGGCTGGTGATGATGGACGGACTCAAGCTAGTCACGCCCTTGGTGACTGGTGTTAATCGCGCTCGAGCGGGCACTGCGGGGCACATAAGCACGTGACGAGGCCCATAAGTTTTCCCCGCCTTCCACCTGTTCCGAGGTGTGTCATCACAGACTCGCGACCTTGTCTGACTCTGCGTTTTCCACCTTGACACGCCTAACTGTGCGTAAATGGGCCCGTGCACACCGTCTGACTGAGCTAGTGACGGTGATACTATCAGCTTCCGATGATCATGCGACCTCGACCGGGAGACCAGCAACTAGCCAGGTGACTCTGCAGCAAGGCTGTTGGATACAGGACTGTTCCTCTTCATGCCCCGACCTTCTCTTCTGCTTCTCTGCATCGATACTGCTAATACACGGTACACAAGTTCCCTTCCTTTCTGCGTGGCTGGTCCACTGTCCTCCTGTCTCAACCCCTCTGGCGTGCATGAGCAACTGAGAACCTGTACCAACGTCATCAACGACTGTTTCAGGCACTCTCGCATCTCCATTCCCATCACATCCCGCAACTCCGGGATCCGGTGATCAGACGACTGAGGGATCATGACAAACCTCCGCTTATCGAATGACTGACCTACATCCTCCTGCTGCAGTCTGTCTCGTCGTAGCAGTGCATCTATCTTGACTCTCGAAGCCGTCGACCATGTCGTTCCTCCGCAAGGCGTCGGATCCTCCAGCCTTCTTCCCTGTCTTCCCTACATACCTGCTCCCCTCGCTTCCTTTCCGCCGCAAGTCGCGTCAATCCAGCACCGACAGCAACGACTCAACCGGCACAACCTTCTCCACGAATTCCGCTCAGTCTTCGTCCTCGTCAAACCCGTTCACGAGGAGTCCAACTCCCACTCCGATCCCTACCTCCTCGTCCTCCGCCATCATCATTCCCCCAGACGACAAGTTCCTCAGTGGCCACAGCTCCCACATTCAATGCGCCAAATGCTCGACGGACCTCTGCCTCACCTCGCAGATCATAAGCAAAGGCTTCATGGGCAGACATGGCCGCGCATTCCTGGTCCAGGGAACGACCAGCCACATCGAAACCATGACGCCTGCCCTACCCAACACGTTTCAAAACAAGTCCATCTCGAGAAATCTGGTCACGGGTCAGCATGTCGTAAGCGACATCAGCTGCGCCATCTGCGGGAGTATCCTGGGCTGGAAATACGTCGAGGCGAGCGAAGAGAGCCAGAAATACAAAGTCGGCAAGTTCATCCTCGAAACCAGGAGGATTCGAGTGAGCGTGTGCTGGGAAAATGACGAGCAGGATACGACACCCGTGCAGACATATGACGAGGCCCTTCCGCTCCCGACGCGCGAGTTGAGGAGGTTGGTCGATGGGCCTAGTGGCGGCGCCCCCCGCGCTGACGGTGACCTGCAATTCGATTCCCAGGACGAAGACGAATGTGAAGACCTCTTTGCAGGCGTGTGGAGCGCTCAGCTCGCGGCTAAGAGGCGGCAGCGGAAGAAAGAAAGATTTGGAAGGAATCCCATTAGCGGAATGCTGAACTTTGGCGCCGGGAGCAGTAACGATACACTGGCATGATCTGCCACAAAGGCTGGGTGGCTGCCAGCCCAACTCAGTCATCATCCGCCTAAGCCTAGCTCCTCTATGATTCTGTCGTTTGCCTTCCTGGCAGCGAGGCAAGGCTCTCTCCGGGATAACAACTCACCACCGTCCAGCATGCGTTGGCTCGATAAATGCACCCTGTCCTGCGAACCCAAACATCATACGCCGCACCTCAGAGCAGCATTATGATACCCTGCGCACATGGCGGCCCGAACCTACTATCTACACCGCCTCTACCAACATTGACACTTTTGTTTTGGATACCCACTCCTGGTTCGGAGATCTGGCACGAATAATAAAAACCCAAATGATACCCACGTTGATCCACGCATGATACAGAGGACGTCGAACGAGAACTGGTTGGAGCTTCACACGGCGCTTACGGCACGGTACGGCAAGGCTTGCATGTATACTGATGATCTTTACGGCAGACCACGGGGATGTAATGGAGCATGGGAAACGGAGCCAAGAGGAACGACACAGAGGGTCGAACACCTCTCTATATACCTAGTATGCATTTGAAGGGGTGGTATCGTGGTCTTTGCTGTCACCAATCAATCATAAGGTATTTAGGCAAGATGGCGAGCAACAGGGTCGAGGATAGTTGACCATAGCCTAGGCTGTCTAGCCAGCCTACCGAGTACTGTCTGTACTGTGTAGCTATGCTTCTCGTCCCAATTCAGCCTGATACCCCAATCAACCTGTTTGGCCTCTTGAAATATTGAAACTCAAAAAATACTGGCTATTCAATGACATTATCGGCTGCCAGTCTTGAGCTAGGCGAGCGTATTTACGGGCACGCTGTCTATGTACCTACGGTATCTAGGCCACGTTCACTTTCCTCCGCGCCCCGGCCAGGAAGGCTCTTCAGTGTAATGAACACGGACTCCTTCTCATTAATCTCCATCGTATCTACAGTAGCACGCAAGTTTTGTACTGCTCGACCTGCACCGCATCCACAGTAGTCCATCAACCCTGTGCTTCTCATACTTCCACCGCAGCCACAGGCAAAATATAAACATCATGCACGTGCGTGATGATGATGGTGATGATGCGGTCCTGCGTGCTCCCCCACCACAAGGCCACCCTCGGCCTTTGCCTTCTTGCCAAACTTGCAGCACGCCTCGTGGCGCCGCAGATTATCCAGCCGCGGAAACCGGCGCTTACACCCGACGTCATGGAACTTGCACAACATGTGTTGATGTTTCGGACGGTGCAGGGCCATGTGGCGCTTGAAGTTGCTGCCCTCGCCGTTGAGGTACGCGTGGCAGACCGGGCAGTACATCTTGTTCCCGCCGTGGTGGGTGGCCACGTGCTCGTCGCGGATGTGCTTGTACGTGAAGGACTTGTGGCAGTTGGGGAACGTGCATTTGAAGGGCGGGCCGCCGTCGCGGGCGTGGGTGTGCTTGACACCATGGTGTTTGTGTTGAGGAGTAGCGGTCGCGCTCGAGGTGGCGGACACGTGGGCAAGCATCGCGGCTAGGTGTTTCTTCGAGATGTGGCCCGTCAGGGCGGCCTCGGAGGCAAAGTCCGCGGCGTCGCAGCCTTGCCATTGGCATTTGGTGACGCCTTTGGCTAGGTGCACGGCTTTTAGGTGCTTTTTGAGGTCCGTCCCCGTGGCGAAGGAGGCGCCGCACACGGTCCCGCACGGCATAAGCCATTGGCAGGCGCGGGATGTGGCGGGGGCGGTGACGGCGGAGAGAAGGTCCTGTGTGTCGGTCAGAGGGTCGGTGGTAGCAAGCCGGTTCGATGGATGTGGCGATCCGGCAGTGAAGTGGGCGTCGTCACACGCTGCTGAGTGTGGTTGTGGGTGTGGGAGAAGTTGCTGATGAGCCACGGCTGGATGGCAGCCAAAGTTGAGAGAGAAAGGTGGCAGGGGAAGTTGCTGACTTAAGCCTGGATTGCCAGAGCACAGCTGTTCCTGGGCGATGGTGTCCCAGTAGGGGGCTGTGTTGGCAAAACACTGATGATGCATGGGGACATCCACTGGAGGGACTACCGTGTTAGAGGGCCCCATGAGCGTATCGAAAGGTTGAACGCCCAGCATGCTCGGTTCCTCGAGGCCCAAGTCTGACTGCGTAAAATCGTTGGTGTCCAGCAATGGGACTGAGAAGGAGAGGCCTAGATTTTTGTCCTTTTCGAATTCGGTCCAGTCGACGCAGTCGAAGCACGAGAAGTCACACTCGTCACAGGTCTCCTGGCATGCAGGGCCATCAGGGCACTGGGTCGTCTTCTCGTTGTCGCATTCGTCACACCCATCAACAAAGTGGCAGGGTCTCTGAATGGCTTTGACATGCTCCTCCACGCAGTCGTCACAGTCGTCGACGCAATCGTCGCAGTCCATCGGTGTTGGTGAGTTGTGATGTGGCTCATCGCAGCAGCCGGGCGAAGGCTGGTCAAAGCTGACGAGGCTATCGTCACCATGGTCGAAACTGACGCAACAGTCAAGAGCGTTGGAGGAGAGAAAAGAGCCATCGTCCTCATCGTCTTCGCAGCACGCAAATGTATGTGGATCGGGTGGGAAGCGCGAGGAGCTCCTGGCTGTGGCCTGGTTCCTGATCGGTGACCTGTAGTTCTGTGAACGACCAGCTAATCTCGACTTGGCGGGGAAGACGTCGAGGGGATTGACATAAGGCTGGTGGTGGTGGTGGAAGTCTTGAGCGGTCAGACCTGGAGAGGAGGCTCGTCCCATGATGCACGCCGGGAATTCGAGCACTGGTCTCTGAGCTTGCTCGTCCCAAGGCTGTGGTCACTGGTCCTTTAGCGTAACGTGGGGGGGAAGCGGAAGCAAGTGAAAGTGCGGCGACTCGAACAGGTGCGGAATGGGCACGTGATAGAGCAAAAGTCGTCTAACTTAAACGGGTTTGGTGACGGAGTTTCCCACTATCACGTGATGAGAACTGCCGTGTCGCAGTCAAGGCCAGCAGCCCCGCGGCTTAGTAATCTCCGTCTTGCACATTTTCCAGGAGATTCCCGCAGCTTTTTGTCGATGTCACTTGCAATTGCACTTCGTGTCTCACTCACCAAGTGCTCTTACACTTCTCAGTTCAACAGGCATGCGCATGGTCGCCTCTGCCAGAAGAGCAGTGGAGTGGCCTACCCTGATGATCCTTTGTCGCAGGTGGGCCAGTTCAACAAATCGATGTGGAGGTCCAACAAGTCAAAGTACCAAATCATCGGAAAGTTGAGCTTCGATTCACAGTGGCCTGTGTGGCTATATTGCGACGTCTGGTATGCTGCGATAGCCTGTTTACTACTCGATTGATGAGTCAACCCCAGAAACGCTCGGAAAAACGCAGCTTTGATGTCTCGACGCGGCTCCCAATGTCTGACTGGGTATCTACTTGCGTCGAAGCACAGCGAGGTCTACACCTCATGGTCAATGCCACCTCTGCATATGATGGCACAGCTTCCAGCCCCTAGCCCACATCGACAGGATCAACGCTTTGTACGTACATCGGTGGATAGGAGCTTTCTCCACGTGATGGAATCAAATCCTCAACCAATGATCGCACCTTCACTCATTGCTGAACCAGATATGACATCTGACAACTTGGTGTTTACCATTGGCGATGAATAGCTGCTGGATCAATCGGCACGAGCCAAGTTTGAGGATCATAGTCCAAGGACAGTTGTGAAGGACACATGCTCCACGGACCTCCGCCGTAATTTGGCAACTGGGGATACCTGATCTCATAGATTTGGGAGAGTTTGAGATTGGCGATCGCCCGCGACCCGGACCATCTAGCTTACCAGAGATCTACGGAGCTCCAGAAGTTACTACTAGAATACCTTTGGGGCCCTTCGTCGCTGGATCGAATCTGGGGACTCCGGTATGGGCTCTGCATTCCTAGTCGACACATGCGGCACCACATTCACTCCAGAATAGATTTGGGACGTGTTTGGAGGGCGAAAACCTCCCCACAAGGTCAAGACCGATAAGCGACATTTCGACCCAGTCAAGCACATGGCACAGATAGAAGGGTTCTTACGCCCTCCAAGGCCGGGGTTTGGTACAACGAAGCGAGACTACGTGCAGTTTTCCGATCCTGACGGCAGGCCCTCGAGGTCCACCCCTCTCTGACTTCGCAACTTGTGCTCAGTCGACCCAGTCTGGGCGGGCAAGTGGGTAGGGGATATACTGTGGTACACGCCCCAGTCCCCACTGCATCGCTCCAAGATCTGAAGGGACGACTTACAGGATCCTACAACGACCGCTTTCGTCCATTATATTGGATCTATGCTAAGATGGCACCCAGAGGTAAAGAAAATGCTAGAGAACTTATTGAAGATCGGTTGCTCGATGAGGAATGCGCTCGCCGCGTCACTCGACCTCGTTGGTGCGGGGAAAGTCCTGTGGGCGTCGACCAGGGAGCATGCAGCTGTTCAGATGAGATCCTCCCAGTCTGGATGTTGCAAGTTCAGCACCTCGAAGGTGATGACGTCCGGATTCTGTCGGTCTGCCGTTCTGATTTTCCCGGTTCACAAAGAGCGCTCTCTTCTAACACTAAAAGTAGATTATCGAAGGCCGACTTTTGACCCGCCATCAGGGTACCTAAACAATAGGGCTAAGACAGGCTGGATAACGCTGATTCAGAGCTGGTGAGGCTGGCTCAGGCTGAGAGACAATCGAATTCTGGCAAAGCCGGTCGCTAAGTCTTCGGGTGGCGGCAATGGAATGGGACAGTCGGTGTGCTCCTTTCGATACCCCTCGTTCCGGTCGCTTTCTCCCGATCCGACCATCCCGGGGAGGTCGCAGGTACAGACACCTTGGATTGCCTCAAAATCGACGGACCAGACCGCCATCCGCGACAAAAAGAACTGATGTCTGGCGTCAAGAGACGGGGAGACGGATAACCTGCACTGTGGCCGCATAGGCGCTAGCCCAAAACGAAAAGACGCGGACAAAATCTTGGACTGTGGCGTAAATCTCGACAACTGACACCTGACAGATCAAATCTGACACCTGACACCTGACGACTGCCGTCCGGCCTCATACTATCGACGCGAGTAGGGCGAGATGGCGCCCCATGCTGCCTTCGATATGGCTCGACCGCACGTCAAAACCTTCTTTCTCCTTGCTTTGTCGGCTTGAAGGAGGAGTATCTGCAACATAGCCATGGGTGCTGGGATGGTGCAACGTGTGCAGGAGACAGAACCTTTGGCATGCAGCATATGTCAAGGCTATTCGCCAGAGACTGGGGACAGCAGAACCCCGGTCTGGCCAGTGGCGTTTTGATATCTTGCGGCTTCGAATGTCTATGCTGCAGGTGCATCCGCGGTTCCGTGTCTTGAGCCGTGACAGTGACCAGGTGGTCTCGCAATGCGAAAGGGTTCACTTGTAGACCACAGGGATTCTGGCGGCCCAAGCATATTCCATTGCACATGGCCTTGCGCACTCTATTGCACATATCTCCTACACACCCTCTCTACCGCATCTTCACATTCTTCCTTCTCCGCCGCCATTATCCCAGGTCAATACAGACCCTCCCTCTCTCCTAACGCCATGAACGAGTATCCTGGATTGGACCGGCTATTTCTTTGGGAGTGGTCTGCCCAATTCGCCTCACAGCGGCAGCGGCGTCCACTGTTGCCGTCCACCAATAGCGTTACGACCAACAGAGCAGGCGAGACACGCTCATCCATCGCTAACGGGACTCGATCTTCCTCAGGTCATCCCCCATCGGCAGCGCGGGAAAGACTGTCGTTTCTTAGCGAGAAGGATGGGGCTCCGCACCAGGCGCATGGACGACATCATATCCAATATTTAGTCGAGTGGAGGGTAGAGCTGGATAACAGGATTATCGCCACCCAGTCTGAACCCAACGTGGCGGTGTCTCCCAGTTGTTACTGGCGCCATGTCTTGAAAAGCCGGCTCGAGCAAGTGGTGCGCCGAACGTTTGCTGGAGACCAACAGGCGCGACACGATCATACCATGGTAGTCGTCTCTGTCACCGACCATACACAAGGAGACCTCACAAAGAAGTATGCCGGCATGGAGATCGATTGGGCTGCCGCAGATAAGCACCTGCTCGACTGGAGTTCATACTTTCTAAAAGGCAATGCCCTTCGTGTCACCCTCACGTTCAAATTCGTGGCACCGAATCCCAATTCAGTTCACCGCCCTGTCACGCCACGAGGTGACGGAGGAAGAAATGTATCAGCTGGCGGTCGCACGCCGTCGCCACGAAGCCCTAAGAGCTCCACAGCGCCAGAACAGCGGGGACGACCGCCGTTCTTGTATGATCTGTGCACGTTTGCGCGCTGCCCGACGTCTTGCGCATTGGGCCCTTACTGCTTGGTGAACTCGAAGGGGATTCATCATCCAGTGACTCCGGAGTCCTTCAAACTGCTCGAAGCGCATGCTACCCACTACGGGATGCCGGCCACTTTTATCGATCTGCCTCTAGACCTCCAGCGGCAATTGGTTATGGACCGTCAAGCGCGGGTATTGAACACAGTGCCTACTATGCCCGTCAAAATCGGCGACATGGCGACTGCTCAGCTTCCCCAGGCTCAACCGATGGGAGTCCACGTCGGACAAGACCACTCAATTCTTCGTCGTCAGTCTGACGGCGACGTACCCCAGAGGAGGGATTTGGCGGGTCCTCAGGGCGATGCTTCAATCCTCCGTCGTCAGTCGGACGGCGCTGTACTCCAAAGGAAGGATGTGACGGGTGTCCATCATGATGCGTCAACTTCTCGTTGTCAGCCAGACAGCACTGGACCCAAGCAGAGGGAACCGACGGCTGTTCACGACGCCACTGTGCAGTCCCCGCAGACGAAGTTGGCGGGTGTTACTGATACTGCGATGCGAGGCCAGCAGACGGAGCCGGCAGTGCTTCACGACGATGAGTTGAGAGACTACGATACATGGCAGCAGTCAAGGGTTCGGGCGCCTTGGCTCAAAGCTGAGTTCGCCAAAGCTTTCAATGTGGCGGTGCGGAATGGGCTCTCCCTTGATCTCTTGTACGAAAATCCCGATCCACGTATCTTCATTGATCAGGAGGTGCATGAAGGTGTTGCCTGTTATTTCTGTCGACGAAAGGACATTGACAAGTTCAGGGATCGTAAGAGACGTCTCCCAGGGGACACGGGCGTGGGCGAAGACCAGACTTGACCGACTCGATGATTTCGAGACTATCTGGATGTATGTGGGACATGGATGGCTCGGGTTCGGCTGGCTCTGCTCAATGCTTCTAGCCCTGTCACCGATACGGGCACAGATTTCGGGTTCTGCAGAGCTCTTCAATTTTCATTCTGAATGGAAAATGATCTTGACGTGTAGCCAATTCTCCTCGGTTCATACTACGGCCACGCAAACTTACGATGGCCATACCCGCTTCACACCGTGGCTGGCACGCCTACCCATTGCACCTGGATGCGCCGCCTCGCAGCAGTGGAGGACGACACCAAGACGGAAGTACTATTGTAAGCAGTCGACCCGATCGAGGTTTTGCTTACAGCCTCGAGGCGAGAAGTCCGTGGTTTACCATCCTGTAGAGCTTCTTGTCTTGCCTGCGCTAGAACCCGTGATAAACTCTTCGGTATCGTTGCACAGACATTGGACCAACCCTTGGCGACTGGGCTCCCAATCTTGGTCAGGAGACGGTCAAGACCGAGGAAATGTACGTTACAAGGAGAGCTGTGCCTGTTATATCACGTGTGTGAGCTCGCAGCCTTTGTTGTGCGGTTCACGTTATTGGCTCGCTAGGCATTGCCGAGGCTCCCCCCCCCCCCCCAATTAAGTAAGTAATTATGTCAGCGCTTGAAGGACAAACACCAGAGCCGAACTTGTTTCGCTCTTGGCAGCGTCTCACTGTGAGCGGGCCCTACGTGTCGTTCTCAGGAACCCCAAAGCCACGACAGCATAGCGCGACTGAGCGTGCAACAACGTCTCTCCATCTGTAAGACGGCTGCACAGAAACCTTGCGTGCAAGTGCGTGAATTCGGTCGCGCGCTCCCCAGTCATTCCCAAGCCCAAGATGAGCGAGACAGAAGAGTCCACGACGCTCGATATCCCCGTGGAAGATCTTGCGAGATGGGCAAGAACACAACGGATTGTCGACGGAAACTGGGGAGACGACAAGATATTCACCTTGCAAAAGCCAAGGATGGGCAAGATCCTGTCCAGAAAGATGAAGGCTGGTCTGGAGGGTGTACGTCCGTCCTCAGCCCCAGCCCTGGCCAGCCTCGGCCGTGGCCACCGGGAAACCAACCTCTAACGGTCCATTTCAGCAGGTCCATGGGTGGGAGGTCATGAGAGTCATGAGACAGGACACCTTCCTCACCATCACGGACTTCCATGCCACACTGATTGCGCTGAACGTGCAGGCAGGCTGCACTGTCGGCGGACAGCCCGTCGTTCAAGGCCAGTGGATCGAGGTCGAAGCGGGCCAGAGTGTCATGCTGCAGCCACAGGGGGATTTTCTGTGCGTTGTCGTCTGATGGCCTGTCACAATGTACGAGGACGCAGTTCACCTCCAGGTTCACCTTGCCTCTCGAGCGTCTGGCTCAGCTTCGAGTCGTCTGACGACACCTGGGTCTGCCTGCAGGAGCAGTAGCGATCCTGTCACTATTTCTCGCTTGCTTACCTCCGTTATGTCTAGCATCACCCGTACCCAGATCCGCGCTGTTTGGTTGTACTCCTACCACTTCACGTCCGGCGATCAGCAACACCCAGGATTTTGTGGAGGCCGCGAGGCAGGATGACTTCGACGCCACGCGCCCCACACCGTCTAAGAGAGGCTTCCGCCCCACCAGTAGGACTGTCGAGCTCAGAAGCCAGGCTGAAGCATATTATAATTCCGTCACCACGATTGGGGACACCCACTGCCCAGCCGACGGGCTGGCACCCACGAGTCATTGCCCGTCGAAGTGGTTCAAAACTGCGCTGAGTGTGCGGAGCCAAAGACGTGTAAGGATGTGTGGGTGAGAACGAACATCCCAATGAGCGTCAGAATCGCATCAGACGAGGACTTGACGACGGTACCGATCTGTGGGTCGACGAGAAACCACTGAACTCGTTTGAGAAACGGTTACAATCTATACCCGAATCAGGCCGATTCGATGTCTACCTCTGCTGTCAGGGGTGCGACGACCTCAACAACGCTCCTGACACTCACGGGGAGTCCGCTGAATCTCCCGGGCGACGTTATAGGAAGGTGCCCTTCGATATCGAAATCGAGAACTCTATATCCATCTATCGACGTCTACCAGATGAACGTAGAATTGACCCTTGTCATGCTCCTCTGCTCCCTGATCGAAAGCTCGTCGATTGATTTCAGACCCTCCTCGACGTGCTTGATGCGAAAAATACCTCAACACGTCTGCAGGCAAACCAAGCATATGGACCGGATTTGGTATGCAAATGCCTGACCCAAGCAACAGTCTTCACTCTCCACGGTCATGGCCCCTCTCCAACGGCAAGAGCACCAGCCACCACCATGTCCAGGAGATGGCAAGAGCTGTCTATTCGAACCGCGATTTGCTTGCACGGTCTTTCCAAGCCGGCAGGCCCTTGGTACCCAAGCTCTTGGGGTGAGTCGTGCTCAGCGAAGGTTGAAGACTCCACCTCGTCGGAGCTTGTTTCTTCGACGGGCAGAAACTGCGGAAATAAGTGTCAGGCTGAGGTCCGTGCCCGCTCGCACCGTGTGCACTCCGCTTGACGAGGCGGCTCAGGCGTTCAGGGCTCACAACCCAGGCTATGGTTGTGCTTAGAATGTGTCAGTCATGGCTCGGGTCTGAAATCGCAACTGGACTACTGAGAGGTCGAGAGTTCGCCGCCGAGTATTGATCTACCATATATGCGATTCCACAAAGCCGCCCTAGGGTACAAACCTTGGACCCTTCCATGCCACCACCCATGTCAATTACAGGCGCCGCGTGTCTGAACTGGGCACACAGCCACTGCAAGAACACCTCCCGCTTACATGCAATGTCACGACCATGATGATGGCGAGTCTACAGTACATAGTAGTATGGACGACATTCGTTGAGCTCTGTTCCCAAACCTAGGAGCCACCACAGTGCGGTTGTACCGACACATGGACCATCTCGCCTAGCCTGTCCGTCGGCATGGCTCGACACCTGAGAGAGGAAGGAGTCTGAGCGGCGCATGTCACTCGCTCGACAACATTATGAAAAGAATTCGCATTGTTCCTTTGGGTCTTTTTTCCTTTATGTCCTACACCTAGAAGCTGTTCAAGCTTTATATCGGGTATTATATAACTAGGTAGGGAAACCCCTGTAGGGTATAAAGCCTATCATCCTCTCCTTTCCTTCTTTTATTTTACTTTTTTACGATTATTTGTATCTTAATAAACACTTCGGAATCATCTCAAACAGGTCCCCTTTCTTTCAGGGCGTGTATTATTCCGAACAACACGTCCCTATTCACCACCACGTGGTCTTCCCCGTCTTTCTCGATGATTTCCGAAGTGTCCACAACTGTTCGGAGCCTTTTGATCGCGTCCGCAGCTTTTCGGGACCGTGCGTTCAGTGTTTTCGGGGAGGGTGTCCTTAGTGTACCCCTTTCTCCAAGCCCTCTTCTTGAGCTTTCGTCTTCGCTCTCCATGCTCTCGGAGCTCTTACACCTGATTCTGTACTTGCTGTAGTCAGGTGTATCTGTCCGTAACCGCGCGCTGTCCGGTCTTGCGATTCCTTGTACTAGTACCTTACTTTTCGCGGTATTCCATTATTGGTGGTCTTCTTGAGGAGGTTGATTAAGTCGGCCGGCTGGAGTGGAGTGTTCGCAGATCTCGCGCAGTCCGCTCCTACGAAAACCTTCTCGGGCCGCCAAGTTCCAAATTTGTTCCGTTGAGTCTTTGGATTGGCTTGAAGAATGTGAAGGTGTCCACTTTTTAAAGGCTGACCTCTGCGCACTTGTCCTTTGATCGTGGTCGCTCGCACGATGTCGAAAGTCTGGTTGGTCTTATGATCGTCCAGCTGGACGATGCAATTCCCCTCTGGGGTTCACTGGATGTTGGCACGGGCACGCCGTATCAGCGGAGTGCCCAAGATGCTGCTGTATTCTGGGTCGGTCTGATTTGCAACGAAGAAGTGCGCCCCCAGCGGCGCCACCTTCCACTTCAACCTCAACGTCAGCAATGATGCCCTCAAATCTGTCGGAGCCACCATTGAACGACATGGCACGATAGTTGCCGGCAGGCGTTATTGGCAGCCGAAGTTTATCCGCCAACGCCTTGGGGATTAAGTTGGCATTGGCGGAGTTGTTCTGAATCGATGGGTGATACGGAGCGGATAACGCAGGCGTCCAGTCCTCTGTTACCACCAGGCCATGCATTTAGTCAAGTGAGCTAGTGCCAGCGAGCTAACAACCATAAGCCTGTGCTTGATGAGGCGGCAGACAAGGGATGGAAGAGTAGGCGGCAAGAGCAGTCAGTCTCAGGACTCCTTACCGTCGTGCGTGGAACCCCCGCGGCGCGACTTCTTATATCAGAATATATTAATATATATATATACATATGACTCGTGCTGGGGACGTCGTCCCAGCCGAGGAGCTCCGACTCCCAGGCGGCGGGGTTCGAGGAGGATCATCGTGTTGTGTCGGCCTGGGAGCACCGTCGTCTGCTCTGGGCGACAGCGCCACGTGAGCTAGGAGGCCCGAGGCGCATGCGCAGAAGCGCGAGGTGCGCCCGAACGTCGTCAGACGCACCTGTCGCTCGGGTCGCTGTCAGAATGAGACGTGTGTAGAAGCTGGGAAGGAAGAAGAGGAAGAGGAAGAGGAAGAGGAAGACGAGGGGTGGGGCAGGCAGAATGTTCGTAAGCGGAGACATGGCCTGCCACATGTGTTACCCACCATGCCATCGGCGTGATCTCCTCACGGACTAAGGATGGCTAAGTGCTTCAGAACTGCGGGCGGAGTGGGATGCCACAAGGTCCGTCACGAATCACAGTCGCGGGGCAAGGAGCATCGCATCGGTGTGACCGTGAGGGCTCGTTATCGTTATCGCTATCGTTTATCATTCCCACACAGTATGTGCGGGGTCCGTACTCCGTAGGTACCATTGTTCCCGTACCTGAGTAGTGTCTGGATCTCCCTATCAACCCCGAGGTCACCCGGCTCGAAGCGGCGGAGTAATGGGCTGTAGATCAACAATAGTAGAAACCTGCCAACGCATCACGGGAATGAACAGCACGCGATGTGGGGATTTTACCGGAATACTAAAGGTAAGCTAGGACTCACAGTTCAACCAAAGCGTCTTATTACCACCGGTTTGGATGGACCTCATCAACTAAATGTGCGAGGCCACGAAGCGTCCCGTTGCGCCGAATACGTGTTCTGGAGAGGGGTCCGCCTAGGCGCAGCACATGTTGAGCGCGAGGACGAGTGAAGGCCAGACACAAACAATCTCAAGCTCGATTCGCCTCCTGAGTACCAGCAGTCAAACCCCCTGCCCTCCCAACAGAGCGCCACGGGCAATGCATATCCGTCCAACATGCTAGAAACTACATTCCTGGAGGATCGTGTCCGCGATTACATCCCCCGACTCTCTCACATTTCCTCACCACCACTCACACATTCAAGGTTCGGCCGACAGTAATGCCGACTGCCGCCCTTTTTTGCCCTAACCAGCGAGCGAAGTGGTCAAAAGAGGAAAGCAATCCCGGAGTCATCACCCAACAGTGAAATTAGCCGTCCCATTTAGCTTTCAAGCTAACCTCGCTGGCGCCCAAGAGATACAATGTGATTAGTCGCCCACACGCAGGAGTCCAGTACGAAAGACCTAAAGGACTCGAACATGATCACAGCTCCGCCCGTCTGCGGGACGAAACTGAATCCGACCGGGCAGGACAGAGGCCGATATTGGGTACGGGCTCTGCCAGGAGCTCGTCCGAGGAGTTACAGCCTCTCTTTTGTAAAGCGCACATGAAGCCGCGTACAGCCACACCAGCGACGTCCGAACGCAGGGCAGACGGGGCCCAAGATCGTTCCCTACGAGCCACCTGACTGGCCAAGGTCGGACTTCATTCGACCCTCGTGCGTTTTGGCATAAGCTCTACCAGCCTATGTATCACCACATGGCCTTCTCCTCAATCGTGGATTAGATGCCCCTTCTCCTCACATGCTGGGACTGAGCGAAGGCCCCTCAGTGCAGATTTCTCAAGCTCGAGATACACGCCAACCTGGGATCACCATCTGGCAGCATGATAACCCAGCGACGTGGGACACTGGCACTTGATTGTCTCGAGGACTGAGGAGAGCTTGTGCGTGTCTTTTCCCATTCTGCTCTCGTAGTGCTGCACCTGCAGAACTCCGCCTCTCGATATGTAGCTGCCCTGGCCGCAGCCTTGGAACACATGGCCTGCGGCTAGCGTGTCATCTCGTGAAGCCTCGCTTCCCGCTTTCTCACATTCGGCTCAATGTGCTCAATTCTCACCTTATCGCACGTGTCCAGCCAACGTCCGCGAATTGGGGCGCGTCCGTAGGCAGCGTCAGCGTCAGCGTCTGAGAATGACGGACCCAGTGTACTAGAGGGACCGAAGTAGGTACTATAGCGACGAATAGATATCATGCGAGACGCGAGAATGCTCGGCACCCATCGTTGCGTGCATGGTCGTGCCAGCTGCGCGCCATGTGTGGTCTTGTATGGAAACGCTGGGGTTTGATGAGCAAGTCGCGCGAGGGCTGTTTCCCGACCAGCGACTGCGGAGTCTCGACGGAGTACTCGCGCCTCATTTCGGGGGATGCCATGGCATATATGTAAACAGCGATGCGCAATTGAAATGGAAATATCTATACAGTATGGGAGACGGATACTTCGTCAGGATGGAAGAACTTGTTGCACTCTGGGAACGCTTGGCAACGCTCCCCCACGCCTGGGGCAAAGCGCGGATGTCGCACCCCCGCACCTACGTGCCCCGCCGCCTCGGCTTTCGGAACACACTGGCTCCGACATGAAACCATCCCACCAACAGATACGCCAGGTGGTGATGTAGCGAACGCTGGGCAGCCGCGACAGCACAGTTCCATCCATGTACCATCATGTCGTCCGACAACCTGCCTGTCAAAAAGGTCCCCCTCTGCCCACCCTCGCTTTCCGCATTGGCAGAGAGCATCTCTGTCGGCCTCTCCTCGAACTTTACGCACTCATCATGCACTGTTTCCACTCCTCCAGACCTCAGTCTCCCTCCATATCACCTTGCTTCTCCAGGCCTCACCGGCTCTCCTCGGGTTGTCGATGTCGGGGGTCCACCAAACCTTAGTCCCGCGCCGGACTTGACGAAGAAATATGACCTGCTCTCTATCGCCCAACAAGCTGAAATGTCCACAGCGACCGGCTTCATGCTGGGTGCCGGAGCTGGTCCGTTCCACGTCGTGGGACAGAATTCCGAGCTGATGCCCAATCTGGCGTACGGTGCCGCAGCGGGCGGGAAAAGCCTGCACGATGTGAGGAATCGGACACACTACGCGAAAATCAAGCCGGATGATTCAGTATGCTGTGCTCGCATTCCGGATAGTTCCACGGCATTTGCGCTTATGTGCAACCTATTTTGCTCCGACGGATCACCTGGACCCTGCCTGCACGTCACCGGCAAAGCTCGAAACGGTCCGCTGAATTTCACGCAGGCAATGCAAGACGCCTTGAAGGCTTCTTTTGGAAATCGTCTGATTTCCATCGGAGGAGTGTTTCTGATCAAAAAGGGGGCGGCAAAATTGCATGTTATGCCGGACTTTCCCTCGGAGCCGTTCAAGTCAAGAGACGATGTGGACAAGTGGCTGCGGTATTTTGACATGGGCTTTACCGATAATGAGCATGGGCCGCTGGTTTGTCTGACCGTCTTCCACTCGGGAGATGATGGTGGCCTTGCGTTGAGAATGGAGCATACTCATTGCTTCACTGTGAATGGCAACAGCGATGCCACCGTCAACGGGACGACGGAAACAACAAAGGGCGGGCATTACCACTATGATCTGGACGACACGAAAGAAGAGATCGAATATGAGGGCTGGTTCAATGTCGCCGAGTACTTGTACCGGCTAGATCAGCCTGGCGTGCGAAGTGGCTGACCTCGTGACGGGTGATTCATGAAAGCAGTTCGCCATCGACCAAGGTCAGACTATCGTTCAGACATCAGGAGCCTGGCTTGACGTCCAACGAAAGGTGACTTGCCGCACACCTACCACGCCGTCAATCTATTCACTCCTCTGGAGTAACGAAATCTCCGTTGCGAGGCCTAGGTCTTCTACGAACTGTAGAAGTGGGGAAGCCTTGGGGTATGCTGTTCTTCCCGTGTAGATACTGGCAAGTTGTGTTTATCCCATTTCCACAACAAGTGGACACCTGTGACCTGAATAAACTTGGCGATACTTTGGCGACGAGGACGGGAGCTGATCGAAATCGCACCTGAATCAGGAATTCCACCTGGCACAACAAGTCGCCATGTCATTGCTACAAATGACACCACAAGTCCAGTCTGCTCGCCTCAAGCTAGGAGAAGAACCAGTGCTACCGCACGCAAAGACACCGAATGTGGCGCACGACGGCGCAGGTCTTTGGCGTGCTTGGAGCATGGGGGATTGACCGCCGTGTGCACCATCCAAAACGGTATCTCTGAATTCATAACAGAGAACAGCACCTTCGACACGGGTATTACCGTCAACAGTCAACAATTCCACCGCCGTCATAACAGCAGAGGAGGGCGAGCGAAGCCAGGGCCAACAGGGCCAAACGCCGTTCCAGATAAAGACAACAATAATAGAATTGGTTCTAGCCTTGGAATGACTGTCAACAGGATCAATCAGAAACAGAATGCCCAGTATAGACAATGCAACAACTGGAACAAGCCAAGAACGTCTATGGGAATTGGAGGTGGTCACAATATCAGAGTTACAGCGACGGAGCATGTGAGGTCCTCGTCACAATGCCCTGCAGCAAAGAGTCCTAGGGCTACCCACTCGTGGGCTGATGGCACGCAGCACGGTCGCGGTTCTACTTTATTCTCCCCACGTGCTAAACAGGCGATCCTCGGACCCGTACACAGTACGGAGTACGGAGTGATGGCTCAAGAGTCTTGTTTGTCAGCTCCAAGCAAACCGTCCACTGCTCTTGTCCCCTTTCTACAATCTCTTCGCCCATTGACCATCCGCTACAATCCTACGTCACTGGCTCGCTCCTTTGTTCCATGCACGAGCACTTTCCGCAACGGCCCTTTACACAGTACGAAGTTTCAAAATTCCAAGCCTCTTCTCACTTGCACGGCCTCTCCTTGTGGCCTCCGTCTTGCCAACACCTCCGCTACCATCCACCGATGCGTGGCGATGCACTTTCACACAGTAATTAATTTTGCCCTGCTTGCTGACAGCTTGGCTATCATCCACTTAGGGCGCCCTCTCTGTATTACACAATACAGTCCCACCTGATTGTGGTGGTACCCTTCTTGGTTGGTTCGAACTTGAGAGATCGAAGTTGCCGTGCACTGCGACCATGTCCTTGCGCTCCTGGCTTTGGAACTTTGAGGTCAATGCGAAATCTGCACTTGGCTCTACTATGATCTAAAATATCTTGTGATGCCCTTCGCTGCGCACAAGTACTGTCCTTTCTGCCACCTGATGCCGCCAGTACCGCTGCTGCATTCCTGTGCTGCCCAAGAGTGTCGCTTGTGTGCGCCTGTCCTCTGTGCTACCGAGACCGCACTTTGCAACGCTAGCCCTGTCCTTTGCGCCGCTAGCATTGTCCTTTATGACGCTCACACTGTCTCCCATGTCGTGGTACCCAATGACGTGCTACCTATTGGGTCCTGTGTGCAGTGTCGTCCCATGCTGTGCTACCTCTCCTGTCCTTTGTGCCGCAAGCCTTGTACTTTGTGACGCTAGCACTGTCTGTCGTTCAGTGGTACTCAATGACGTGCTACCTGTCGGGTCCTTTGTGCAGCTGACACTGCCCTTTGTGCCTACTAGTGCAGTGCTGCCCAATACCATGAGCCACCTATCACCATCATATGTACTACACAACCTGTCCTTTGCGCCGCTAGCACTGTCCTTGATGCCGCCCAGCACTGCACCAGGCAGCCAAGTTCAGCATTGGATAAAGCAAATACAAGAATTGAGGTGCTATAGCACTAAGCGGCCCTGCACTAGCCAGGACCTCATCGGGCAACAAAGACGGTGCATTGTGCCAGAACAGCAGGGACGGAGGGGAGAGCATGCATTGGATGGCATGGACGGAGCACAGATCAGCCAATGCAAAGGTACATAGGGTAGCCCTGCATTGGTCTGCAAGAATAGGGTTCAGCATCACTCTGCTGGCCGGCGTGAGCTTGTACTAGGACGCACAAAGGCCGGCAAGGGGCACAACGGACAGCCAGCGGTACAACGGACAGCCTGCGGTACAACCGACAGGAGGACGGCACAATGGACAGCAAGGCCGGCACAAAGTTACTTATTGCCCAGCATTTGGCGCCATTGGAATCGTGCAGGGTAGTGTAGGACAGTGTGAGCACGGGGAGCACAATACGAGGTAACACAAAGCAGACATTACAGCACCACATTGGCCAGCAACTATAGTGTGCTACAGCACAATGGACAGTGTCAGCGGCACAAGGACAGCAACGCTACGCTAGGCGGCACGAAGAACAGTGTCGGCGCCAAAGACAGTACTAGCGGCGCAAAGGACAGCATTAGTTGCACAAAGGACAGGATAGGTAGCACATCATTGGGTACCACTGCATATAGCAGCGCAATGGACAACGCTAGCGGCGCAAAGGACAGTATCGAGTGATGCAAGGAACTATTGAACAGCACAAGGGACAGGATTGGTCGGTAGAGAATTGAGCACCACTTCGCTGGACCTGCAAGCCAGCATCGTCCCCCGGATCTCCAGCTACAGATCCTCCCATGCTACTGAGCGTTAGCGGAACCACGGCCGACGGAATGATCCCCCGCTTGAGTGCACAGGAACTCGTCGAGAACTTCCAAAGAAGCAGCTCGGAAATGGTGTCGAGCCTACAAATCGCCGCAGTCCCTTCGTCGAATGGAAACGGCTCAAGGAAAGGGGCGGAAGAACTCTCGTTTGTCCCAAGGGCAGTCAACGCGGAGACACACCATATGGATACGCATACGTATGACACGACAAAGGGCTTGGGTATCACCCGCAAACCCACCTGGATTGTTGTTGGGAATTGGGTGCACTTTGCGCTTCCAGTGAGCACCAGCATGAGTCCGAGTCAAACATGCAGTCCCTACTGTATATGCTCCATACTGCGCTGATTGGTGCAACCTGGGCCTCTTAAGATCTGCGTTCCGACCCGAATGATTCATCTCACTCGGGTTCGGCTTTGCTCCGGTCCAAGCCTCTTTACTCCCACACTTCTGAAAGGCGGAGAGTAATTATTGCCGCGCGGTGCAGCCTCTGCAGATGCAGACGAGGTGTGCCCTACCGCCAGAAGAGGATCACTGGCTGTCATCCAAGCACGAACAGCAGATGATCAGAATGCTGGGATCGTCCTTGCCTGTTGAGTTGATCAGAGTCACGGTGCCGGGAGTCCAACTTCAAACTCAGTTGGCAGCAGAAAGAACGCAGCAAGCTGGGAAAGGCTCGGTGCTTGGTCGTTTTGTTTCCGGCACTCTTGATGGGCCATAGCAAATCCCACGGCGTCCCGAGTTCCCCCTCTCCTAATCGCAGGGTCATCGAGGATTCGTGGAAAATTCATCGACTGGCCCAGGAACCACTCTGGTACGGCAGAGCCAGCAACGACAGCTGGAATGGCCACCGGCCACTTGTTACTTCCTGTAAGCCGTGAAACCGAGACACTGCGGCCAGGGTATGAGAGATGGCCTGGACCGAAATGAAGTCCACCCATGAGAGAGGCCCGACGAAACAGCGTCGATAAATCAGGATGAGTCAGCTGGACTTTGACTCAGCGCCAAAGAACCCAAGCCAATGCGGCCCGAATCGGCCACCCCATAATCCTGCAGAACTCCGCAGTCCATCCGAAGTCATCCATTGGCACCATTGGTAGTCGAGCGGCGGAGTTCAGACTTCCGTGCTGTGTCGTCAAGTTTCGACTTTTCGCCAAATGTGGTAATTGCCCCTGTCTCGAACTCGGATGTTTCCCTCCACACCGTGACACATTCTTCGTGTAGCTCTCCACTTTCTCAACCTCCTAACCCGCCCTCGCCTCACCCCTCACCCAGCTCCTCCTTTCCCCCACCTTGAGCCGCCGGCTCTCACTTTAAATCCAAGTAAGTACTCCGTACGTAGCCGACGATGGACCGATTGACAGTACTGCCGCCAAGGGCCAACAGTACGGTTGTGCAGCACTCTTAATTACCCTAGTATTACAGCGTGAGGTCCTTGTTCAGAGGATACTATCTCAAACATCATAAAGCAAAGGCACCAACTCATTCGGTATATGTCGGTCTTGGGTGTTCTGCCCTGTCCTTCGCCGTGAAGGCTTTTTATCTTGCATGGACACCTACAAGCCTAGTGATTTGCTGTACTCGTATTCTCACGCCCCCATGGCAAAGGGGAGTCATCATCCCTCTCGCGCACCAGCTACAGCATCCTTCACGTAGGGTGGGGACGAGGACGACATCATCGAATCCGCTCCAGGAATGCAGCGTGTGACCCAACCCGCCCACCTTTGATAAGCCCTCTTCCTTCGGGATCGGCTGCCAGCACGTGCTGGTCTCCGGTTCCCACGTCGCAACCACCGCGAAACTGACGACTTGCAAAGTTCATACTGTGGTGACGGTACGTGAAACCGTCTACACGCGCTTGGCGTTGAGCTTGTCATCGAAACATGGTTCGTGCGAATGCAGCTTCAGAAAGGGCACACAGTGTCTGTCCAATTGCGCTCTCAGCAAAGTGCAAACCGTGGCCATTACCTGGCGGCCACAGCCGAGTCCAGTACGAGTACCCACGAGGTGACGAGGGTGTGGCGTTCGTGTCATGAAAGAACCGCATCGGGTGCATCCACCACCAAGCTGGGGTGGCTACATCGTGGAGATTCCACACAGCCCGTAGAATAGCGATTGGTTAGCTGTAGAGTAGCGGGGTAGCGGGGTAGGTGGGGAAGGACATGGGTGAGTTCGGTCCATCATCGGTACGTACTCCGTACCTAATTAGCTGCTTTCCCGTTTCGCGATATCGTACTGTCAAGACCGGAAAGTTCCTCCATCATACCAAAGCCGCCACAATGAAGTCTATTGGTGCCAACGCTTCCGTCCCCGTGCCGCGCGTGTACTGGTCCCAATGGAGGATATTCGCAGACAGAGAGACCACCCGCTGAGACTTGGACCATAATCACCGCCCGGAGGCAGATCGCGAAAGTATCTGCGCGTAGCGTCGTCAGCCGCTGCTGAAGGTGAGGGAGCTCTGCCCTCCTGGAACAGTCCTTGAGACTCGCACAGCGGTGTCTCTCCCCAGACTTGCGCATTCCTCGATCCAGGCCCAGGTTTGGTCCGTCCAAGACGCTCCAGGCATTCCATCTATGGTTGCGTGGAACGCCTCAGCCGCAGCAAAATCTAGACATCCAGATCGACCACCTATTCAGGAGTGGAGCAAAGGTTCTTGCAAGATATGATGCGAAGTAGGATGAGCCATGGCCACCTCCCGTTCACGCATGGAGACCCTGAACCCCTTTGAATGTAACTCGTACTCGTCCCGCAGAGCTTAGGTCGTGGCGATCATCGACTGAGAGTTCTCTGGGCGGTACCCCCCATCACAGGGAGTCCACTTCTGCTTGGCTTGGAAGTCAAGCCCGACAAGCCTGGCAAGAGGTGGCTCCTCAGTTCCTCGTGCCTGGCTATGAGCATCTGCGGACCGTCTAGTTCTCTGTCCACTGCAAGCCGCTCGGAGTATCGTCACGACAATCTACTGGAAGGGACAGCGGCGCGGTCTTCTGAGCGGACTTCTGTTGCATCCTCCAGATAACCACCGTCGTTGAGCTGAGAGGCAGCGCTAAGTGGTACCGCATGTTTCTGAACCTTCCGCCGGGTTTCAGACACGGTAAGACCGCCGTCGTTGATAAGGCTCGGCCGTATGCCGGTAATTACGACCATACCATCGGAAGACGAGTGTGACGCGCGAGATGTTCGTTAGTTGTTGGTAGTATCAGAGGCTAAGGGGTTTGGATGCACGTTGTATTGCTGGCGAGTGGTTGTCAGCCAGTGCAGCGTGTGAAGTAGGAAGTAATGCGATGCCTGGGTCACATATGCAGCAGCAGCACTCAGTGAGGAGGAAAAGACAGGCCGGCGTCCACATCCTTTGATTCGAGGATCATTGAAATTTCCGATTCCCAATACAAGTACTTTCAGAAACATCTTGTCATATTCAAGATTCTCGACAGGGAGGCTGCTACACTCTGCATTTAGTGTGTTTGGCGTTTCCCGAAGTGTCCGCCGCCGTTGGTGCGCTGCGTTATGTCGTACTGTGTGATATGTACCTACACAGGTACCTAGGTACCTAGGTATGCTTGGAGGTGGTTGTAGGCGTAGTCACTAGGCTTTAGACTAGAGGCTCTAGGCGCATCTTTAGACTTCGAGCTTTAGGCTTTCGGGTAATTAATGGGTACGGGCTCTAAGGCGCCTAGCAGGGCGGACTCGTCCCCGCGTGGAGTCCTCTGCAGAGCAACCGGCGGATAGTGATACCGGGTGATGAACGATAGCCATCCCTCAGTGTCTTATATGCCGTGCTAAACAGACTCAAACTCTAAAATCGAAACGAGCGTAATGGGCCCTAGTTCGGGGTAGCCAGTGTGTGGGGTGGGTGCATGCGCGGCTGATGCGCGCTTGTGTTGCGTTGGGCGGATTGTGTGCTTGTGTGCATGTTTCTGTCATGTAACAGCCTCACAGAACCAAATCCTGCGGCCCCATTTTGCCATCCTGTTGTCCTCCCCCGTCCTGTTTTCTGACACCGTCATATACCACCGTAGCTCCTGACTGATACCTAGGTAGCCATACCGAAGACTTTGTTTCCAGCCAAATCCGGACGCAAACCCCCTCCCAAACCCAAAATCATCGCAGTATATCCCCTTCCAAGATTGTGAGTACGTCGACAATGACTTGCTTCTGGCTCAGCCCAGCACATTCGAGTTACTCCTTTTCGCCAGTCATTGCTTCGGTCGAGATGTTCAGACCCTCAAGGGACACTACACAGGTCAGTTAGTCTTGGAGTTCTTTGTCACTGCCAACGAGTCATCTGGGGTGCATACATACTGGGATCAGCACTGGCACTAGCACCAGCACCAGTACCAGTACCGTCCTGCTTCGAGTCCGACCCCGACCCCGACTCCTGCTCCGGCTCCGTCTTTTGAGTCCGAGCTTCGCTCTGAGCTTTCTCAACGATCGGCCTGTGTATGGGGCAGAGACCCTCGTCGGTCATCTCAAAGTGAAGGCCCGTGGGACCCGTGAGTTTCGCCCTCATCTCGTCAACGCAGGGCGCGCCATGGCAATCGGGGTATGTGGTCCGAACAAGGGCGTAGACGCCGTCGCCGCCCTGGGCCATGGCTATGGCTGAAGGGTATATTAGGACTTGACTTGCGATTTGTGAGTTTGGCCAAGTTGAGAGACGTGGTGCTTCGAAGGACTGGATGTGATTTTCTTGTTGGTGGTCGGATTGAATGGAATGGACCATAAGGTAGGTATTTAGGTCCTTGACCGCTGATCTCGGGCCGAGCCCTGCACCGCACGGTACGAGCCCATCCCATAGGTGCGCTTCCATCTGAGATTCGCGAGGGTGGGGTTAGATCGCCCTCCACGTGCGGCCGTTCCCACTTCATTTACCGTACTCCACAGTAGCAGTACGGTGGGGCAAAGGCAGCGTAGATTACACTAGAATACATGCGGCGGCAGCGGCGTACGTCTCAGCTACAGTGCTGGAGAGCAAGAATACGGTCCGGCAACCAAGCCGGATTGAACCTGTTCGTCCTGCCGACCTGCGCTTTCTGCGCTTTCTGCGCTGCTCCCGTGGTCGGGTCCTGACTTTTGTAGCAGAAAACTGTCGTAGCAGCTCAAGGTCTCGTTGCTTCGTAACTTCGTGAATTCGTGTGATTTGTGTGATTTGTGTGATCCGTGTGCTGTGTGCTTCGACTGTTCATCTGCCTCGAGTGCTCGTCTGCTTTGACTGCGCCTCCCAGTCACTATGCCAGAAAAATGTTTTGCACGACCACGGTGTGCCGGACTCGTTCTTACCGCTTGGGCCTACCGGCCGTGCACACACCCAAAACATCCGACCGGCACTCAGATGGGGTTTTTTGACGGTGTCCTTCTTGCATGGTTCGTTGTGGTTGCATAGCGGCGCAACAGGCGGGGCTAAGAGTTTGCGCCACGAATCTTTGGCTTCAGAAGCAGTGGCTTTGGCTGGCCGCTTCGTTGTGACCTCTGTCTTCGCGTCGACATGTCCGTCTTCGTGGTTGAGGAGATTCCCTGACTGCTGGATCGGTGTTCGTGACGTATCATTATCAACTGCTGTAAACGCACTATCCACTTTGACTTGTTTGTCCTCTCGGTCGACGTGTGTTGTTGGGCTGGCCTTGGCGTCCACTGCTGTAATCATCGTTACAGCGTCGTCTGGTGCGTTATTTTGAGCGAGTGGTAACGACAGCAATGCCTGATCATCTTCCCATTTCGGCCCATTCTCCACCTTCGCTTCCGGCTCGGACGGAAGTATGGTTCGAGAGAAAAAGTCACGGAGGGTCTGCTGCTCTTTGAGCCTCGTCGAACTCGTGCGTCTCAGTTCTTTTGACGTCTTCTGGCCTGGGCCTTTCGACGTTGTCCGTCCCATATCCTTTAAAATGGTCTGTCCTGGACCTTGTCTTCTTTTGGCTGTGGGACTCTGGTCGACAGTCGTTGCTGGGCGTTTATCACAACTCGATCCCGAACACGAGGCATCATCGCGGAAGAGTGGCGATGGCGTATCTTTTAGAACGAATGGTGAATCATCTTGTGCGGCTGGGCGCTCTCCGTTGAAAGGTCGAGGTATCAGGTCCTTTGGACTGCATGACGTAACTTGCTCGAGAATAGTGTCCATGTCTGGTTTTGCAGGCGATTGGGGGCGATGTGCTGCCGAGGCCTCTCTGTGGAAGACCGCAGGTGGTAGCTCGCTTGCAATGTGCGGCGTGAGCTCTTGATGACCGCTCTCCAACTTTGAGGGTACCAGCTTTCGCGTGAACATGTCTTTGATGCTTCGTCTGTTACGGAATTCACCTAAAAGTCTGCCAGACAGCGGCAGGGCACGTGCCGCTTTCCAGTCCTTTTGACGAACCCCACGCACGAACATACCCGGTGGGTTGACCACGTCCAAGATGTGCTCTTCGACACCATTCACAAGCACTGTATCTTTCAAATCAGCATAGACTGGACAGTGATCAGATCCCATCAGCCCCTCTTGGATGTCGGAGTCACTGAACCAATCCCTCATGTCGTGGCTGCATATGATATAGTCGATCCTCGCCCCATAATTCCCCGGCCGAGCATTGATCCTAGTCTCCCAGCAAGTATACATGCCAAGGCGGCCTTCGTGAAACGACCGACAAATGTCCCACAAAATAGGCTCTCTTCCCATGTCTCTCGGCCCAGAAATTTTGCCTCCCACCAAGAGTTGGTTGAGCCACCTCCGTGGCGAAGTGGAAATCCATTCGGCTGGATCAAATTGAGGTTGGCGCATGGCTTTGCCGATGTGCGCAGTATCAATTTCCTCGCGGCTGATATTGAGGTCGCCTGCCAGAACCACTCTCTTGCCCATTTTGACCAGATTTCGGATCCTGAGCTCCAGGGCTTGCAGGAAGTTGAGACGGTAGTCAGTCCGTGTTTCATCCCGCTCGGCAGGAAAGTAGGTGGCAATCAGGACAAATGCTTGAAACTCGACAAGAACGCATCTTCCCTCCGAGTCGAGGCTCTCCAGTTTGTACCGGTGATCTGAGAGCGCGGCGGCCTCGGGATATCCTCCAATCTGCTGGTCTTCCGGCAATGCTCGGTATGGGGTAGAAGTGCCGGGCACAGTCAGGCAGCCAGTGAAGCCCTCCTCCACTCTTATGGGCGTGCACTTCGCATTTCGAGTGTAGACAACAACACCAGAGTAGCCTGCACCGCATCAGCATAGAATCCACCAAACTGCTTTGCAGCGCACCTTTCTTCTCCTTGGGAAAGCTCCAGTAGCTCTCCCACCCTTCCAGCAGAACCATGTCATCCGGAAGATCTTTGCGCTGGACCTTTGCCTCCTGGAAGACCACAATGTCTGCCTCTAGGATGTCAAACATGTTCTCCATTGTCTTTGCGCTTTTCCATGGCTGGTGTTCCAGCAGGGTCCGCATGCCATTGACATTCCATGTCGTGATACGCGGACCCATTCTCGTAGTTTAGTAAGAGAAGTAGTCGAAGGTCAAGAAGGTAGAATTGGGGAGGGTAAGATGTTAGTGATTGAGGCCTGAGCAGTTGAGAGCGCGAAAGAGGGCGCGTGAGGGAGAGGACGAGTGGGCAAGAGCACGGAACTCAAGCTCAACAGGACGTCGAGCGCGAGACATGCATCAAAGGACAACGACAGGAGCGAGGTCAAGGTCGAGATGAAGCGAGAGTGATTGGGCCGACGCGACAGCCTCGACTGCAGCAATGGCGAGGCTGCGATGGCAGATGAATGGTGGCGTTGCTCCAATGTCACTGGCTGCTGTACATACGAGGTAAACGTGACTGACTCCTCACGCTCGGCTGACTTGTGGCTTGGTCAGTGGCTGCCTAGTGATGTCGTCGTTCCCATTGACGTCATTGAGCAGGCTGCGTTTGGAGTTTGGAAGCGCGTGTCAATGAATTCCCACTTTCTCTTGCACATTCGCGCAGGCGAAAAGACGAAAGTGTGACATACATACACAGTGCACAGTAGTTCACGTCAGTGCTCTTGCCCGTTTGCTGTGGCTTACCTCGTAGTCGGCTTCGATCGGCTTTTCATTGCCAACGCTGGGGTCTGGCATTGTGCAACTCCTCGAACTGCCCCGCCACAGTTGAAAGTGGCTGTGCGTCACAATATTCGAGATTCAATACTCGACCTTCGATACACGCCCGTCGATACACAAGCTTACCTCTGACACGGCCAACTTTCCTCACGCCTGTTAGATCGGCTGCGACAAGCCGTCCTTGTATTATAGCGCTACTGGAGTAGCCTAGTTGTACCACATGTCCCTACGGTTCAGATAACACCCTCCACCGTCCCTGGCCCGGGTACCGGCCACATTCGCCCAAGATGCTGGAAGGTCTTGTCGCCAACCTGCTCAACCGCTTTCTGGGCATGTACGTGAAGAATTTCGACCCCAAGCAGCTCAATGTCGGTATATGGTCGGGCGACGTCAAGCTGCGCAACCTCGAGTTGCGACGAGAGGCACTGGACCAGTTGCGGCTCCCAATCAATGTGGTTGAAGGCCGGTTGGGCGAGCTGACGCTGTCAATTCCCTGGTCCAATCTGAGGGCCAAGCCGGTCAGAGTCAACATCGAGGACGTCTTCCTACTAGCGGCGCCCAAAGAGGAGGATGACTACGATGCGGAAGAGGAGGAGAAGCGGGCCGTGGCCGTCAAGCTGGAGAAGCTCGAAAGCGCTGAACTGCTGAAGGAACAAAACACCGAGGCAATGAGCGCCGAAGAGCAGCAGAAGAGCCAGAGCTTTACCCAAAGCTTCGTGACCGCCATCGTCGACAACCTGCAAGTCAGCATCAAGAACGTGCACGTGCGGTACGAAGACTCGATCGCAACTCCCGGCCATGCCTTCGCAGTCGGCCTGACTCTGAAGGAAATGAGCGCCGTGTCGACCGATGCAGACTGGCAACCGACATTCATCCAATCCACCTCGGGCACCACCCACAAGCTGGCCGTCCTCAACTCGCTCGCGCTGTACTGGAACAGCGATGCCGATCTGTTTGGCACAGGCAAAGGTGGCGATGTGGGTGCCGACGCACAGGAGATTGACAAGGACGAACTGATACGTCGTTTCAAACAAGGCATTGAAGAGACCGCGGGCCATCAGTACCTCCTCAAGCCAGTCAGTGGGCGTGCTGGGATCGAGCTCGACAAGACCGGTCAAACGGGCAAGCCTAAGACCAAGGCACGTCTTCTTTTCCAGGAGCTCGGCTTCATCATTGACGAAGATCAATATCGCGACGCTCTGATGCTGGTTGACCTCATGCACTACTTTGTCCGTCACCACGAGTACAAGAAGAATGCGCCAAAAGAGACCCCCAAGGAGAACCCTCGCGCTTGGGTCAAGTTCGCTGGCCAAGCCGTGCTGGAGAAGATACATGAACGTAACAGAAAGTGGACCTGGGACTACTTCAAGGAGCGCCAGGACACTCGTCGCAAATATATCGAACTGTTTAAAAAGAAGAAGAAAGAGCAAAAGTTCACGGAGCAGGAGACAAAGGAAATGACACAACTGGAGCACGACCTGAGCTACGAGGATCTGCGCTTCTGGCGGTCTCTTGCCCGGAGCCAGTTGCGAAAAGAGAATATTGGGGTCAAGAAGCCTCCTCCCAAGCAGACGTGGTCATCTTGGGTCTGGGGCTCGAAACCCAAAGAAAAGCAAGAAGATGACGACGCCGGCATGACCGAGCAGCAACGCAAGGAGCTCTACCAGGCGATCGATTGGGACGAGAAGAAAGCCATCGCAGACGCTGTCGACCTCCCCCGTGAAACCATCAAACTTCAGGTGGAATCCAGTCTTAGGACCGGCAGCTTTACGTTGAAGCGAGACCCACACGGACAATCAAATGATATTCTCAAGCTAGTATTCGACAATTTCAAGCTGAAAGCCCTCCAACGGCCTGACTCGCTTCTGGCCGATGTGGCACTCGGAGGCTTTCGTGTCTACGACGGCACGACTGAGGGTACACTGTTCCCACAGATCGTCAAGGTCAAAGGTGCTGAAGAACAGCCCAAGGAAGGTGTTAAACAGGAAGATAACCAGACACTCAGCGGCGATGACGATTCAGAAGCTGGCACAACGGAGAAGGCAGAGGAGGATGACAGCTTGTTCCATTTGGTCTTTGAGAACAACCCACTCGATGAAAGTGCAGACACAAAGGTTGATTTGAAACTCAAGAGTCTCGAATTCATCCACAACCCGAAGTTCGTGGTCGAAATTGTCAAGTTTTTTAAGCCGCCCGAACGTCAAATGGAGTCCATTGGTGCCTTGCTCGAGACTGCGGGCGCGAGTATCGAAGAGATCCGCCAACAAACCCGTGCCGGCCTGGAGTTTGCGCTGGAGGAGCACAAGACCATCAACGCGAACCTGGATATCCACGCCCCCATCTTCATTATCCCGGAGAGCATTACGGAAGAAAGCACGTTGTGCATGATCCTTGATGCCGGTCACGTCAGCCTTAACAGCGAGCTTGTCGACAAAGATACGATACGGGACATCCACTCAAAGCAGAAGCAACAATACACGGAAGAGGACTACAAACAGCTCGAAGGCCTGATGTACGACAAGTTCCATTTGAAGCTCGAATCTACCCAGGTGTTGATAGGCCCGGGCATCGAAGCAACAAGGGCGCAGCTAGAGGCCGAAGAGGATTCGCAGAATATGCACATCATTGATCGCATCAACATGGCTTTCCTCTTGGAAAATTCAATCATACCCAAGGCCCCGGATGTCACCAAGGTCCGCATCTCGGGGTCCTTACCTGTTCTTCACGCCTCTATCTCGGACAAGAAGTACAAGAACTTGATGAGACTGATAGAGGTCGCCATCCCAAAGTTTGAGTCCACAGAGCCGCAGCCAAATGGGAATGCTATCGAGTCGAAGCCTCAGCCTGTCGTCGAGGAGCAGCCCGCCTCAAAGCGAAAATCCGTCCAATTGCTCGAGGCTAAGGACCTGCCCATTATTGACCATGATTCCGACACCGAAGACAACCCTCCGGAGACACCCAACCAAACCGAAACTCCCGACACTCCAGCCAACATCCACCAACGCAATTTCGAGATCAAGTTCACCGTGGAGAGGTTGCAGGCTTCGTTGTACAAGGCCGATCCCGACGGCAAGAAGCGGGACCAGCTGTTGGTGGAGCTTGTCGTGGAGCACTTCTACTTCGACTTTTACCTTCGTCCTTACGACATGGTGGCAGAAGTGCTCCTTCGGTCGCTCAGTGTGGACGACCACATCGAAGAGCAACCACTACCAGAGTTCAAACAGATAATATCTTCCAAAGGCTTCAAGGCCGACGACGGGAAAGACTTGCTCAACGTCAAGTTCGTCAAAGTCAACCCAGGTTCGCCCGAGTTCACCTCCACCTACGAAGGCATTGCAACAAATCTCGACGTTTCCGTGTCGACCATCAACGTGGTAGTGACCAGACGTACGCTTCTGACACTCTTAGATTTCGTTCTTACAACATTTGCAAGTCCCGGTGGGCAACAACCTACTGAAGGGAAGCCGAACGAGGACGAACCTGAGGCCATTCAAGAAGCTCCTCAGCAGAGTGCGCCGGCAGACAAGATTAGAATTAAAGCCGAGTTGACCAGCATTGCACTGATCCTCAACAACGACGGCGTACGGCTGGCCACACTGTCGTTAAACTCCGGGGACGTCGGCGTCTTTCTCAACGCAGGCACGATGCAGATCAAAGCAAGATTGGGCAGCCTGTCCTTGGTCGACGACATCAATGAAGGTGCACCAGAAGATTCACCCCTTCGTCGGCTAATCGCCATCGAAGGAGACGATCTGGCCGACTTCAAGTACCAGACCTTTGATTCTTCTCGTCGCGACTATCCCGGGTACGATTCCGGCATCTATCTCCGGTCCGGATCAATCAAAATCAATTTCATGGAGGAGCCTTTCCGCAAAATCATGGAATTCGGAGTCAAGTTTGGGAAGATGCAAGCCATCTTCAACGCAGCCCGGCAAGCTGCTGCGGACCAAGCGCAACAGGTGCAAGAGAGTGCGCAGAAGATGCACTTCGACGTGGTCATCAAGACGCCGATTGTCGTTTTCCCGGGTGTTATGGTTGATGACAGGCCACGGGACCTTCTTACAGCTTACCTGGGCGAGATCTATGCGAGCAACAAGTTTGTCAGAGTGCAGGGTCAGAAGGATGGACCGCTCGTCAACAAGCTGACTGCAGGCATCAGGCATATTCGCCTCACTAGCGAATTCCACTACGACAACGGGAACTCACAAGAGCTGGAGATGATTGATAAGGTCGATCTCGATTTCAAGATTAGATATCTTGAGCATCAGTCCGGGCTCGAGAGACCAGATCTTGAGATTGAGGGATCCATGTCGCCCATCAACCTCAGAGTATCGCAGACCCAAGTCAAGTTCCTGATGGAGTTGTCGAAGACCATTCCGGCCGCTTTCGCGATGGAGGACGAAAGCGAAGAGGACATTGCCGAGGAGCTGCCAGCGTCGACAACAGAGAGTGCGACAGTGTCCGACCCTAACACGACCACATCTCAAACGCCTGCCACGTCCTCTGACCAGGCTCCAGAGCTCGGCACTGGTGGTGAGACTTGGACCAAGTTGAATCTGGTGTTCAAAGCCCCGATGGTCAGCCTGGAGCTACTTCTTGCCGAAGAAGGCGAGCCGATTGAGAATCTCGAAGCAGCCAGTCTTTCCAAATTTGCCATCAACGAAACCGGTGTCAAGCTAAGAATGCTCAGCGACGGTGCGCTGGAAGCAGAGCTCATGGTTCATTCGTTCACGATCCGGGACAGTCGCACAAAGGAGACCAACAAGTTCCGCAAGATCATGTCCTTGATCAACAACGACGTGCAGCAACAGTTCATGGCCAACATCTCCATATCCGGTGGTGACGACCGCCACATGATCGTCATGCTGACCATCGACAGTCCTCGGATCATTGTGGCTTTAGACTACGTCTTTGCTCTCCAGTCTTTCGCGAACACGGCATTGCAGTCCACGGAGCCTCCACCCGTCGCCGAGCAAGAAGAGCTCACTGAAAACGGCGAGGAAAATCCGGAGGAAGAAGTGGACGAGGCAGAAGATGCTGCCACAGAGGTCGACTCAGACGCGAAACCGTCCATGACGGTGTCATTCCGTGTTAACGTCGTAGATGCTCAGATTATTTTGATCGCCAACCCTACCATCTCGAACACCGAGGCCATTGTTCTGGGCACCAAAGAAGTCCTTGTGTCCCAGCAAAATGCGACTACGCTGCAAATCACCAAGATTGGCATGTTCCTGTGTCGGATGGACCGCTTCGAGACCAGCCGTCTCCGTATACTCGACGATTTCAGTGCATCGATGTCCATGGAGAAGCGAAGCCAAGGAAAGGATTCGTGGTTGACCTCGATTCATATTGGCGTGGAACCTCTGGTGCTTCGTCTGTCTCTTCGTGATATTCTGCTCGCGATGCAGATTGTCAGCAAAGCCTCGTCTACCACACCGCAGCCAAAGATGCAGCAAGATACCGAACCGAAGAAACTCAAGGACGTCAAAGCATCCTCCGAAGCTCCTTCTACCAGACGTAAATCTCTCGCCGGGCAGTCAACACTGGCGCAGAGGTCTAGGCGATCAAAATCGATCTCGAAGACCTCGCAGTCGAGTCCCCAGCAGCAACGCCGGCAATGGGTCGTGTTAAGCCGGGAGGAGATGACTGCGGAAGTGGACGGCATCAGAGTCATCCTCATTGGGGACATGCATGAGCTTCCCATGTTAGACTGGAGTGTCAAGAAGTTTGATGTAGAGGTCCGCGATTGGTCCAGCAGTCTCACAGCGGACACCAGGATTGACACTTTCATCAATGTCTACAACTTCTCCAAGTCGGCATGGGAGCCTCTAATCGAGCCCTGGAACTTGGGCTTCCACATGGCCAAGCAGCTTCACCCAGAGGTCCTTTCCATGGAGCTGTATTCACACAAGAACATGGAGTTGACGGTTACAACAGCGACGATAGCCCTCGCATCCAAGTCGTTCAACTTCCTGTCGACTGACGAAGACATCCTCTCCAAGCCTCGCGTGGCAGATGCACCGTATCGAATCCGCAACTATACTGGGTTCGACCTGAGCGTGTGGGCCGATGAAAAAAGTGACAGCGCAGCCGCGGCCAAGCTCACCGACGGCGAAGAGTATGCATGGCGCTTTCAAGATAACACGTCGATGCGTGAAAGTCTCTCGCCCGAAGGCAATGCTGGCCTGGTGGGTGTCAAGCTCGAAGGCAGCGGGTTCGATAGCGTCACCCGCATTCCTGTCATCAGGGAGGGGGAGACTCTCTACAACTTGAAACCCAAGAAGGACGGCGTCCAGCACCGCATGCTTGTCGAGGTGGCACTTGGAACCGACAACGTCAAGTACATCACTTTCCGATCACCACTCCTGGTCGAAAACAAGACCCAGATTCCCATCGAAGTCGGCGTCTTCAGCCCGGAAGACGGCCACCTTCTCAAGATCGAGAAAATCGCACCGGGCGAAGCGCGGCCTGCCCCAGTGGGTGCAGCGTTCGTACATTCCCTGGTCTTGCGACCCGATCAAGGTTTTGGCTACGGGTGGTCGAACGAACGGCTGTTCTGGAAAGACCTCCTCAAGAGGTCAACTCGAGCAATTACTTGTGCGTCAGAATCCAAAGACGAGTCGCCGGCGTTCTTCTTCCAGATGCACGCCTCGTACGACGAGAAAGACCCCATCACCAAGGTGTATCCCTATATGCGGATCCAGATATCAGCACCTGTCGAAATTCAGAACCTGTTGCCGTACGACTTCAAGTACCGCATCTACGACAAGAACACCAAGAAGGATTGGACAAACTTCCTCCGCAAAGGAGGCGTGAGTCCTGTGCACGTGGTTGAGCTGTCGCATCTCCTGTTGCTGAGTGTGGACGTGGAGGACGCACCGTTCAAGCAGAGTGACTTTGCTATCATCAACAGTAACACGCAGGAAGATTTCCGGCGAGAGAAAGTGGTGCAACTGAAGGATGAGAGGGGCGCTCAGTTGAGACTCAAGCTCCACTACACCAACATTAAGAACAGCGGTGGAGCCTTCCGGGTGTCGGTCTTCAGCCCTTACGTCCTCTTGAACAAGACCGGCCTTGACATGAGCGTTCAGAGCAAAGCTTTCTTTGGCTCTTCCTCAAAATCCTCGTCGCCACACGGCCCGCGGTCCAGCTCGGGAGAAGGCAAAGCGTTGCCCATGCTGTACTCGTATGGCACTGATGACCGCAAAAACCGCTCTCTCCTCAGGATTGGAGACTCGGCATGGAGCAAGCCGCAGAGTTTTGATGCAATTGGAAGCTCGTATGAGGTCGTCTTGCCCGCGGCCTCGGGCAACTCTGAACTGCACGCTGGCGTTTCCGTGGCAGAAGGCGAAGGCAAATATAGTCTGACCAAGGTCGTGACGATTGCTCCGCGATTCGTGCTCAAGAACAAGATCGGCGAAGAGGTTGAGCTACGAGAACCTGGTTCGTCAGAGGTGTGGAAGATGAAGAACAATGAGCTCCGGCCTGTCTACTTTATGCGACAATCTCCAGAAAAGCAGCTCTGCCTCTGCTTCCCGGGCGGCAATAACCAGTGGTCGTCACCTTTCAACATGGACAATGTTGGCATGACTCACGTCAAACTTGCTAAACATGGCCAGCGACAGAAACTTATTCGGGTCGAAGTCATCCTTGAGGACGCCACGTTGTTCCTGCATTTCAGCATCGAGACGAAGCACTGGCCATTTTCTATGAGGAACGAAAGTGACACCGAGTTCTTGTTCTTCCAGGCCAACCCCAACCTGGCAGAAGACGAGGAAGAGGACCGAGGAAGTGGCTGGAAGCCTATCAGATACCGACTGCCCGCGCGAAGCATCATGCCTTATGCTTGGGACTATCCGGCGTCCAAGAACAAGGAGCTGGTTCTGACTGCTCGAGGCAAGGAGCGGTATGTCAAATTGGCCGAGATTGGCAACCTGATACCCATCAAGCTACCGCCCGACGAGCGTGGAGGGCCAATGAAGGCGATTGATGTCAATATCGTCGCCGACGGACCGACGCAGACTTTGGTGCTGTCTAACTACCAGCCGTCCAAGTCCCTGTACCGACAAAAGACCGGCCAGGCCGTGGCGTCTCAGACCAGTCTCAATCAAGGCTTTGAGGTCAAGCAGATCGAATCCGAGGTCAACTTCAAAGCCGAGCTTCGGCTGGCCGGGTTCGGCATCTCGCTCGTCAACAGCAAGCTCAAAGAACTCATGTACGTCACTTTCCGCGAACTGGAGCTCAAGTATGGCGACTCCAAGCTCTACCAGACGGTGAACTTCACGGTCAAGTGGATCCAGATCGACAACCAGCTGTACGGCGGTATTTTCCCTATTTTGTTGTACCCGAGCGTGGTGCCTAAGACCGGCAAGGAGCTGGAGGCTCACCCCATCTTCCACGCCATGGTGACTCGGGTCAAGGACGATTCGTACGGCGTCCTGTACATCAAGTACGCGACGTTGCTCCTGCAGCAGATCACGGTCGAACTGGACGAAGACTTCATCTTTGCCATGCTGGATTTTGTAAAGGTGCCGGGAGCGTCGTGGTCCGAAGAAAAAGAGGGCAAGCTGTGCGACGAGAGCGTCGATATCCCCGAGCCCACACGGGAGCAACAAGGCGAGGACGTCTACTTCGAGCTGTTACACCTGCAACCAATCCAGCTCGACCTCTCGTTCGTCCGCACCGAACGAGTCAACGCGGAGGACAATTTTGTCAACAGCCCTCTCATGTTCTTTGTGAATGTTATGACCATGTCCATTGGCAACGTGAACGATGCTCCCATCCGGTTCAACGCGCTGTTGCTCGAGAACGCGAGGATCTCTGTTCCGGCGTTGATGACGAACGTCCAGAACCATTACACGCAAGAAGCGTTGCGGCAAGTCCACATCATCCTGGGATCGGCCGACTTCCTCGGCAATCCTGTCGGCCTGTTCAACAACATCAGTTCGGGTGTGGCCGACATATTTTACGAGCCGTACCAGGGTCTGGTCATGACGGATCGGCCGCAAGAACTCGGAATTGGAATTGCCAAAGGAGCCAGTAGCTTCGTCAAGAAGTCTGTCTTTGGCTTCAGCGACAGTATGGCCAAGTTCAGCGGCTCCATCTCCAAGGGCCTGGCCGCCGCCACGATGGACAAGGAGTTCCAGGACCAGCGTCGCATGGCGAGGAATCGGAACCGACCGAAGCATGCGCTGTACGGCGTGACTGCAGGAGGCAATGCGTTTGCCGCGAGCATGGCCAGCGGTATCGGAGGTCTGGCCCGTCACCCGCTCGAGGGCGCGGAAAAGGAGGGCGCGCTCGGTTTCGTCAAAGGCGTCGGTAAGGGTGTTCTCGGCCTCGCGACCAAACCCGCGATTGGGGCCTTCGACCTCGCATCCAACGTGGCCGAAGGTGTGCGCAATACCACGACGGTCTTCGACGCCGAAGGCTTGGATCGCGTCCGGCTCACTCGCTTCATCGGCATGGATGGCATCGTGCGACCATATTCGCAGCGTGAAGCCCTCGGACAGTTCTGGCTCAAGACTTGCAACGACGGCCAGTTCTTCAACGAAGAGTACATTGCACACCTGGAGTTGGAGGGCCGTGACATGCTGGTAATCATCACATATGATCGGATTCTGATGCTCCGGACGAAGAAGCTGCGCATGGAGTGGGATGTCAAGCTCACGGACATCAAGACGATCAGTAAAGAGCGCACAGGCATGAGCATCGGATTGAAAGGCGGAGTGAATGGTCCTTTCATCCCGGTGGCGGATGAAGGAAGCCGCAATTGGTTGTACAGGCAAATCGCCATTGGTGAGTACTATCCTGGTCATGTCGACCATCATTATCTGCGTTGGATGGACAATGTGCTAACCATGATCCCGGTATAGCTGTGAATGCATTTAACGACAAATATAACGCAAAGGGATGACGAGGACGTGGGTATGAGATGAGAGCGATCTCTGACGAGACGAGACATGAGACAAGAAAGGGAATCCGCGAGACGAGGCATGAGATACTTGGTGGTTGAAGAATGAATCTAGTGCAGTGTCTGCCCTCTTCTTTGGGCGAGCTGCTTTACATTGCAGTGTCTCCTGCAGCACATAGTGTCCACCATGGACTGTGTGAGACTTATAATGGTATAAAATACGGGATGACTGGGCTTGTTGACATGTACAAAATACCTAGCCCAACTAATGCAACGTACTCCGTACGAGCCATCGGGCCTTCGAGACAACGCCGACAGTCTGTTCTTCGAGTCACAGCCAATGAACCAGATCAATTGGCCTGATTCAAGAACCCAAAGTCAAAAAGACTAGGTCGCACCTATATTTGGCTTCGGATCGACGCCGGTTCGCCAAGCCGCGCGGGCGGCAACGGGCCGGCGCGTAAGAGGCCCCTCATCCGGACATGACGTTGGCGTCAGTAGTGTGCCACCCATCCAGCTGAAATGCTCTCATGCCCTCACCTCGAACTGACCCTCATAATCGCTCTTTGTTGTGCTTCATGCTTCATCCGCATTCCCACCGAACTGCAAACACTCGCCCGTCCTTTTCCAACACGCCACCTCTCAGCCGACACCGAAGCATCCAACATCTCCCTGAGTGGCGAAGGCAATGGCGACACACCCCGTCTACTCGGTCTCGCACAAGGGCCTCCCCGCCTTCCACGAGGCCATCTACGTCGAGACCCACGAAGAAGGGGGCTTCATATACCACGTCGTGGGCGACAAGCTGTCGGGCTACCGGTACGAGACCAAGGCGACCAATCGGCCGGAGAAGTCCAAAACCTTCTCAAAGAAGCTTTACAAGGGCAGGGTGCTCACGGAGGATCTAGCCACTTTGGAGGCGGTTTGTCGGCGGGTCCCGCCGCCGCGGCACCAGGTCATTGGGGGGGTCATTTTCGAGAGGGATTGTCGGCACTGGGTTTTTGCCGCGTTTGAGGCACTGCGCGAAAAACGGGTGCTTCAGGTGACGAGCTGACGAGCTAGGATGGGTGCGATGCGCAAAATTCAAAAGCCAAGGGCCTCGCAAAAAGTTGCGGATCGCGGATGAATTGTGCGAACGTGGCCAAAGCGAGTAAAGGAAGGGAACAAAAGCTGAATGAATATTCTACTCGGTCACACAAAAGGAAAATGGCGACTCTGGTCTGTCTGGGAGGAATTGGAAATGCGGGCATGGATCGCGACATGGCCGTGTATACTTGCTCCCCGTACAGTCGTGAGTCGTTCACAGGTTAGTTATGCCTCGGAGTACTCGCTGTGGGCGTACTTGGAAAAAGCTCGTTGGCTGAAGCGCTTCCGCTCGTGCCTGTTGCTAATGTCAACCTTCGAAAACCACTCGTCCTAAGCGACTCCTTGACGATTGTGAGAGAGTGTTGACCACATGCCATGCCACAGACAGTTTTCCTCCAAGTTGCATCACGTGAGGGGTCTTGCCCGGACAAGGTTCAGCACATGGAAGAGATTGGGGGAGATCACCATAGTTCATTCTGCAGCATGTGTAGCCAGGCATACTCATTCCGATAAGGGTCTAGAAACCTATCGACGTAATGGTGCCAATCGTCCTCGAACAGACCGCACGCCACAATGGCCTGCGCGTACTCCCAGTAGCTGGGATACCAACCGGCAATCTCCCAATCCAGGATCGTGATGGCCACTTCCCCCTGGGAACCCATTCTCACCATGATATTCTTCCGCTGAAGATCACCGTGCGTCAAGACCGGCGGATGGGTGCAGAACACGTCATGCAGCGCGTTCTCGTAAAACATGGCTTTCCCCCTCATGGCTTCCGACGCCTTGCATTTTCGGATGATTGCGTCGTTCAGGTCTGCTTCCGTCTTGAATGGACCCTCGTATTCATACCTCAGCGATCCATCTCGGTTCGCCGTGCATGTCAAGAACAGCGAATCGCGCAGCGGCTTCCCGTTCAGACTGCTATACCCATACCCGTCCCCATTCATCAGCATGATCGAGCGCATCCGCCGCAGGCATTCCTTGAGCTGGGTCGCCACGAGATTCTTTTCCGCATTCGTAAGCGTTGGCCATCGCTCTTCCATCGTCTGGCCGTGGATGCGCTCCATGATGATCACGTTCTTGCCATCCTCATGGTAGAGAGCATAAACAGTGGGGACGGGCACTTGGGCGCGTTGTTTGACAAAGATCATGGTCTGCCCTTCTTCCAGGTCGATCCCCTTGCCGTACTTGGCAACGAAATGGGGGCCAAGGGCGACCACCTTGGCGGCCGTGCGTTCAGTCAATATCTCCTGGGAGGATTCGATCTCGGCTGTGCTCGGCAGCTTCGCAGGTAAGATGGCCGCGGGTGCAAAGTATGGCATTGATATCGGAAATTCCAGGTCGCGCATCTTTCCTGGCGTAATGTCGTCGAAAAAGAAGGTCCAATATGTCTGAGAAGAAGTGGCTCTGGTGTTTTTGACGCTTTGCGAAAGACTTTGAGTGTGTCAGTTTTGTGCCCCGGATTCACGGAGAGAAACGAAGCAAGAGGAGATGGGAAAAATGGCAGCGGAACATGGCAAAGGGGGGAAAGAGGTAACGACAGTGGTTATGTAGCTGACCCCTGGGCCAGTGCTCCAAGAGGTCAGAATGCCAGAACAGGAATGACAGGTGTGGAATTAGATGCTTGATCTCGAAAGAGGCTGCAAAGGGTGTCATTGTACTTACCCCTGTCGGTGACGTGAGAGCCACGGTCTCAGTGGGCAGCTGGAGCAAGTCACGTGGCGTAAATGTCCGATGCGCGTGCCGAGTCGGATTTGGTTTCCGCGGCGAGTTACTTTCGTATGCGGCTCTTTCGCACATCCTGACTTTCTTTGTCGTCTATAAGCGACATTGTGACATGCGTCTCGCGACTCTCCCGGCAGGTGAGCGCAGTGCTGCACGATGACATAGGGTCGGGCCCAGAGATCGAGACTGATACCGTAGTAACCGAAGTCAGAGAGGAACATGCTGGAGGCAGTTGTCGATCAACGGAGCCGAAATGTCTGGCTCACGGAGGACGAGCCCCCAGTGCTGTGGAAGCCAAGTCCTACGCCATTCACGGGCTGGATGACCGAAATGGGTAAGCTAGCGACGATCCATTTGACAGGCGGGAGAGGCTTCGAAGAACTCACCGAATCCTGTCAAAAAATTCATTTTGGAGTGTCAACGCGGGCGACAACCTCGTTTCCGAACGGCACCAGGCTGTATCGGTGAATGAAAGGCCACTTGGTCAGTGATGCAGAGACATTCAGGCTTCGAGATGGGAGTGCAGACCAGTTGCTGTTTTCTCCGCCTATAATTGCCGGAGCAGATTGTTTCACTATCGGCAGCCAGGACAGCGTGGCAGTGAGGTCTTCCGTAGTATCTGATCAGATTAGGATTGAATCAGATCATTAGTAGCATCAGTGCGAAGCGACAGGGTTGTATGAAGTGTCGAGCAAGACGCGAAAAGGAGAAAGCATGGGAAGAGGACGGTGAGGATGAGGAGGATGCGGACAAGCATGAGGAGGATCATGGAGGTCATATTGGGCCGTTGCGCATTGAGAGGCGAGTGCAGCTCGCCACGGCGCCACGACAGCACAGCAACATGAACACCACACTGTCCTGGACTGCGCTCGGCCCCAGAGGCGCAATGACTGCTCGACTTGCCCACCTCCATCTCAGCTAGCTACGAGATGTTGCAGCGTTTGTTTCAGATCCTTCAACCCATCTTCCTCGGCGAGCCGCATAAGCTTCCGGTATGTTTCTTCCTCTCCATCGTCGCTCATGTTTCCTTTGCCTTGGTACAGGTTGTGCAGCTTCTGTCTTCCACTCATCAACTCTGCTCGATGGGCGGCCTGCCGATGAACGTCAGCATCATGGGACGCGGACATCACTTGTGCTCCCATACCTTGGTCAGGTCATCGCTGGTTTTCTCAAAAACCTCGCAAATGGAACAATCGCACGACATTGACGTCACAGCCAGCGCGGAGTGGCTTTCAGTGGTATTCGATGCCTCGCTGCGTGTGGTTGTCCGGGAGAGCGAATGGCGAAAGCGGGTGGGATCGAGGCAGATAGACAACGCATTCACATTCCATGCGGGTTGAAATAAGCCAGACCTCGTCCGATCGACGTATCGAACCCCTCCTTGCAATCTGGCTGACCAACCCACAAACAGGCAGCGCTGTCACAATGGTTACACAGAGCTGAAGCCAAGACCGTACGAACACGAGCCAGCATGAAGGTGGCGATCCAACCCCGGGCATGTTCGCCCACACCCCTTCTCGGTACCATGACACTGTCGCAGTAAGGGCACAGACGGTGTACCATGAAGGTATTTCTTGAGAATCGGATATTGGCCGGATTACACCTCGACACCGCGCAAATCAGCCACCGAAGGAGGCGTGCTTAGATTGTTGCTCGTTTTCGTTAGGGCACGGCTTCTGCGCCACGTCTACGATGATCTAGGTATAGGACACGCATACTTGGATGCCCCGGCCATTGGCTCCCACTAACGACATTTCGGGTGTAGACATCCCCGGGATGAAGCACTTCAGACAGGTGCTCTTGGATTGTTTCGAACTGGACATCCGATGACCGGCGACGAAGTTGGGTATTGAGGCCGACATTGCGAACTCTTCGATAACTGCATCATTGCCAATCTTTCCCATGCATTGTTTGATCTTTTATTCATGAAGTCGGTGACCTCAGAACCTTCGGCACAGCCACCAGAGGGGACTGTCGGAGATACTCGTCGTCGTAGACTCCCAGCAACAAGCCCGCGAAATCACCGAGCGTACTCCTTAGGGTTGTGGTCAAGTGTTCCTTCGCTTCCGTCAAAGGGCAAGAGTTGTCGAATCCGCACGGGGTCCGGCTGTCAATGCAGCCATGCATGTTTCGCAGGTAACTCCGGCAGCTTTGGTTATTTAGCCGACTCAAAGGCCAGTAACCTCGTGACTGAAGCCATTCTTTGAAGAGTGACAAGCGTAGCTCCTTCGTACAGAAGTAGTCCTGAAACTCGCTGGACCCGCAATTGCCACATTTCTTCGTTGCCGAGGGCTTGTTGCGATAGCACTGGCTGCAAATTTTGTCGCGTTTGCCAGTGTGCCTTTCATTATTCTCACCCACCGCGTCAAGGGCATCCTCAATCCGCAGTTGGACTGCGTACTTGACACTTTCGCAAAGGTGTCTCATATCGTCTAGAAAGATCTTTGTTATTGTTAAGGGAAGGAAGAATCACTTTTCGGGGCGGTACCTTTCAATCGGGCTGGCATAGGATGCACTTCCCAATCCCTCCATTCTTGAGGTGTCATGGCTTCTGCCAATTGGACACTGACGCGACCAAACAGATCTACCAAATGAAAGACGTACGCTGCCCATAGGGACGTTTGGAGTTGATAGGTAGAAAGGCTCGACAAGGTCAGAGCCTCCATCCAAGCCCGCACGTGAAAAGACAGAGCCCAACGACAGCCGTAGAAATCGCACAAGTCGGCCAAGGCGCGGTAGTCCTCCATAGAGGCAGGCGGACAAACTGGAAGGTAGTGGAGAACGCGACAGATCAAGGCGAACATGTCCGGATGATCGTCACGCAGGCTCTTGACGGGCGGTTTGTCGATATTTGGCTGCTCGACGCCTTCGTGGAAAGCGTTTGACCGGAGCATGGTCTTGAAGAACGGACAGGACAACTCGAGGACTTTCGACGAGACCAAAAGGCGACGGGGCCCAACCACGAGTATAAGGTCGCCCCTCGGATCGATCTCTTCTGTTGTTCCTTCCAAAAGTTCATCCGCAAGCAAGCTGCCTGACACGCCCTCCAAGGCGGCATCATGTCCTCCGGCATTGTCCATGATGACGCCTGAAGCGAGTACGAGAGTTGGCGATCTGAGTTACGAGACCAGAGAGGACGCTGCCGGTGCGGGGCCAAATGAACGGCATCCTCTTAAGATCTGGGGCCATGCGGCCTAGTGATGGGCTCGTCGTTAGACCTTCCCTGTCCGGGAGAAGAGGGTCTCGGGAGATATGCACCAGCCAATCAGCCACTTCTCCTCCCTCGGAGCTCACCAATCACTCATTCTCATCACCACTCTACTCATCTGGCATTCATCCTCAGCAACTACTTGTCCTTGGTCCTGATGAAAGCTTCACTGAAAAGCGGCGACTTGTAAGCGGCTGCGGATGTATCAAAGATTGAATGATTCTCCCGAGTTCTCACATCTAAGGACCAGGTCTTCCCACATGTCATAGCACCCCCTACTTTATTAGTCTCTGCCGCTTCAGATGTCGTTTCCATCACCCATGACGACGAAAATTCCTGTGACTTCTACATGCGGAGTGATCCTGCAAAGCACAAGTTCAAACAACTCGGAGCCTTCTTCCACAGCACCTTGCGGCGTCTCACATAACCGTGGGAAACTCACAATGGGCAGACATCACAGTCTCGGCAACCTAGTACAAGCCCAACACCGAAAGCTTACAGTCGCTCTCCTCGGCTAGCAACAAAACGTTGGTCGACTCCTACCAGAATCCATCAAGGGCTTATAGGGCCCCCTTTCGACGATGATCGGAGATGGCTATTTCAATGAATTCGTTCAGAATGATCGGCCTCCTCCTCCCTTGGCATGACCGTCCTCGCAAGCATTGCCAAAGGATTCACCAAGATTACCTTGCTGCATATCACTATAAGAAGAAAGAGAATGAAGGCTTGATGGTTGGGGGACCCGAGCCATCCGGAGGTGCTTGAACAATTATGGTGAACGCACCACCTGTCGCGCAAAGCAGCCCTGTGGACCAAGCAAGAGCCCCAAGGTTCCACATGCCCATGAACCCGCTCTCCTGGAAAGAGGCATACGTGTTCTGCGCAGCTCCCAACATGCCCGGCAGCTGCATCTTCACTTGTCTGGCAACTTTAGCCTCCCGAGCTTCTTCTTTACTTCCTCCTCCAGTGTGGCTTCCTCCTCCAGTGTGGCTTCCTCCTCCAGTGTGGCTTCCTCCTCCAGTGTGGCTTCCTCCTCCAGTGTGGCTTCCTCCTCCAGTGTGGAACGTGGTTCCCGGATCCTGTGGCGGAGCACCCGTCGCATGGTCCGCACAAGAGGTCGTGGTGTGCCCAGGAATCGCAGTGTCTCCGTCGTCGTCAATGGTGCTTGAGATCCCGTGGTGAACTCCTCCTCCCGAGGCCTGAGCAAACTGATTGGCCTCATGCAGCCGTCGAGAAGGGAAGATCTCTCCGCCACGTCCCCTTGTGCTGTCATTCTTGATGGCTTCGGAATTAGCGTCCCAATCTTGGTTTCTCATGTGCTCCCCCACCGTGCTTGTCAGACCACCCGGGCCACGTTGATACGCAAAGCTATAAGAGGTCTTTTAGCCGGGTGACCTTGGGGATGTTGTACTCAAAATGCTTGGGAAGCATAAGGATCTTACCTGCACAATGCGTCAAATTGACCCTGGTTCAGCAAATGGGAATTCTCAAGTCTGTTCACTGCCACTTCGAACTGGCCAAGGTTTGCACGGAAAACTCGTGGGCCTCGGCTTTGCTGAGCGGACGCCCAGTCTTTCTCATATTGTCCTCGATTCTTTCGCACGTCTTGGGCTGCGCTTCGCAATTGATGCCATAACCAACGCGAAGCCCACACTTACCGTTCTTGCAGTCTTCTACGAAGACAGGGGAGAATCCTTCACGAATTTTCAACCGTTCTTTTCCTTCATTGGACATTTTCCTCGGGAACGAGGAGCTTGACTCAGGGGCATCCATCCTGGCTGTCATTGTGGGTGAAAATCACGTCGATGACTCTCCTCGCTTCATGGAGTACTCCCGGGGATATCTAGATGTCGTGACCTCTAGAAGATACGATATCTCTATATTCTCGTTTAGTGGGATGCATCGCCGAGCGAAGCGAAGAAATGCGAGGATGGGTGATTCGAATGTAATACCTTACCTTCGAGTCAGATTCGCTGGGTAATGGCTGGAACCATCACCATACCAGGTCGTGAGTGGCAATTCTTCTCTCGTCGACGAGAGGGAGAAAAGGCAGCATACTTATCACCAAAGAATACGGCCTTACCCCCCAAGATCACATTGTCGGTTCCGCAGCATCACACATCAGGCTGCGCGAGGACGAAATGCTTACCGTGACGTGATAGGCCACATATTATCCCAAGCCTCCTCTGCTAAAGATCCAGAATGCAAGTCTCCTATTCGGGCTCAATCCAAGACGGCGCCTGAAAGGAATGTCCAAGGCAGTCGTGGCTGAGCTTGGGTGGGCAGGCATCAAGCTCGGCGTCAGGCTTCGCGCTGCACAGGAGCTCTTTGCACAACGTCGCCAATCAACACCCCAGCCTCGTTCTCCCTTTACCCTGGCGGTGCGTCTACGATGCATCCAAGCGCCGACTTGGTGCATGGGCTGTCTCTAGAAATTCTGACCTCTCGATTCCAAGGAAGCGTGTCGCCAGTTCTGCTGCAGGCTCTAGTAGCCTGTGGACATATCTCGTTCGGATAGATGCAAAGATGAGATGTTCCCTTGAAGGCCGTACTGCTCCTCCATCTCTCTTTGCACGTTCCATTCGATTTTGAAAATCCTTGTGCGGTCACTCTTCGGTCGAGATTGTAGTTCTCACAATTCACGGCTTGATCAAGTCGGTGGTCTCCTGGTTCGGTTTGAGAAGGCCGACTCGGGCTTGTGGTCGCCCGTGCCATGTGGAGTTTGGCCCGTGAGAGGATTTGGGTTCTGTACTATGATTCCCAGTTTGCGGTGCGCGCGGACACAAGCGACTTTATATCCGCATTTGACGAAGGCGAAATAGAATAGGCGGGATCCGTGGTTCGAGCCACACTTTCCAGAGGAATTCGTAGCTTCGCTGCCTCAAAGGCTGCCGTCAACCTGTTTCTTGTCAGCGAGTGCATCTCGAGATGAATCACCATGTCGAGGTCCGATGCTGTGAATGTCCCCAGGATTCAGGGCCATCAATATCAGCATCATCTCGTTCCAAAGTCCATGCGTTCGCTTGGTGGCGTTTTCTGGTGAAGTCCATGGTCCACCGATGGTGACATCTTCGAGCTCGAAAATTAACCGCGACTCTTATTCAATCAGAGAGGATGGAGGTTGAGGGAGGATCGAAGGGAAGAAAGCGAACCTGTCTTTTGTAGAGAGCTGGCAGGCGGACACCGCATACCTTTCTTTGCTCGTGGCTTTCGCCAGGGGATGAAGCCACGAATGAGATGTCAGATGCAACGAACACGGGAACAAGGGTATCTAGGCAGTTTTCAGTGAAGGGGTCAAGTCTGCCTATACCCAAAAAGTGGCGACATGCTGATTTCGCCAGAGAAATGCTTTTCCAAGAGGTTAAGTGAAGCTCGTCAAGAGCCAGCCCTCCCATGTGCACACAGAGTGATCCGTCCCTTACTCGAAGGCGGACCTGTGCCGCCAAAGGGAATCAGGGTGCGCCTTCGGCCCAGAGACTTCAGCAATGGGCCTTCGCTGAAAGTTACCACGTCGCGAATGCGCCTTCTCATGGTGGGGAAATGGATCCCGTCAACAGAATGACTGGGGGTTCGTTCTGTATGTCTTCAACGCATTGCGGTTGATGGTCTGGTCACGATTAACGGTCTGGTTGTGATTGAAGAACAACATTGCTATGGGAGCTAGAACTAAGCTAAGCTAAGCTATGGACGATCGGGCTGAATCTCCTCTATGGGATGCTGACTTGAATTGAATATCATCTCTATTCACCTGAACTGAAAGTGACTGGGGGTATTGGTACACCTTTTTTTCCTGATTTTCCTGATTTTCCTGATTTTCCTGATTTTCCTGATTTTCCTGATTTTCCTGATTTTCCTGATTTTCCTGATTTTCCTGATTTTC